TTTGATCCACATGGTCAATGAAAAGCCCAGCCCTACCTGCAACAGTCATTGCCAGGGACCCAGAACTGATAATCAGGACTTTTAGGCTTGGATTTTGATTGACATGGCTAATCAAAAGCCCAGTCCTACCTTCAGGACAGAGCTTCACAGTTTGTACCCGACAGTCATTGCCAAGGACCCAGAACTGATAGTCAGGACTTTAAGGCTGGGTGAATAAAAAATTGATGGTTGGAAAATTAAGGAGGAGTTCTCTTGTTTGTGTTTTGAGTCAGCACAAGGACATTTTTGGAGGTGTTCACAGATGAAGACAAGCGGGGAGTTGAACCAGCGACCTTTGGATCACAGCACTTCATGTGAGGAACTTCCTACAGTCCTCTGCTCTACCAACTGAGCTATCGAGGTGCTGTCTACTCACAAGTGCAGAAAACATAGTGGCTGAGACGACATACTTTGCCCACACAACTATTTGATCCACATGGTCAATGAAAAGCCCAGCCCTACCTGCAGAACAAAGCTTCGCAGTTTGTACCCAAACAGTCATTGCCAGGGACCCAGAACTGATAATCAAGACTTTTAGGCTTGGCTTTTGATTGACATGGCTAATCAAAAGCCCAGTCCTACCTTCAGAACAGAGCTTCACAGTTTGTACCCGACAGTCATTGCCAAGGACCCAGAACTGATAGTCAGGACTTTAAGGCTGGGTGAATAAAAAATTGATGGTTGGAAAATTAAGGAGGAGTTCTCTTGTTTGTGTTTTGACATTTTGGAGGTGTTCACAGATGAAAACAAGGACAAGCTGGGAGTTGAACCAGCGACCTTTGGATCACAGCACTTCATGTGAGGAACTTCCTACAGTCCTGTGCTCTACCAAATGAGCTATCGAGGTGCTCTCCACTCACTAGTGCAGAAAACATAGTGGCTGAGACGACACACTTTGCCCACACAACTATTTGATCCACATGGTCAATGAAAAGCCCAGCCCTACCTGCAGAACAAAGCTTCGCAGTTTGTACCCAACAGTCATTGCCAGGGACCCAGAACTGATAATCAGGACTTTTAGGCTTGGATTTTGATTGACATGGCTAATCAAAAGCCCAGTCCTACCTTCAGGACAGAGCTTCACAGTTTGTACCCAACAGTCATTGCCAAGGACCCAGAACTGATAGTCAGGACTTTAAGGCTGGGTGAATAAAAAATTGATGGTTGGAAAATTAAGGAGGAGTTCTCTTGTTTGTGTTTTGACATTTTGGAGGTGTTCACAGATGAAGACAAGCGGGGAGTTGAACCAGCGACCTTTGGATCACAGCACTTCATGTGAGGAACTTCCTAAAGTCCTCTGGTCTACCAACTGAGCTATCGAGGTGCTCTCTACTCACAAGTGCAGAAAACATAGTGGCTGAGACGACACACTTTGCCCACACAACTATTTGATCCACATGGTCAATGAAAAGCCCAGCCCTACCTGCAGAACAAAGCTTCGCAGTTTGTACCCAACAGTCATTACCAGGGACCCAGAACTGATAATCAGGACTTTTAGGCTTGGCTTTTGATTGACATGGCCAATCAAAAGCCCAGTCCTACCTTCAGAACAGAGCTTCACAGTTTGTACCCGACAGTCATTGCCAAGGACCCAGAACTGATAGTCAGGACTTTAAGGCTGGGTGAATAAAAAATTGATGGTTGGAAAATTAAGGAGGAGTTGTCTTGTTTGTGTTTTGACATTTTGGAGGTGTTCACAGATGAAGACAAGGACAAATGGGGAGTTGAACCAGCGACCTTTGGATCACAGCACTTCCTACAGTCCTCTGCTCTACCAACTGAGCTATCGAGGTGCTCTCTACTCACAAGTGCAGAAAGCATAGTGGCTGAGACGACACACTTTGCCCACACAACTATTTGATCCACATGGTCAATGAAAAGCAAAGCCCTACCTGCAGAACAAAGCTTCGCAGTTTGTACCCAACAGTCATTGCCAGGGACCCAGAACTGATAATCAGGACTTTTAGGCTTGGATTTTGATTGACATGGCTAATCAAAAGCCCAGTCCTACCTTCAGGACAGAGCTTCACAGTTTGTACCCAACAGTCATTGCCAAGGACCCAGAACTGATAGTCAGGACTTTAAGGCTGGGTGAATAAAAAATTGATGGTTGGAAAATTAAGGAGGAGTTGTCTTGTTTGTGTTTTGACATTTTGGAGGTGTTCACAGATGAAGACAAGGACAAATGGGGAGTTGAACCAGCGACCTTTGGATCACAGCACTTCCTACAGTCCTCTGCTCTACCAACTGAGCTATCGAGGTGCTCTCTACTCACAAGTGCAGAAAGCATAGTGGCTGAGACGACACACTTTGCCCACACAACTATTTGATCCACATGGTCAATGAAAAGCAAAGCCCTACCTGCAGAACAAAGCTTCGCAGTTTGTACCCAACAGTCATTGCCAGGGACCCAGAACTGATAATCAGGACTTTTAGGCTTGGATTTTGATTGACATGGCTAATCAAAAGCCCAGTCCTACCTTCAGGACAGAGCTTCACAGTTTGTACCCAACAGTCATTGCCAAGGACCCAGAACTGATAGTCAGGACTTTAAGGCTGGGTGAATAAAAAAATGATGGTTGGAAAATTAAGGAGGAGTTCTCTTGTTTGTGTTTTGACATTTTGGAGGTGTTCACAGATGAAGACAAGCGGGGAGTTGAACCAGCGACCTTTGGATCACAGCACTTCATGTGAGGAACTTCCTAAAGTCCTCTGCTCTACCAACTGAGCTATCGAGGTGCTGTCTACTCACAAGTGCAGAAAACATAGTGACTGAGACGACATACTTTGCCCACACAACTATTTGATCCACATGGTCAATGAAAAGCCCAGCCCTACCTGCAGAACAAAGCTTCGCAGTTTGTACCCAACAGTCATTACCAGGGACCCAGAACTGATAATCAGGACTTTTAGGCTTGGCTTTTGATTGACATGGCCAATCAAAAGCCCAGTCCTACCTTCAGAACAGAGCTTCACAGTTTGTACCCGACAGTCATTGCCAAGGACCCAGAACTGATAGTCAGGACTTTAAGGCTGGGTGAATAAAAAATTGATGGTTGGAAAATTAAGGAGGAGTTGTCTTGTTTGTGTTTTGACATTTTGGAGGTGTTCACAGATGAAGACAAGCGGGGAGTTGAACCAGCGACCTTTGGATCACAGCACTTAATGTGAGGAACTTCCTAAAGTCCTCTGCTCTACCAACTGAGCTATCGAGGTGCTGTCTACTCACACGTGCAGAAAACATAGTGGCTGAGACGACATACTTTGCCCACACAACTATTTGATCCACATGGTCAATGAAAAGCCCAGCCCTACCTGCAGAACAAAGCTTCGCAGTTTGTACCCAACAGTCATTGCCAGGGACCCAGAACTGATAATCAGGACTTTTAGGCTTGGCTTTTTATTGACATGGCTAATCAAAAGCCCAGTCCTACCTTCAGAACAGAGCTTCACAGTTTGTACCCGACAGTCATTGCCAAGGACCCAGAACTGATAGTCAGGACTTTAAGGCTGAGTGAATAAAAAATTGATGGTTGGAAAATTAAGGAGGAGTTCTCTTGTTTGTGTTTTGACATTTTGGAGGTGTTCACAGATGAAGACAAGGACAAATGGGGAGTTGAACCAGCGACCTTTGGATCACAGCACTTCCTACAGTCCTCTGCTCTACCAACTGAGCTATCGAGGTGCTCTCTACTCACAAGTGCAGAAAACATAGTGGCTGAGACGACACACTTTGCCCACACAACTATTTGATCCACATGGTCAATGAAAAGCCCAGCCCTACCTGCAGAACAAAGCTTCGCAGTTTGTACCCAACAGTCATTACCAGGGACCCAGAACTGATAATCAGGACTTTTAGGCTTGGCTTTTGATTGACATGGCCAATCAAAAGCCCAGTCCTACCTTCAGAACAGAGCTTCACAGTTTGTACCCGACAGTCATTGCCAAGGACCCATAACTGATAGTCAGGACTTTAAGGCTGGGTGAATAAAAAATTGTTGTTTGGAAAATTAAGGAGGAGTTCTCTTGTTTGTGTTTTGACATTTTGGAGGTGTTCACAGATGAAGACAAGCACAAATGGGGAGTTGAACCAGCGACCTTTGGATCACAGCACTTCATGTGAGGAACTTGCTACAGTCCTCTGCTCTACCAACTGAGCTATCGAGGTGCTCTCTACTCACAAGTGCAGAAAACATAGTGGCTGAGACGACACACTTTGCCCACACAACTATTTGATCCACATGGTCAATGAAAAGCCAAGCCCTACCTGCAGAACAAAGCTTCGCAGTTTGTACCCAACAGTCATTGCCAGGGACCCAGAACTGATAATCAGGACTTTTAGGCTTGGATTTTGATTGACATGGCTAATCAAAAGCCCAGTCCTACCTTCAGGACAGAGCTTCACAGTTTGTACCCAACAGTCATTGCCAAGGACCCAGAACTGATAGTCAGGACTTTAAGGCTGGGTGAATAAAAAATTGATGGTTGGAAAATTAAGGAGGAGTTCTCTTGTTTGTGTTTTGACATTTTGGAGGTGTTCACAGATGAAGACAAGCGGGGAGTTGAACCAGCGACCTTTGGATCACAGCACTTCATGTGAGGAACTTCCTAAAGTCCTCTGCTCTACCAACTGAGCTATCGAGGTGCTCTCTACTCACAAGTGCAGAAAACATAGTGGCTGAGACGACACACTTTGCCCACACAACTATTTGATCCACATGGTCAATGAAAAGCCCAGCCCTACCTGCAGAACAAAGCTTCGCAGTTTGTACCCAACAGTCATTACCAGGGACCCAGAACTGATAATCAGGACTTTTAGGCTTGGCTTTTGATTGACATGGCCAATCAAAAGCCCAGTCCTACCTTCAGAACAGAGCTTCACAGTTTGTACCCGACAGTCATTGCCAAGGACCCAGAACTGATAGTCAGGACTTTAAGGCTGGGTGAATAAAAAATTGATGGTTGGAAAATTAAGGAGGAGTTCTCTTGTTTGTGTTTTGACATTTTGGAGGTGTTCACAGATGAAGAGAAGGACAAATGGGGAGTTGAACCAGCGACCTTTGGATCACAGCACTTCCTACAGTCCTCTGCTCTACCAACTGAGCTATCGAGGTGTTCTCTACTCACAAGTGCAGAAAACATAGTGGCTGAGACGACACACTTTGCCCACACAACTATTTGATCCACATGGTCAATGAAAAGCCCAGCCCTACCTGCAGAACAAAGCTTCGCAGTTTGTACCCAACAGTCATTGCCAGAGACCCAGAACTGATAATCAGGACTTTTAGACTTGGATTTTGATTGACATGGCTAATCAAAAGCCCAGTCCTACCTTCAGGACAGAGCTTCACAGTTTGTACCCAACAGTCATTGCCAAGGACCCAGAACTGATAGTCAGGACTTTAAGGCTGGGTGAATAAAAAATTGATGGTTGGAAAATTAAGGAGGAGTTCTCTTGTTTGTGTTTTGACATTTTGGAGGTGTTCACAGATGAAGACAAGGACAAATGGGGAGTTGAACCAGCGACCTTTGGATCACAGCACTTCCTACAGTCCTCTGCTCTACCAACTGAGCTATCGAGGTGCTCTCTACTCACAAGTGCAGAAAACATAGTGGCTGAGACGACACACTTTGCCCACACAACTATTTGATCCACATGGTCAATGAAAAGCCCAGCCCTACCTGCAGAACAAAGCTTCGCAGTTTGTACCCAACAGTCATTACCAGGGACCCAGAACTGATAATCAGGACTTTTAGGCTTGGCTTTTGATTGACATGGCCAATCAAAAGCCCAGTCCTACCTTCAGAACAGAGCTTCACAGTTTGTACCCGACAGTCATTGCCAAGGACCCAGAACTGATAGTCAGGACTTTAAGGCTGGGTGAATAAAAAATTGATGGTTGGAAAATTAAGGAGGAGTTCTCTTGTTTGTGTTTTGACATTTTGGAGGTGTTCACAGATGAAGACAAGCGGGGAGTTGAACCAGCGACATTTGGATCACAGCACTTCATGTGAGGAACTTCCTAAAGTCCTCTGCTCTACCAACTGAGCTATCGAGGTGCTCTCTACTCACAAGTGCAGAAAACATAGTGGCTGAGACGACACACTTTGCCCACACAACTATTTGATCCACATGGTCAATGAAAAGCCCAGCCCTACCTGCAGAACAAAGCTTCGCAGTTTGTACCCAACAGTCATTACCAGGGACCCAGAACTGATAATCAGGACTTTTAGGCTTGGCTTTTGATTGACATGGCCAATCAAAAGCCCAGTCCTACCTTCAGAACAGAGCTTCACAGTTTGTACCCGACAGTCATTGCCAAGGACCCAGAACTGATAGTCAGGACTTTAAGGCTGGGTGAATAAAAAATTGTTGTTTGGAAAATTAAGGAGGAGTTCTCTTGTTTGTGTTTTGACATTTTGGAGGTGTTCACAGATGAAGACAAGGACAAATGGGGAGTTGAACTAGCGACCTTTGGATCACAGCACTTCATGTGAGGAACTTGCTACAGTCCTCTGCTCTACCAACTGAGCTATCGAGGTGCTCTCTACTCACAAGTGCAGAAAACATAGTGGCTGAGACGACACACTTTGCCCACACAACTATTTGATCCACATGGTCAATGAAAAGCCAAGCCCTACCTGCAGAACAAAGCTTCGCAGTTTGTACCCAACAGTCATTGCCAGGGACCCAGAACTGATAATCAGGACTTTTAGGCTTGGATTTTGATTGACATGGCTAATTAAAAGCCCAGTCCTACCTTCAGGACAGAGCTTCACAGTTTGTACCCAACAGTCATTGCCAAGGACCCAGAACTGATAGTCAGGACTTTAAGGCTGGGTGAATAAAAAATTGATGGTTGGAAAATTAAGGAGGAGTTCTCGTGTTTGGGTTTAGACATTTTGGAGGTGTTCACAGATGAAGACAAGCGGGGAGTTGAACCAGCGACCTTTGGATCACAGCACTTCATGTGAGGAACTTCCTAAAGTCCTCTGCTCTACCAACTGAGCTATCGAGGTGCTCCCTACTCACAAGTGCAGAAAACATAGTGGCTGAGACGACACACTTTGCCCACACAACTATTTGATCCACATGGTCAATGAAAAGCCCAGCCCTACCTGCAGAACAAAGCTTCGCAGTTTGTACCCAACAGTCATTACCAGGGACCCAGAACTGATAATCAGGACTTTTAGGCTTGGCTTTTGATTGACATGGCCAATCAAAAGCCCAGTCCTACCTTCAGAACAGAGCTTCACAGTTTGTACCCGACAGTCATTGCCAAGGACCCAGAACTGATAGTCAGGACTTTAAGGCTGGGTGAATAAAAAATTGATGGTTGGAAAATTAAGGAGGAGTTGTCTTGTTTGTGTTTTGACATTTTGGAGTTTTTCAAAGATGAAGACAAGGACAAATGGGGAGTTGAACCAGCGACCTTTGGATCACAGCACTTCCTACAGTCCTCTGCTCTACCAACTGAGCTATCGAGGTGCTCTCTACTCACAAGTGCAGAAAACATAGTGGCTGAGACGACACACTTTGCCCACACAACTATTTGATCCACATGGTCAATGAAAAGCCAAGCCCTACCTGCAGAACAAAGCTTCGCAGTTTGTACCCAACAGTCATTGCCAGGGACCCAGAACTGATAATCAGGACTTTTAGGCTTGGATTTTGATTGACATGGCTAATCAAAAGCCCAGTCCTACCTTCAGGACAGAGCTTCACAGTTTGTACCCAACAGTCATTGCCAAGGACCCAGAACTGATAGTCAGGACTTTAAGGCTGGGTGAATAAAAAATTGATGGTTGGAAAATTAAGGAGGAGTTCTCTTGTTTGTGTTTTGACATTTTGGAGGTGTTCACAGATGAAGACAAGCGGGGAGTTGAACCAGCGACCTTTGGATCACAGCACTTCATGTGAGGAACTTCCTACAGTCCTCTGCTCTACCAACTGAGCTATCGAGGTGCTCTCTACTCACAAGTGCAGAAAACATAGTGGCTGAGACGACATACTTTGCCCACACAACTATTTGATCCACATGGTCAATGAAAAGCCCAGCCCTACCTGCAGAATAAAGCTTCGCAGTTTGTACCCAACAGTCATTGCCAGGGACCCAGAACTGATAATCAGGACTTTTAGGCTTGGCTTTTGATTGACATGGCTAATCAAAAGCCCAGTCCTACCTTCAGAACAGAGCTTCACAGTTTGTACCCGACAGTCATTGCCAAGGACCCAGAACTGATAGTCAGGACTTTAAGGCTGGGTGAATAAAAAATTGATGGTTGGAAAATTAAGGAGGAGTTCTCTTGTTTGTGTTTTGACATTTTGGAGGTGTTCACAGATGAAAACAAGGACAAGCTGGGAGTTGAACCAGCGACCTTTGGATCACAGCACTTCATGTGAGGAACTTCCTACAGTCCTCTGCTCTACCAACTGAGCTATCGAGGTGCTCTCCACTCACTAGTGCAGAAAACATAGTGGCTGAGACGACACACTTTGCCCACACAACTATTTGATCCACATGGTCAATGAAAAGCCAAGCCCTACCTGCAGAACAAAGCTTCGCAGTTTGTACCCAACAGTCATTGCCAGGGACCCAGAACTGATAATCAGGACTTTTAGGCTTGGATTTTGATTGACATGGCTAATCAAAAGCCCAGTCCTACCTTCAGAACAGAGCTTCACAGTTTGTACCCGACAGTCATTGCCAAGGACCCAGAACTGATAGTCAGGACTTTAAGGCTGGGTGAATAAAAAATTGATGGTTGGAAAATTAAGGAGGAGTTCTCTTGTTTGTGTTTTGAGATTTTGGAGGTGTTCACAGATGAAGACAAGGACAAGCGGGGAGTTGAACCAGCGACCTTTGGATCACAGCACTTCATGTGAGGAACTTCCTACACTTCTCTGCTCTACCAACTGAGCTATCGAGGTGCTGTCTACCCACAAGTGCAGAAAACATAGTGGCTGAGACGACACACTTTGCCCACACAATTATTTGATCCACATGGTCAATGAAAAGCCAAGCCCTACCTGCAGAACAAAGCTTCGCAGTTTGTACCCAACAGTCATTGTCAGGGACCCGGAACTGATAATCAGGACTTTTAGGCTTGGCTTTTGATTGACATGGCCAATCAAAAGCCCAGTCCTACCTTCAGAACAGAGCTTCACAGTTTGTACCCGACAGTCATTGCCAAGGACCCAGAACTGATAGTCAGGACTTTAAGGCTGGGTGAATAAAAAATTGATGGTTGGAAAATTAAGGAGGAGTTCTATTGTTTTTTTTTTGACATTTTGGAGGTGTTCACAGATGAAGACAAGCGAGGAGTTGAACCAGCAACCTTTGGATCACAGCACTTCATGTGAGGAACTTCCTACAGTCCTCTGCTCTACCAACTGAGCTATCAAGGTGCTCTCTACTCACGATTGCAGAAAACATAGTGGCTGAGACGACACACTTTGCCCACACAACTATTTGATCCACATGGTCAATGAAAAGCCCAGCCCTACCTGAAGAACAAAGCTTCGCAGTTTGTACCCAACAGTCATTGCCAGGGACCCAGAACTGATAATCAGGACTTTTAGGCTTGGATTTTGATTGACATGGCTAATCAAAAGCCCAGTCCTACCTTCAGGACAGAGCTTCACAGTTTGTACCCAACAGTCATTGCCAAGGACCCAGAACTGATAGTCAGGACTTTAAGGCTGGGTGAATAAAAAATTGATGGTTGGAAAATTAAGGAGGAGTTCTCTTGTTTGTGTTTTTTCATTTTGGAGGTGTTCACAGATGAAGACAAGCGGGGAGTTGAACCAGCGACCTTTGGATCACAGCACTTCATGTGAGGAACTTCCTACAGTCCTCTGCTGTACCAACTGAGCTATCGAGGTGCTGTCTACTCACAAGTGCAGAAAACATAGTGGCTGAGACGACATACTTTGCCCACACAACTATTTGATCCACATGGTCAATGAAAAGCCCGGCCCTACCTGCAGAACAAAGCTTCGCAGTTTGTACCCAACAGTCATTACCAGGGACCCAGAACTGATAATCAGGACTTTTAGGCTTGGCTTTTGATTGACATGGCCAATCAAAAGCCCAGTCCTACCTTCAGAACAGAGCTTCACAGTTTGTACCCGACAGTCATTGCCAAGGACCCAGAACTGATAGTCAGGACTTTAAGGCTGGGTGAATAAAAAATTGATGGTTGGATAATTAAGGAGGAGTTCTCTTGCTTTGTTTTGATATTTTGGAGGTGTTCACAGATGAAGACAAGGACAAGCGGGGAGTTGAACCAGCAACCTTTGGATCACAGGACTTCCAACAGTCCTCTGCTCTACCAACTGAGCTATCGAGGTGCTCTCTACTCACAAGTGCAGAAAACATAGTGGCTGAGACGACACACTTTGCCCACACAACTATTTGATCCGCATGGTCAATGAAAAGCCCAGCCCTACCTGCAGAATAAAGCTTCGCAGTTTGTACCCAACAGTCATTGCCAGGGACCCAGAACTGATAATCAGGACTTTTAGGCTTGGCTTTTGATTGACATGGCCAATCAAAAGCCCAGTCCTACCTTAAGAACAGAGCTTCACAGTTTGTATCCGACAGTCATTGCCAAGGACCCAGAACTGATAGTCAGGACTTTAAGGCTGAGTGAATAAAAAATTGATGGTTGGAAAATTAAGGAGGAGTTCTCTTGTTTGTGTTTTGAGATTTTGGAGGTGTTCACAGATGAAGACAAGGACAAGCGGGGAGTTGAACCAGCGACCTTTGGATCACAGCATTTCATGTGAGGAACTTCCTAAGGTCCTCTGCTCTACCAACTGAGCTATCGAGGTGCTCTCTACCCACAAGTGCAGAAAACATAGTGGCTGAGACGACACACTTTGCCCACACAATTATTTGATCCACATGGTCAATGAAAAGCCAAGCCCTACCTGCAGAACAAAGCTTCGCAGTTTGTACCCAACAGTCATTGCCAGGGACCCAGAACTGATAATCAGGACTTTTAGGCTTGGATTTTGATTGACATGGCTAATCAAAAGCCCAGTCCTACCTTCAGGACAGAGCTTCACAGTTTGTACCCAACAGTCATTGCCAAGGACCCAGAACTGATAGTCAGGACTTTAAGGCTGGGTGAATAAAAAATTGATGGTTGGAAAATTAAGGAGGAGTTCTCTTGTTTGTGTTTTGACATTTTGGAGGTGTTCACAGATGAAGACAAGGACAAATGGGGAGTTGAACCAGCGACCTTTGGATCACAGCACTTCCTACAGTCCTCTGCTCTACCAACTGAGCTATCGAGGTGCTCTCTACTCACAAGTGCAGAAAGCATAGTGGCTGAGACGACACACTTTGCCCACACAACTATTTGATCCACATGGTCAATGAAAAGCAAAGCCCTACCTGCAGAACAAAGCTTCGCAGTTTGTACCCAACAGTCATTGCCAGGGACCCAGAACTGATAATCAGGACTTTTAGGCTTGGATTTTGATTGACATGGCTAATCAAAAGCCCAGTCCTACCTTCAGGACAGAGCTTCACAGTTTGTACCCAACAGTCATTGCCAAGGACCCAGAACTGATAGTCAGGACTTTAAGGCTGGGTGAATAAAAAAATGATGGTTGGAAAATTAAGGAGGAGTTCTCTTGTTTGTGTTTTGACATTTTGGAGGTGTTCACAGATGAAGACAAGCGGGGAGTTGAACCAGCGACCTTTGGATCACAGCACTTCATGTGAGGAACTTCCTAAAGTCCTCTGCTCTACCAACTGAGCTATCGAGGTGCTGTCTACTCACAAGTGCAGAAAACATAGTGACTGAGACGACATACTTTGCCCACACAACTATTTGATCCACATGGTCAATGAAAAGCCCAGCCCTACCTGCAGAACAAAGCTTCGCAGTTTGTACCCAACAGTCATTACCAGGGACCCAGAACTGATAATCAGGACTTTTAGGCTTGGCTTTTGATTGACATGGCCAATCAAAAGCCCAGTCCTACCTTCAGAACAGAGCTTCACAGTTTGTACCCGACAGTCATTGCCAAGGACCCAGAACTGATAGTCAGGACTTTAAGGCTGGGTGAATAAAAAATTGATGGTTGGAAAATTAAGGAGGAGTTCTCTTGTTTGTGTTTTGACATTTTGGAGGTGTTCACAGATGAAGACAAGCGGGGAGTTGAACCAGCGACCTTTGGATCACAGCACTTAATGTGAGGAACTTCCTACAGTCCTCTGCTCTACCAACTGAGCTATCGAGGTGCTCTCTACTCACAAGTGCAGAAAACATAGTGGCTGAGACGACACACTTTGCCCACACAACTATTTGATCCACATGGTCAATGAAAAGCCCAGCCCTACCTGCAGAACAAAGCTTCGCAGTTTGTACCCAACAGTCATTACCAGGGACCCAGAACTGATAATCAGGACTTTTAGGCTTGGCTTTTGATTGACATGGCCAATCAAAAGCCCAGTCCTACCTTCAGAACAGAGCTTCACAGTTTGTACCCGACAGTCATTGCCAAGGACCCAGAACTGATAGTCAGGACTTTAAGGCTGGGTGAATAAAAAATTGATGGTTGGAAAATTAAGGAGGAGTTCTCTTGTTTGTGTTTTGACATTTTGGAGGTGTTCACAGATGAAGAGAAGGACAAATGGGGAGTTGAACCAGCGACCTTTGGATCACAGCACTTCCTACAGTCCTCTGCTCTACCAACTGAGCTATCGAGGTGCTCTCTACTCACAAGTGCAGAAAACATAGTGGCTGAGACGACACACTTTGCCCACACAACTATTTGATCCACATGGTCAATGAAAAGCCCAGCCCTACCTGCAGAACAAAGCTTCGCAGTTTGTACCCAACAGTCATTGCCAGAGACCCAGAACTGATAATCAGGACTTTTAGACTTGGATTTTGATTGACATGGCTAATCAAAAGCCCAGTCCTACCTTCAGGACAGAGCTTCACAGTTTGTACCCAACAGTCATTGCCAAGGACCCAGAACTGATAGTCAGGACTTTAAGGCTGGGTGAATAAAAAATTGATGGTTGGAAAATTAAGGAGGAGTTCTCTTGTTTGTGTTTTGACATTTTGGAGGTGTTCACAGATGAAGACAAGGACAAATGGGGAGTTGAACCAGCGACCTTTGGATCACAGCACTTCCTACAGTGCTCTGCTCTACCAACTGAGCTATCGAGGTGCTCTCTACTCACAAGTGCAGAAAACATAGTGGCTGAGACGACACACTTTGCCCACACAACTATTTGATCCACATGGTCAATGAAAAGCCCAGCCCTACCTGCAGAACAAAGCTTCGCAGTTTGTACCCAACAGTCATTACCAGGGACCCAGAACTGATAATCAGGACTTTTAGGCTTGGCTTTTTATTGACATGGCCAATCAAAAGCCCAGTCCTACCTTCAGAACAGAGCTTCACAGTTTGTACCCGACAGTCATTGCCAAGGACCCAGAACTGATAGTCAGGACTTTAAGGCTGGGTGAATAAAAAATTGTTGTTTGGAAAATTAAGGAGGAGTTCTCTTGTTTGTGTTTTGACATTTTGGAGGTGTTCACAGATGAAGACAAGGAGAAATGGGGAGTTTAACCAGCGACCTTTGGATCACAGCACTTCATGTGAGGAACTTCCTACAGTCCTCTGCTCTACCAACTGAGCTATCGAGGTGCTCTCTACTGACAAGTGCAGAAAACATAGTGGCTGAGACGACACACTTTGCCCACACAACTATTTGATCCACATGGTCAATGAAAAGCCAAGCCCTACCTGCAGAACAAAGCTTCGCAGTTTGTACCCAACAGTCATTGCCAGGGACCCAGAACTGATAATCAGGACTTTTAGGCTTGGATTTTGATTGACATGGCTAATTAAAAGCCCAGTCCTACCTTCAGGACAGAGCTTCACAGTTTGTACCCAACAGTCATTGCCAAGGACCCAGAACTGATAGTCAGGACTTTAAGGCTGGGTGAATAAAAAATTGATGGTTGGAAAATTAAGGAGGAGTTCTCGTGTTTGGGTTTAGACATTTTGGAGGTGTTCACAGATGAAGACAAGCGGGGAGTTGAACCAGCGACCTTTGGATCACAGCACTTCATGTGAGGAACTTCCTAAAGTCCTCTGCTCTACCAACTGAGCTATCGAGGTGCTCCCTACTCACAAGTGCAGAAAACATAGTGGCTGAGACGACACACTTTGCCCACACAACTATTTGATCCACATGGTCAATGAAAAGCCCAGCCCTACCTGCAGAACAAAGCTTCGCAGTTTGTACCCAACAGTCATTGCCAGGGACCCAGAACTGATAATCAGGACTTTTAGGCTTGGCTTTTGATTGACATGGCCAATCAAAAGCCCAGTCCTACCTTCAGAACAGAGCTTCACAGTTTGTACCCGACAGTCATTGCCAAGGACCCAGAACTGATAGTCAGGACTTTAAGGCTGGGTGAATAAAAAATTGATGGTTGGAAAATTAAGGAGGAGTTGTCTTGTTTGTGTTTTGACATTTTGGAGTTTTTCACAGATGAAGACAAGGACAAATGGGGAGTTGAACCAGCGACCTTTGGATCACAGCACTTCCTACAGTCCTCTGCTCTACCAACTGAGCTATCGAGGTGCTCTCTACTCACAAGTGCAGAAAACATAGTGGCTGAGACGACACACTTTGCCCACACAACTATTTGATCCACATGGTCAATGAAAAGCCAAGCCCTACCTGCAGAACAAAGCTTCGCAGTTTGTACCCAACAGTCATTGCCAGGGACCCAGAACTGATAATCAGGACTTTTAGGCTTGGATTTTGATTGACATGGCTAATCAAAAGCCCAGTCCTACCTTCAGGAACAGAGCTTCACAGTTTGTACCCAACAGTCATTGCCAAGGACCCAGAACTGATAGTCAGGACTTTAAGGCTGGGTGAATAAAAAATTGATGGTTGGAAAATTAAGGAGGAGTTCTCTTGTTTGTGTTTTGACATTTTGGAGGTGTTCACAGATGAAGACAAGCGGGGAGTTGAACCAGCGACCTTTGGATCACAGCACTTCATGTGAGGAACTTCCTACAGTCCTCTGCTCTACCAACTGAGCTATCGAGGTGCTGTCTACTCACAAGTGCAGAAAACATAGTGGCTGAGACGACATACTTTGCCCACACAACTATTTGATCCACATGGTCAATGAAAAGCCCAGCCCTACCTGCAGAATAAAGCTTCGCAGTTTGTACCCAACAGTCATTGCCAGGGACCCAGAACTGATAATCAGGACTTTTAGGCTTGGCTTTTGATTGACATGGCTAATCAAAAGCCCAGTCCTACCTTCAGAACAGAGCTTCACAGTTTGTACCCGACAGTCATTGCCAAGGACCCAGAACTGATAGTCAGGACTTTAAGGCTGGGTGAATAAAAAATTGATGGTTGGAAAATTAAGGAGGAGTTCTCTTGTTTGTGTTTTGACATTTTGGAGGTGTTCACAGATGAAAACAAGGACAAGCTGGGAGTTGAACCAGCGACCTTTGGATCACAGCACTTCATGTGAGGAACTTCCTACAGTCCTGTGCTCTACCAACTGAGCTATCGAGGTGCTCTCCACTCACAAGTGCAGAAAACATAGTGGCTGAGACGACACACTTTGCCCACACAACTATTTGATCCACATGGTCAATGAAAAGCCAAGCCCTACCTGCAGAACAAAGCTTCGCAGTTTGTACCCAACAGTCATTGCCAGGGACCCAGAACTGATAATCAGGACTTTTAGGCTTGGATTTTGATTGACATGGCTAATCAAAAGCCCAGTCCTACCTTCAGGACAGAGCTTCACAGTTTGTACCCAACAGTCATTGCCAAGGACCCAGAACTGATAGTCAGGACTTTAAGGCTGGGTGAATAAAAAATTGATGGTTGGAAAATTAAGGAGGAGTTCTCTTGTTTGTGTTTTGACATTTTGGAGGTGTTCACAGATGAAGACAAGCGGGGAGTTGAACCAGCGACCTTTGGATCACAGCACTTCATGTGAGGAACTTCCTAAAGTCCTCTGCTCTACCAACTGAGCTATCGAGGTGCTCTCTACTCACAAGTGCAGAAAACATAGTGGCTGAGACGACACACTTTGCCCACACAACTATTTGATCCACATGGTCAATGAAAAGCCCAGCCCTACCTGCAGAACAAAGCTTCGCAGTTTGTACCCAACAGTCATTACCAGGGACCCAGAACTGATAATCAGGACTTTTAGGCTTGGCTTTTGATTGACATGGCCAATCAAAAGCCCAGTCCTACCTTCAGAACAGAGCTTCACAGTTTGTACCCGACAGTCATTGCCAAGGACCCAGAACTGATAGTCAGGACTTTAAGGCTGGGTGAATAAAAAATTGATGGTTGGAAAATTAAGGAGGAGTTGTCTTGTTTGTGTTTTGACATTTTGGAGGTGTTCACAGATGAAGACAAGGACAAATGGGGAGTTGAACCAGCGACCTTTGGATCACAGCACTTCCTACAGTCCTCTGCTCTACCAACTGAGCTATCGAGGTGCTCTCTACTCACAAGTGCAGAAAGCATAGTGGCTGAGACGACACACTTTGCCCACACAACTATTTGATCCACATGGTCAATGAAAAGCCCAGCCCTACCTGCAGAACAAAGCTTCGCAGTTTGTACCCAACAGTCATTACCAGGGACCCAGAACTGATAATCAGGACTTTTAGGCTTGGATTTTGATTGACATGGCTAATCAAAAGCCCAGTCCTACCTTCAGGACAGAGCTTCACAGTTTGTACCCAACAGTCATTGCCAAGGACCCAGAACTGATAGTCAGGACTTTAAGGCTGGGTGAATAAAAAATTGATGGTTGGAAAATTAAGGAGGAGTTCTCTTGTTTGTGTTTTGACATTTTGGAGGTGTTCACAGATGAAGACAAGCGGGGAGTTGAACCAGCGACCTTTGGATCACAGCACTTCATGTGAGGAACTTCCTAAAGTCCTCTGGTCTACCAACTGAGCTATCGAGGTGCTCTCTACTCACAAGTGCAGAAAACATAGTGGCTGAGACGACACACTTTGCCCACACAACTATTTGATCCACATGGTCAATGAAAAGCCCAGCCCTACCTGCAGAACAAAGCTTCGCAGTTTGTACCCAACAGTCATTACCAGGGACCCAGAACTGATAATCAGGACTTTTAGGCTTGGCTTTTGATTGACATGGCCAATCAAAAGCCCAGTCCTACCTTCAGAACAGAGCTTCACAGTTTGTACCCGACAGTCATTGCCAAGGACCCAGAACTGATAGTCAGGACTTTAAGGCTGGGTGAATAAAAAATTGATGGTTGGAAAATTAAGGAGGAGTTGTCTTGTTTGTGTTTTGACATTTTGGAGGTGTTCACAGATGAAGACAAGGACAAATGGGGAGTTGAACCAGCGACCTTTGGATCACAGCACTTCCTACAGTCCTCTGCTCTACCAACTGAGCTATCGAGGTGCTCTCTACTCACAAGTGCAGAAAGCATAGTGGCTGAGACGACACACTTTGCCCACACAACTATTTGATCCACATGGTCAATGAAAAGCCCAGCCCTACCTGCAGAACAAAGCTTCGCAGTTTGTACCCAACAGTCATTACCAGGGACCCAGAACTGATAATCAGGACTTTTAGGCTTGGCTTTTGATTGACATGGCCAATCAAAAGCCCAGTCCTACCTTCAGAACAGAGCTTCACAGTTTGTACCCGACAGTCATTGCCAAGGACCCAGAACTGATAGTCAGGACTTTAAGGCTGGGTGAATAAAAAATTGATGGTTGGAAAATTAAGGAGGAGTTGTCTTGTTTGTGTTTTGACATTTTGGAGTTTTTCACAGATGAAGACAAGGACAAATGGGGAGTTGAACCAGCGACCTTTGGATCACAGCACTTCATGTGAGGAACTTGCTACAGTCCTCTGCTCTACCAACTGAGCTATCGAGGTGCTCTCCACTCACTAGTGCAGAAAACATAGTGGCTGAGACGACACACTTTGCCCACACAACTATTTGATCCACATGGTCAATGAAAAGCCCAGCCCTACCTGCAGAACAAAGCTTCGCAGTTTGTACCCAACAGTCATTGCCAGGGACCCAGAACTGATAATCAGGACTTTTAGGCTTGGATTTTGATTGACATGGCTAATCAAAAGCCCAGTCCTACCTTCAGGACAGAGCTTCACAGTTTGTACCCAACAGTCATTGCCAAGGACCCAGAACTGATAGTCAGGACTTTAAGGCTGGGTGAATAAAAAATTGATGGTTGGAAAATTAAGGAGGAGTTCTCTTGTTTGTGTTTTGACATTTTGGAGGTGTTCACAGATGAAGACAAGCGGGGAGTTGAACCAGCGACCTTTGGATCACAGCACTTCATGTGAGGAACTTCCTAAAGTCCTCTGCTCTACCAACTGAGCTATCGAGGTGCTCTCTACTCACAAGTGCAGAAAACATAGTGGCTGAGACGACACACTTTGCCCACACAACTATTTGATCCACATGGTCAATGAAAAGCCCAGCCCTACCTGCAGAACAAAGCTTCGCAGTTTGTACCCAACAGTCATTACCAGGGACCCAGAACTGATAATCAGGACTTTTAGGCTTGGCTTTTGATTGACATGGCCAATCAAAAGCCCAGTCCTACCTTCAGAACAGAGCTTCACAGTTTGTACCCGACAGTCATTGCCAAGGACCCAGAACTGATAGTCAGGACTTTAAGGCTGGGTGAATAAAAAATTGATGGTTGGAAAATTAAGGAGGAGTTGTCTTGTTTGTGTTTTGACATTTTGGAGGTGTTCACAGATGAAGACAAGGACAAATGGGGAGTTGAACCAGCGACCTTTGGATCACAGCACTTCCTACAGTCCTCTGCTCTACCAACTGAGCTATCGAGGTGCTCTCTACTCACAAGTGCAGAAAGCATAGTGGCTGAGACGACACACTTTGCCCACACAACTATTTGATCCACATGGTCAATGAAAAGCCCAGCCCTACCTGCAGAACAAAGCTTCGCAGTTTGTACCCAACAGTCATTACCAGGGACCCAGAACTGATAATCAGGACTTTTAGGCTTGGATTTTGATTGACATGGCTAATCAAAAGCCCAGTCCTACCTTCAGGACAGAGCTTCACAGTTTGTACCCAACAGTCATTGCCAAGGACCCAGAACTGATAGTCAGGACTTTAAGGCTGGGTGAATAAAAAATTGATGGTTGGAAAATTAAGGAGGAGTTCTCTTGTTTGTGTTTTGACATTTTGGAGGTGTTCACAGATGAAGACAAGCGGGGAGTTGAACCAGCGACCTTTGGATCACAGCACTTCATGTGAGGAACTTCCTACAGTCCTCTGCTCTACCAACTGAGCTATCGAGGTGCTGTCTACTCACAAGTGCAGAAAACATAGTGGCTGAGACGACATACTTTGCCCACACAACTATTTGATCCACATGGTCAATGAAAAGCCCAGCCCTACCTGCAGAACAAAGCTTCGCAGTTTGTACCAAACAGTCATTGCCAGGGACCCAGAACTGATAATCAAGACTTTTAGGCTTGGCTTTTGATTGACATGGCTAATCAAAAGCCCAGTCCTACCTTCAGAACAGAGCTTCACAGTTTGTACCCGACAGTCATTGCCAAGGACCCAGAACTGATAGTCAGGACTTTAAGGCTGGGTGAATAAAAAATTGATGGTTGGAAAATTAAGGAGGAGTTCTCTTGTTTGTGTTTTGACATTTTGGAGGTGTTCACAGATGAAAACAAGGACAAGCTGGGAGTTGAACCAGCGACCTTTGGATCACAGCACTTCATGTGAGGAACTTCCTACAGTCCTGTGCTCTACCAAATGAGCTATCGAGGTGCTCTCCACTCACTAGTGCAGAAAACATAGTGGCTGAGACGACACACTTTGCCCACACAACTATTTGATCCACATGGTCAATGAAAAGCCCAGCCCTACCTGCAGAACAAAGCTTCGCAGTTTGTACCCAACAGTCATTGCCAGGGACCCAGAACTGATAATCAGGACTTTTAGGCTTGGATTTTGATTGACATGGCTAATCAAAAGCCCAGTCCTACCTTCAGGACAGAGCTTCACAGTTTGTACCCAACAGTCATTGCCAAGGACCCAGAACTGATAGTCAGGACTTTAAATTGGGTGAATAAAAAATTGATGGTTGGAAAATTAAGGAGGAGTTCTCTTGTTTGTGTTTTGACATTTTGGAGGTGTTCACAGATGAAGACAAGCGGGGAGTTGAACCAGCGACCTTTGGATCACAGCACTTCATGTGAGGAACTTCCTAAAGTCCTCTGCTCTACCAACTGAGCTATCGAGGTGCTCTCTACTCACAAGTGCAGAAAACATAGTGGCTGAGACGACACACTTTGCCCACACAACTATTTGATCCACATGGTCAATGAAAAGCCCAGCCCTACCTGCAGAACATAGCTTCGCAGTTTGTACCCAACAGTCATTACCAGGGACCCAGAACTGATAATCAGGACTTTTAGGCTTGGCTTTTGATTGACATGGCCAATCAAAAGCCCAGTCCTACCTTCAGAACAGAGCTTCACAGTTTGTACCCGACAGTCATTGCCAAGGACCCAGAACTGATAGTCAGGACTTTAAGGCTGGGTGAATAAAAAATTGATGGTTGGAAAATTAAGGAGGAGTTGTCTTGTTTGTGTTTTGACATTTTGGAGGTGTTCACAGATGAAGACAAGGACAAATGGGGAGTTGAACCAGCGACCTTTGGATCACAGCACTTCCTACAGTCCTCTGCTCTACCAACTGAGCTATCGAGGTGCTCTCTACTCACAAGTGCAGAAAGCATAGTGGCTGAGACGACACACTTTGCCCACACAACTATTTGATCCACATGGTCAATGAAAAGCAAAGCCCTACCTGCAGAACAAAGCTTCGCAGTTTGTACCCAACAGTCATTGCCAGGGACCCAGAACTGATAATCAGGACTTTTAGGCTTGGATTTTGATTGACATGGCTAATCAAAAGCCCAGTCCTACCTTCAGGACAGAGCTTCACAGTTTGTACCCAACAGTCATTGCCAAGGACCCAGAACTGATAGTCAGGACTTTAAGGCTGGGTGAATAAAAAATTGATGGTTGGAAAATTAAGGAGGAGTTGTCTTGTTTGTGTTTTGACATTTTGGAGGTGTTCACAGATGAAGACAAGGACAAATGGGGAGTTGAACCAGCGACCTTTGGATCACAGCACTTCCTACAGTCCTCTGCTCTACCAACTGAGCTATCGAGGTGCTCTCTACTCACAAGTGCAGAAAGCATAGTGGCTGAGACGACACACTTTGCCCACACAACTATTTGATCCACATGGTCAATGAAAAGCAAAGCCCTACCTGCAGAACAAAGCTTCGCAGTTTGTACCCAACAGTCATTGCCAGGGACCCAGAACTGATAATCAGGACTTTTAGGCTTGGATTTTGATTGACATGGCTAATCAAAAGCCCAGTCCTACCTTCAGGACAGAGCTTCACAGTTTGTACCCAACAGTCATTGCCAAGGACCCAGAACTGATAGTCAGGACTTTAAGGCTGGGTGAATAAAAAAATGATGGTTGGAAAATTAAGGAGGAGTTCTCTTGTTTGTGTTTTGACATTTTGGAGGTGTTCACAGATGAAGACAAGCGGGGAGTTGAACCAGCGACCTTTGGATCACAGCACTTCATGTGAGGAACTTCCTAAAGTCCTCTGCTCTACCAACTGAGCTATCGAGGTGCTGTCTACTCACAAGTGCAGAAAACATAGTGACTGAGACGACATACTTTGCCCACACAACTATTTGATCCACATGGTCAATGAAAAGCCCAGCCCTACCTGCAGAACAAAGCTTCGCAGTTTGTACCCAACAGTCATTACCAGGGACCCAGAACTGATAATCAGGACTTTTAGGCTTGGCTTTTGATTGACATGGCCAATCAAAAGCCCAGTCCTACCTTCAGAACAGAGCTTCACAGTTTGTACCCGACAGTCATTGCCAAGGACCCAGAACTGATAGTCAGGACTTTAAGGCTGGGTGAATAAAAAATTGATGGTTGGAAAATTAAGGAGGAGTTCTCTTGTTTGTGTTTTGACATTTTGGAGGTGTTCACAGATGAAGACAAGCGGGGAGTTGAACCAGCGACCTTTGGATCACAGCACTTAATGTGAGGAACTTCCTACAGTCCTCTGCTCTACCAACTGAGCTATCGAGGTGCTCTCTACTCACAAGTGCAGAAAACATAGTGGCTGAGACGACACACTTTGCCCACACAACTATTTGATCCACATGGTCAATGAAAAGCCCAGCCCTACCTGCAGAACAAAGCTTCGCAGTTTGTACCCAACAGTCATTGCCAGGGACCCAGAACTGATAATCAGGACTTTTAGGCTTGGCTTTTGATTGACATGGCTAATCAAAAGCCCAGTCCTACCTTCAGAACAGAGCTTCACAGTTTGTACCCGACAGTCATTGCCAAGGACCCAGAACTGATAGTCAGGACTTTAAGGCTGGGTGAATAAAAAATTGATGGTTGGAAAATTAAGGAGGAGTTCTCTTGTTTGTGTTTTGACATTTTGGAGGTGTTCACAGATGAAGAGAAGGACAAATGGGGAGTTGAACCAGCGACCTTTGGATCACAGCACTTCCTACAGTCCTCTGCTCTACCAACTGAGCTATCGAGGTGCTCTCTACTCACAAGTGCAGAAAACATAGTGGCTGAGACGACACACTTTGCCCACACAACTATTTGATCCACATGGTCAATGAAAAGCCCAGCCCTACCTGCAGAACAAAGCTTCGCAGTTTGTACCCAACAGTCATTGCCAGAGACCCAGAACTGATAATCAGGACTTTTAGACTTGGATTTTGATTGACATGGCTAATCAAAAGCCCAGTCCTACCTTCAGGACAGAGCTTCACAGTTTGTACCCAACAGTCATTGCCAAGGACCCAGAACTGATAGTCAGGACTTTAAGGCTGGGTGAATAAAAAATTGATGGTTGGAAAATTAAGGAGGAGTTCTCTTGTTTGTGTTTTGACATTTTGGAGGTGTTCACAGATGAAGACAAGGACAAATGGGGAGTTGAACCAGCGACCTTTGGATCACAGCACTTCCTACAGTGCTCTGCTCTACCAACTGAGCTATCGAGGTGCTCTCTACTCACAAGTGCAGAAAACATAGTGGCTGAGACGACACACTTTGCCCACACAACTATTTGATCCACATGGTCAATGAAAAGCCCAGCCCTACCTGCAGAACAAAGCTTCGCAGTTTGTACCCAACAGTCATTACCAGGGACCCAGAACTGATAATCAGGACTTTTAGGCTTGGCTTTTGATTGACATGGCCAATCAAAAGCCCAGTCCTACCTTCAGAACAGAGCTTCACAGTTTGTACCCGACAGTCATTGCCAAGGACCCAGAACTGATAGTCAGGACTTTAAGGCTGGGTGAATAAAAAATTGTTGTTTGGAAAATTAAGGAGGAGTTCTCTTGTTTGTGTTTTGACATTTTGGAGGTGTTCACAGATGAAGACAAGGAGAAATGGGGAGTTTAACCAGCGACCTTTGGATCACAGCACTTCATGTGAGGAACTTCCTACAGTCCTCTGCTCTACCAACTGAGCTATCGAGGTGCTCTCTACTGACAAGTGCAGAAAACATAGTGGCTGAGACGACACACTTTGCCCACACAACTATTTGATCCACATGGTCAATGAAAAGCCAAGCCCTACCTGCAGAACAAAGCTTCGCAGTTTGTACCCAACAGTCATTGCCAGGGACCCAGAACTGATAATCAGGACTTTTAGGCTTGGATTTTGATTGACATGGCTAATCAAAAGCCCAGTCCTACCTTCAGGACAGAGCTTCACAGTTTGTACCCAACAGTCATTGCCAAGGACCCAGAACTGATAGTAAGGACTTAAAGGCTGGGTGAATAAAAAATTGATGGTTGGAAAATTAAGGAGGAGTTCTCTTGTTTGTGTTTTGACATTTTGGAGGTGTTCACAGATGAAGACAAGCGGGGAGTTGAACCAGCGACCTTTGGATCACAGCACTTCATGTGAGGAACTTCCTAAAGTCCTCTGCTCTACCAACTGAGCTATCGAGGTGCTCTCTACTCACAAGTGCAGAAAACATAGTGGCTGAGACGACATACTTTGCCCACACAACTATTTGATCCACATGGTCAATGAAAAGCCCAGCCCTACCTGCAGAACAAAGCTTCGCAGTTTGTACCCAACAGTCATTGCCAGGGACCCAGAACTGATAATCAGGACTTTTAGGCTTGGCTTTTGATTGACATGGCTAATCAAAAGCCCAGTCCTACCTTCAGAACAGAGCTTCACAGTTTGTACCCGACAGTCATTGCCAAGGACCCAGAACTGATAGTCAGGACTTTACAGGCTGGGTGAATAAAAAATTGATGGTTTGGAAAATTAAGGAGGAGTTCTCTTGTTTGTGTTTTGACATTTTGGAGGTGTTCACAGATGAAGACAAGGACAAATGGGGAGTTGAACTAGCGACCTTTGGATCACAGCACTTCATGTGAGGAACTTCCTACAGTCCTCTGCTCTACCAACTGAGCTATCGAGGTGCTCTCTACTCACAAGTGCAGAAAACATAGTGGCTGAGACGACACACTTTGCCCACACAACTATTTGATCCACATGGTCAATGAAAAGCAAAGCCCTACCTGCAGAACAAAGCTTCGCAGTTTGTACCCAACAGTCATTGCCAGGGACCCAGAACTGATAATCAGGACTTTTAAGCTTGGCTTTTGATTGACATGGCTAATCAAAAGCCCAGTCCTACCTTCAGGACAGAGCTTCACAGTTTGTACCCGACAGTCATTGCCAAGGACCCAGAACTGATAGTCAGGACTTTAAGGCTGGGTGAATAAAAAATTGATGGTTGGAAAATTAAGGAGGAGTTGTCTTGTTTGTGTTTTGACATTTTGGAGGTGTTCACAGATGAAGACAAGGACAAATGGGGAGTTGAACCAGCGACCTTTGATCACAACTTCCTACAGTCCTCTGCTCTACCAACTGAGCTATCGAGGTGCTCTCTACTCACAAGTGCAGAAAGCATAGTGGCTGAGACGACACACTTTGCCCACACAACTATTTGATCCACATGGTCAATGAAAAGCAAAGCCCTACCTGCAGAACAAAGCTTCGCAGTTTGTACCCAACAGTCATTGCCAGGGACCCAGAACTGATAATCAGGACTTTTAGGCTTGGATTTTGATTGACATGGCTAATCAAAAGCCCAGTCCTACCTTCAGAACAGAGCTTCACAGTTTGTACCCAACAGTCATTGCCAAGGACCCAGAACTGATAGTCAGGACTTTAATTGGGTGAATAAAAAATTGATGGTTGGAAAATTAAGGAGGAGTTCTCTTGTTTGTGTTTTGACATTTTGGAGGTGTTCACAGATGAAGACAAGCGGGGAGTTGAACCAGCGACCTTTGGATCACAGCACTTCATGTGAGGAACTTCCTACAGTCCTCTGCTCTACCAACTGAGCTATCGAGGTGCTGTCTACTCACAAGTGCAGAAAACATAGTGGCTGAGACGACATACTTTGCCCACACAACTATTTGATCCACATGGTCAATGAAAAGCCCAGCCCTACCTGCAGAACAAAGCTTCGCAGTTTGTACCCAACAGTCATTACCAGGGACCCAGAACTGATAATCAGGACTTTTAGGCTTGGCTTTTGATTGACATGGCTAATCAAAAGCCCAGTCCTACCTTCAGAACAGAGCTTCACAGTTTGTACCCGACAGTCATTGCCAAGGACCCAGAACTGATAGTCAGGACTTTAAGGCATTGGGTGAATAAAAAATTGATGGTTGGAAAATTAAGGAGGAGTTCTCTTGTTTGTGTTTTGACATTTTGGAGGTGTTCACAGATGAAGACAAGCGGGGAGTTGAACCAAGCGACCTTTGGATCACAGCACTTCATGTGAGGAACTTCCTACAGTCCTCTGCTCTACCAACTGAGCTATCGAGGTGCTCTCTACTCACAAGTGCAGAAAACATAGTGGCTGAGACGACACACTTTGCCCACACAACTATTTGATCCACATGGTCAATGAAAAGCCCAGCCCTACCTGACGAACAAAGCTTCGCAGTTTGTACCCAACAGTCATTGCCAGGGACCCAGAACTGATAATCAGGACTTTTAGGCTTGGCTTTTGATTGACATGGCCAATCAAAAGCCCAGTCCTACCTTCAGAACAGAGCTTCACAGTTTGTACCCGACAGTCATTGCCAAGGACCCAGAACTGATAGTCAGGACTTTAAGGCTGGGTGAATAAAAAATTGATGGTTGGAAAATTAAGGAGGAGTTCTCTTGTTTGTGTTTTGACATTTTGGAGGTGTTCACAGATGAAAACAAGGACAATATGGGGAGTTGAACCAGCGACCTTTGGATCACAGCACTTCCTACAGTCCTCTGCTCTACCAACTGAGCTATCGAGGTGCTCTCTACTCACAAGTGCAGAAAACATAGTGGCTGAGACGACACACTTTGCCCACACAACTATTTGATCCACATGGTCAATGAAAAGCCCAGCCCTACCTGCAGAACAAAGCTTCGCAGTTTGTACCCAACAGTCATTGCCAGGGACCCAGAACTGATAATCAGGACTTTTAGGCTTGGATTTTGATTGACATGGCTAATCAAAAGCCCAGTCCTACCTTCAGGACAGAGCTTCACAGTTTGTACCCAACAGTCATTGCCAAGGACCCAGAACTGATAGTCAGGACTTTAAGGCTGGGTGAATAAAAAATTGATGGTTGGAAAATTAAGGAGGAGTTCTCTTGTTTGTGTTTTGACATTTTGGAGGTGTTCACAGATGAAGACAAGGACAAATGGGGAGTTGAACCAGCGACCTTTGGATCACAGCACTTCCTACAGTCCTCTGCTCTACCAACTGAGCTATCGAGGTGCTCTCTACTCACAAGTGCAGAAAACATAGTGGCTGAGACGACACACTTTGCCCACACAACTATTTGATCCACATGGTCAATGAAAAGCCCAGCCCTACCTGCAGAACAAAGCTTCGCAGTTTGTACCCAACAGTCATTGCCAGGGACCCAGAACTGATAATCAGGACTTTTAGGCTTGGCTTTTTATTGACATGGCTAATCAAAAGCCCAGTCCTACCTTCAGAACAGAGCTTCACAGTTTGTACCCGACAGTCATTGCCAAGGACCCAGAACTGATAGTCAGGACTTTAAATTGGGTGAATAAAAAATTGATGGTTGGAAAATTATGGAGGGATTCTCTTGTTTGTGTTTTGACATTTTGGAGGTGTTCACAGATGAAGACAAAGCGGGGAGTTGAACCAGCGACCTTTGGATCACAGCACTTCATGTGAGGAACTTCCTACAGTCCTCTGCTCTACCAACTGAGCTATCGAGGTGCTCTCTACTCACAAGTGCAGAAAACATAGTGGCTGAGACGACACACTTTGCCCACACAACTATTTGATCCACATGGTCAATGAAAAGCCCAGCCCTACCTGCAGAACAAAGCTTCGCAGTTTGTACCCAACAGTCATTGCCAGGGACCCAGAACTGATAATCAGGACTTTTAGGCTTGGATTTTGATTGACATGGCTAATCAAAAGCCCAGTCCTACCTTCAGAACAGAGCTTCACAGTTTGTACCCAACAGTCGTTACCAAGGACCCAGAACTGATAGTCAGGACTTTACATTGGGTGAATAAAAAATTGATGGTTGGAAAATTAAGGAGGAGTTCTCTTGTTTGTGTTTTGACATTTTGGAGGTGTTCACAGATGAAGACAAGCGGGGAGTTGAACCAGCGACCTTTGGATGACAGCACTTCATGTGAGGAACTTCCTACAGTCCTCTGCTCTACCAACTGAGCTATCGAGGTGCTGTCTACTCACAAGTGCAGAAAACATAGTGGCTGAGACGACACACTTTGCCCACACAACTATTTGATCCACATGGTCAATGAAAAGCCCAGCCCTACCTGCAGAACAAAGCTTCGCAGTTTGTACCCAACAGTCATTGCCAGGGACCCAGAACTGATAATCAGGACTTTTAGGCTTGGCTTTTTATTGACATGGCTAATCAAAAGCCCAGTCCTACCTTCAGAACAGAGCTTCACAGTTTGTACCCGACAGTCATTGCCAAGGACCCAGAACTGATAGTCAGGACTTTAATTGGGTGAATAAAAAATTGATGGTTGGAAAATTAAGGAGGAGTTCTCTTGTTTGTGTTTTGACATTTTGGAGGTGTTCACAGATGAAGACAAGGACAAAGGGAGTTGAACAAGCGACCTTTGGATCACAGCACTTCATGTGAGGAACTTCCTACAGTCCTCTGCTCTACCAACTGAGCTATCGAGGTGCTCTCTACTCACAAGTGCAGAAAACATAGTGGCTGAGACGACACACTTTGCCCACACAACTATTTGATCCACATGGTCAATGAAAAGCCAAGCCCTACCTGCAGAACAAAGCTTCGCAGTTTGTACCCAACAGTCATTGCCAGGGACCCAGAACTGATAATCAGGACTTTTAAGCTTGGCTTTTGATTGACATGGCTAATCAAAAGCCCAGTCCTACCTTCAGGACAGAGCTTCACAGTTTGTACCCGACAGTCATTGCCAAGGACCCAGAACTGATAGTCAGGACTTTAAGGCTGGGTGAATAAAAAATTGATGGTTGGAAAATTAAAGGAGGAGTTCTCTTGTTTGTGTTTTGACATTTTGGAGGTGTTCACAGATGAAGGACAAGCGGGGAGTTGAACCAGCGACCTTTGGATCACAGCACTTCATGTGAGGAACTTCCTACAGTCCTCTGCTCTACCAACTGAGCTATCGAGGTGCTCTCTACTAACAAGTGCAGAAAACATAGTGGCTGAGACGACACACTTTGCCCACACAACGATTTGATCCACATGGTCAATGAAAAGCCCAGTCCTACCTGCAGAACAAAGCTTCGCAGTTTGTACCCAACAGTCATTGCCAGGGACCCAGAACTGATAATCAGGACTTTTAGGCTTGGCTTTTGATTGACATGGCTAATCAAAAGCCCAGTCCTACCTTCAGAACAGAGCTTCACAGTTTGTACCCGACAGTCATTGCCAAGGACCCAGAACTGATAGTCAGGACTTTAAGGCTGGGTGAATAAAAAATTGATGGTTGGAAAATTAAGGAGGAGTTCTCTTGTTTGTGTTTTGACATTTTGGAGGTGTTCACAGATGAAGACAAGGACAAATGGGGAGTTGAACCAGCGACCTTTGGATCACAGCACTTCATGTGAGAAACTTCCTACAGTCCTCTGCTCTACCAACTGAGCTATCGAGGTGCTCTCTACTCACAAGTGCAGAAAACATAGTGGCTGAGACGACACACTTTGCCCACACAACTATTTGATCCACATGGTCAATGAAAAGCCAAGCCCTACCTGCAGAACAAAGCTTCGCAGTTTGTACCCAACAGTCATTGCCAGGGACCCAGAACTGATAATCAGGACTTTTAGGCTTGGATTTTGATTGACATGGCTAATCAAAAGCCCAGTCCTACCTTCAGAAAAGAGCTTCACAGTTTGTACCCAACAGTCATTGCCAAGGACCCAGAACTGATAGTCAGGACTTTACATTGGGTGAATAAAAAATTGATGGTTGGAAAATTAAGGAGGAGTTCTCTTGTTTGTGTTTTGACATTTTGGAGGTGTTCACAGATGAAGACAAGCGGGGAGTTGAACCAGCGACCTTTGGATGACAGCACTTCATGTGAGGAACTTCCTACAGTCCTCTGCTCTACCAACTGAGCTATCGAGGTGCTGTCTACTCACAAGTGCAGAAAACATAGTGGCTGAGACGACATACTTTGCCCACACAACTATTTGATCCACATGGTCAATGAAAAGCCCAGCCCTACCTGCAGAACAAAGCTTCGCAGTTTGTACCCAACAGTCATTGCCAGGGACCCAGAACTGATAATCAGGACTTTTAGGCTTGGCTTTTGATTGACATGGCTAATCAAAAGCCCAGTCCTACCTTCAGAACAGAGCTTCACAGTTTGTACCCGACAGTCATTGCCAAGGACCCAGAACTGATAGTCAGGACTTTACATTGGGTGAATAAAAAATTGATGGTTGGAAAATTAAGGAGGAGTTCTCTTGTTTGTGTTTTTACAATTTGGAGGTGTTCACAGATGAAGACAAGGAAAAGCTGGGAGTTGAACCAGCGACCTTTGGATCACAGCACTTCATGTGAGGAACTTCCTACAGTCCTCTGCTCTACCAACTGAGCTATCGAGGTGCTCTCTACTCACAAGTGCAGAAAACATAGTGGCTGAGACGACACACTTTGCCCACACAACTATTTGATCCACATGGTCAATGAAAAGCCCAGCCCTACCTGCAGAACAAAGCTTCGCAGTTTGTACCCAACAGTCATTGCCAGGGACCCAGAACTGATAATCAGGACTTTTAGGCTTGGCTTTTGATTGACATGGCTAATCAAAAGCCCAGTCCTACCTTCAGAACAGAGCTTCCACAGTTTGTACCCAACAGTCATTGCCAAGGACCCAGAACTGATAGTCAGGACTTTAAGGCTGGGTGAATAAAAAATTGATGGTTGGAAAATTAAGGAGGAGTTCTCTTGTTTGTGTTTTGACATTTTGGAGGTGTTCACAGATGAAGACAAGCTGGGAGTTGAACCAGCGACCTTTGGATCACAGCACTTCATGTGAGGAACTTCCTAAAGTCCTCTGCTCTACCAACTGAGCTATCGAGGTGCTCTCTACTCACAAGTGCAGAAAACATAGTGGCTGAGACGACAAACTTTGCCCACACAACTATTTGATCCACATGGTCAATGAAAAGCCCAGCCCTACCTGCAGAACAAAGCTTCGCAGTTTGTACCCAACAGTCATTACCAGGGACCCAGAACTGATAATCAGGACTTTTAGGCTTGGCTTTTGATTGACATGGCCAATCAAAAGCCCAGTCCTACCTTCAGAACAGAGCTTCACAGTTTGTACCCGACAGTCATTGCCAAGGACCCAGAACTGATAGTCAGGACTTTAAGGCTGGGTGAATAAAAAATTGATGGTTGGAAAATTAAGGAGGAGTTGTCTTGTTTGTGTTTTGACATTTTGGAGGTGTTCACAGATGAAGACAAATGGGGAGTTGAACAAGCGACCTTTGGATCACAGCACTTCATGTGAGGAACTTCCTACAGTCCTCTGCTCTACCAACTGAGCTATCGAGGTGCTCTCTACTCACAAGTGCAGAAAACATAGTGGCTGAGACGACACACTTTGCCCACACAACTATTTGATCCACATGGTCAATGAAAAGCCCAAGCCCTACCTGCAGAACAAAGCTTCGCAGTTTGTACCCAACAGTCATTGCCAGGGACCCAGAACTGATAATCAGGACTTTTAGGCTTGGCTTTTTGATTGACATGGCTAATCAAAAGCCCAGTCCTACCTTCAGAACAGAGCTTCACAGTTTGTACCCGACAGTCATTGCCAAGGACCCAGAACTGATAGTCAGGACTTTACAGGCTGGGTGAATAAAAAATTGATGGTTGGAAAATTAAGGAGGAGTTCTCTTGTTTGTGTTTTGACATTTTGGAGGTGTTCACAGATGAAGACATGGACAAGCGGGGAGTTGAACCAGCGACCTTTGGATAACAGCACTTCATGTGAGGAACTTCCTAAAGTCCTCTGCTCTACCAACTGAGCTATCGAGGTGCTGTCTACTCACACGTGCAGAAAACATAGTGGCTGAGACGACACACTTTGCCCACACAACTATTTGATCCACATGGTCAATGAAAAGCCCAGCCCTACCTGCAGAACAAAGCTTCGCAGTTTGTACCCAACAGTCATTACCAGGGACCCAGAACTGATAATCAGGACTTTTAGGCTTGGCTTTTCATTGACATGGCCAATCAAAAGCCCAGTCCTACCTTCAGAACAGAGCTTCACAGTTTGTACCCGACAGTCATTGCCAAGGACCCAGAACTGATAGTCAGGACTTTAAGGCTGGGTGAATAAAAAATTGATGGTTGGAAAATTAAGGAGGAGTTCTCTTGTTTGTGTTTTGACATTTTGGAGGTGTTCACAGATGAAGACAAGGACAAATGGGGAGTTGAACCAGCGACCTTTGGATCACAGCACTTCCTACAGTCCTCTGCTCTACCAACTGAGCTATCGAGGTGCTCTCTACTCACAAGTGCAGAAAACATAGTGGCTGAGACGACACACTTTGCCCACACAACTATTTGATCCACATGGTCAATGAAAAGCCCAGCCCTACCTGCAGAACAAAGCTTCGCAGTTTGTACCCAACAGTCATTACCAGGGACCCAGAACTGATAATCAGGACTTTAAGGCTTGGCTTTTCATTGACATGGCCAATCAAAAGCCCAGTCCTACCTTCAGAACAGAGCTTCACAGTTTGTACCCGACAGTCATTGCCAAGGACCCAGAACTGATAGTCAGGACTTTAAGGCTGGGTGAATAAAAAATTGATGGTTGGAAAATTAAGGAGGAGTTCTCTTGTTTGTGTTTTGACATTTTGGAGGTGTTCACAGATGAAGACAAGGACAAATGGGGAGTTGAACCAGCGACCTTTGGATCAGAGCACTTCATGTGAGGAACTTGCCTACAGTCCTCTGCTCTACCAACTGAGCTATCGAGGTGCTCTCTACTCACAAGTGCAGAAAACATAGTGGCTGAGACGACACACTTTGCCCACACAACTATTTGATCCACATGGTCAATGAAAAGCCAAGCCCTACCTGCAGAACAAAGCTTCGCAGTTTGTACCCAACAGTCATTGCCAGGGACCCAGAACTGATAATCAGGACTTTTAGGCTTGGATTTTGATTGACATGGCTAATCAAAAGCCCAGTCCTACCTTCAGGACAGAGCTTCACAGTTTGTACCCAACAGTCATTGCCAAGGACCCAGAACTGATAGTCAGGACTTTAAGGCTGGGTGAATAAAAAATTGATGGTTGGAAAGTTAAGGAGGAGTTCTCTTGTTTGTGTTTTGACATTTTGGAGGTGTTCACAGATGAAGACAAGCGGGGAGTTGAACCAGCGACCTTTGGATCACAGCAATTCATGTGAGGAACTTCCTAAAGTCCTCTGCTCTACCAACTGAGCTATCGAGGTGCTCTCTACTCACAAGTGCAGAAAACATAGTGGCTGTGACGACACACTTTGCCCACACAACTATTTGATCCACATGGTCAATGAAAAGCCCAGCCCTACCTGCAGAACAAAGCTTCGCAGTTTGTACCCAACAGTCATTACCAGGGACCCAGAACTGATAATCAGGACTTTTAGGCTTGGCTTTTCATTGACATGGCCAATCAAAAGCCCAGTCCTACCTTCAGAACAGAGCTTCACAGTTTGTACCCAACAGTCATTGCCAAGGACCCAGAACTGATAGTCAGGACTTTACGGCTGGGTGAATAAAAAATTGATGGTTGGAAAACTAAGGAGGAGTTCTCTTGTTTGTGTTTTGACATTTTGGAGGTGTTCACAGATGAAGACAAGGACAAAGCGGGGAGTTGAACCACCGACCTTTGGATCACAGCACTTCATGTGAGGAACTTCCTACAGACCTCTGCTCTACCAACTGAGCTATCGAGGTGCTCTCTAGTCACAAGTGCAGAAAACATAGTGGCTGAGACGACACACTTTGCCCACACAACTATTTGATCCACATGGTCAATGAAAAGCCCAGCCCTACCTGCAGAACAAAGCTTCGCAGTTTGTACCCAACAGTCATTGCCAGGGACCCAGAACTGATAATCAGGACTTTTAGGCTGGGCTTTTCATTGACATGGCCAATCAAAAGCCCAGTCCTACCTTCAGAACAGAGCTTCACAGTTTGTACCCAACAGTCATTGCCAAGAACCCAGAACTGATAGTCAGGACTTTAAGGCTGGGTGAATAAAAAATTGATGGTTGGAAAACTAAGGAGGAGTTCTCTTGTTTGTGTTTTGACATTTTGGAGGTGTTCACAGATGAAGACAAGGAGAAATGGGAAGTTGAACCAGCGACCTTTGGATCACAGCACTTCATGTGAGGAACTTGCTACAGTCCTCTGCTCTACCAACTGAGCTATCGAGGTGTTCTCTAATCACAAGTGCAGAAAACATAGTGGCTGAGACGACACACTTTGCCCACACAACTATTTGATCCACATGGTCAATGAAAAGCCCAGCCCTACCTGCAGAACAAAGCTTCGCAGTTTGTACCCAACAGTCATTGCCAGGGACCCAGAACTGATAATCAGGACTTTTAGGCTTGGATTTTGATTGACATGGCTAATCAAAAGCCCAGTCCTACCTTCAGAAAAGAGCTTCACAGTTTGTACCCAACAGTCGTTACCAAGGACCCAGAACTGATAGTCAGGACTTTAAGGCTGGGTGAATAAAAAATTGATGGTTGGAAAATTAAGGAGGAGTTCTCTTGTTTGTGTTTTGACATTTTGGAGGTGTTCACAGATGAAGACAAGCGGGGAGTTGAACAAGCGACCTTTGGATGACAGCACTTCATGTGAGAAACTTCCTACAGTCCTCTGCTCTACCAACTGAGCTATCGAGGTGCTGTCTACTCACAAGTGCAGAAAACATAGTGGCTGAGACGACACACTTTGCCCACACAACTATTTGATCCACATGGTCAATGAAAAGCCAAGCCCTACCTGCAGAACAAAGCTTCGCAGTTTGTACCCAACAGTCATTGCCAGGGACCCAGAACTGATAATCAGGACTTTTAGGCTTGGCTTTTTATTGACATGGCTAATCAAAAGCCCAGTCCTACCTTCAGAACAGAGCTTCACAGTTTGTACCCGACAGTCATTGCCAAGGACCCAGAACTGATAGTCAGGACTTTACATTGGGTGAATAAAAAATTGATGGTTGGAAAATTAAGGAGGAGTTCTCTTGTTTGTGTTTTGACATTTTGGAGGTGTTCACAGATGAAGACAAGCAGGGAGTTGAACCAGCGACCTTTGGATGACAGCACTTCATGTGAGGAACTTCCTACAGTCCTCTGCTCTACCAACTGAGCTATCGAGGTGCTGTCTACTCACAAGTGCAGAAAACATAGTGGCTGAGACGACATACTTTGCCCACACAACTATTTGATCCACATGGTCAATGAAAAGCCCAGCCCTACCTGCAGAACAAAGCTTCGCAGTTTGTACCCAACAGTCATTGCCAGGGACCCAGAACTGATAATCAGGACTTTTAGGCTTGGCTTTTGATTGACATGGCTAATCAAAAGCCCAGTCCTACCTTCAGAACAGAGCTTCACAGTTTGTACCCGACAGTCATTGCCAAGGACCCAGAACTGATAGTCAGGACTTTACATTGGGTGAATAAAAAATTGATGGTTGGAAAATTAAGGAGGAGTTCTCTTGTTTGTGTTTTGACATTTTGGAGGTGTTCACAGATGAAGACAAGCGGGGAGTTGAACCAAGCGACCTTTGGATCACAGCACTTCATGTGAGAAACTTCCTACAGCCCTCTGCTCTACCAACTGAGCTATCGAGGTGCTCTCTACTAACAAGTGCAGAAAACATAGTGGCTGAGACGACACACTTTGCCCACACAACTATTTGATCCACATGGTCAATGAAAAGCCCAGCCCTACCTGACGAACAAAGGTTCGCAGTTTGTACCCAACAGTCATTGCCAGGGACCCAGAACTGATAATCAGGACTTTTAAACTTGGCTTTTTAATGACATGGCTAATCAAAAGCCCAGTCCTACCTTCAGAACAGAGCTCCACAGTTTGTACCCGACAGTCATTGCCAAGGACCCAGAACTGATAGTCAGGACTTTAAGGCTGGGTGAATAAAAAATTGATGGTTGGAAAATTAAGGAGGAGTTCTCTTGTTTGTGTTTTGACATTTTGGAGGTGTTCACAGATGAAAACAAGGACAAGCTGGGAGTTGAACCAGCGACCTTTGGATCACAGCACTTCATGTGAGGAACTTCCTACAGTCCTCTGCTCTACCAACTGAGCTATCGAGGTGCTCTCCACTCACAAGTGCAGAAAACATAGTGGCTGAGACGACACACTTTGCCCACACAACTATTTGATCCACATGGTCAATGAAAAGCCCAGCCCTACCTGCAGAACAAAGCTTCGCAGTTTGTACCCAACAGTCATTGCCAGGGACCCAGAACTGATAATCAGGACTTTTAGGCTTGGATTTTGATTGACATGGCTAATCAAAAGCCCAGTCCTACCTTCAGAAAAGAGCTTCACAGTTTGTACCCAACAGTCATTACCAAGGACCCAGAACTGATAGTCAGGACTTTAAGGCTGGGTGAATAAAAAATTGATGGTTGGAAAATTAAGGAGGAGTTCTCTTGTTTGTGTTTTGACATTTTGGAGGTGTTCACAGATGAAGACAAGCGGGGAGTTGAACAAGCGACCTTTGGATCACAGCACTTCATGTGAGGAACTTCCTAAAGTCCTCTGCTCTACCAACTGAGCTATCGAGGTGCTCTCCACTCACAAGTGCAGAAAACATAGTGGCTGAGACGACACACTTTGCCCACACAACTATTTGATCCACATGGTCAATGAAAAGCCCAGCCCTACCTGCAGAACAAAGCTTCGCAGTTTGTACCCAACAGTCATTACCAGGGACCCAGAACTGATAATCAGGACTTTTAGGCTTTGCTTTTGATTGACATGGCCAATCAAAAGCCCAGTCCTACCTTCAGAACAGAGCTTCACAGTTTGTACCCGACAGTCATTGCCAAGGACCCAGAACTGATAGTCAGGACTTTAAGGCTGGGTGAATAAAAAATTGATGGTTGGAAAATTAAGGAGGAGTTCTCTTGTTTGTGTTTTGACATTTTGGAGGTGTTCACAGATGAAGACATGGACAAGGGGGGAGTTGAACCAGCGACCTTTGGATCACAGCACTTCCTACAGTCCTCTGCTCTACCAACTGAGCTATCGAGGTGCTCTCTACTCACAAGTGCAGAAAACATAGTGGCTGAGACGACACACTTTGCCCACACAACTATTTGATCCACATGGTCAATGAAAAGCCCAGCCCTACCTGCAGAACAAAGCTTCGCAGTTTGTACCCAACAGTCATTACCAGGGACCCAGAACTGATAATCAGGACTTTTAGGCTTGGCTTTTCATTGACATGGCCAATCAAAAGCCCAGTCCTACCTTCAGAACAGAGCTTCACAGTTTGTACCCAACAGTCATTGCCAAGGACCCAGAACTGATAGTCAGGACTTTAAGGCTGGGTGAATAAAAAATTGATGGTTGGAAAATTAAGGAGGAGTTCTTTTGTTTGTGTTTTGACATTTTGGAGGTGTTCACAGATGAAGACAAGCGGGGAGTTGAACCAGCGACCTTTGGATCACAGCACTTCATGTGAGGAACTTCCTACAGTCCTCTGCTCTACCAACTGAGCTATCGAGGTGCTCTCTACTCACAAGTGCAGAAAACATAGTGGCTGAGACGACACACTTTGCCCACACAACTATTTGATCCACATGGTCAATGAAAAGCCCAGCCCTACCTGCAGAACAAAGCTTCGCAGTTTGTACCCAACAGTCATTACCAGGGACCCAGAACTGATAATCAGGACTTTAAGGCTTGGCTTTTCATTGACATGGCCAATCAAAAGCCCAGTCCTACCTTCAGAACAGAGCTTCACAGTTTGTACCCGACAGTCATTGCCAAGGACCCAGAACTGATAGTCAGGACTTTAAGGCTGGGTGAATAAAAAATTGATGGTTGGAAAATTAAGGAGGAGTTCTCTTGTTTGTGTTTTGACATTTTGGAGGTGTTCACAGATGAAGACAAGGACAAGCTGGGAGTTGAACCAGCGACCTTTGGATCACAGCACTTCATGTGAGGAACTTCCTACAGTCCTCTGCTCTACCAACTGAGCTATCGAGATGCTCTCTGCTCACAAGTGCAGAAAACATAGTGGCTGAGACGACACACTTTGCCCACACAACTATTTGATCCACATGGTCAATGAAAAGCCTAGCCCTACCTGCAGAACAAAGCTTCGCAGTTTGTACCCAACAGTCACTGCCAGGGACCCAGAACTGATAATCAGGACTTTTAGGCTTGGATTTTGATTGACATGGCTAATCAAAAGCCCAGTCCTACCTTCAGGACAGAGCTTCACAGTTTGTACCCAACAGTCATTGCCAAGGACCCAGAACTGATAGTCAGGACTTTAGGGCTGGGTGAATAAAAAATTGATGGTTGGAAAATTAAGGAGGAGTTCTCTTGTTTGTGTTTTGACATTTTGGAGGTGTTCACAGATGAAGACAAGCGGGGAGTTGAACCAGCGACCTTTGGATCACAGCACTTCCTACAGTCCTCTGCTCTACCAACTGAGCTATCGAGGTGCTCTCTACTCACAAGTGCAGAAAACATAGTGGCTGAGACGACACACTTTGCCCACACAACTATTTGATCCACATGGTCAATGAAAAGCCCAGCCCTACCTGCAGAACAAAGCTTCGCAGTTTGTACCCAACAGTCATTGCCAGGGACCCAGAACTGATAATCAGGACTTTTAGGCTTGGCTTTTGATTGACATGGCCAATCAAAAGCCCAGTCCTACCTTCAGAACAGAGCTTCACAGTTTGTACCCGACAGTCATTGCCAAGGACCCAGAACTGATAGTCAGGACTTTAAGGCTGGGTGAATAAAAAATTGATGGTTGGAAAATAAAAGGAGTTCTCTTGTTTGTGTTTTGACATTTTGGAGGTGTTCACAGATGAAGACAAGGACAAAGGGGAGTTGAACCAGCGACCTTTGGATCACAGCACTTCATGTGAGAACTTCCTACAGCCCTCTGCTCTACCAACTGAGCTATCGAGGTGCTCTCTACTCACAAGTGCAGAAAACATAGTGACTGAGACGACACACTTTGCCCACACAACTATTTGATCCACATGGTCAATGAAAAGCCCAGCCCTACCTGCAGAACAAAGCTTCGCAGTTTGTACCCAACAGTCATTGCCAGGGACCCAGAACTGATAATCAGGACTTTTAGGCTGGGCTTTTCATTGACATGGCCAAACAAAAGCCCAGTCCTACCTTCAGAACAGAGCTTCACAGTTTGTACCCAACAGTCATTGCCAAGAACCCAGAACTGATAGTCAGGACTTTAAGGCTGGGTGAATAAAAAATTGATGGTTGGAAAACTAAGGAGGAGTTCTCTTGTTTGTGTTTTGACATTTTGGAGGTGTTCACAGATGAAGACAAGGACAAGCGGGGAGTTGAACCAGCGACCTTTGGATCACAGCACTTCATGTGAGGAACTTCCTACAGTCCTCTGCTCTACCAACTGAGCTATCGAGGTGCCCTCTACTCACAAGTGCAGAAAACATAGTGGCTGAGACGACACACTTTGCCCACACAACAATTTGATCCACATGGTCAATGAAAAGCCCAGCCCTACCTGCAGAACAAAGCTTCGCAGTTTGTACCCAACAGTCATTGCCAGGGACCCAGAACTGATAATCAGGACTTTTAGGCTGGGCTTTTCATTGACATGGCCAATCAAAAGCCCAGTCCTACCTTCAGAACAGAGCTTCACAGTTTGTACCCAACAGTCATTGCCAAGAACCCAGAACTGATAGTCAGGACTTTAAGGCTGGGTGAATAAAAAATTGATGGTTGGAAAACTAAGGAGGAGTTCTCTTGTTTGTGTTTTGACATTTTGGAGGTGCTCACAGATGAACACAAGGACAAGCGGGGAGTTGAACCAGCGACCTTTGCATCACAGCACTTCATGGGAGGAACTTCCTACAGTTCTCTGCTCTTACAACTGAGCTATCGAGGTGCTCTCTACTCACAAGTGCAGAAAACATAGTGGCTGAGACGACACACTTTGCCCACACAACTATTTGATCCACATGGTCAATGAGAAGCCCAGCCCTACCTGCAGAACAAAGCTTCGCAGTTTGTACCCAACATTCATTGCCAGGGACCCAGAACTGATAATCAGGACTTTTAGGCTGGGCTTTTCATTGACATGGCCAATCAAAAGCCCAGTCCTACCTTCAGAACAGAGCTTCACAGTTTGTACCCAACAGTCATTGCCAAGGACCCAGAACTGATAGTCAGGACTTTAAGGCTGGGTGAATAAAAAATTGATGGTTGGAAAACTAAAAAGGAGTTCTATTGTTTGTGTTTTGAGATTTTGGAGGTGCTCACAGATGAAGACAAGGACAAGCGGGGAGTTGAACCAGCGACCTTTGCATCACAGCACTTCATGTGAGGAACTTCCTATCGAGGTGCTCTCTACTCAGAAGTGCAGAAAACATAGTGGCTGAGACGACACACTTTGCCCACACAACTATTTGATCCACATGGTCAATGAAAAGCCCAGCCCTACCTGCAGAACAAAGCTTCGCAGTTTGTACCCAACAGTCATTGCCAGGGACCCAGAACTGATAATCAGGACTTTTAGGCTGGGCTTTTCATTGACATGGCCAATCAAAAGCCCAGTCCTACCTTCAGAACAGAGCTTCACAGTTTGTACCCAACAGTCATTGCCAAGGACCCAGAACTGATAGTCAGGACTTTAAGGCTGGGTGAATAAAAAATTGATGGTTGGAAAACTAAGGAGGAGTTCTCTTGTTTGTGTTTTGACATTTCAGAGGTGTTAACAGATGAAGACAAGGACAAGCGAGAAGTTGAACCAGCGACCTTTGCATCACAGCACTTCATGTGAGGAACTTCCTACAGTCCTCTGCTCTACCAACTGAGCTATCGAGGTGCTCTCTACTCACAAGTGCAGAAAACATAGTGGCTGAGACGACACACTTTGCCCACACAACTATTTGATCCACATGGTCAATGAAAAGCCCAGCCCTACCTGCAGAACAAAGCTTCGCAGTTTGTACCCAACAGTCATTGCCAGGGACCCAGAACTGATAATCAGGACTTTTAGGCTGGGCTTTTCATTGACATGGCCAATCAAAAGCCCAGTCCTACCTTCAGAACAGAGCTTCACAGTTTGTACCCAACAGTCATTGCCAAGGACCCAGAACTGATAGTCAGGACTTTAAGGCTGGGTGAATAAAAAATTGATGGTTGGAAAACTAAGGAGGAGTTCTCTTGTTTGTGTTTTGACATTTTGGAGGTGTTCACAGATGAAGACAAGGACAAGCGGGGAGTTGAACCAGCGACCTTTGCATCACAGCACTTCATGTGAGGAACTTCCTACAGTCCTCTGCTCTACCAACTGAGCTATCGAGGTGCTCTCTACTCACAAGTGCAGAAAACATAGTGGCTGAGACGACACACTTTGCCCACACAACTATTTGATCCACATGGTCAATGAAAAGCCCAGCCCTACCTGCAGAACAAAGCTTCGCAGTTTGTACCCAACAGTCATTGCCAGGGACCCAGAACTGATAATCAGGACTTTTAGGCTGGGCTTTTCATTGACATGGCCAATCAAAAGCCCAGTCCTACCTTCAGAACAGAGCTTCACAGTTTGTACCCAACAGTCATTGCCAAGGACCCAGAACTGATAGTCAGGACTTTAAGGCTGGGTGAATAAAAAATTGATGGTTGGAAAACTAAGGAGGAGTTCTCTTGTTTGTGTTTTGACATTTTGGAGGTGTTCACAGATGAAGACAAGGACAAGCGGGGAGTTGAACCAGCGACCTTTGCATGACAGACCTTCATGTGAGGAACTTGCTACCGTCCTCTGCTCTACCAACTGAGCTATTGAGGTGCTCTCTACTCACAAGTGCAGAAAACATAGTGGCTGAGACGACACACTCTGCCCACACAACTATTTGATCCACATGGTCAATGAAAAGCCCAGCCCTACCTGCAGAACAAAGCTTCACAGTTTGTACCCAACAGTCATTGCCAAGAACCCAGAACTGATAGTCAGGACTTTAAGGCTGGGTGAATAAAAAATTGATGGTTGGAAAACTAAGGAGGAGTTCTCTTGTTTGTGTTTTGACATTTTGGAGGTGCTCACAGATGAACACAAGGACAAGCGGGGAGTTGAACCAGCGACCTTTGCATCACAGCACTTCATGGGAGGAACTTCCTACAGTTCTCTGCTCTTACAACTGAGCTATCGAGGTGCTCTCTACTCACAAGTGCAGAAAACATAGTGGCTGAGACGACACACTTTGCCCACACAACTATTTGATCCACATGGTCAATGAGAAGCCCAGCCCTACCTGCAGAACAAAGCTTCGCAGTTTGTACCCAACATTCATTGCCAGGGACCCAGAACTGATAATCAGGACTTTTAGGCTGGGCTTTTCATTGACATGGCCAATCAAAAGCCCAGTCCTACCTTCAGAACAGAGCTTCACAGTTTGTACCCAACAGTCATTGCCAAGGACCCAGAACTGATAGTCAGGACTTTAAGGCTGGGTGAATAAAAAATTGATGGTTGGAAAACTAAAAAGGAGTTCTATTGTTTGTGTTTTGAGATTTTGGAGGTGCTCACAGATGAAGACAAGGACAAGCGGGGAGTTGAACCAGCGACCTTTGCATCACAGCACTTCATGTGAGGAACTTCCTATCGAGGTGCTCTCTACTCAGAAGTGCAGAAAACATAGTGGCTGAGACGACACACTTTGCCCACACAACTATTTGATCCACATGGTCAATGAAAAGCCCAGCCCTACCTGCAGAACAGAGCTTCGCAGTTTGTACCCAACAGTCATTGCCAGGGACCCAGAACTGATAATCAGGACTTTTAGGCTGGGCTTTTCATTGACATGGCCAATCAAAAGCCCAGTCCTACCTTCAGAACAGAGCTTCACAGTTTGTACCCAACAGTCATTGCCAAGGACCCAGAACTGATAGTCAGGACTTTAAGGCTGGGTGAATAAAAAATTGATGGTTGGAAAACTAAGGAGGAGTTCTCTTGTTTGTGTTTTGACATTTCAGAGGTGTTAACAGATGAAGACAAGGACAAGCGAGAAGTTGAACCAGCGACCTTTGCATCACAGCACTTCATGTGAGGAACTTCCTACAGTCCTCTGCTCTACCAACTGAGCTATCGAGGTGCTCTCTACTCACAAGTGCAGAAAACATATTGGCTGAGACGACACACTTTGCCCACACAACTATTTGATCCACATGGTCAATGAAAAGCCCAGCCCTACCTGCAGAACAAAGCTTCGCAGTTTGTACCCAACAGTCATTGCCAGGGACCCAGAACTGATAATCAGGACTTTTAGGCTGGGCTTTTCATTGACATGGCCAATCAAAAGCCCAGTCCTACCTTCAGAACAGAGCTTCACAGTTTGTACCCAACAGTCATTGCCAAGGACCCAGAACTGATAGTCAGGACTTTAAGGCTGGGTGAATAAAAAATTGATGGTTGGAAAACTAAGGAGGAGTTCTCTTGTTTGTGTTTTGACATTTCGGAGGTGTTCACAGATGAAGACAAGGACAAGCGGGGAGTTGAACCAGCGACCTTTGCATCACAGCACTTCATGTGAGGAACTTCCTACAGTCCTCTGCTCTACCAACTGAGCTATCGAGGTGCTCTCTACTCACAAGTGCAGAAAACATAGTGGCTGAGACGACACACTCTGCCCACACAACTATTTGATCCACATGGTCAATGAAAAGCCCAGCCCTACCTGCAGAACAAAGCTTCGCAGTTTGTACCCAACAGTCATTGCCAGGGACCCAGAACTGATAATCAGGACTTTTAGGCTGGGCTTTTCATTGACATGGCCAATCAAAAGCCCAGTCCTACCTTCAGAACAGAGCTTCACAGTTTGTACCCAACAGTCATTGCCAAGGACCCAGAACTGATAGTCAGGACTTTAAGGCTGGGTGAATAAAAAATTGATGGTTGGAAAACTAAGGAGGAGTTCTCTTGTTTGTGTTTTGACATTTTGGAGGTTTTCACAGATGAAGACAAGGACAAGCGGGGAGTTGAACCAGCGACCTTTGCATGACAGACCTTCATGTGAGGAACTTGCTACCGTCCTCTGCTCTACCAACTGAGCTATTGAGGTGCTCTCTACTCACAATTGCAGAAAACATAGTGGCTGAGACGACACACTTTGCCCACACAACAATTTGATCCACATGGCCAATCAAAAGCCCAGTCCTACCTTCAGAACAGAGCTTCACAGTTTGTACCCAACAGTCATTGCCAAGGACCCAGAACTGATAATCAGGACTTTTAGGCTGGGTGAATAAAAAATTGATGGTTGGATAATTGAACGTTTCAATCCCAAACTTTTCTTTTCCACTAAATTCAACACCTGGCTCTGTACTTTCATCAGCCATACATTTGCCCTTCTTTGTGCGCTGGAGGTCATGTCTTTAGTCTTGGGAGCCTGAGTCGGTAACAGTTAAAGCTGACAGGGTTATTTTTTAAGAGAGTCTGTTTGAGATGCAAGTCACTGGTAAGTGTATTAGCCACAATAAATGCTGGTCATTGCACCCCCTTTAATAAGACACTGCCAGGAGAGACAGCAGTTAATTTGGCTAACGGTTCACTCTGGACAGGGTCAGAACTAATATAAGCATTTCTCTTGATTTAAATGTACACTTTGGGGTGATTTTATTTTTACATCGAAAAAAAAGACATTTGTTTTTACACTACTTGAAGACACAACACGCACACATGCTCTGCCACCTACAACCTGATTGGCTTTTGGATTAATATCTATATATTACAGTGCTCAGATTACAGAGCACATACCAATAGACTTGTCATGTTTTCAGGTTTACTGAAAACAACACACTTAATGGAGCTAAGAACACTTCTGGTGGTGTTCAGAGTGATAGACAAAGTTTTACCAAAACAGCTGCAAGGGTTATTTGAAATTAGTTCAGAGAGTGAAAACCACAGGAGACCATATGATTTTAAACACCAGTTTGCTCGGACGACGCTAAAGCAGATGTGTATTTCTGTAGCAGGTATTAAGTTATGAAATTCGCAAAGTAATGAGTTGAAGAGTTGTACAACAATGTTTCAGTTTAAGAAAAAGTTTAAAGGAGGGAAAATCAAAAATTATGAACTGGATGAAGTGGATGACTGATGATGTGTCAGTTTGTTTTTTTGTTATTGATTTTTTTTTTTTTCTTTTGTTTGTTTGATTGTGGTATTTTTTGGACCTTAATTATATAATATTTTGATCAATTGCTGGCTGGTTACCATAGATAAAGGTGTTGTAGTGAAGGGGCAGTCGTATATAAGACTTGTCTTCTGTCTGCTCCTTTTCATTTCACATGATTACACATGAAAAAAAAAGGATGAGTGCAATGTATCGTATTATGTATAATGAATGAAATTAAATAAATGAATAAATAAAATAAAAAAATAAAAAATATATATCCTGTACACATGTATATATAGTAAATAAGACTCATGTACATATCTTGTTTTAACTCTATGCTTCTTTATCCTTTATTTCCCCTTTTTGTATCTGTATTTATGCTGCTGTAATTCTATATTTTGAATTTTGATGTTTTAATCTAAATTTTGCATGTGAAGCAATGCCGCAGCCCAAAAAGCTTATCAGCGCACTGCCTGCGTATAAGTAAATATTTGTGCAGCATCTGCAAATTGTCCAAAAACAAATGGACTTTGTGGTGGCACAGTGCTAAGCCACGGAACGTGTCAGCAACAAAACAACAACAGACCTCCTTCTTTATCACTCATCCCCACATTGAAGTGACTGACCTGCGTTTGATTCAATAAAACATACAGGACGTGTCAGCACAGCCGTGTGACACATGTAAATGTGTTCGATCAAGACGCCAATTTAGAGCTTCCAGCTGAGAGGAGTCTTTGCTGTGAAGCACTAAAATGTCACAAAGCTGCATTTATTCATGTGACCACCACACACACACACACACACACACACACACACACACACACACACATGCAAACACACACACACATACATTCCTGTCCAACACCATGAGGACAAAAGATGCTGAACTCCCCCGAGGAGAGTGACCTGGAGGACAGGCTCACGCACACCAGCTGGACTTTACTCCAAGACTTCACACACACACACACAGAGAGAGAGAGAGAGAGAGAGAGAGAGAGAGAGAGAGACTCCTCATTGTCATCAGAAAAAAGGAAGTGTCCAAGACTATGACATGTAATTTCTGATATAACATTTATGTTAAAATGGGTTGTTTTAAACATCAATTAATCCAGAAATCTCCACTCCAATCTCTACTTTATAGCTGCATTGATCCCTCAGTGTAATCCTACAGGATAATACAAGGCAGGCTGCAGCCTTAAACTGATGATAGCCATAAATCTGTATTAAACCTGTGAGTGACATGTTATCAGAAAAAAATGCATCTGTGTTAATGTCATATCACTGTCTATGGAGGGTTTAAGTTTGCAGCATTTTTAGGCAGATAAGTTAAAATTATTGTAAAATGTGTCTTAATGACGCACAAACTACAAAAGCACCAGAAACATATGGTCTCAAATTCTCAGATATTACACACAAATAATGAGAAAATCTATAAACTTATAATTTTGAAAAATAGAAAAAGGGGAGCTATTAGCTGCACTCCCAAGAGGAAGGTCTGCAAATTACACCAGATGACCTCTAAATAGATGCAGTATTAAAGTCTGTGTGTTGCTGTCACCTAGAGGACAAACAGAGAATTGCATTTAAAACTGTGTCAGCCTGTTCCTGAATATTTGAGCATATATTGAGATAAAGAGAATAATGGATGATGATGAAGTAATCTGTTAAAATAAAGAATTTATATGTCCTTCTTTAGTAAAAGTTGTATAAAAGAATAAAATACAAATAAAAGCCCTTATTATCAAACAATTGAAGCATAAAATAGCTTGTTAATTCATAAATGTGCATGTTTTTTTTTCTTCACACGGTAGTATTCATACTTGTAAAACTGTTACACACAGATATTTGTCCATTACCTTGGCTCACACAACAGTCATATAACATTAACTGGCTCACACTAACTCTTTAACAGAGGCTTTAAGAAATAATGCAAAATTGGTACCTTTCATTATGTCAGCCTGCATGGGGACACCATTAGCTGCATAATTCACAGCTCCTAATGTTCCATATTTATCTTTTGATGGGGCCTGTGAACATCCTTTTTCGGGTATTTTTCAGCCTCTGTGTCAAATGTTTCATTTTAGTAGACTTTCCACTAATATAAGCCTGACAAAACTCGGAGGTGTTACTTTTCACATAAATTTATAGCCTCAAAAAAATTGTTTTTTTATTTAGTCATTTTTGCCTGAAGAGTTAAAACACTTAAAGCACACACGAAAAGTTGCCAGATTGATTTTTATTGCTTTATTATGATTTTACTTTTTTGAAAAGTAAAGCAGTAGACCATGCTGAGTTTTGGCAGTAACAATAAAACCTAAACAGACAACATTATAGGCAGTACTTACAAACCATTGAACTCTTCCTTTAAAGTACATTGTGATTTTTCTTTATCAGGTTTATGAAAATAAGATTTTTAACATTACTTTTTTTTTACAGCAGCTAACAGCAGAGAAATTGAAGACAGTTTTTATTTGATGATAAAGAAAAAAACCTTTAAAACCATCAAGAGCACCTTTAAATTCTTTTTGTAAACACTGAGAGAGGCACCAGTGGAGATGTGATAATGTGCACCAAACATAACAGCAACACCTCCATTGAATTTGAACAAACTGTGTCTCATGATGAACCTGAAGCCTTTAATCAAACTCAAACAATAATACGACATCTCCAAGTATCTCATTCTCTCTTCCTCATCTTGAACTTTCAGAGTTTTTCTTCTACTGCAGCTGTTCGTTCAGCACTGAGTCCTTTACTCCTGCAGCGAGCACGGCGAACAGGAAGGAGGGGAGGATGGAGCGCAGCAGCAGCGCCACCCGGGGGATGGGGTGGGCCAGAATCACCTCCTTCTTTTTCCTGTTAACCGTCTGCATGATCTCATTGGCCAGAACAGATGGGCGCACGCCATGGGTCAGCTGATTGGCAATAACTGAGGAGGGATACACACATATTTACACATATTTGTCACATCATCTTTTCTAAATGATATGATACATGTTTCCCATCCCACATATCAAAACTATAACATTTACAGTATACAGTTTATTCTTAACTGTGTTTGTTCGTAGAATATTACAGTTTTATTTGCTCCCTCCATAAACATTAGCCATGGTTTATTTTTTTTTTAAATCATTAATTCATAATCCTTTAATATGACATTATCTAAGATTGTAAAGTGTAAAGAAAGTTGTAATCATACTTTTTTCCCCTGAATATTGACCTTATACTTTTCCTATCTTAATATTTACTGATGGCTGCTTGGAAATGCAAAAGCACTTTTATCTGAAAAGCATTCATTCTTTTTGTTTCTCAGTTGAAAGTATTATTTTATATTTGTTTTTCATCAAATGCAAAAAAGGAGTTGTTTGTTAGCCAACCTTCCCCTTATCATTGTTATCGGTATCAGCCCTTTAAAAACAGATATTGCTACATGTCCATCGTTGCATATTGGCCCATTTAAAACTTAAACAAATAAATTCTCACTGCTTTTTTTCTTTCAGCTTGAAATTGTGAAAACTGAATTGTTATATTTTACAGTTTTTTGATATTGTAAATTTTTATGAAATATTTTATTTTAATTTTGTATTTATTTTTTTATTTTTTTTATTGTATTTTTTTTCTTAATCAAATAACACCATGACTTTTTTTATTGATTTTATTAAATATTAAAAAATATATATCATAAATCTGGGGCTTTTTTGACTCTATTCTCCCTTTTATGTCTCTTGAACTCTGTCACACAGTCCCATGTTTTCACACCGGTGTAATGTTTTCTTCTATATAAATCATAAGTCACTGTACAGGTCCTGTCACTCACATGCAGATAGCATGCTGGGTTGGGCGGCAGGTTGGGGGGCGGGTTCTTCGACAGGTGGCGGCTCAGAGGCGTTGATGAAGGTGTGACTGATGGTGCTCACCACGATCCCTAACTCCTCCACCTCCGTCCGCAGACAGTCAAAGAAGGCCTGAGCCGCATGCTTGGAGGCTGTGTCTGAGAGCACACACACACACACACACACACACACACACACACACACACACACACACACACACACACACACACACAGAAAGGGGTGTGACTCAGCTGTAGTGTCATTCCTGACATTTCAGAGACATATTTAGTCTGATTGTTTCCTCTCCCTGTCTGTAACAATTGTTGAAACTCTGCCAGACAAATAGCAGCAGACTGGAGGCTTTCTCATTTTCTCAGTGCTCAAGGAGCTGAAGTGTAGATATGAAATAAAACACACCATGACAGGACCCGTCACCCTCATTACCTCTGCTTTAACAAAGTGAAGGAGCAAAACTGCACCCCACAGTGCTCAGATGCCCTGATTTACTCATCGTGGTCTTGTTTGCCACATGAAATCATCAGCTTTAATTTCAGTCTGCATCATTCTAGTCCTTTACTCATTAAGAGTGATAATTGGGCATCTGATCACAAATAATGTCAACACCAAGACATTTACTTCAACCTTATTAGCATAGTCACGTTATCGTGTACAGTCTTTTTGCTTTCTGAATCATAGATAAGAAGCTCTTTATTTTACATAAACCCTTCACTTAGATGAGAGAAGCTCAGACTCTGAATTGGAGGCTTACATGAACTCCTGAATGGGATGGCCAGTCTTCCCTGGATGCTGTTCACCAGAACAATTTGCCCCGATCTCCTGGAGATCATAGTTGGAAGGACACCTGCAACACAATATGACCCATTACAAATACACCAAAATAGACCTCATTACAGTTTGTAAGACTTAAAATTCAAGTGTGAGAGGATGATAGACAAGCAAATAAACCATGTAAGATCATGACTACTCAAACATAAGAGTTTTACTTCTTAAAACCAGGAATTTACACAAGACCACAACATACTAGCTCTGTATTACAAATCCTGTAGAGTCAGGAATCTGTCAGGTCATTTTTATGTCAATAACTGATCCAATACTGACAAACACTGATACTAAAATGATCCCCAGCTGTTATTATTTAGAGGCTAGTATTAAGTTTATGTTTGTTTCCCAGTCCAGGGACGGCAGCCTTCAATGACTGCATTGAAGACTAAATGGGTCACAGCAGCAGGTCCAAGACTGTCAAAATTTGGAGAGTCCAAAAAATGTGGCCCACAAATGGGTCCTACTTTCTGAGTCATGAAGTTCTGCATCAGGTGCAGAGTAAATTAATTCTACGCTGGAATATCCCTTTAAGGCCGGCCCACCTTTGGCCAGAGAGCTGGGCCCAAAGTAGTTGATGTCCATGATGTTTCTGTCCATCTCCAAAGAGACACTCTGCACTGGAGCCTTCAGCTTCACACTGCTGTTACAGATCAGTACATCTACACAGCCGTAACAGTCCACCACCTCTGACACCACCTCCTCTACACTGTCCATGTCACTGAAGTCCAGGATCACCAGCTTTGGAGCAAACGTCTGCAGAGACACAAGGGACAATATTATCTGTAAATAAAATATACTACTGCTACTGATACTGCTGCATTGTTTTTCTCTCACAAACAGAGTTATCGTCTAAAATAACAGACATGTTCCACTTTGAAAGAAGTTCAACATGTACAGAAACACATCTCTGTTATCCAGAAGTGAAAATTGATACTTCTCTCGTGTCTGTACTTCCACAACTACTTGACCGCTATTTGACCGTAAAAAGCTGAAGTACTGTGATACGGCTCGTTGCTTTAGTGTCAGTCATTGTAAGAGCTGGAAATCAGTATACTGGCAGAAACAACCATAGTTCGTCAAAAGGGAGAAGCTGCAAAGGAATGATGAGTTAAGAGTATCCAGTGCCGATATCCATTCACATTGTACGTCTGATTCACTAATTTGTATTTTTAGCATGTCTCCTCCTAACCACAGCATGAAGCCTTATAAATACATGTATATAGGTAATAGTCAAAGATAAGTTTCTGGGGACCGTTGCCTTTGCAGCAAAGGACAGACAGGGAACACAGGGAAGAGTGAGTAAAGCAGAACAGGTACCTCACAAACTCAATATTGAACCAGTGACCTGCGCACTGAGCACACTGGTGTTCGCTTTGCTCTGCTGTCTCGGTCAAATTAGCACCTCAACAGTGTTTATCCCATTGCAATGAGTGGAGATTTAATATCAGAAAAAAATCACTTCTCATGAAGAAGAAAATGTAATGATTTAAGCAGCCCAGGCCCCAAGATACAATACCACACAGTTACGGTACGATACGATACGATATGATTAAAAAACGTTAATTATCTGCATTCTTATGTCTCACTTATTATTATTTAATCATTGTGTTTGTGTCTGGAGCACATCTGGTCTGCTTTGTGTTTGTAAGATACCTGGAGGACAGTTTGCTGTTAGAGAGGAAATCCTGCTATTGTGTTGACTCAATGAGGAAATGGATATCTCATGGGTGGAGCAGAGGATTATGATAAAAACACAACATGAGTTTAAACCTGTGTCAGTATTGTGTTTCTGTGCTTGTTTTAGTATGGTAGAGGCCTAGACTCCAGTGTGTACTCACAGATATGAGATGGTCGTGTTTACTGAAGCAGTCAAAGCTTGATCTCTATGCTGGGACTTTTGCCCAATCGATGACTCAGCACCACAGTAAAGAGTGCTGGTTTCAGTTTGGAAGAGTTCACTCACAGCCTGGTTTATTTATTTATGATGTTTCCAAGTGAAACTGATGGAAGTAGATTTATGTGTGTGATTTCCTCACCTCTCTGGGGTCAGAGCCGCTCGTCAGGGAGTCAAACAGAGACTCCAGTTTGTCCCAGCTTGTCCCACACAGGATTAACCTGGCCCCACCCTTATGAAAGAGATTGGCACACTCTGAACACAGACAAAAACATGATAAAGTGCATTAAATAATCTGTTTGACAAATGGACATTTTTGCTTAGAGCTCAATAAAATAACTGAAAACACAGCTGCCATTACACCCATGATGTTGAAGCACGTTCCACATCACCTTTCCTTTAACAACACTCAGTTAGCCTTTGTGAAGTGAGGACATGAACTGTTGGAGCTTTGGAGGTGAATTCTTTTACAGTCTTGATTGATGGACCATTTCAGCTGATTTGTAGTCCAAGGCCTCTGTTGTGGTATTTTGTGCTTCATAATGCTCCTCAAATGTTCAATGGGGGGCAGGTCTGGACTGCAGGCTAGCCAGTCTAGTACCTAAACTCTTTAACTCTGAAGCCACGCTGTTGTAACCCGTGCAGAATGTGTCATGGCGTTGTCTTTCTAAAATCAGCAGGGACGTCACTGAAAAAAACGAGGCTCTGATGGAGGCAGATGTTGCTCTTAAACCTGTTTGTATCTTTCAGCATCAATGGAGTCTTCACAGATGTGACAGTTGGCCAGGGGCACCAACTCAGTCCATCTCAGATGAACTCGGGTCCAGAGAAGCTGGCTGTGTTTCTGACTGTTGTTGATATCTGTCTTTGTCTTTGCATGGTAGACCTTGAACTTGTAGATGTCAAGATTCATCTTAACATCTACACATGGTAAAATCCTTTACAGAATGGTGTGGGTTTTTAATTGAGTGCTGCCTGAAGGGTCAAAGGTCATGGTCATTCGGTGTTGGTTTTGGGCCTTGCTGCTTAAGTGCAGAAATGTCTCTGATTTTCTGAATCTTTTGATGATTTTATGGACTGTAGATAATCAAATCTGCAAATTCCTGCTGTTGTACATTGAGAAACATTGTTCCTAAACTGTTGGACTGTTTGCTCACACAGTTGTTGACAAAGTGGTGAACCTGGCCCCTCCCCTGCTTGTGAGGGACTGAGCCTTTCAGAGATGCTCCAACTATAGCCTACCCCAGTGACTCTGAAACAACTTTTTAGGAACTTGCTGCAGTGTCAAATTTAAAATGAGTGAATACTTACAAAAATGAAAATAAAATAATCAAGTTTATCACTCTAAATATTATACATGTTTGTCGTCTATTTAATTGAATATAGATAGGCAAGGATTTGAAAATCATTGTTATCTGTTTTCACAACCATATTGAGATGAATTACTGGATTACATGTTCTATACAAAGCAAAGGAATGGAAACACCTAAATGTGGATTTGTCATTAACGACCCATGTGGGTGAATAATGTAAGTCTGGTAGATCATCACTGGTTCTGCTGATGGACAGACAAACAAGCTGACATAGATGTAAACAAAACCTAAACTTGGGTTAAATAGTGAATACAGAAGCGTGATCATTTACCTTTTCCGACCCCGGACACAGCGTCAGTGATCACCACCACTTTGTTTTTCACCAAAGACATGGACATGAACTGCAAGACCTCATTGTAGATGTAGTACACCCCTGCTGCCACCACCACCAGCAGGGGGAGCGCCACCACGGAGGGGAGGGACATGGTCTGAGGAGGAGAGAGCACGATCAGACAGAACCAGAGGGTTAGCAACAATCGGATACTAAAATGCCACTTGTCAAATCTGCCCATTCCCACCAAACTCACACACTGAAAGCAGAAGATGGTCATGTGACGTACCACAAGTTTTAACCAAGGGTGGACAGAAAAGTATATATTTAGTCACATTAATGGAGTCGCCTTTTTGAATATTTTTACTGTCTTTTTAGTAGTTCCTGAAAGTGGTATCTGTACTCCTGTGTTGGTATTTTCTGAGACAATTGTTCAGTAAAGACTAGACCACAGTCCTAGTATCAAGCCCTTCCTGGACCAAAAACATCAAGCATCTCACTGCAAATGAAAATAAATCTTACATTTCATTATGAAGTCTGAGTCGTGTCGTCTCCTAGTGTCTCCTAGATTCAGAAGGAAGAGTGAGGTGGTACAGATTCCAAGTTGTTTGAAGTCCAGTCTGAGGTTTGTGATGGTTTGGGGCGCCATGCTATCTGCTGCTGTGAATCTACTGTTTTTCATTCCAAGTCCAGAGTCAACATTGCTTAAAGTCTACTAGGTGATTTTATATACTTTTTTATGCTTCATTATCTGTGAAGCTTTTTGAATATTCTGATTTCCTTTTCCAGCACCTGCACAGCACCAAAACACCTACCAAATCAGTTTGCTGACTACATAACAGTGTTCAATCAGCCCGCTAACTGAACTGGCCTGACCTGAACCCCATACAGGATCTCCGGGATGTTTGTCAACAGGAAGATGAGAAACATCCGAGCCAAAAATACAGACCAGCCAGAGGCCACTGCTGAAGCAACGTGGTGTTTGTAAATCTGGATATACGGTGTGTGCATACACTGTTTATGTTGATGTGTAAGAATGCACGTCTATGTATAGGTATGGGTATGTACATGTATATATTGATGCAGGTATATGTGGTAAATGTAATTTCATTGAATGTACAGATTTTGTTATAGAACCTTATGGAACTGTAACACCTTTTTAAACATTTCTAATTCATAACATCCTCTCTTTTGATTTCTAAACTTGTTTTTTAAACTTCTGCTGGTGTAAACTCTACATTGCATGCATCAAAACAGTCTTGGAAAAGTCAAGTGACTAAAATAGAAGCAAAAACCCAACTGTTGCTTTGCACAAGTTTACAAGCGCATTTTTCCAGCATCAAATACACTTTTTATTGCAGTTAATTTTTGTTTCATTGAAATCTTTTCTTTGAGTTTTGTCTTTAAACTTTTTTAAAGTGTTTGACTACATAATAAAGACACTAAAGTCACTTAGCTGTTAATCTCATGGCTGGTAAATCTGTGTATTAGTTGGCCTGGACTGGCCCCACTTACCTTGTAAAGTGTGTTTGAGGAGAACAGCTAAATATACTCGGCCCATGCGTTGGCACAGATACCGCTCACTGTGTCACCTCTGGGATGTTGTCATTAGATCCCCGAGAGGCGGCAACTGAAGAGGCTCGCATTTACAAGCAATGTCTGACCTTATCTGCCCCGCTTTGGTTTGGTTAACACATGAGGAGAACTGCTAATCCACGTTAAAACCTCAGCAATGGCTGCGGAGACACTTTGCCCTCATCAGACACGTACCCGGCTGATTGGATCCCTCTGTTAGTGAATGCACATCTATAGCAACACACACAAACACGAAACACACACACCTGTAATGTGTGTGTTATTCTTGGTCCACTTACAGAACGATCAGGGAGTTAATCCTTCAGCAGGACGGGCTCTTGTTTTTTCTGGGTGTAGTTAGGTAACACAGTCCCTTCTCCTCCCTCTGTGTCCCTCGTCCATGCACACAGCTCTCTGTCCCTCTGTCTCTGTCCGTCTCTGTCCCTCTGTCTGTGTGTCCTCTGGGACCTGCTGCTTATAATAGCCTCTGCTTCAGTCAGCCATTAATATACACACATGCAGAGAATAGTATCTGAGACATGCTCCTTGTTGCCAGCGTGAAGGGAGGGACCTGAAGTCAGAGTCTCAGATACTCTTGGTGATTTATTTTGCTCTTATGTTCATGTTATTCATATTTTTCCTTTTATTTTGATTTTTAAGCTTGTTTTGAATTTGGTTTTTAAAAGTCCAGCCTTAATGGTTTTCATTAGGTAAGAATCCCACAGTCGTATCTACCTATAGAAAGGTTCTTGAAGGGTGAGGGTAGGCAACACCATGTCGGGGGGTTGATTTACGCCTGTTGGCACACCCCAGGGCAGAGTGCTGTCCCCTCTGCTCTCTATTTTTTATACTGACTGATGACACCCTAGGCCTTATATAATTAGGTTGGCTGATGACACCGCCTCAGTCAGCCTACTGGAGCAGGATAAGGTCCAACATGGCCCAGTGTTGAAAGACTTTGTTGATTGGTGTAAGGTGTAACACTTGAATTTGAATGTATCTAAAAACAAAGAACTGACTTTAGACCTCAACTCCATCTCTGATCAGAGGTCAGGAGGTCGAGATGGTGACAGAGTATATATGCATGGTCTCATTATTGATCACAAACTTTCCTGGGATCCTTGTGTTGATGCTATTTTCAAAAAGGACTTGTATTTTCTTTGGAAACTGAACTCTTTTAACATTGACAACAAAGTTTTAACTTTGTTATATAAATCCTGTATTGAAAGTATCCCTTTGTGTTCTTGTATACCGGTTTGGACTGTCTGAAATCACACATAATATGAGTTGGGTAAAACTGTTAAGACCTGTGAGAAAATGATGGGGGAGCAGCAGGCTGACCTGCATATATAACAGGCTGGCCCAAAGTCCCATATGCATTTGATACTGTGAATCATAAAATACTCATTTGACCGACAGGAGAAGTGGACTGGTGTCATGGCGTGGCCATTTGGGGCATCATGGCACAAAAATTATTAAGAATAGGAGACTCCAAAATGTTGAACAGCTGATTTTACACATCTGGCAAATCTTCCCCTGGAATCAAAATTTTAAAAAGCCATTATCTTCATCATCATAACTATGAATAAAACCATTTTGGTTGAGCTTTTCCTGTCTTTGCACAATTGTCAATCAAATATAAGATTTAAATGATTTGCAAACCAAATCTTTTCAATTAATATTTTTGCAATGTCCCAAATTATATGGACTTGACAATGCAAATAAAATTTAAGAATCTAGACACAATGCTTTTTAAAATTTAACCCATGCCATCTTTTTAACTTTAAGGTTGCTGAACTGGATGGTAGAATAAAACGTTCAACAACAAAATTTGCATCAAACCGAGATAGATTCAAAAGTATTTGCTCAAAATAAATCTGATAGTTTTCTGAATTAAATGTAAACAAAAATATTGTGATGAAAGAAGCATAATTTGAATGAACAGCCTGTTGAAAACTGATATACAGTCATATTGTGATTGAAACTTAAGCATCACTGTTTTTATTTATGATAAATAGCCTAAAGTATCTACGGCGGCTGGGAACTGCCACTGCTGCAAATAAAAAAGAATGCAAAAAAAAAAAAAAGAATTCACAACGGAAGTTACCGATGCAAAAAAAAGAAACAGTGCAGATTTAAAAAAAAAAAGCCACAAAGGAAGTTAACGACACAAAAAAAGTGGTGATAGATTAAAAGAAAGTTACTTACTGCGAAAATAAAAGGATGCAAATAAAAAAGCCACAACGGAAGTGGGCTTTGGTTCATTCTTTCTTTCTTTTCTTTTTCTGCATGAGTAAACTCTGTTGTGACTCCTTTTTCTTTTTTTGTCTTTTTTTTTCGCAGTGGCGGTTCTCGGCCACCCGAAGTATTTGCATTTATCTGGGGGAAAAACAACTGATTAGATCAAGATCTGATGATGCATTTTTAGAAGCTCAGTAACCATGTCCTGTCAGTGGGCGGCGACGGTGAGCAGTTATCGCGAGACTTCCATAGAAATCCATGAGCGTGTGTGTGTGTGTAAGTGTGTGTGTATGTGTGTTGTGTACGCTCCCCCTCTCCGTTTGGGAAAGAAGAAAATAAACGTCTCGCTGCTAACCAGGCTAGTTATGGAACCGAACCCAGAGTACTCCTCCTGCCGCCTCTGACCGGCACTGAGCTGCTCGCCCTGCAAGCAGCGGGTCTACCACGGACAGCAGCATAGGAAGGGCTCGGAATTACGGGACCGAGTGTTTATTTAAAAGTCCAGTTAAAGAGAAGAGCCAGGAGGAGCTTTCATTAGCTTACAGGGCTAACCGAAGCTAGCAGAAAGAGCACTGGATGAAGTTCGCATGGACTGACTGCTCCTCCTGGGTTAGGATCCTGCTGCCTGACTGAGAGTTTTATTCACCTTCACACGGGAGTCTGCTCTTGTTAATGGACGCTGTCGCCTCGGAGGTTACAGGCGGTTTCTGTGTGCAGGGTTTTTGCTTGTTTGTGTGGTTCTCACAGTATTGATGTGGAAGCTAACAGGATATTAGCCTCCTCTCTGAGCGCTCCGCTTTGTGGGAACAGGCCATGGACTGAGCAGCTTTCAGCACCCACTGAGGGATGGGAAACCTGGCTTAATGGCAGCTAATTATTCACCAGGAAACAGCAATTGGATACAGCTAAACAGACTTTAATTTGAACCTTTATTTTTCCTAACAAGTGTTATCTCCTTTTGGGCTTTTTTTTTAAACTTGAAAATGCGTCGGAGTTCAGGAGCTTTTAATAAGTTGGGATAAGAAGACGCTGAAGAAAGCCGGAGGATTACAGCTCCGCCGTTTATTCCAGTTTTGAAGATAAATTCGTTTTTTTTTAATAATAGAAAAGGTGAAGTATGTCTACCGCTAAAGAAAACCCCTGCAGGAAATTTCAAGCGAACTTCTTCAATAAAAGCAAATGTCAGAACTGCTTCAAACCCCGAGAACTGCATCTGCTCACCGACCAGGACCTGACACAGGTACAGATACATATCATTTCCTAAATTTATGATATTACACTGAAGTAGTGATATACGAACAGTCAGATTCCTTCATGCACGACACTGTTTGAATTGTGTCCATTTGTCAACATAACTGGAAGAAACCATAATCATCAAGACAAGCGATAATTCGATACATTGGGTTACGATACAATAACGTATCTAACGTAATAACTCTAATTCGATACATTGGGTTACGATACAATAACGTATGTAAAGCAGTAACTTTTATTCGATACATTGGGTTACAATACAATAATGTATCTAACGCAGTAACTGTCATTCGATACAATGGGTTACAATACAATAACGTAACCAAGGTTAAGAGCCGCAGTTTCTTTAGATGTAATGTAATATCAAAGTCCACAGTCAGAAACAGAAAAAAATGCATGAAATTTTTGGAAAAATAGTTGTATTTGTTATAGGCTTTGAAGAAACTCAACATTTACTAGGGATGGGAGTTCAGGAACTTTTAATAAGTTAGGATAAGAAGACGGATGAGAAGGACCTGACACAGTTACAGATACATATAATTTTCAAAATGCATGATATTTCAGTGATACTAACACTCTGATTCCTTCATGCATGACACCATTTGAATTTTGTCCAATTATTGGCTTAACTGGAAGAAACGGTAATCATCGAAACAAGCTATAATTTGATACATTGGGTTACAATATAATAACGTAACCAAGGTTCAGCGAGCAGTTTCTTTCGATGTAATGTGATATGAAAGTCCACAGTCAGAAAAAAAAAATCTGTATATTTGGAACAAAAGTTGTATTAGGATTCGGGCAACACAGTAGGATACCATAACAAAAATATGCAGCGATACCTAGTCTGCCTTTGGTCTTGAAGTCCAATCTGATATCTTTGAATATTGAGCATAAGCCAACACCAAATTTGGTACTTGTATCTGGAATATTTCAGATTGAGAGATTTTTTATTCGATCATATATGCATACAATACAATTTTAGACAAGAAATTCCCTATTTTGTGGGGATCAAAAAGGAGTAGGTTGACGCTATTTAGCTTTACCAACCGTCATTCCTTCCTATTCGTTTACCCTTTGCATGTCTCTAGAATTTAGAATTTCTGATGTCCCCTAATTTCAGAAACAGTTCATTAATATGATGGAAGAATCCTACCTTTTTAACTATCCTTAATGCTCTCTTTTGCATAATACATAAAGGTTCTGGAATTTTGGGAAGTTTTGTTGGTTGAGCATCTTACGGATGGCAGAAACCTTCATTCTCTATCATAGGGGTTGATGATTGCCCAAAGTGACAAATATGACTCCACTCTCTCCGGTCTTTTTGCCTCTTTCTCTCTCTATAGCATATTCATACATCCTTCCATGTTAAGTCCAGAGTTTGACTCCTAAGCTTGGCAGCCTTTTCCTCTGTTGCTTTGGTGAATGTGGCCTTCACTAAAACAACCAAACCACTTCATGTTAACTTCTTACATATCTGCTATGGCTCTGTGAAAAATTATATAACATATGTTTGTGTCTGGTTTGAATTACTCCCACACTGCTGACATTGTAGCCGTGGGGTTGAAAACACTTCTGTTATGCTGAAAATTGTGCTCTGTTTATGACAGCCTATGTAAGTGATTGGGGGTGAGCTTAAACGGACAATTCTCAATCTATTAAAAATGCTAAAATCAGGTCTGATCTGATAGTTGGGATTGGGACATCCCTGAACATATGACAAATCTACTCTTATGCAGTAATTGACCACAGCAAATTATATACTTATATGATACATAAGGACAACAGCAGTATTAGAATTCATGTAGTTTTGGACTTGTATCTAGTCTGAAATCAAAGCAGCATCCAAATAATAAGCACTTGAGTGTCTTGATACTCTCATTGTTTGAAGGTTAATTGATTGTTTGATTGACTACCATCCATGGAAGTCTGTTCCTGAGCTGTTCTTTGCTGCCAGCATTTGGAAAGTTGAAAATGATTATTGACTGTAAAACCAGCTTGTCAGGCTCATGACAATGTAGGCCAGACGGCCACACGATCCCCGTAGCTTGTAAATACCTTGCATGCTTAGATATTTGTAATGTTTTCAAATGAGTTAGGTACTTAAAGTGAGCTGAAGAGAGCGTCTTAACTGTATTTGTTACAGTCAGCCCTAGAGGACTTTATGAGGACCATTACAGCTGTGGGTTAGACCGGTGAAAGTTAATTCCTGTAAATCTCTTCTACAGTACAACTGCTAAAAAAAAACAAGAGGACTACAATTGGCTGACACTTTGTTGTCTTTGATTGTGTAACCTCCAGCTGTTGTTTATCTGCAGTTGTTTGTTTTTTGTGTGTACCCCAGGCAGGCCTGGGAACACTACAGTCACGTTTCCACCACGACTAGCAGGAACTTTTGGTCCAGCAGCTTTTTTTTCAGGGATCTAAATGGTTCCTTCAAGTTTTTCTTCTCTATGTTTCTCTTAATTGCATTCACAGTTAAACCAGACTTAGAGCAACTAGAGACCTACAAACGATACAGTACTTAACATACAGAGTAGGCAAATGAGTCTGCTACACAATTCAAAGTGACAAACAGAAATCATTATTAGCGCAACACTGCAGCAACAAAAAGTCAGAATAATTATGTACTAAGACCAGATTGCGATCAATACTCAATAAGCTGAACACAATGAGAAAAAGTCGGAAACATGACTGGAAGTTTTTAGAAGTTGGCACTGAAATAAATGCTGAAAGTGATGAACCAGTCAAGCCCACCTTCAAACTTCCTGTTTGCTTTTAGACCTCAGTACCCTTCATTAACTTTGCGGAAATGAAGGTCAAGAAACTTACAGTCCTAGTTCTTGTGGCAGAAATTTGCTCTTTTAAAGGTTCTTGTTGAAACTAAAGCAACACAATATTACCGGCAAAGAATTGTCACTAGCAGATAATAGCTGCTAACATTCATAATCAGTATTTGCAGGTGTGAAGTATAATTATCAGTATTCAACTTCACACACATGACTTCATAGGAGTATTTCATAGGGTCATAAACAGACAGTGGACAGACTATTGATTTTCCATATAGGTTAGGTAAAGTTTGTTTGATATAGCACCTTTCACAAAGAATATTTTTACCATCAGTGATGCACAATATAGGATTTTGCTGATATCCAGTTTGCTGATATTTTCTCTCATTTTAGCCAACACCGATATCAACACTGACATAGACACTTTTATTATTAACACAAAGTTTAATGCTAGTTACTCTTAATTTGACAGTCTGTTGGATTGACAGTGTTTGATCCTACCATCAATTATAAAGGTAGCTTTTACTCCCATTTACAGATATGACACAACGCTCCTGCTGTCTGTATTCACCACTTGAAAATATTTGGATGGAGCCAACACATGCAAAGTGTGTTGTGTGCACATAATGAATGCTGATAATGTTATCTGCCGAAATTTTCATACCAGCTGATACAATATTTAACTTTTGCCAATAGTGATAATATTGTGCACCCTGACCATTTCTAGTGGTGTCAAATATTGTTTGTCCTGTTTTATGTCTCTTTCTAAAGTAAATAAAGTTTCATGGTGAAAGTAAAAGGTTCATCCTTAAAGAGAAACTGGAAAAAAGGGGTGATACGTATATTGCGAAAGTATAATGCCATGCATCCATACATTTCCTGCACTCTTTCAACACCTGAAAATTCAATTTTGACTTTACTTGGATTTGTTTCTTTTAGTTCCTTGTAAAAACTATGAAGTAAAAGTCAGTAAGATTCACTGTCAGTGAGTTGGAGGGTGTTAAAATGTTAATATCATACAACCAGTGTGACCCTCTTGTATATAATTGGTAATGCAGCATGCTAGTAGTGTTCCACTCATATATTGATATTGTAATAACCATAGACTGTATATAGAATGGATGGCGTCTGCCTCCTCACTGGGTGAAGCCACTGTAAAAACCGCATCCTCTGGTGGCAGGCTGCAGTACAGGTCATAAATCCCGTCTCCTACAGCAATCCCTATGGAGCTGTGGACAAACATTAGAAATTAATTACACAGAATAAGCATTTTTCTCCCCCCCCGGTTGCGATGTTGACATGTAGTTATTGTAAGACTGGTTTGTGCTCAAGTCCTCTTTTTTCTGTGCAGCTCCATTTTTAAAAGTTATTAGGAGGTTCATGTTTTCTATGATTGACACTTGATACAGCATATGGGCGTAGGAAGATTGTGTAGCTCACCTGGGGGATACGCTGTTTGAGCCGAGCGTCATCACAGCAACTTTCTGCGACTCTCCCGCTGAATATGTCCAATGCTACTGCGCAAGTGGTGGTTCCAGGAAGTGGAGAAAATCCCGGAAACACCAAGAGCAATTTAGCTTCAAATACGTACAATGACGGAAGGTGGAGCCAAGTTGTCTATAGTATATACAGTCTATGGTAATAACGTGTCGTTACAGAGTATTGGTAGAAAGAAAAATGGTAAGAAAGTCTGTTGCTTCTTCAGCCTTCTGTTACAAACACGATATGATGACAGCAGCATCCTTTTCAAATCAAACCCTGCCTCTAGAGACCACCTTTTCCAACAGGGAATACTAGACTTAATGACGGACATGTGCGAATGAACATCTCTGGCAAATGTCTGTGAAGCTGCTGTGGAATTATGGAAAAAACTTCCAGGAGGTGTGATGTTCAGCTCATGAGGAAGTTACCGGAGACTTTATGTGAAGGAGCAGAGATGAAGTGGAGCTGTGTGGATCGCACTGTGAGCAGCATGTTCTCTGAGAGCATGTTTCTCCCTCTTAGATCATTAGTTTAGTCTCTGTTGTGTCCTGTAATTGATCCCAGACTTGAGGCCCAGATGGGCTCTTGAACGCAGCTTTAGAGCCAAACAGCAACGTCAGCATCCTCCTCTCCGGTGTGTGTGTCTGTGTGTGTGTGTTTGTGGGGGGGATGCACTCTTTCTTTCTGTCTGTAAAGTGCATACAGCTCTCTGCACTGAGTGTGCTGCATGTTAACCCTTCAGACTCCTGAGGAAAGATGGATGGCTTAGTGTTACATCACATCCTCTAATCTCCCTCTGACCCGGCCCTCGCTCTGTGCTCTGTGCTATGACGGAACCAGAGAGGCTTACTGAATGATACTCCATCCGTCCTCGCTCATCCAGCCGGCCGCAGGCTGTTTGAGCCTGTCTCCAGTCTGTCAGCTATCCAAACAGGCAGCAGGGAGCTCATTGCACAAGCAGGTTTTGTAAGGACTCTATGTGGACGCTGCTCAGACCAGTTACCTCCACTCACCAAGGCCTTTACTGGCCTAAAGCTGTGTTATATAACCGCACATAAACAGTGTTAAACTTCTGAGGTGAGGGTGAGGCTTTGTAAAATGTTCCAGCGTTAAGAAACTGATACCGGCTGACTTAGAAGAGATAAACTCAGTCACCCTGCGAGGTGAAAGCTCCTGTAAAGCTGTGTAATGCTGTTAAAACACCATGAATAGGCTGTTTAGCTAAGTGAATTTGAGCCCTAAATTAAACGTATTCGGATGGAGCTTCAGTACGCAGCTTTGAAACAGATAGCCCACATGGAAAAGTTGTGCAAAGAGAGGAGAGCTGGATGTCAGAAGGACAGTATCCAATATAAACAAACTCTTTGTTCAGCAGAGCTGGAATAAAAGGTGGGCCGGGGGAGGGGCTGCCGCTGCTCCCAGAGCCAGAAAATATTCATTTATTTCGATCAGTGCGCTCCAGAGAGAGGTTTTATTCCCCCACAAGCTCCAGGTCTGTTGTCACGGTTCTCACTCGGTCACATGAACATGAACAGTGTGTCCTGCAGAGTTGAGAAGTTCGCCTCAGAGAGAAGTGATCACACCGTAAAGGAGAGGGGGAGGAGGAGGAGGGAGGCAGGGCGGAGATGGAGGATGCAGGCAAGATTAGGTTTAAAGGTACGTGGGAGAGAAGCAGGGGGAGACAGGCATGGTGTGATGGGATTGGAGGAGTGGGAGCAGGAGTCACAGGAGGAGAGAGGAAGTGTGGGCTCGGGAAATCAGAGTACAGCTTCCCCACCATGTGAGGTTATAATGATCCACAGTGGAGTCAGACTGTTCACAGAGGATATAGCTTTAACACATAACAAATGTTCCCACGCAGAGCTGCGCTCTGTCGGTTTGTAATCACTCAAGGAGACGTGCTGTAACTTCATGCTGAATTGACTGTCGGTCATGTTATGTCTTTCTTATGGAAAAAAAGGGGTCTGATATCAGTATCAGCTGAAGGTAGGGCTGCACGACTTTGGCCAAAAATACAAACCTGATTTTTTTCACTGAAAAGCCCATTTTCAATTTTTTATTCAGTGTCAACTCTACCAAACTTCACTTAAAAAATAAAAACATTTCAATCATGTGTCAGAAGGAAACCTCTAAAAACGATGTCATGCTAGTTAGTTGCGCTGTAACGCTGCACAGCAAAGGCACAAAAGACAGAAGAAGAGTACAGAGCATGCGTATAAAGGTTGTTTTGGCCGGACACACAAAGGCGCCATAAAAGAGCTACGGTGGAGAAATGGTGGAGAAACTTTTAAGTTGCTTTTTTAATCAAAGCACATTGTTATTATTAATAGGATTATTGTATTCATTATAACGAGTTAGTTAGTTGTTAGCTGCAGCTCACTGAGCAGACCCCCAACCTTTAGGTCCTGCACACAAAAACGCACAGTTCACTGTCTCAACACTTGGCAGTTGCAGAGAGTTTTCCAGACCAGTGGTCCTGAAAAAGAGGAGCTAGATAAGTATTTGTCAGCAACAACATCAGCTTGCAATCATCTAAACTTGTTCTTACTAAGTCTGCTATCTGGGTTGCTTCTAAAATCCAAATAAGGTGGCAGCTGAAAAGTGAAACATGCACATTTCTGTAGTGCAGCGCAAGCAGAAGCATATGCTGCGCAGTCAGTGTCCTGCTCATTATTTAACATCAGTCAGGACAGATGAAGTGTTTCTGCTCCTGTTCTCTCTGCAGCAGCTGCTCCATAACAGTGTTTTCTCCCCACAGTCTGAATGTTTCTCAGGCCGCCTGTCTCCCTGCAGGACAACAGAAAGAAGGGGAAATCATTCGTCATCTTCTGCCTAATTAACAGGCTGAAGGATTTATCTGGGTCACAAAATGCTCCTTTTTCAAAATAATCCTTTTTCAAAGGAGTTCAACTCATCTAAACTGCCTTCACATAACACGTCAGTACACGTCTAAACCAGGCACATATAGATTTATGGTGGGCATGCAGTGACACGGAGCTGTTTTAAAGAGCAGACTAATAACCAGGGCCTTCCTTCTTCAGTCAGCAGAGATATTTCAGGTTTGTGTGAGAGGTGGAGGAGTGAGCACAGATAGAAGAGCTGATCAGTAATGGTTAACAAAGAGGAGAGACTGTCAGAGTGAATGCAGAGCAAAGAGCAGCAGATTTACCCCGAGAAAAACACAAGTCCAGCGAGTAATTACAGGGAAGTGCTGTGAGCATTGAAGTGTTAAAATAGATCCCAAATTAAACTCTTCATTGCTGGAGCCTTTTGCAGTGGAGAGCTAAGACTCCTGTCTTTATTAGCATCATACTGCACTTTTGTTTAGGATGTTGTTTCATTACTTTTGGTGCTGTAAGGCTTACTATGCTGCAACGCTCATCCTGATGTCTCTAAATAGTCAAGTGTGTCATACGTTGGGGATGAAAAAGGAATAAAAGGCAGTTTCCTTACTGTGCTGTCAGTGACTCGATGGTCAGAAGCCCAGCCCTGTGCAATGGGTCAAGGGTCGAGAAGTCTAGAAGTAGTCAGTCATGGTGGTGATAGTCTGGGTTGCATAAAGAGACACCTGCATCAAATTGAACCTGTTTTCCAGTCAAACACAACATCCAAAACAGGCTCAAAGAAAATAAATCAACAAGCACAACAGCTGATGTAAAATGTGTTTTTAGTCTGCAAAGGAACAAAAATATAAGGGCCAAATGAAGAAATAAAAGAGAAATCAGGTCAGTTTGTTTCTGGACAGAAAGATAACTATATATGCCAGAGCTGTTTTGAAGGGCAATCCCACATCAGGCGCCAGTCCACTGTCTAAAAAATGAGAAGATGACACATCTGACAGTCTGTGTTTTGATATTACAAGAGCCTCTATTTTACTCATTTTAAAACCTAAAGCCAATCCCTATTGTAAAATCGGTAAATTCTTGACCCAAACTACAACTGTACCATGACACACCTGGAACAACACCTGATTCAAATGATCAGCTCGTTATCAAGCTCTGTAATGGCTTACTAACGAGCTGATCATTTGAATCAGGTGTGTTGGAGCAGGGAAACATGCAGGACAGTGGGCCTCGAGGGCTGGACTTGAGAACCACTGTACTAGAATAACTTCCTTCCCATAAGATGATGTCTTTACAGCGATTTTTTTCCTCATGATATTCTGACTTTACAGCACCTTTACTCATGTGCTATTACTCAGTGTCATAATTTTATTTTTGTGTCATAAAACCTTAATTTCTTATCACTTTGTTCGCACAATGATTTCCTCCTGATAAGATTATGACTCAAGTTGTATTCTTGTAATATCATAACTTAAGTACAGCTGTATTTTCCTCATAGTATGACTCCAGCTGGCCTTCTTTTGTTTGTAACATTGTGATTCAAACTATATTCTTGTAATCTTATTACCTCATTTTCCTAGTATAATGACCTCAGTGTCCTACAGCTTGATTCTTGTAAAATGACATCTTTTACTCTCCTAATCCAAACATATGTGTGTCCTTCTTGGGCCTAACACTCTGTCATGTTTAATAAATAGCGCTCAATTTCCCATATTCACCTCGTCAGCTTTTTAGAAAGGTAAACACACGCACAGTTTGTCCTTAAACCCCAAAATACAAAGAGGATCCTGTATAAGCCAGTAACTCAAACACATGCGGTCATATTTGAGAATGACCGCACATGAAAATTTTTGACGTTTTTATGATTGCCTGAGAAAAATGACATAAAACAAGCAAACAGACTGGTGTAGTTACTGTAAGCACTATTCCTGAGATCCAAAGAGCCGACCTGCTGCCCTGTGTTTATGTGTTTTCACGTCTTTTGATCTTTCTGCCTGTGTTGGTCTGAGCTGGTTTGTGGTCAAACCGGTCGAGAATGTGAACCAGGAGTGCACGCGTGTGTGTGTGTGTGTGTGTACGTAGACGGGGATGTGTGTGTATTTTGTGTGTAACAGTGGTCTCATCTGCTGTGGTGAACCAGGACAGAGAGGCAAGCAGTCATCAAACAGAGCTGATTACAGCACGATGCTCACTAACTAACTAACTGGTTTTTGTGCGGCTACGAAATGAGAACAGAGGCAACATCTGGGCCCCAAAAGGCTTCACCCTCCCCTCTCTCTCTCACCCCTCCCCTCCCCCTCAGCGCACACACTCTCCCAGTTTTAATGATTACCTAAATTGCTGTTTTTTTCCCTCTCTCTCTTTTACAGGCTAAACCTATTTATGGTGGATGGCTGTGTTTGGCCCCTGAGGGAACCGACTTTGACAATCCAATGCAGAGATCGCGGGTAAGAGCATGCATTACAGGCCTGAGAGTGTGTGTCCATTGAATGCCTGTACTCTAGTGTGGGATCGATGCTTGGACAGTGAGACCTCAGTCAGTTTTGGCTTTTAAAAGCTGTGAACAGATCAGCAGCTGTACGTTTAATGTAAAGCTGAGGGGAGAATACAAGAGGATGTAAAATTTTTTGATGCTCTTGAATACTACATGCTTAAAATCAAGAGTAACTTATATATGTTAACTATGACAGAGTGGGGGAGCTCTGAAATGTATGAAATGATGGATATACAGTCTTATTTCCAACCCAGAGCTGCAGAGAGTGAAAGACAAATAAGATGGAAGCCTTCATCGTCTTTGGATCAAAAACAACAAAATTGCATTTCCTCTTCCAGGAGTGCCAAACAATGTTAATCAGAAGACCATTCATAAAAAAACATACCTACCAGACAGTGAGCAGCAAAGGTCGAGCATCGTAGAGATTAAGGAAAGAGAGAGAGAGAGCACCACTAATGAAAAGAAAGCAGTGTTGTGGGACACTGAGGCTCTGACTCTGCTCATCATCTGCTTCAAAGTACATAAGATCGTGTCCAAACTCTTGTAACGAAACACGACCGACCTTGTAGCTGTGTAAGTACTGATAAACCTCAGAGCTCTTAAAGTTGCTTACAACAAGTCAAAAAAGTCGCTAAATACGCTCGTGTGTTGTAAATAAGGCCATGCTTTATCTCATCAGTGGAAGTGGCAGTGGAATTACAACATGATCCGACAGATGATGTTCCCACTTTTTTAAACATCAATCACTCCAATAATGTAATGTAAAAACTAGGGCCCGACTGATTCACCGCATCGATCGGGCCCTAGTAAAAAACTTCATTGGAGACCCAGTTAGTCCATAATATACAAAAAACGAAACAATACAAAAGATACAAAAATTAAGATAAAAACACAAATTGTGCTTCCAGAGGCAAGAGGAATATTTTGTGTCACTAAGTGTGTCATAATCAAAATTATCGTACAATTATGCTATGGAAAATGCCGATTCCACGCCCAGTGACAGGATGCACTGGAAGACCTACCCATGATTCACACAAGGCATCATTGGGGATGGGAAAAAGGTGGATAGTAACTGAAAAAAAGGCTAGAAGCAGAAGCACAGGTGATGTCTGCGTGTGTATCCGACATCCAAACCAGCTTGAGGACAAAGAGACTTGTTTGAGCTTATTTACAAAAATGAGTTAAAACCTTTGTTCACGTGTGGATGTGTTTGTTATTCTAGTGTAAATTGATTCTTTCATTATCTGTCGAATCGCCTCAAGGGTCATGGTGCAGGAACAACAGAAAACTAATGACACTTTTTTAAAATTCAAATTTAATATTTTTGTTGACAGCAGAGAAGTAACAGTGTTCAAGTCTTACAAGACGATGATCTGGCAGTTATAAATCTCCTTGTTTGAGTCTCTGTTTAACTGTTTAGAAAAAAGCTGGTGTTTGACTTGAAGTTAAGCCGTGACAGGAGTTAACATGCACAGTGTGACAGGTTGGGTGGGTTAGAGTTTTCCCCACAGTGGGATGAGCAATGGCCAAACCCCTTTTCAGATTAAGGAATATACGACACCAGAGCTAGAAAGTAACAGCTGATGTCTTAGTGTTTCAGCTGGATGGACAAAAATGGAGAAAAAGCTGGAGGTGAATCTTCTGTTTGATGTAAACACGGTCACAGGACTGTGGCTTCTGTGAACACACTGCACTTTTGAGGCAAAAAACTGTAACATCTTCAAATAAATTAGTGCATTTTATCGTATATTAGTGTTGTAAACATGCAGAGGCTGAATCATTGCAGGCCGTGAACTCACAGAGTCTTAAAATGATTAACACTGACTATGGAAAAAGTGTTTCTGCCACACTTTAAACACACTTCCAGGCACTGAGAGCTGAGCTAACATAACTGCTGCTCACCTTCTGGGTGATTTACATTAGTCAGCTTTGATTATATCGTTAAAAAAGAGTAACATGTTGTGACACGGTTAAAAAAGAGTTGGCTGGAAATGTGATTTATTTGGCTCATGATCAGAGCTCATTTCAAACTCTGTTTGACGTGATATGAAATTGAAAACATGAGACTCATGAAGGCTGAAAAAGGGAGTTTGATGTGGAGCTCTACCAAAAATAAAAAATGTCTCCATTTGGGATTTATTACACTTAATCAGGAGGATTAAATTTCAGACTTCAAACAAACTAGTTTGGCCTTGTGCGTAAGTCGTGTGCCCCATGGGCTACTTTCCTCCATTTTATTCTCTCCTCCATCCTTCATTGTCCTGTCCTCTCTGGATACAGTCTTAAAAAAAAGCTCCACAGTAGCACTTAAAAGAGTCAAATTTTTACTGATGACACTTTTGTCTCCTGACAGAAATGGCAGCGGAGATTCTTCGTGCTGTATGAACATGGATGTCTGCGCTTCGCTCTGGATGAGTCGGTAAGTCTGGCACCTGTCTCCCCTACACTTAAACTTAAGCTTTACTGGCTTGTAGCGTCACCAACATGAGTTCAAGAGTTCTGGTTCCAGGCTCTCTCAGTGTTGTGAGGGTCAAACATTTGGCTCCCTGATGCAGTTGTGATCTCAGGTGAGAATCTTTTGGTTGTGTTGCTGTACTGTGAGAGGTTGTATTTGAATGGCTGTGTGGTTCCTCTACCATCAGCGTGGTCCTGCGGTCTTTCTCTTGTACACAAGTCTCCAGCAACATCCGGTGTTTCTTATTAAAGCACATTGTGTGAGCTCTTGAGGACTTAAAACATATTGAATGAATTTCCTTCTTCGTAAAACACGGTGCATTGTTTACGTCCATGTTTACTGTTTCAGGGTTTGATTCCTCCTTCCCTCTTACTGAGCCACAAACCAATCTAAAGGGAAAAAACATCAGGAGAGGCAGAGGAGTGTGTTGCATTGGCGTTTGCATCTTTGTGTTTGTTTTGACTTCTCAGCTTCGAGTAAGGCTTGTTGGAGAGCATACGAATCACTCTGAAGTTTTTAATCAGTTCTGAAGTGTGTAGGCTGTTTCCCAGGACTTTGGAGTAATATGATGAAGGCTTATCTCCTAAGAGTTTAAAAAAACAAAAGTCAGCAGAGTTTCCAAAGTGGTGAAACTTCCACTCTTAGTTCACAGAAAGGTCAGCAGGAGTTCTCTAACTGATTCAGTGTCACGGCAGAGTCCCACTCCACGACAGCAGAATAGTCTTATAACATATTTACATGGATGCTGTTTGCCTCGTCTTTTCCATGTGGGAAACATGATTGTTTTATTGTCAACACTTACACTCTCTCTGACATTCCCACTGAGTTTTTGAGAGTTTAGGGATTTCTCGCAGACTTTCTGAGCCTTTTATGCACCCCTTCTGTAAGTGGACTTGGAATTACCCATGATACCTAGCATTGTGACGTGAAACCAGTCATTAAATCTGCAGGTATGCTGCAGAAATAAACAATTTTAGTAAGTTACTTTTCATTTCATTTACCTTCTTTCCATTATGAAACAAAATTTCCCCCTTTTAATATACTTTCATGTATTTATATAATATTTAGATATATATGAAGTCGTAAAGTGTTGTTTCATTCCTCGTTGCATCACTTCAAACCTTTCCAGCCTCTGTGTGACAACTGTATAGTCTTTAAGGGCTCAGAGCTCAAGGTTGAGAGTGGAAATGGAGATCCTGTCATTATCTGTCATTATTCTGCCAAGACAGCTCTGTGTTCTTCATCACCCGTGTCACATTACTGTGGAGTCCAATCAGACCTCAGACACAGTGCTCAGCAGCAGCTTTGGTTGTGTGTAGGTGGAGGTGATTATCAGCGTTTGGTTGGTTATCGGAATCAGTGTTTTATTACAATGATCTCCGTTCAAATTAGTTAATTAGAAAGTGTGTCGCTTCGGCTCCACTGCCAGTGTCTTTCTTAGGGGTCTGTTTTCTTTGTCCAACAGGACTTGATTCTAAGTGTAACAGTTAAACTAATAAGCTCTAGTTTATGAGATTAAGAGTTTCAGTTTCCCAGAGTAACATACTGTGGTGCCATTTTCAAGTATGGACACAAACACTCCTAATCCACAGTTTGTGAAAAGAAATCCATCCAAACTAGTAACTACATGCCTGCTTCCTCAGTGCTGATTCATTAAGTTTCAGAGCTGCTGGTCTGCTAAAGAATCAGCTGGTTTAAGTTAAGCTGAACCTGTCTCTCTGGCTGCTAACCGGTTTGTGTTAAAGGGTAAACCTTTTGTTTATTTCGGCTAAGAGCTACGTTTGGTTCCCACAGCTCTTTAAACGTTAACCTGAGTTTATCTGGGAACTTTCTGCTCACACACACGGCAAACATGCATCTGTTATTTACAAGGCCACCCTCACTAAAGGGCCAGTGACACCTCAGAAAGATCTAACATAGACAAACAGTATAGGAGTTCAGCTCCTGGATAGAATTTCAGGGTTTTGTTTTTTTGATGCTGTGGACTCTCCAGTAAGGGTTGGGTTGACTGAACTTCTCACTGACTGACATTTCTCACTGACTCCTAAAGGACCGGCCTGATAATCGTTGGCTAACAGCGATAAGCCTCTGTCTTGTTGACCACTGTTAGCCTGTGTGTGTCTCTGGGGGAATGTGACACGGGTGACCAAACCCTCACAGGCTGATCAGGCTGCAGATTACACTGCTTGTGTGTAAACACAGGGGGCCACACACACACACACACACTATTCTGCCTCCCAGAACATACACACACCTTGACATGCTGTGTTGAAACCTTCCTGTAAAACAAATACATTCAAACCCATATTAATAAAATGACACGGCTGTTCACTAAAGGTATCTTTACTTCTCTATCTGCAAGTGTGAGACGGAGATGAACACTTTCAGGCTGTAAAACTACACACTGCTTTGAACAGCTGGCTCTCAAACACATTATGTGGCACTCAGTCCACTGATGAAACATTTTTGTTCAGTGAAATCAACATGTCAGCATGCTCTGGTGGAAGTCCAGACCTCAGTGTGTTGATTCTGTCCCTGCCAGCATTTTATTACAAAGTCGGTCTGAATATGAGGCATTTTTTCCTCTCCAAATACACGTGAAAAAGTGCGATCATCTCTTTTTAGAGGTCTACACTTTTTCATGGCATCATACGGTGACAGTGCAAAGAAGTAGCCCATCTGTTGTTTTGCTTTCATCAAAATGAGACATTTTTAGGGAGTAGTAGTAGGAATGGGCTGGATTAATCGATTAATTGATTGATCACGCTAAATTTTGATCGATCTAACGTTATTAAAAAGGGGCTGACGGTGTGTGTCCATCCCCCAGGTGTTTTCCAGCAAAGATCAACCCCTACTGATTGGGAGGAGTACCCTCTTTGCCCAGTGTTCAAGTAATGCTGACCTTGTGGCATGGAAGGATTTCGACATTTTACAAGGGGTGTGATACAGCATCAGCGGGCTTCAGTAGAAGTGGAAAAAAACATGAAGAAAGCAAGACGAAATGTGGTGTGGGATCATTTAGAGCAGAAAAATTATGAGGTTTGCTGCAAACACTGCGATGCTTTGTACAAGTACAACACGACAACAACCCCAATGATGTACCACTTGAACTTCATATATCCAACTGAGGCTAACGATTCCTCTGAGTGCTCTCAGTCTCAACCCACCATCAGCTCCTAGCTAGCAAGGAGGAACTGTAGAGTGACCAGACATCCCCGATCTTGGAGGGCAGTCCCTATTTTGTATGACCTGTCCCCGGCTAAAGTTGTCCCCAGAAATGCCCCCAATTTTAGCATTACATGAATGAGAAAAGAACAATGGTTATTATGGTAGCCCGGCAGGTTGGAAGCGCGAGTGAGCATGTAGCGCGCAGTCCAGAACCCCCCAAACTTAAAAATAGTTGGGGGTTTTTCACGTCTTTCTGCGTATTTTATGCCATTTGCATAAAAAAAACAATCAAATCAATGACTGATCATTAATTTATATGATTAATCGATCAAGGGACTTTCTTAAAATGCCCATTCCTAAGTCGTAGCTGTACAGCCAGCGTAGGACCTGAGTGCTGTGGAGTTCACTCGATGAAAGCTACAAGACACCAAGTCAAGGTTGATTTTGATAAGATGAGCAGACTCGTACCTGAACTTCAACTTCTCTACAAGAAAGACTATAAAAAGGTGACTCCTTCACCGGGGGATGGGAGGATGGCTGCTGAATGTATTGCAGTGATCAGCATGATGGTTTCCCACAAGTTGATCCAGATGAAGTTTAGATTCATTACTTTACTCCACATTTCTATATAGATGGAAGTAAACATTGAAACAGCAATTGAAACATCTCTCAGGTGATAAAAGTGAAGCATTAGGTCACATAACAAATGAAACATACAGTGAAATGATAACACAGCTGTAAAAGCAGGTTTTATAGTTTTTCTTGATGTTTGGATATCTGGAGTGCCAAATCGGCTACCATGAACTCTGGTTTGGACTACCCTTTCCTGACTTTGTGTACTTAAGACACAGCTACTGTTGGAGCAGGTGTGTGAGCTCTCCAGAGGATCAGACTCCGTATCAGTCGGACTCTTCCTCAGTGTGTCCAGCAGCTGTTTGAAGTCACATGTGGTGGATCTCTTTGTGTTTCCAGCGATGACAATGGGAGGAAACTGTGTTGGTTTTGCGTGTGTGCGTGTGCATGTTTTCCACTGTGTAATGTGTTTCCAGTGACACCCAGCCTGCTGTGTTTTCCTCTCATTGTAACAGTGATTCCAAAACTGTCTGCCTCATTGTCCTGCACTCTTTTCATCTGCTCCAGCAGGCAGGAAAGTGGGTCAGGAAAACTGCCGCTTTGTGCCCAGAGCCCGAGGAGAGGAACTGTGCAGCTGATAACACCACGGTCATGCTGTTGATCCCATCAGGATCATCATTGTTGAACAAAAAGGGGAGATGTGATTAGTTTGAGGTTGACGTTTGTATTATTTACTCCTCTCATGTGGCCTCCTTACAGTGGAGACATTTACAGGAGCCACGCCCTCCTCCTCCTCCTCTTTGTTTATGACTCTTGAGCCTCATCATCTTTGCTGCACTTCATCCACAGACTCATACAGAGTCCAGAACATTCACTAAAGCCTGTTGTTTTTTAACAGAGGCAGTGTTTAAACACAGCAGAGGTCCAGTTGAAGTGAAGCCTCCTTCTGAAAGGAAAACTGTCTTTTTGATTTGATTACCATCCATAAGCGTACAGACAGTTCAAGGTCTTCTCCGACTATTTCCAGAAATGGAGTGGAGTTTTTTTCTTCCCTGAAGACTCATACCTTTGTTTACAAGGTTTCACTCCCTCCTGGTGTTTTCCAGGCCAGACTCAGCCTGTTAATGTGGAGATTGTGGATTTGACCAATAGAGTGAAGTTTTTCTCTCTTCAGTGTGTAGGTACAGGGATGTGACGAGACAATACATTAACAAGAAAAGAAGAGATTTTAACACAATTCTATCAAGAAGATGAAAGATGAAAATAATGATTTTCTTGTTGTCTTCATGTTCATATGGCATTTTACTGATGCTACAGGACAAATCATGAGAAAAATAAGTGGGAAATTGCATTTTCAGGTTTGCACAGTGAGATTTCCTACATCACAAATCCAAGCTCCGCCCCAAGAGCCCCGCTATTCAGGCCACACTCTGAGAAATAGAGAAAACCACCGCGGAACAAGCGTGTGCTTTAGCGGAAATCAATGCTTGTAAGAAAGTTAATTATGATATAAGCTTTCATCGTGTCCCTAAAGACATTAGTGTCTGAGAGTTGAATAGCTCCTATATTACCTGCCACTTCTACTACACCGGCAATGTTAGGCTGCAAGCTAGCATGAAGAGGAGTGTGCAGAGCATCACTGTCTCCGCTCCGACTCAGAGGTGAATTGCTAATAAGCTACTGGAGCTCTGCAGAAGAAAAGACCTTGAAAATGACACAGGTAACATGATTTTGGCTAACAACTTTATAATCACAATTGAAAGACCACTGAGAACACTTTAATTAGTTAAAAAAAATGATCAGTGTGGGACTTTAAATCAAAGTCAGAAAATACAAAACAATGCAGCTCCTGTTAGAAATATTTTTTATCTGCATCTGGTGATCAGGGAACTATTCTGGACAAAGCTGTCAGCAGGAGCGTCCTCGCCTGCAGCACAAACAAAATGCACTTTTCTTCTACTTAAGCAGTTTTGGCAGCAGCTGCTTCACTGGACTGATTCAGAGACAGCACTGCCACCACATCAGTGTGCTGCTGTTACAGACCGACAAATTCATCAAGTGCCATCCTTAAAAAAAGGTCTGCTGATGTCCATGTAACATATTTGCTAATCTCATCACACCTGTCGGACTTCTTGCTGATAGCATTACTGTCAAATTATCAAGTGTGTGAGAGCTCTAAAGAGGACTTCGCAGCTCTACATGAGTCAGCATCTCTGCAGACTTTCCTAATGAACTAACCCACAATCCAGACTAGAGCAGACTATGTGAGGTTTGCAGTCATGTGGACTGTACATGCAGGCTGTGCATTTTTCTCAGCTCTGTGTCTCATAGCTTCAGTTCCAGTGACTGCAGCTAATCATTTCTTCTGATGTGGTCAGCCTATAGCCACTCTCTATCAGGAGGACTGCACTTCAACCAAGCAGCCCTCAAAAACAACATTTTTAAGATCATAGTTTTTCTGATGTCTGTGTTTCTCAGCCTTTAACTGTTTCTGTGTTTTCAAGTCTACAGGGATGGTTATTGATCTCTTAGTCCAGGATCAGTTTGTTAGGATGATAACACTGTGACAGTTACAGCCAGCTCCTGCCTCTACATCCTGCCACATGTTTGAAAGCTGAAAAGAGGTCACTGTTTTCAGTATCGATGCTCCAAACATCTGATTCTCGGTGAAAATGGTCAGGGGAAGCGATGACATCAGCCTCTATTTTCTACCCCGCAGACAGCAGGGTGCTATCTGAAGCTGAAGTATTTTCCCCACGAGCAGAGGCAAAGATGCTCTCCCATGTAAAGCAGCATTCCTCCTCTGATGCCCTTATTTGGTGAACTGCAGTGAGCCTCCAGCCCGGACCACGGAGAGAAGGAGAAAAGGAGCTGCAGCCCCTAAAAACCACAGAGGAAACGTCAGATCTGCCCCAGACCCAGACATTCCTGCAGCCCGCTCTGCTGATGCTGCTAATGCTCCACAGAGGAGTGCAGCGCAGTTACATTAAAGAATAATCACATTTAGATAAAGCGATAAATAAGGCGACTGTCAGGGAGGAGCAGAGTTTTCCACAGGGGTGGAAGTAAAGTGAGACCACCCTGAAAGTTTGAGGGGGCAAAGGTCAATGACCATGAGAACAGACTGAAGGAGGAGGGAAACTCTGATTTCAGAGCACTCTCTGTTCTATATCATGCTTTAGAGAAATATTAGCAGCTTTGTCCTTAAAGATTCAGTCAGAAAAACTCTGTTTTTTAGGGAGACCAGAATCAGAAGTACTTGAAATACAGCAAAGAAAGCAGGATTGACTGTCTTTGTGTCTGTACTGAAATCTGATACTGTCATTTATAAGCCCTCAAAAATCAACTGGTTTGAGCAGAAATCTGGTCTTCCTCATTAACTCCACAGTGCCCTGAACCAGCGTTATAGTCAAGTCACCAAGCCTTAAAGGGATATTGTGGCATAAAAGTAATCCAGGGTCAAACACACCATAACACCGAGTTAGACACCCCTTCAAGAGATGAATGTTGCCGACTGTTTGCTTCTCTAGTTATACCAACTTAAGTAATGGTTGAGAATAGCAATACAGAGAGCCATGCGCTCAACCAAAAAGCCACTCTATAGCCACAAATAATGTTCAGAACAGCACCTAACTTCATCAACAGTACATATAGGGTCCCAGCCACAGCACTAGCCACCAAACATCTTTTTAACTTTGACCAAAAACAACTCACCTACTCTCCTCCAGCAGCCGCTTGTTTCTGCAGCGGGGTTAGCCCAAAGAAGAAAATTTGTCACACATTATAAAAATGGAAGGTCCACACAAATGATCATTTTGACAAGCTTTACTGGTTACAGATCTGGGTTACAGCTTCATCATGCCACAAGAAAAAAGAAAGGATTGAGCACATTTTCAACTAACACTTTATCGATATTTGATGAATTACCACGCCAAGTTGAAGTTGTCTTTGAGCTTTTATATCTGCAGAGGTCTCATCCATTCTCTCTAAACCAAAGGACGCTAATTAAAAGTGTTTCATGCTCCAGATAGAGACTCACCCTCAGGCGTAGCTCTGGTACAGGATCTTGACTCTGTATGAAGTGATCATCTGAGTCTGAATCAGGAAGGTAAAAGTGTATCTGAAGTTTTATGACTCTATTGTGGATTTTTTGTGAATCTTTCTCACTGTATCAGGCGGGTTATTAACAGCGTAAGAGGAGCTGGAGCAGGACTTCCTGTGTGTTTGTAGTTTTCTCTGTGGAGCCGTGTGAGGAACATGCAGCGTATAAAACAGCGGTCTCTCTGCAGAGCTGCTGGGCGGACTCTCCTTTGGCTCGGCCTGTAAAAGCCTCCTGCAGGATTTATTGTTCTTTATGGAGTGGGTGTACTCACTTCACTCAGACGCTGGCTCTGGTACTTCTTCATGCTGTCTTTACAGTTTTTAGCACAGGGCAGGGGCCATAAGTGAGAAAATAGAGATTGTTAACCCTGGATCATTCATCAGTCACTCTCCTTGCTGCTGTGCAGTTTTGGTGTTCGTTTGTGTTGACACCATGTGAGAAAGTGGTTGGTTCTTAATAATATCTCACTGGAGAGCTAAAAATAGAGGACCAGCAGGGGGACAGAGACAATGGGAGGATATGGAATTGGCCCACTGGTGTAGAAATCAAACCCACAACAATCGGTCAGTGTTTGAACGGCAGCCTTGGCAGAAAGTTGGCCTTTGTGTTGGTGCCAGTAGCAGAGGGCAGTATCCAAGCAACAAGTGGCTTTTATTCTCTCAAGATCAGGACTAAGATTAAGACCAGGATCAGCTGGAACCGGGAGATTCAGGCTGCACCTAACAGCAACAAATGACACAGAAAACTCACCTTTGACCAGTAAATCCTACGACTTAATGTTTACTTCTTCATTTAAAGCTCAGTGAAGTCTCCAGAGTCATGAGGTCTTTGGGTCAAATTCTCCTTCATGTCTTTTGATGTTTTCTGTCCTAAAAAGTCCCTGAGCTGCAAACGGTAAGAAGTTTAAACAGTGAGAGATATAGATATCCATTTCATATGAACCAGATTTGCCCTGAACATTGGGAGTTCAAACTTTTGGTCTGTAGAATAACAGAATATACCGATAATCGCTGAGCCAAAGGGACATGATCACATACTTTAAAGGTGGGATAGGCAGGATCTGAGGGAAAAGATGCTTCTTTTAACAAATTCCTGCCTACCCCACCTTTTAAAAGGAGCCAAACCAGTGCAAATGTGGTTAATGAAGATTGTGATAATCAACGTTAGTTAACGACCATTAGTCAATGGCAAAGACCAGACACTGATGTTATGTTTTGTTTTTATTAATGTGAAGATGGCAGGACTAACATCTTTTAGAGGGACTGACAGAATTGTCTTCAGGGTGTTTCTAATCTACCATCCAGATGCTCGTGGAGCAGTCCATCCCTCTAACAAGCTAACTTAGTTGAAAAGCACCGTGTTCATGTAACCATTTATCTCCAACAAGTGCATTGTGGGTTCAAACCCACTCTGCATCCATGTCTCTTTCTCATTTTCATTTACTGACCTTTACTGATCCATGTCGGCGACAAAGACACAGTCAGCCCCCAGAGCACCATGAAACATTTTCTGCTGCTTTTACTTGAACGACTTTGTGACAAAATTTTGTTCTGTCCCAGTTCAGAGATCAGTTGAAGATTATTTCACAGTTTTTATCAACTCTAAACCATCAAAGATTAAAATGCAGCTCAGAGAGCAGTGAGCTGGGGTCTGACCAGAGATGTTTCTTGAACTTAAGGACACTAGAGGCAGAGTCCTGACCCCTGACCCCTAACCCCATCCTGCTGAAGGAAAAAAGAAGTCAAATAAAGTAAATATCGCTCTACTGGCCACAGAAGTAGTGTTATATTTCTTGACCTGAACTAAGGATCATTCCTTTGTAATATCTTAGTTAAGACTCTCCCACAATGCATTGCTGCTATGCTGTCCCTGCTGATCATCTAAATAATTCAAACCAAGAATGAGAAGTGTCTTACAGATTAAGACACTTTGTACAAACTTGATAAGCAGTTTCTGATCAGCCAGTTTAATTCGCTTAAAGGTGGAGTTGTTTTGACTCTTAAATTGCTAAACTTTTTGTCAACTAAAGCTAGACTAAAACTATAAAAGGCAAAAAAATGAGTGAAATGTGACTAAAGCGAAAAGGCATCTTCCTTCAAAGGCCAGCATTATCACCAAGCCAAACTGTGATTCAACCTTTGGAGGTTGAGGGAAGTTTTATTTAACCTTTGATTAATAACTGTACAGACTATTCACCAAAAAATCTGTCATCCTGAAACTCTAACAAAACATTTGAAATGGTAAGAAAATAAGTGAAATCATGTCAAAACCAGTCAGAAAAATGTGCAAATAATTAAAAGAAAAGTCACATTTCTTTTACTATGTTTTTATAGCCTCTTGAGCAGGAAATGAAGACGATCAGAAACATTTACAGGAAAGTTCAATATGCTGGAAAAAAGCGGCCTGACATTCACCTGCACTCTCTGTAACTCTGAGATCCTGAACGCTTTCAGAACAGCTCTGCCTTCAGGGCCTCATTACTGAAACACATCTGTGCGTCTGTGTCCTGATTACAGAAGGTAATTAAACGCAGCGATGTCTTGAACTACATGTGTGCAAAACTAAAATCTAAATAATAAGCTTGTTCCAACTTTTCTGATTTATTCAGCGATGTGGTAATCAGAGCAAACAGATTATCTCCTGTGTGTAGAAATCTGTTATTGCCGCTTTTACACAGAATTAAGCTGCTGCAGTGCACACCATGAAAGACGAACTAAAGTCATTCTAGTCTAACCTGTTTCTTTATCTATCTAACACACAGGCAGTGCAATACAATACAGTATTATCTGATAAAAGTGATCAAAATCCAGTGGTAAACATGTCAGAAATAATAGTGCAGTAAAGTAGAGTAACACTACAGAGCAGCTAAAGGAATACAGGCCAAGAAAAAAACTAGAAATGAGTCACAATATCAGAAAAAGTACTTGCAGTAGTTGCATATTGATGGTGATAATGAGAGGTGGTAGAAAAATATTACTAGTTATATTTAAATGTTTGTAATGATTATTTTTGTTTCAAACCTTTTGGCAGACCAACATACAAATACAAACGTCAGAATAAAACAAAGTTGTCTCTTTTGATTATAATGGTTTAAATATGCTAGTGCACCTCTGCACTAACGTTTAGAAAACTGTCTGATAAAAAAATTACAAAAAGAAAAACAAGAGTTAGTTAGTTAGTAAACTGCACAAATATCATGAGCAGCAGATCACAACGACAACAGAACCCGATACACACTTACCAATCCAATCCACTTCATTTATATAGCACATTTAAAAAACAATTAAGTTAAGCAAAGGGCTGTACAGTGCAGTAAAATAAGATAAAACACACAGACATAAAATGAATAAAACATAAAATGTTGTCTGACAATAAAAAAAGAGTAAGATAAAAGAAATCGTAATAAAACCACATAAGAACACTTAAAAAAATAAATAATGGAGGAATAAAACAAAATAAAAACACTGTAAGAGCAAATAAAAAAAAACCCAATAAAAGAACAGACAGAGACACAACTCTCACACTGGGTTACAAGCCAAGGAGTAAACCTACCAAAACATAGGAAGAGAAAACAAACATATTCTTACTCCTAAAACTGTTGCACATTCACTCGTGTCTCCCGTTCCCAGAAACTATGAATTGAACTGAATCCTGAAACGTTCAACTGTGTATCAGTTCAGGAGGTTGGAGTCGCAGGCCTCTTGAGCTAAATGAATTTGTGATTTGGTGAACAAATCTTTTGAACAAATCTTTTTAGTGAATTGATTCTTGTGATTTAGTACATCTAAAAGAACTGTCATGCCCATCACTATTAGAAGAAGCTTCCTGCTGGAAAAACTGATCAATTTAATTAAATATCTTTCAAACATGACAAAGTGTGGGTGGTGGGGAATCTAACAGGGACACCCAGTTTGTACGACAATTTCAATTGACATTTTAAGACAGACTTAACGAGAAATGTGATTAACTATTGAAATACATTAAATCTCAGTAATCATTCAAAAATCATTAGATTCAAATTACGAAGAAGTAATGCATTAAACATAAGAAAGTGGTCTTTCTGTGAGGAAATATGAACTGATAAACCAACAATAACACAAAACCAATAAAAACCATGCTTAAAAATCTGGAACAGGACTCAGGACTTTGACTTTGATGGATTGATTATTGATAGGGACATTACATACAGCTAAAACTTTCCCCTATAACTCATTCTTGCCTCCTGACTGTAGATTTGAAGTGGCCTCTCAGATTTTCTTCTCAGACATGATTGTTTCTTTGCACTGGAGGAAATTCTCCCACAGCGTCTGAGTCCTGAAGTGCGACGTAGTGTAATTGCCATATTTGGCAGCCTCTGGGGGTTTACAGGCAGATCTTAATAAAGCTGGATCTGTGTTCAGTGGCCTTAAAAGGAACTGTAAGGAGGACCGGCACCTGTTTTACATCTGAGGCCTGCAGAGTCCGGGTGAGCCCGATAACACTGAGCTGTAGGATTCAGAGCTCAGAGGAGGAAGTTTGGGGGATTTCTGCGGTGATACAGCGAAAATCGGACAAAAAGTTATCACACCTTTAAACAAACGCCAGATTTGTGGGTTTGTCAGGAGGAGGGTTTTCAGACTTGGGTTTCTTTGTCTGTGTGGTGACCGAAACGGCCAGCTCACACACAAAGCAGCTTCGGTCTGCTGTCATCTCTTTTCACTCACTCTGTGCTACAGCTGAAAGGAGCTGCCCGGTTACCACGGTGACATGGTGATAACAGCCGAGTGCCCATACAGTACAGGCGCTGAAATCTGCCAGTTTGAAAAGAGAGAGGCAGAGGAGGAAAGAGGGATTAGAGAGAGAGAGAGGACATATGAGGAACACTTAGAGAGATCTCTTCTTGGAGTTTCTCTGAAGATATTCATGTTTCTGTCTGTAGAGCATTAAACCTCTCCTTGTTCTCTCTCTGGAGAAAATGGGAGAGTATTGCCCTATCGTCGGGGTGCATCTCTATTTACAGTAACTGTGATTTTAATCAGGATGCTAATTTGTGTAGTTAATAAAAAAACAGCCTTTAACAACATGTTTTAAGAAGAAATTAACATCTGACCTTCTGTACAATTCAACTCTGAACAAACACCTTCAGGGTTGCCATGGCAGCAACCTCTCAATCCCAGATACCCCCCCATCTAAACCTCCCTCGCTTTCTGGTCTCATGAAGTCTAAGTTAGACCACAATTTACAAATTGAACATCAAGTCCTGAAACTACAATTAGAGATCATAAAGTCATTTTCTCAAGTCATTATTCAGGGGCATCAGCGTTGTCACCTTTGACAGTCAGTGGTACGAAATTAGTACCCAAATAATAAGATACAATACAATACAAGATCAATCATAAGAATGTGTAGAGCAATAAAAACACAAAAGCAAAATGTAAACAGTAGTAAACTAGTCGAGTCTCCCCCTGCTGGACAGTAGAAAGAGTGCAAGTTTAAGACACCTTAGGAGGGTACTTTCCACTTTTTGACTTCTCTTTGGTTTTCGTGTTTTTGATCAAATCTGCTCCCGTTATTTTACTCGATCAAGATATCCCATCTGTCTGTAAATGCTGACTCTCTCAAACGTGTCTCTTTCAGCCGAGCACGCTGCCTCAGGGCACGGTGAATATGAACCTCTGCACAGATGTCATCGACGCTGAGCCAAAGACGGGCCAGAAGAACTCTCTGTGCATCATCACACCCGAGCAAGAGTACTACATCAGGGGGGAGAACAAAGAGATCATCAATGGGTGAGTCGGCGGTCTTTAACACATCTGCTGCGGGGATGAGGCTCCACGACTACCTTTAAATTCACATGGATAAACTCTAATTCTATACTTTACCCCAGAATTGGTCTCAGACCCGAGTCCCTGATATTGAAATGCTTTGAGGTCCTCAAAAGGTTCTGAGTGTTTACACCTCCACCTGTCTGTCTGTAGGTGGAGTGACCAGCTGGTTGTGTACCCTCGTACCAACAAACAGAACCAGAAGAAGAAACGTAAGGTGGAGCCCACCACCTCACAGGTAACCTCCAGTGGAAATATCCCAGCATAGACATCACTTTTTTTTTTCCTGACCCCTCACACTGATCATTTGACCTCTTCAAGGAGCCGGGTCCAGCTAAGGTCCCAGTGACAGGCTCAGGTATCCCTGAAGCGGAGAAGGTCCCAGACTCCAGCTCAATCATCTGGCAGGAGGAGCTGAACCAGAGGGAGGCTGAGGGGGCCACCGTCTGGGCTGCTGCAGACCTGCCTCCAGGATCACCGCTGCCCTCTGCAGGTAAGGAGGACTAACAGAGGAACTGTTGAAAACATTCACTAGAAACTTGTGAGAAAGTGGATAATTTTCACAGGTTCTTATTTGCTGATGGAGTTAGCTGGAGTTTCCGTTAGGACATATTCGATCAAAGGTGCCTAGCCCTGAAAACCTAGATTTTTGTTGCAGAAAGAGGGAAAGTTTTGGCTTTTTAAAATTTTTTTACGGCTGATTCATACGCCTGAAGTGAAGTCTAATTGGTCCAGTCAAGTCCAACAGAAGTGTGTTTCCTCCTCTGTTGTTCAGGTGATGGTGGGTCTCTGGCACCAGGCTCTGATGCTGGCTCAGTAAATGGTGACGAGGTGGACCGAGGCAGCCTGGCGCTGCATGGCTCGGCCCCCCAGCCCCCTAGCGACCTTCTCTCCCCAACTGGCTCCTGTTCCAGCCTGGGGGGTCTCCCTCGCTGCCTCTCTCCAGCCCCCAGTGACCCCTTCCCCTCGGGTAGCTCCCTGCTCTCCAACGGCTCCCACATAAGCGGCTCGGTCAGCTCGCTGGACTCGGATGCTAGCGGCAGCACGGTGACCAGCACGGACAGCCACCCCACCCACCAGAGAGGGGGGCATCCCCACAGCCACCATGACACGCCGAGATCCAGGAGGCTGGAGGCTGAGGCCAGGAAGGCTGAGAAGAGGAGCCGATACAGGAGCCCTGACAGGCAGGAGAGGGAGGCCGTCATCAGCCCAGAGAGAAGGTCAGTCCCAGAGTCAAATCAAAGGTGTAGACTGAAAGAAATGTAAACAAGGTTATATCTTTGTTGGATGGTGTGTTTTTGGTCAGACTTGACCTCAGATAGCCTCAGAAACAGCTGAAGCTAAATACACCGATCTGGACTGAACTGAACTGAACTTCTTGCAGTCACACTAACATTCCTCGATAATACGATCAGGGATTGATTTTGTTTCCCTTGTATAAGCTTCAGTCAGACTTAAACCTGCCTTAGTGTTCTGCACATGCTCCACAGTTAGCATGCTGGGCTTGAACTTAGCAAGTGCATTTGTAGGAAGTCAGGTAATGATTAAAACCTTAACAGAGGAAGGGAATACAAAAAAAAAACAGATGAAGCTGTGGTATCATACACACTACAGGTGTCTTTGTTTTCTTCGTTTGACATAGAAGCCCCTTACTAATGTGTTTGTCGATTGTTTTGGTACGTGAGGTAATAGGTCAGAAGTAAGGAGCTAAAAGGGGACTTGAGTCCACTGACTCTCACAGGGGTATACATGTTTTTGTCGATAAATCAATTCTTACCTGAACCATTCATCCATAACCTTATGGCTGACTTATTTTAGCTCGTTACTGACATTTTATCCATCATGTGAGTGATTTTAGTGTGTTCACATTTTAATGTGCAAATACGGCTTCAATACGTCTCAATCTTTGCACGAATTCTACATTTTTCTCGATATATAATGAGAAATACTGTCTTTTTTAAGATTTCTGGGCTGAGTACTATGATCTAATCAGACTGAATGGACATTATTAGGATTAATATGTTTGTAGATTGTTGTAGAAAATAATGTCATCGTATTTTGTTCCACCATGCCAGACTTAATTTGAGAAAAGAGTCAAGAATGAGCTCTTTTTGTTAAAAAAACTCTGGCATAAAACAAAAATGACACATGAACATGCCGTTGAGACTACAGAGGGACAGAGAGAGTCGTCCTGGTCTCACTTCACTACCAGGTGAGGTAATGACATCATCCCTGATTTAACCCGATGGAGCAGGTTAGTGACTGATTTCTGAGAACCAGCTTTTATTGTTCTGGAAATAGTTGATCCTTTTAAAGGCACACACTCACACACGCAGCAGTGACGCACGTATTTTGAAATCTTTTGATGTCCACATTTACTCCTAAGAGTGTGGTTAAGAGCAGGGAGGAGTGAAGTCTGGATTTGGTGAAAATAAGATAAAGTTTTCTCTGATGTCGTTTCTGAAAACTCCCCTCCTGACAGATCCCGTCTTTTTTTATAGGCCCTCTCTCTAACTGTAAGCTCACGCTAAATAAACACACCGCCTTTAAACTTTCCATTCAGTAATCTGCTGTTGTTAGTGGAGAGGTCAAAGGTCATACACACTCCAAATGGGTGAGGTGGGGGGTCATCTCTTTCCTCCCACAGTCTGTTTCCTGCCCCGTTCGGCCCCTCCCTTCATCCCTTCATGCCAGGAGAGAGAGAGAGGAAAAGGAGGAGTGCCGACAAACATCTCTGCCTCATAAACATCTCTGCCTCTCTGGAGCCAGTTTGTAGAGCGTCACTCTGGACTGACGTGGGCGTCCTTTTAGATGCACTTGTACCTCATCACATGACCTCTTGTGTCAAGTGCCACTGCTTCTATTTTGAAATGTACTATTTCTGGTCCTTCTGGTTTATTTTGAAGTCTATGTTGTGGTTTATCGGAAGTGAGGGAACTGATAACAGTTATGGTAATGCTTCGGAAGAAAAAACATTCAATTGTGTAGTCACGCAAAGAATTGTTTTTTATTAAAGTGGAGCGACAGCTGGTTTGCAAGCAGTCTGCTCCTTCTTCTTCATCCTCTCCTCAGTCGAAAGACACTTGGCAACCTACATAAAGGACCTAGACAGCTTTAAACTTACAGTATTAGTGTATACTATTGTATGCTCCAAGGTTTCTCCATCACTCCTTGTGTAAATCTATGTGATATCCAGTGTGTATGAGGCTCACTTCCACTGTAATATACTGCTTGCAGTGTACGACAAGAACATACTATTTTCTCCACTTTAGTTCGATTATGTGGTTATAAATCAATGGAAAATGCCTTGTCACCTCTCATAAGGGTTTTTCCTTCATCTCAGGTGTTTTAAGGGATTTTGGTGAGATCATACAGGGCTCAGACATCTGTGGGAAGCTTGTAGCAGCTCCCTTAGCCAGCTGTACAAGCGTTTGATCAGGATCCTTCTGGGGGCCTCTCTTTGGGGGATGTAGAGGAGCGTCCAAGGAGATGCCTCAGGAGATGGTCAACCAGTCAGGGCCTACTCCTTTATCCCCTTGAACCGTACCAGATAAATGGATGGAGGGAAGTACGGAGCAACATGTAACGATTCTGTCATCTCTCATGTGGAAAAACTTCAATTTTGACCTCACGGTCGGACAGTGTTATAAGTCATGTTGAAGACTTTTCCAGCATGCATTGATGGGACAAGTCCTCCCACAGAAGATTCTTGCACTGCTGCCTCTCTCCTCAAAGCCCACACTCAGGGACAGTTTTTGCTCTCTGATGAATCCCTGTGAAATCTATATTCTTCTATTTAACTGAGCCAGTCTGGGACATCACTTCAGATTTATATGTCCTCCGGTAGGCGTTTGGCCTCAAACTGTCCTCCTCCTCTCTCCTTCATGCCCTTTTAAGGACCACAGCTTTGTCTGAAGAGTCCCCAAATAAGGGCAGCATGTCGTCTGAAGAGTAATCCAATATTCCCTCTTCCTCTCTGGGATGGAGAGTCTTCCTCCTGTGTGGGAGCGTGTCAGAGCTGGCTGCAGATGAACCGCAGGGATCATTGTTCCCTTCAGAAAAATGCATTTGAAGCACTAGTTGACATCTGAAAGTGCCTGCCATCATCTTTTTCTCTGTACTTGGTGATAAAATCTCACTTCCCAAGAAGCGAAAGCGCTGTTTAAAACGTTGGCTGATGAACTGTAGTCCAGAGCATCACAGCATGTGTGGGCTTGGTTACACACTTAGTTTCCCTTCAGGGTGTCCCACACTAAGAGGATGTCTGACACTTTAATTTGACAAAATCATTCTTGTTAAAACCATTTTTTTTGTTGTAGGGGAGCGTCGGTATTTTTAACCTGGGCCTTATTTTCCCTGATGTTTGTGTGTGTTTGACTGATGTGGACAACAGTTTCTGATACTAGTCCAGTATTGAGGGAGAGTGGAGCAGCTGGAAGCTGTGAAACAAACTAAAATGTAGTTTGATCAGGCAAGTGCGCAACCTCAAACTGCGTCTATTGCAAGTTCTGTATTTCAACACTGTCAGAGTGGCAAGGGTGTCCCTACCCTCCACTGCAGAAGGTGCACAAGTAGCTCGTCGTATCTGAGAAGCCTCTGAAATCTCTTTGGATTTTGCACAGATGTTCCCTTAATCACAAGGTTGAACGGATACGTTTTTCTGGTCATTTTTAAGGCTCATTTATGCTCACCAAATGTATGAAAATGTATGTGTCCTTTTCAAACAATGGTTCTGTCATTTCCCACATACTTCCATGCGTCCTTTATGTTGGCATGGATGTTAACCATTACATCCAGTTTCTGACAACAACAAACAAAAAGAAACATGGCGACTGTGTAGGAGATAGTGATACTGTGTAATTTGCATAGGAGACAGAAACGGAGGCAGCGTTGGAGGAGGCAGTGGTTGATCAGGCCGTTCAATGCCCCAATGAGAGAAATTGATGACGAACCTCAAAATCCCCGCCATTGTCTTCATTGTGTCTGTCTAGAGATGCGTATCGGGTAGTGACAGCAGCAACACTTCCCCCACGGTTTCCGATTGTACTGCTCTGTCTGACCCGTATCCATAAACTTAAAGGATACGTGCAGAAATACAGATGAAAAGAACGTGAAGCACAGGCGGAGAGCTCCATCCGGATCCGGATCCATATGTAACGTTGAGCATAAATGAACCTTTACTGGTTGAAAAGTCGTTATATGATGTCGATCCTAGTAGTGCCTCCAGTTGTGGACAAGACGTCTTAAAAATGGACGAGCTGCTGAAATACATCAGATATGAGGTTTGTGTTAATTGTGTTTGTGTGTTTGTTGTTTTCAGTCGCTCCGGCGTGATCGAGAAGTTAGAGGCTTTGGAGCTGGAGAACCAGGAGAAGATGGAGGTGGAGGAGTCGGGGAGGAGTGGAGGGAGACAGGGCCGCAGCGAACATCGACGTTTCAACAGAGAGGTAACAACAGCATGTGTTTGTGTGTGTCTGTGTGTGTGTGTGTGTAAGAGTGTTGTTAGCAGTGCGGACATGGCAGCAGAGCAGATGTGAACTCGGCTCTGGACCTATGAGTGTGGGGTTTTTCCTCTTCCTGTCCCCTCCTCCTCTCTTCTCTGTCTTTTCCCTGCACTCTCTGTCCCCCTGTTCTGTCTTTGTTTTGGTTGAAGGTCAGAGGTCATCAGTGTGTGCTGTGCTCATTTCCAGTTTCCATTCTGTGGTGGGATTCCCCTGATGATTACACTTCCCTTTCCCACCCGAACCCTCTGAGCTCGCCTTAGTAACACACACCTCCAACATGCTGACACTCAGAGTCTTAAACTGTCAATGCTGATGATTCCTCATGACTGCAGTGTTACAGTAAAACATGATGTGGATCAGGGAGGAAATCTTCAAGGATAAACTTTGTGAAATGATGAATACAGCTGAGATCATTCTCTGGAAACAAGCAAGCCTGTTTGTGTCAACTTTGGCGCCCCCTGTGGACAAAGTAGTCCTTGCTTATCTCGTCCTCCACATGCTTCACTAGTGTCTTTAGACAAAAGATCTCCTCACTGTCATTTTGACAGTTGAATTCATGATTTATTGTGAATATTTAATATGAGAACTGTAAAAATAGGACTGTGAAAGGAGTTTACATTTTAGGCATAAAAAATGACATATTGTAAAAATCAAATAAATATTCTGATGTTTTTGTTTGTTTTTGGATATCATAAAAAAGCACTAATATGGATTTCAGTTTCTTTTATAAAAAAAAAACTCTATTCACCCCCTGAGTGTGGCATCTGAGTTTTTTTTAGTAAATTGTGTCCATTCAGGGTTTCTAAAGTTGATAATTTCCATATTAATCAGAGAAATAACTTTTCTTCAGCTGTTTATAAGCGGCACTCGATGAAACCCTCCAAATCCCCAGATGTGGATTGTTTTTTGTAGATTTGGTTCAATACTAATATTCTCCTAAAGTGTCTAATGATACTTTTTCATATCACGAACTGTGTAATATTTAATGTAAAAGTGCAGTGCATATCAAATCTGCTGTAAACCTTCATGTTTTAAATGTAGGAGTAGTTGTGTGTCTTCCCTGAATGGAGCAGATGTAATGACTCTTCTTCTCGGCACAGTCATGTCCACCAAAACCGATGACTCAGTGTTTTTCAGCTATCTGTTTTGTGAGTCAAAATGCTTCATGTTTTTGTAACACAACAGGGAATTTTAACTCAAATTTGTTTCTGATGTTGTTTAGGATCAGAGACGTGATGTGGATCAGGGTCTGGATTTTCCCTCCACTCTGCCCCCTCTGAGGAGAGCCAAATCTCTGGACAGGAGGACCACGGAGTCAGTCATGACGGTGAGTTTTGAAACATCTGTCTCGACCAGAGGTTGTGACGCAGAGAAACAAAATCCACCCTGGTCTTGTTGTTGATGTTGTTGTTGTAGAGGAAATGAGTCCTCTTTGTGATCACTTGACCTTCAGCTCATGTTGTGATTCCTGTTAATAAACAGCAGGACTCACAGGAGCTGCTTTGGTGGAGATCTACTCCAGCCACACACAGTATGACTAATAATACACAGAAAAACAGGGTTGGGTACCAGAGCAGCTGTTCCATGAATGACTGGACAAAACAGTTCTGCTGTATAAACAAGAGAGCTCATATATGTTATGTTAAACATGACTGCAGATTAGCTCTATTACTCTCTTTGATGCTCATTTTGGTCACATGAATACAGACAGAAGTGATCAATGTGAGTTTAAAGGTGTGTTCAGAACAAAGGGAAAGCAGGTTGATGCCCAGGATTTGTTGCGACACTTTGACAGCGAGATTTTAGCTCCGATCTGTTTCATTTAAGGTACAAAGTGCTTTAAAAGAAATACCTGAATCGCTTTATATGCTGATTGATCTTCACACTATTAAAAGGTTGTCAGTCATCACTAGGCCTCGGCGATTTAGCAAAAAAGAAATGGTCACGAGATATTTTGTCATGTTGTCCAATCTCATTTATTATCATGATTTTTTTAGTATTTTTTTTTAACTGCCAGTTTTAAAGCATCTGTACTAAAAACTAAAGAAATTAGAGATTAGTTCAACATTTTATTAACATACAAAATAAATACCAAAGCAAATTAAATAAAATAAACGTAGAAAAATATAAAAACCATTTGAACTCAACAGTACAACAAATTTAGATATATGCTAAATAATACGGTGAACTTGTTTACAGTCCTGAGTGTTTTTGCAGGTATGCTAGACCTAAAATAAACAAATCGCCCCCTCAGGGATAGGGAAGACGCCTTAAAATGTAAACATCAGATGATGTAAACATAGATGATACGATTGATTGCTGCTTTGGTTTGGTGGCTGCACCGCTAGTTGTAACTAAAGTGCTAATGTTACTAGTGGCAGGCTGTGCAGACTCCGCTCACATTTTCAGCACAATCACTCGAGAAGAACTTCTTTAAATGATTAAACAGATTTGTTGTGTTGCCAGTTTTTAAGGGCACCGACTGCCGACATACCTTGCACATTGGCATAATTGCTCGATGTCACTTTGGAGATAACCGAACCATCGCCACACAACCCATGTTGAATAACTTTTCTTCTCAACAATACCATCTTCGGAGGAGGACTCAAAGCCATGGCTGAAATCTATTTTGCTGCCCTCAGCTCTGCGTCGAGCTCCATGTTCAGTCAATCTGTTCACTTCTCCTGTTTACTTCTCTGGCAACTTACAGAAGTGAGCAGGAAAAGCTCGACTCTGATTGGCTGTTGTCACGCACATTTGATCGAGTAAATATGCTCACAGCTGATCACGTGATCAAACTGAAATTTATCACAATCATTAATCACGATCACATTCCTAATCATCACATCAGGCTGCTGTTTTATCCCAAAGTCTTTAAAAGCAACATACGATCTACAAGCAGACTCTTGCTGAGGAGCAGCTGATTCAGCTTAAGAGTAGCCCTGTGTTAAAATTAGATCCAACTGTTATGAAATAAAGCAACACTTCACCTTTACCTCAGAGTGCCGCTTTGGGTCAGTGGGTTTTAGCGCGTTTCAGACAAAGCCTCTGCTGTTCTGTTAAGCTGCAGGGTTCGGGGTCAGCTGCAGTGCCAGGTCTTCAGCTATGTGAGGAGAGGTCAGCGGGTTGTTGTCTGGCTGTGTTCGGTAACAGAATTAGCAGAATAAAAACCAGCGAAATGTTTCTGCGGAGGCCAACAGCCGTGGTGATTCACTTTGCAGGGACAGTTTATATGTTCAGCCCCGACTCTTTGAGGTTAAAGCGGTCAGAAAACAATCTAATTTACATTAAATACTGTTCTATGATTTACATTTTGACTACTGAGTGGTTTATGCACAGACACACACACACTGACACAGAGAGAGGAGACAGTTCTGAAATACAGCTCCTATAACCTGCATCTAACCTGATTTATGCAAACTTTTTAGTCATTGAGGCTTTTTAGAAGTTATTTTTCTAGTTGTGCAGTCAGACTTAAAGCATCACTAATTCAGCGTTATTAAAAATCTTCATCATGATGTTGTTTTTCAGCATCCTTTCTGCAGTTTGAATGTGTCTAAATCGGAGTAAAATCTGTTTCTTTGGCTGTTGTGGCGCCGCAGTAAGATTTCAGGTCAGAGTCAGTCAATTAATCTTTATTTATACAGCGCCAGTTCACAGTAAGTGTTATCCTGAGATGCTTGACAAAAAATCTGGTCTAGACCAAACTCTGTTTTTAGAGACCCAATATGAAGATGGGATCAGACAGACCCACTCCCATCACATCTTTAACAACATGAGTGAAACACTTGACAGCATTTATCAAGTTACAGTGGAGTGGAGGAACTTCCTTTAACAGGCAGAAACCTCGAGCAGAACCAGACTGATGTTAGACTGTCATCTGCTGAGACTGAGCTGGGTTTAGAGAAGGGAGAGAGACAGATGGACAGAAGAGACGGACGTTAAGTTTGGTGGTTTAAGGCCTATATTTATGGTTGTGGTAAATTAACCCTAACAAAACCCTAACAAATAATCTCCCACTAGTTCCTTCAGGTTGAAATCAGCTGCCCCTTTGGTCTGAAAATGTCTTAAACTGAGCCGTGTGTAAATCTTTGTGTTTTCAGTGTGTGATTTTGAGCTGAAAATGCCTTTTTTTTTCTAACATTTCTGTTGCGTTGTTGTGCTGGTGTGAGGGTGTGGATGATGTAGGATAAACCTCCGAGCTGCAGGGGGCAGTGCAGTCCCCCTCCTCTCTCCTTCCTCTCCAGGTTATTTTCCTCGTTCTGCTCCCTCTGTGTGCAGATTTTGCAGCTTTATTGTACTGTGCGTGTTGATATGTTGCTGTCAGTGTGTGTGTGTGTGTATCAGTCAAGTATCTGTGTATGTGAGAGTGTGTATCACTACTTGCCACTGCTTCCTGAGGTCACGGTGCACATGTGTGTGTTTCTTCCACACAGCAGTATTGATCACTGGGTTTAGTTTGATCCACAGAGCGACAGCAGATCAGGCAGAAGTTGATCCTTTCCTATGTTTCAATCTCATGTCGAGTTTTTATTTTTGCAAACCTTTGGTCGGGTCAACTTCTCCCCTCAGCTGACTGAGCGAGCATGAGTCTCTGCTGCTCTGCATTTCCAGAAACAACACCTAGAGTCTGTATGTAAATGTGACATATATCGCCAGAGTCTCTATGTGTCTATATTTGAAGGTAAGTTGTGATTATGTTTGGAGCACTTTTTAAAAACATGAAAATGACTGGAGTGGAGCAGACAAGCTTGTGCAGTGAGACTGTTGTTTATTTTATGACTAAAGCATGGAAACTTTCTCTAAACCGTGAAGTTTATTTTCATACCTGGAGGCTTTTGAGATTTCCACGCTGAGGTCAGAGCGAGGGTAAGCAAACTTGAGGCGGACAAATTACACTTTTTAAACTTTATACAGGCGTGAAACTAGTTTATGTTGCAGTTGTTGCATCCCTGCAGACATATACTTTAAAACGCTGTGCTGCAACACCAAAAAAACTTTTCAGCCCACTTTCTCCCACTGAGAAAAATAAGCATGTCTATATAGTCGGGTGTCAATCAAAACACACTTAAAAAGCTCAGATGTTGCCGGCTGCAGAGATACTATCGGCTTTGTATGCAAAGCTAAGGTGACGTCTACTGTGAAACTCTTAGTGCTGTTTAGAGTGACAGATCTGCAGATAAATAAAGTAGTAGTGATAAATCACCTGTGCTGTGTGTGTTCTTAATGCTCCAAAATTCCTCCATACAGCTGGCATGTTGAGGCTCAGTATCAGCATTATGAATCTAACGCCTCATTTCTGCTCCTACCAGTAATGAACTCTTAAAGTCCAATATTATGCTGATAATGCTGTGCACGTAATAACACAATTATGTGTTAACACCAGACAGGAATGAAATTATACACTCGCTTAATTTGCACAAATATCTCACTCCATTTACGCGCCTACGCAGTCCCTAATGATGATGATGAGGAGGAGGTGGGGTTTTCCTTTCACGCCGTTTCGGTCTGTTTTAATCAAACACGGTTAAGGTTGAGTTCACGGTGAGGATCTGTTGCGATCTCATTCACTCTCAGCTTAGCGAGCGCCTTTTTATTTCTCCTTTGATAGGAAAACAGGTCGTGTTGTACAGCCCAGTGTTCAGCTCTCACATATAATGGTATGGACACAATGAAGGTTGCCAGTCCACCTAGAGTGGCCCGTCCACTCTGGCTGCATAAGTCCAGATCTTGGGTTGAAGACGCTTCTATAGAACTTTTATTACACCTAATAGTATATTACTGTTAGAGCTTTCACAGCGCTGCTAATTCAATAAAATCAAATCAGTCATTTTGTTTGTGTAGAGTTATTTTAAGGTAGTAAACTAAAAGAGCAGGTCCGGTCTCCACTCTTGCCTCCATTTCTTATCAAATCATCGAGTTTATAAGCAGAGGCTTTTATACTTTAGTCATAAAATGCACTTTTGTTTGCTCATCACATGGTTTGTCTTTGACTGCTTTGGACATCATGCATGATGAAATATTTTTGAGAGCCTAATTTTCTCATTATCTTGTATTTATTTTCTTTACTTTCGCAGCCGGATCTGCTGAACTTCAAGAAAGGCTGGATGGTGAAGCTTGACGAACAGGGACAGGTAAATTAGGAGCTCTGAATCTGCCTGCAAATGACCAAATTAAAATGGTGTTTTCTCTGGAATTAATCATCCTATTTTCTCGTTAATGTAGATAACTTGTAATTTTTTTAGTAGCAGTTTGACACTGAGGCTTTGTCTCAAACTGTGTCTGATTGGTCTACCTGAAGCTCACTGTGGTCACTCGTTGATGTTTGCATTTAATAGTCTCAAAAGGCGAGGGTAGGGCCTAAAACTTTAGAATACATCTTTATGTTAAGTGCAGACAGAGCAGCTCTGAGTTTCTCACTGGTTGTTTCAAACAGAAGACAGAACCTAATGTCAGCTCACCTGAACATGCTCTGTGTTGGTTTTCTTTCAGTGGAAGAAGTTCTGGTTTGTCCTGACCGATCACAGCCTGAGATACTACAAGGACTCTATCGCAGAGGAGGTCGGTTTGATTTAGTTATTTCAAAGAAGGTTTCATGTTTTTCTGCTTTTTTATATTCACCACTCTGGGGAGTTTTTTGTCTGTTTACAAACTTCTTATTACAGATTTGTGGTCCTAAGTTTATGTCCGTATTTATATATTTGTCAGTTTGTCACATGGCAACAGTGGAGGAGGCTTCTGAAGTACCGGGTAGCAAAAAACCACGTAAAGCTACAACAGAGAAATCAGAGGGGGAATATAAAATCTGAAAAAGAGCATAATACCTCCTCTTTAATCTGGAGCTGATGTTTTAGTAAATAATTACAGCTCCTCTTCATGTCTCCTCTGTGTGTGTCCTCAGGCCTCTGACCTGGACGGAGAGATCGATCTGTCCACGTGTTACAACGTCACTGAGTATCAGGCTCAACGCAACTACGGCTTCCAGATTCATGTAAGAGGAATCCTATCGAGGACAAATGTTATTAATGTATATGAATTCTTTCACACTATATTAGACTCTGTACAGCTCCAGTTGGATCAGAGCTGGGATGTTGAGTTAAAGGTTTATGAAAACACGTTTTGATGCTTTGCAGATTGTTTAAACTTGTACTGAGTTGAAAATATTACAACAACAAATCAAATGTTGAAACTGACAAATGTTGCTGTTGACTCATTTTGAATTTGACGCCAGTGACACATTAAAAAGTTATTTAATAAACTTTTAATATATTCTCAGACTCAGGAGGGAGTTCACACCCTGTCGGCCATGACAGCAGGGATCCGCAGGAACTGGATCCAGGCGGTGATGAAGAACGTCAGACCCTCCACTGCTCCTGATGTGGCCAGGTCAGTAAAGTTTTTCCTACACTGCTGAACAAAGTTTCCAGCCACAGTGACAGATCTGGTGTTTTACAGTCTGTTTGGGAAGAGAAAGGTGCTCAAAGGTTTAGAAGTGCAAATTTCTGAGTCAATATTTCCTCTGTGTAGCTCCACCGAGGACCACAGCTCGTTCTCTCCTCTGGAGGGTCTGGTTCGGCCTGATGTCACCCAGGACTCTCCCTCCTCTGAAGCCTCGTCTGTGGAGAGAGAACCCCCCTTAGGGGTCCCAAAGAGCAGGGCGAGAGAACGCAGGAGAGAGGGCCGCTCGAAGACATTCGACTGGGCAGAGTTCAGGCCGATCGCTCAGGCTCTGGCTCAGCAGAGAGCTCAGGAGGCCGAAAGCCTTCAGGCGGAACTGGGAGAGCTGGAGAGGAGCCGGAGGAGGGAGGAGAGGAGGAAGAGGTACGAGACTGTGACCGGCTCGACAGCAGAGAACTCATCCGTTAGAGATGGAGGGAGGACAGAGTACGAGGGCGAAGAGGTAGATTCATTAGAGAGGCAGCAGAGAGTGGAGGAGGTGATCGAAAAACACTGGCAGCAGGTGGAGAAGACGCCGATACGGGAGGAGAGGAGGGTCCCTCTGCCGGTCTCTATGCAGAGCAGGGAGACTGCAGACCTGGAGCAACTGCTGGACAACTACAAACAAGGGGTATGTTTTCTAGCATTTGTGCATAGAAGTCATTTCTCATCCATTTCATTTAGACGAGAAGATCCATGAACATGTGAAAACACCACAGAGCATTTCATTATCTGACACTTATCAGATCAGACAGCCTTTCAAATGCACATCTCAAGCTCTCGCTTTGAAAACATAACCTGCAGATGGAGATGCTGTTATCACTGCACCTGTTGAGTATTGTAAACATCGTCTGACTTCTTCCTGCAGATGGAGGAGCTGAAGGCTCAGCTGGAGAGCTGTCACCAGCAGCTGCTCGACTCCAACAAACACAAGCAGGACCTGGAGCTGCAGCTCCGGATGGCTCTGGAGAGAGAGCAGGACATCCGGACGGGGTACATCTCTCCGGTGAGTGTGTGTCTGTGCTCTGACCTGTGTGTCAGTCTGCTGTAGAGGGAAATCCTGTGTTAGATATCATGAGTAAACTCGGCAGTGTTTTCTCCTCCATTTAGTAACATTCTTTGCATGTTTTACTCGAAACTGAAGAAACAAAACAAACTGACATTAAAGCATAAAACAGCTGCAGATCGGATCCTTTGCATGAGTTCATTGCATGTGAAATAAAACATGTATTTCTTATGACTACATTGGCTTTTGCTAGTTAATCTCTGTTTGTTAGAGGTCTGTATCTGAACTCATGCCAGAAGCTACTTCAGGATTGTTGATTTTTGACCAGAGGAGTTTTGTGTTTGCTGAAGTGACTTTCTGAGGATTATTTTACTCTAAATAAAACAATAACGGATTATTTTCATACCAAACCAGCAGGAAAATTCTGCTTTGTTTTAGTCACATGTTGTTTTATTCAAGTCAGGCCAGGTCAAAGCTTTTTGTATAGCATATACAATATATTCAACTTAGCTGACCTAAGTGTGCCGGAGCTTAAAACACACAATCAGTAAAGGAACAAATATGAATTAAAATTCCAATTAATGAAAGCAAAATGTAATAACATAATAAAATGTGGAGCTCAGCTGGATACAGAGGTGTTATCTTTACTGCAACACTTTACTTACAACTTCATCATATTTAGATAATTGTGTAGTTAATTTGAGCTTTGTGTAATTCACAAAGAAATAAAGGTACATCAAAAAAAGAGACTAAAAAAAATTCTATTTTAGCCAAAATATATTTAACATTTTGACAGTTTTCACTGTTGAACATTCGGTATCCAGTGTTTTTTCTGTTTTTTACATTAGTGACTCTCCATATTAACTACTGATAACCTTTGTGCAAGCCTAATATATGTGGAGATTCAAGAACAGATTCAAGAAGACTTTCTGAAGACCAAATCCTGTTTGATAAAGAAAATAATGATAAAACAAACACACAGATTTTAAATAGAAAGATAATTTCCTTTGAAATACAAAACAATCATCTTTTAATGAAGTAGACTCATTAAATAAGAGCAAGCAAAGTATTGATAACACAGTTGAACAGTTCAGGGGGGAGGGGGGTGCATTTACCATGTACACGTGATGATAAAAATAAGGTGTGTAGATGATTGTCTCTCTGTTAACATTGGCCAGAGTGAGTTCTAAATATCAGCACATAGCATAGCAGCAAAAATCCAGTTTTAAATATTGTTTGTATTTAGAGTGATATAATCCTCCTCGGTCAGTGACACAGTCTCTCTTCTTGCTGAAACCTTTGGCTCCACATGTTTGGAAAATAACCTCTCAGCTTGTCTCTAATGATCTGCATGGACGTCAGATTCTCATCTTCTATTAACTGCTGAACAGACCATCCATTTGTTATTCTGCTAACGAGTATTTCAGACAGCAGCTGCTGCAGCAGAAAGTGTGACGCTGAAAGACTTGTGTGCCTGTGCGTATCCATGAATGAATGTATAAAGTTTTCAGAGTGAGCCTGATGGTTTCAAGTCAAAGTCCGGCTCTGCTCTGATGCATCCCTCGTGTTGATTTGTTGTTGTGGAAGCAGGAAACTTAAAGACTTCAAGTGAAACATTTATGAATATTACATTAAGTTGGATTATAGTGTTCAATATTTCCGTTCTGCTCTGGAAACAAGTCATGATCTTGGACCAGAGAACCTCAGAAATGTGTTTGTAGGAGCTGGTATGCCTTCATCCCTTAGTAAACCATCTAGCTGAAACTAATATTGCATTACTGACCACATGAAGTAACTTTTAACCCCCTAATGAGCATGCTCTGTTGTGATTAACTAACCCTGGCCATTTAATCTTTTCCTCTGCTTTGATTCACTCCATTAAACCTTCAGGGTCCTTTGAGTTGGCTTTGAATCACTGTTAATTTATGTGTTCATTAATTTGAGATTACTGTGTGGGCTACAGCTAATTATAAAATCACTTTTTTAATATCATTTAAAGGGACATGATTGGTAGTTAACGCTGAAAATGATTAGCAAGCTTTGTGTGTCCCCTGCTGTGTGTTAACCAAATGTTTGGTCCCCCTTTTCCAAGCTGGAGCCCCCTTTGGGTCTGGAGGCTGATGTGACGCCCCAGACGAAGAGGCCCGAACTGGTTAGTTCTCAAGCACAGAGTTTAACAAAGAAGTACCAGGAGACCAAAGAGCTCCTGAAGCTGCAAGAGCTGAAAAAACGCAATATGCAGGCACAGCTTGGCCTCTCGCTTTCTCACCTCCCCATCAAGGACCCTTACTTTTCTGAACCCCCACAAACATCCATCCCAGAAGGGCCTCCTCCCCAGCTGGTCCAAAAAACTGTTAGCTTCTTGTTAACGGACAGCACAGAGGCAATCCAAGAACTAGAGGACCTGATTGCTGATAAACCTCTGACTCTGAGGGAGCTGGGGAAACTTCTGAGGTCTCATAGTTGTAGTAAAGACTCAGCAGAGAAACACCAACTCCAGAGGCTTTTGGAGACCTGGAAGTACCAGCAGGAGATCGAAAATGAAGCCTTAAAGAAGAGTTTAACCAAGGCAGGAGAGAGCATCAAGGAATATGAAGCTCGTCTTCTAACCATGGAGGATTTGATGGGAAAGGTTCAGAAGCCAAGTTTTGAAAGCCTGAAGAGTCCTTATGGCCCGCTCACAGGGATCGAAAACCATCAGGACACAAAGGAAATGAGCGTGAAGATGCTTTCTCAGAGGGTCGAACTTCTAACAAGTGAAAATGGAGCTCTGAAGCAGAGATGTCAGGAGATCGTCAACCAGCTGACCGAGGCTGACCGAGAAATTGACAGGCTGAAGGTGGAGCTGATGAGCCAGCAGGGAAGCAAACAGCATCACCAGGTCATGGAGGAGCTAAAAAGACTAAAGAGTGAACTGGCAGAAAACCAGGCCACGGCTATTGACAGGGAGTACTACGAGAGGGAGCTGAATGAGAAGTCTCTAAGGCTGCATGAAGCTCTGGTTACACTGGAGGAGCTGGGAAACACCCTGAAAGACACTGAGAAGAAGCTGCAGCTGAAAGAGGCCACGCTGAAAGGTCTGGGCTTCCGGGCAGATTACGAAGACGAGGAAGTCCAACCGGAGAACGAGCAACTTAAAGCGCTGCTAGAAGCCTCACAGACGAAGTTATCTGAGACGGAGGAAAACCTTCAGTCTAAAGAGCAGCAGTGTTTGGATCTGGAAGCCAGAAACAGAGAACTGATCGCAATAAACCATGAAAATGAGAGAGTGAACAGAGAGAAGCTCAGAGAGGCAGAAAACGAAATCAGGATGCTGCGAGAGAAGGTAGAAACAAAGTCAGGTAGGGATAAAGAGACGGTTAGCGATAGTGTTGATGCGAGAGAGACGCAGGTTGATGACAAAGGGCCGATAAAGCAAGTAGTAGAAGAGATGGAGATGAGGTGTGAGGCGATTAGTCAGGTTTTAGTGATGTTAGAAAAGGTAGATGTTAACGTAGAGACAAAGTTCAGTGATTTAAGAAGCACTTTATTCAGTTCTTGGACAGCGGAGGAGCAGCTCTGTTTGGACCCTGAAGACATGAGGATGGAGATGGAGGGAGAGTTCTGGAGTCAGCTGCTGGGATCATCCACTAAAGTCCCAAAGGAAGATGGGCACAGATTTGCAGAGCAGATGATGGCGCAGAACCAATTGATGTTTTTCTTAAAAAAGACCTGTCTTCAAGTGGAGAGAGAGGACGTAACAGAGGCCGATTTCGCCGCCGAGTATGGTCTGCTTGACAGTGACACCAACGCTCTTATTCTGAAAGAGCTAATACAAACGTTGAAGGCAAAGTCACGTCTTCTGCAACAGAATGCATGCAATATCAAGTCAACACAAGATGAAAATCTTAAGTCTTTGGCTCTAGCAAGCTACGATTCAACCCAGAGTCAGAAACAACCACCTGAATATCTGCAAGATGCCCTTAAAGATGCCTGCATGTTTTATGTGACCATCAAACTGAAGGTCCAACATGATAAAGAGCTGAAGCAGAAGCAAACAGAAACCCAGACGGCCAGCTTGGATTGCCCAAATTGTCCCAAACTGATAGAGGCAACAAGGAATCTGGAGTCCACCCTGGCAGATCTTCAGAGTCAGCTCTCTGAGATGTCTTTGAGGACAACTACAGGGCCACAAACTCTGACCCAGAGAGAAGGAGAACTCAATGAGGATAGAAGCAGTGAGGTTCAGGACCTGATAGCAAAGCACAGGAAAGAGTTACAAGAGGTGAAAGATAGCTACGAGCAGGAAGCTGAAAAGTTAAGAGGAGAGATCATCACAGCTAAGGAGACGCTGCAACTTCACTCAGAAGAAAGTCTTCGAGAGGTTGAATCTCTGACGGGCTGTATGGAGGACCTGAAGAGGAAACACAAAACGGAGAGGACAGAGCTCACGGAGAGGTTTGACCGGGAAATGGAAGAGCTGAGAAGCATGATGACTCCTGCAAACCAGAACAACAACAACAACCCAGCTGAGGACCAGCCGCCGCATCACACCGCCACAGCCCAGACATCCACCCTGAAGGAGCGCATCCAGGAGCTGCTGACCCAGGTGTCAGTGATGACCCAGGAGATGAGACGACGCGAAGAGCAGGGAGACATTACCACTCTGCGGCTGAAATATGAGAAAGACCTGGACAACCTGAAGGTGGAAGCGCTCCTTGTCCTTACCGTCGTCCATCTGTGATGCCTTGTGTTCCTTTGTGGCATTCCCAGACTCCCCTTCCTCCCCCAACCCTCCTCTTCCCCTAACCTTGCCCACAAAACTCTTGCTCTTTTCTAAACCTCTTTCCTTCTGTGTTGCATGAAACTAACCTCCTCCCTGTAGGTTTATGTAAGCTGTGACGCTGCAGTAGTTTGCACCGAGGAACACATTTTGTTTCAAATTTCATCGCCATTATTTGTAGAAATTTGCGAATCTTGAACTCTACAAAATCCAGCACACACCATCAGATTCTCTCAGACTACCTCATATTGAATCCTCTGAAATGAGTTCCTCTGTTCCCAGTTCAACGTGCTCTTTAAGCTAACCCCCCTGACTCAGCTTTGTTGCTTTTTAAACTGTGGGATAAGAATTTTGAACTAATCCGAAACAAAAATATTTCATCCCTGATCAGAATTTGGTTAGATACGATCACTTTTTCTTTGACTGTACTAACAGGTCAGTCTTAATCTCTTCTTTTTTAACATCTCAGTACTTTGACTGGATTAACTAGGTCCAAGTACCGGAGTTTTCTAGAGCTGAACCAGCAGAAAAGTAGAGTCTAGGTATAGATTGTGTGGTCGGAATTCAATACAGGACAAGTGTAACTGGTGCAGGCAGAATTTAGAAAAAGCTCAGAGAGTAGACCCTGAGTTTCAATGTGTACAATCCATCTCTCTCATATTATTACAGTGCCAGGTCAAATTAAACTTATCTGAAGGCACTTTCCATAAAGAGCGGATCCAGTCCATTTTTGGAGGGGGGCTATTAGACAGGTACCGATCAAAGCTGCCTTCCTGTTAGATCATTTCCATTACTGGTATTGGAGTCCACAATGTGCAGTTTATGTGCAACTGTGATGCAGACTCTTTATTTCTACTGTGTGGGGTATACAGTCCTGCTGGGCAGGGTCCAAAGTGACCCTCCGAAACCACCACCAACAAGCGCCAGTTATGGGTAGAATTCCCGTTTTGCACTCAGTCAGATTTAGAGGACTATGTGCCACATGGCAGGAAGTAAAAACTATTTACTAGGAAGATGGCTGCAACAGTTTTGACCAAGATCAAGACTTGAACAAGTGCATTCAGGCCCCAAGTGATTAACAAGCACTCAGAAAAAGTAATTTGAAATACATCCTAACATCTTAATGCTTCATGAAATGCATCCTAAAAAATATGTGTCACCATAGACAGTATATAGAATGGACGTATCTGCCTCCTCGCTGGGTGAAGCCACTCTGAGAACAGCACCCTCTGGTGACGGCCTGCAGTATAGGTCATAAATCCCCCCCTACTCCAGCAATCCCTATGGAGATGTGGACAAACTTAACAAATTTATTACACAGAATAAACATTTTTCTCCCCCCTGGTTGCTTTAAGTGAATGATTATGAAGGAGGCGGTACGAGACATGTCCACATAGCTCAGTATCCTTCTGTGATTTATCTTAGCTTATTGACTGCACCAGTTGGTAGGATGACTTTAAAGTGCATTTTATACACCAGATCTGACTGTATTATGTATACGGGTTAAGTAAACCTGTTTCAGAGCCCCACCAGTGTGACTGTTGCACATTTTAGTAGACACAAATTACACATTACTCATTTAGAACCCAAAAGATGTTGTAATACGGCCCAGGTTATTAAAAAAGGGGGGTTGGAAGTTGGATGTTTATGAGACTGCAACTGAATATTTCCCTTTATTGTTATTGAGATGATGGCGTGCAGAAGTTCTCGGTTTTCAGTCTATACTCTGACCCCGCTCCTCTACTGTCCTACATGGTGGACATCTGTGGTACACAAAAAAAGCTTTTAACAGCTTTTAAGCTTTTTTCCCTGCTGTCTCAGGAAATATGTTTCTTTGAATGGTTTTCACAATGAGCAGTAAATATGACAAAGTCAGATTGTGCTGTTCTGTAATAAGCTTTTTGGTAATCGTCCATAAAGCCAAAGAAAACTATCTGCCGAACCAAACATGATCGAGTAGGTCAGAAATTTGTATAAAATGTCTCTGTAGACAGTGGGGTAGTCCCTCACAGCTATCAGTGCTATCACAGACTGAGCTTAGGCTATAGAAGCAGCAAACAGGGTGGTGGTAACAGATGATGCGACTCTGAGCTACACGTCTGCATTGAAACCGCACATTGCTGAACACATTGAAAGCACACAGGAAAACAGTTTCAGACTAAAGAGTAAGTCAGTTAGGTGCCGAGAGCTGAACATACAGCTCTCTGTATCAGCAAGCTCAACTGTCATAGTAACAAAAAGTTTCAGAATGTCTCCAGTAAATCAGGTCATCCTGCTGCCAGTGAACAAGCTTTAATGAAATCCAAAATTATCGACTAAAATTTTTTATTTTTTTTTGCAAAGATAGACTTAGACAGTGATTTTTAAACCAGAAACAGCTGTTTCATCACTCTCTGCAAGCACAATGAAGTACTCTGCTAACAAAATAGACACTTGAAATGACCATCTGTCCCGGGAAGACACAAAACAAGAACTTATCGTAAAGTCACTCTAATTCATGAAGGATTATGTTGCAGCCGTCACAGCCTGTTGACCTGCTGCAGGATGAATTTTGGGCTGTTCTTAAAGTCACTGGAAGGAGTTAAAGCTGGTTGAGAAACTTATACTGATGCCTCTTGGCAAAATCTGTTTCTATTCATCCGTTTGGATAATCTTGTGGAGTTTGCACCCTATAGGAGCAGCTCAGATGGATGTGAAACATGTCCCCTACTGTAGATGTGTGACACTTCTATCATTTAATCTGTATTTAAGAGTTTTCAGAATTATAGGAAGACAGTCTGGATGTCTGAAGTCACAGCTGATAAGTATCTATAAGACCCAGTTCATAGAGGGCTGAAACAGGGACGATCTCAGTGATACCAACACCAGTATCAGAATTTGACGGGTTGTAGAGTTTTAAACTGATTGTTGTGTTTGTCATTGTGTGTTTATTCTGCAGAGTCTGAGTCCTTGGCCCAGCCCTGACCTTAGAGTATATTTACACACAGATCCACTGGCTGACTTGCTGCTAAATAAAGCCGCTCTGACGTCACAGCAGGAAGTTTACATTAGTCATGTGGAGGTGGGGGTTCCTGGGTCTGCGCTCTCTGGGGGTTTGATCCCTGTGAAAACACTCTAGACCTCCATTTCCCCTGTTTGACTGGAGGCAGAGAGTCCAGTGAGTCCTCAGATTAGTGGGAGTGAATGACTCTGGAGGAGGTGTAAAGTCAGGCTGTTAAAATCTCCTATAATGATATTCTGCTCCTGTGGATGTGAGAGCAGCATGTCGATGAGGATTAATCTCCTCTCTGTACCACCCTGAGGTACAGAGTTGGACCTCACCTGAGATATATTTAACCTCAGGTGCCCAGACTGCCAGCCGCCTATGATTAAATTAGCCTATTAGCTTAACCCAACATTCCAGCACAGATTTAACCCAGAGGCAGATTAGGATTTGCACATTTGGTGCAGACTGTAGACGCTGTTCAACAACATGTTCTCTGTTTGAGACACGGCTGTCCAAATAACATAAGTGGTCACACTAACGACGTCACCCATCAGTCTGTGTTTTTTGAGGGTTTGGATTTCAGCCATTTTTGGTGATCACCATCTTGCCTTCCAGGTGTAGCCTGAGAATAGTGACGTGTCCGCCAACACCATGTCAAAGCTGAATAGTATGCACCCATTTTTAATTCATTAGCAAGGGATGAGTTAGTTTCCACCAATGAGTGATCTACCAAGCCATGTATGGTGAGCAGAGACACAGATAGCTGCCAATCAGTGTTAACATATAAAAACCACAAACATAAGTTATAACCGAATGTAAACCAGGGTATGAAACTTCTTGGACTGTCTGTTAACACCAGAAAGCAAATATTAAGATGGATTTTATCTGATTTTTACATCCCAAAAAGGCTCCAACACCACAAACACAACCTAAAAGTTAAATTCAGTGACCAAGGTAGCTCAGGGGAAACCTAGCAGGCAGCTCTCGCCTGTCGCCACATATCCTTGAGCTTTGATAAGAATTAAACATGTGAGTTACAAGAAAATGTGTTTTTTTACCAAGCTGTAAACATGTTCTGGACATTTTAACATGAGGCTCAATGGGGATTGACTCACTTTAAGAGGCAGCCTCTAGTGGACACTCCAGGAACTGCAGCAAGGTTTAATCAGCAACATCAGTGAACAGAAATCTCCTTCACTCCCTCCTCTCATCGTCTCTTCTTCCTCCAGTGTTTCCTCTCGCTCCTTTAACCTTTTTGTTCCTTTTATACTCACACAGACTCGACTCGCCCCCCGGCTAACAGGCTGCAGCTTGCAAACTTAATTGCTGGAGAGAAATGATTAAAACTTGGGGTTCAGAGGGTTCTTCCTGTTTAGAAGAAGAACCTTCTGGTCCGTGTCCAGGTGAGCCTCGGACTCACAGGTGCTCTGTGTTTTCTCTCTGGACAGGCCACATGTGAGCGCGGCTTTGCTGCGATGGAGGAGTCCCATCAGAAGGTGATCGACGAGCTGCAGAGGAAACACCAGAGAGAGCTGGAGAACCTGCAGGAGGAGAAGGAGAGACTGCTGGCAGAAGAGACCGCAGCTACTATTGCAGGTACATCACAGAGCATAAACAAGTTGGATTATAATTTTTGACACAATGATGAGCATATATTTGTACACATCTGATTATTGACCCAGTTGTACTCAGAAGTCAGGATTTCCGAGGGATTCCTGACTCGGAAAGTCGGACAATCCACACAACCCCTGAGTTGACATTTAAAGATGGCAGCGCCGGTTGTAAACAATAAGGCTGTTCTCGTAATGAAATAAAAAATAGGCTACCTTCTGCGCTTTTGTGTTTCCTCTTCATCCAACGTTATTGCAGGTTGCAGGATGACCGCATATTTGTCCAAATATTGTTTATATTCGGACAAGGCAAGTGGGAGAATTTACTTTCGTAGATGTAGCCATCTTGTTTTTGCTTCCGTTTTTGGCCGTTGGCTACTTTTATCCGACTTTGTAACTGAAACACTGATAACTCCGGTGGGACGTCATTCTCAGCTTCGACTTCCGAGGTTAATGGAACGTACCATAAGACTTCACAAACATGCTCAGTCCTGAAGAAATAACAGAAAACATGAACTCCTTTTTTGGAGTGCATGGTTTAGTTATCATATTTGACAGCTCAGTTTTGAAATTCAGTATGACTGTTTTTACTTTTTGTCTTCAGCAATCGAAGCGATGAAAAACGCCCACCGCACAGAGCTGGAGAAGGAGCTGGACAAAGCTCGCAAAGCTAACAGCAACACCGAAAATGCAGACATCGAGGAGATCCGCAGACAGCATGAGTGAGTTTTGACTGTTTCCGGGGTAACGGCGGAGAGGTGAAGTTTGATCTCTGGGGCTGTTTCAATAAAGTCCTCCTGTTTACAGTCGCTCTTTTCTTTGCTGCGTTGAGTCGAATGCTCCCAGATTTTGGAAATGAAATAACCTAGCTGCTGTCCAGCATGAGCTACACTCAGCTGAGATAGTAAAGATGTTAAATATCTCACTCCCTGCAGCCTACACTACTAGCACATAATAGTGAGGTATGGATGGACCCAGCAACATACAATCATGACTCAATGAGGGAGAAAAGCCTAAAAAGGGGGCGCAGCTAGACTGGTCCACCTCACTGTGTGTCCTCCATGCTTTGCATTGTGGAGGCAGCTTGCTTCTTGAAAGGCCAACCCCCGAATAAAACACTAAAACACAACAAAATCCCTTTCTCTGTGTTTTAAACTGGTGTTGGTGCATCGTATGTACTAAAAGGGGTCTGAACAAAAATAAACAGGAGAGGCGTGAAAATCAGGCGCTAGTTCTCAGAAACAAACTGTTCTTCAGTCACCGGGCCTCAAACTGAATCCAACTCCTCACACATCAGGGCCAGAGGACATTTCCTTTACAGCCAATGTTCTCAACTAAAGGTTTAATTCAATAAGACGAAGTCGAAGACTCTGCAGCTGTCTGTGAGGACCGGCTCAGACGTGTTTCTCACTCTGTTCACTCTCACCTGTCTGCTGCAGAATGTTTCTGTGAAGCAGGTGACGTGAGGGCAGGTGAAGACAGTAAATCAGCCTCATTTTCATTAAAATGACAGAGCGGCTCGTTCACTGATCCCAGATCTGTCAGAGTCGAAACCAGGGGCCTAAAGCTGAGTCGCAGCTCCATCAGACACCATTAAAGCTGGAGAATGAGACGTCTCTGTTTTGTTTTCTGTGTTGCTGTGTGTTCACTCTCTTAGCACGGCCTTGTGTAGCTCACTCTCTGAGTATTGTATCATTGTGTATCAGGGAGGAGTTGTGTTCGTTCCAGCGGGAGATCGAGGTGTTGTCGGAGCAGTACTCACAGAAGTGTCTGGAAAATGCTCACCTGGCTCAGGCACTGGAGGCCGAGCGTCAGGCCCTCAGGCAGTGTCAGAGAGAGAACCAGGAGCTCAATGCACACAACCAGGTACACACACACACGCACACATTAACATACATACACAGACATGTTCAGCACAGCCTCGCATGGGAATTACATAAACTCCTTCCTCTCTGTGTGCTTTTAGGAGCTGAATAATCGTCTGGCTGCAGAGATCACCAAGATGCGTTCAATGACATCTGAGGAGGGAGGAGACACAAACAGCACAATACAGGGCAAAGAGCTCTACGAGTTAGAGGTGAGGCTCAAATTCGGATTGGTCAGACTACAGGAGAGTGACAAACTGTGTTCACACTCAATGATTATCAGTGGTTTTAAGCCTGTGCAGGGATTTCCACTACAGAGTCAAGTCTTTTTTAATGCAATGTTGCCAAACTGTGAGGGCTGCGTTCAAAGGGTTAAAATCAGCTGATTCTCTGTGGCAGATTCTCAGAGTGAAATGAGAGGCAGATCTATCCTTCTCTTGTTTGAGACCTCCTCTTTGTTCTCCTTCAGGTGATGCTGCGAGTGAAAGAGTCAGAGGTTCAGTACCTGAAACAGGAAATCAACTCCCTGAAAGATGAGCTCCAAGCCGCCCAAAGAGTATGTTTTCTCTCTGAGTCCCTGTCTGACAAACAACATGAATCTGCTGCATCTGATCTGACTATTACTGTGTTTCCAGGATAAGAAGTATGCCACAGACAAGTACAAGGACATCTACACAGAGCTGAGTATAGTGAAGGCCAAAGCAGAGCGGGATCTGGGCCGGCTCAGAGACCAGCTGCAGCTCGCTCACGAGGCGCTCGGAGAGCCCACGCTGGAGGAGGTGGAGCGAGGAGGATACGGTACGAGACCACAGGAACACATGCAAGCAAAAGTTTACAAACAGAATGATTATTTTTCTTATATAAGTTGTTGTCAGCTCTTTACCTGCACCAGTTAGTAAATTAATGCTCAGTGAGGACGCACATTCAGATCTGTAGGTTTAAAGCCCTTTATAAGATGCACAAGGCCTGTTTCAGCTAATCTGCTGCAAAGTCCATCCAAAAAGTGCTGATATATTTTAGTAAAAGTACAATGATACAAGTCTTTGGGCCATAGACTTAGTCCTCTAGTGTCTGCATCAGTGTTTCTGAGCTGTGGTGCCCTTGGAGGGTTTCAGACTAAATCTGTATAATCAGTGGGTCTAATTTTTTTTAAATGAATCAGAGTCCGGGATTCTGCAGGATTCCGCCTGTGATGTTATTTAAACTCTGACATGTTTTCCTTACAGATATCATGAAGTCCAAAAGCAACCCTGACATCCTGAAGATGGCAGCCGCTGCAGCCAAGCGCTCAGAGCGAACCATGAGGTCAAAGGTCAGTGTCAGATCCATCTTCATCCCGCATAGGTGTTAAATCATCAGTCTGAATCACTCATCAGGTCTGAAGGCACAATCAGCAGCAGGGAGCGGGCCTGTTTCCTCCCACACACACTGAGCAGGGACGCAGCGCCCTCTGCTGGCCACGTTGCCGAGCTGCATGAAGCACTACACGTCCACTGTCCTGCATCATCAGCGTTCCTGCAGTTTTACTCTCCACCTGTGCCTCCATCAGAGCTGAGTGTTATGACACACTGTGATACCATGAGTCTAACACACACACGTGTTGGTGTGTTTCTGTCCTCAGTCTGTGAGTCCAGACATGCCCTGGGACAGTCAGGGCAGCTGACCACCCGTAGACCCCTCTCCCTCCTCCTTTAGGTAAACAAACTGGATGCACCATGGCAGGTTTAAGCTCCGCCTCCTCCCGTTCTCCACCTGTTCAGCACTCATTAACATCCACAGATCCCCCACCTCACTGACGCATGAAGGCTGAGTGAATGAAGTGTGTTTGAAACATCTCTGGGTTTCAACAGTTAATTATCTCTGCATCTTTTCTCACCACGTCTTGTTTTTATACTGTGGAGCTCTAATCCAGAGAGGGTCACTTCAACAGTTATCAGACAAGTCAGAAATCTAACTTCAAAAATTCTTCTTCAGGTCTATCAGAGAGGTATTCTTTTTTTACTATGAACTTAATTTTTACATTTCAGTCCCTGCAGCTACTTTAGAAATTGACTGAAATAGATCAGGCTCAGTCTTGACCTTTCAATTCATTAAGAAAACAACAAGTTTAGATGAAAACTCCAAATAAGTAGCCAAATATTTTTAGTTATTTCTTGATTTCTTTTGAATAAATGTCTTATGATTATCAAGGGTCATGTGTAACAGAAAAGCACTGCAGCTGAACAGCACAGTCCTGCATATGAAAGAACTGCATTGTGTCAAAGAGTTTTATAAATTACAAAACAAGAGATTAAAACTGCAGTGCAATACTAGTGAGAGCCAACTATATCCATACCTGTTTGGGTACCATGGCAACAAAAAATGAACTCCTTGGCACCTGAAACAGAATGTTATTTCAGTTTAGTTAGGGACACAGCCCTCTGTTTGATAGAGAGGGGGCTGTTGATCGTGTAATTAAAGAGCAACTAGCACTCTTTACGGTCTTACAGTACCTGCATTTTATAAGTGGTTTGAAAATAGAGTCCCAGCCACAAAGCTGAAAAGTAAAGTGAGTTCAGTGCAAAACAAATCAAATTGTTTTAATTGTCTGATAACTCTTAACCTCTCCGGTGTCTTTGGGCTCCACAACTCACAGGGTGTAGGAGGGTCTTAATCATCTGTTCTGTGGTGTGAGGGTGTCATATGATCACAGGGTGAGAACAGATTTACAGACATGGAAACACTGCCTGCTGAGGAACATCTGCTCAGAGAGGAACATGTGTTTATCACACTCTTTATTAACGTGTGTCTGTGCCGACGTGCTCATCACACAGATGATTAACATGTTTTCTCCCCCGTCTCCGCAGAGTCTGAAGGAGGGGCTGACGGCCGAGCAGAGACTCCACCTGTTCGACAACAAAGATACCAAGGAGTTCTGACAGCGACGCTTCACGTCTGCCTGCATGTTACAAGCCCACCTTATATTTTAGCTCTGTGGTTACTAATTTAGAAACACTACACACTGGTCACAAACACAGATCATATATTATTAAAAACATGGTATGAAGTTTGAATTTCATGTCTAGATTTTGCATTACATGCACTTCAGTTAACTGTGACATTTTGTATGTTTTGCTGCCATGTCTTACTGTAAATACTGTTTTTAATGTCTGCAAACACTAAACTCTGACTGTGTAAGCTACTGTTTTAACTCTAGACTGTTGCTCGCCAAAGGCACCAATGTGATAATGAAACTCTGCTACATACTGACAGCGCAGGAGAGGCCAAGGCGTCCCGATGTGCACGTTAACACCTTGATGCTGCGTCATAACTCCACCAGACAGAAAAAACTAACAAGTTCGCCTTCATCTGAAACAAACTAACAAGCTCGTCTTCATCAGAAAGAAACAGCCTCCATGTTGCCTCATCGCCTGGCTCCTACACAAACATCAGAAACAATCAGTCTGAGAGGAGCATGGACAGATTCACTGATTATAATTTAATTTTTATATATATTTGAAAGTTTATAGAGTGTTTCTTTTTCTTGCTGCAGTCATGGTTCAGCTGTAGAAGAGCTGTTGTTGGAGTCGGTTTTGTTTGTAGTCTGTTCAGTGGCAGTCCCTTTGTATTTATTTAATGGTTGGGATTTTTTCTTTCACATTCCCATTCCTCTGTACTCTATTATTGTAAATATAAAGCAAATATACACCAACTGACTACAAGTTTATTAGCAATAAATATTTTTGCACCCTTCATGTGTCTGAGACTGTTATTTAACATGAAACATCCCTCAGTGTGAGACCAATGACGATTGAGATCAAGATGAAGAAGATAAAGAAAGAAAAAGGATGTGGAAACATGGAAAGGAATATGAAAAAGAAAGCCAATCAAAGAAAAAATGGAAAAGGAGAAGTGAAGATGGAAAGAAAATTAAAGAAAAAATAAAAAGCAAAAATGGAACAAGGAAAAGGGGAAAAGTAAAGACAGCCCTTAACCATAAAATTACCTGCCGCTTACACTTATTTGTGCTTGTGGATTAACTTTCTCAGGTAAAAGTATGAAAGAGCTGGCAAAAAGGGAGACAACTGAGGGGGGAAAAACAGGAGAAAGCAAGAAAAAAGAAAATCTAATCAAGATAGCAACAAATAAAAATGGAAAGAATAAAAATCAAAGGAAATGATTAAGAAGAGAAATCAAAAAGAACAACAAAAAAGAGGACATCAAAGGGCAATAAATAAAGAAAGGGAAACAAATAAATCAAAGAGTGATACAGAAAGAAAGGACATTAAAGGGAGATAAAGAAAGGAAATCCAAGATGAAAAGGATTAAGAAAGTAAAGCAATCAAAGAAAAAGGATAAAGAAAGACAATCAAAGAAAGGAAATAAAGTGAAGGCTAACAAAGTTAGAAAAAATATAATCAAATAAAGAAAAATCAAATTAACTTAAAAAAAGCAAGGTAAGAGAAGGTGAATGAAAGAATTAGAGAATTAAAAATTAATCAAAGAAAGAGAAATGTACAATGAAAAAAAGAAAATTAAAGAAAAAAACAGATAGAAATAAATAAGAAAAAGCAAAATTGGGACAGGAGGAAAAGGGTAAAAGAAGAGAGGGCAAAAGTAAAGACAGCCCTTCACCATAAAATTACCTGCCGCTTAGACTTTCTCAGAACGCAAGAAAAAAGAAAATCTAAAAGATAGAAACAAATAAAAATCGAAAGAAGGAAAATAGAAATAAAAATAAAGGAAATGATAAAGAAAGAGGAAATCAAAGAGAGGAAAAAAAATAAAAATAAAAAAGAGGACATCAAAGAGCAATAAATAATGAAAAAAAGGGAAACAGCAATAAATCAAAGGAAGAGTGATATAGAAAGAAAGGACATTAAAGGGAGATAAAGAAAGGAAATCCAAGACGAAAAGGACAAAGAAAAGTAAAGAAAGCAATAAAGAAAGGAAATAAAGGGAAGGCCAACAAAGTAAGAAAAAGTAAATCAAATAAAGAAAAAATCAAATGAACTTCAACAAACAAAAAAACAAACCAAAAAGCAACAAAGTGAGAAAAGGTTAATGAAAAATGAGAGAATCAAAAATAAAGCAAAGACACAAATAATAAGAAGAAGTGTACCATGAAAAAAGAAAATGGCGCTAAAAATCACTGCACAGGGTTTATAATTTGGATGGGAGCGGGTCCCGACCACTTATCTCCCATAATTCCTTTCTGCTCCACAGCTGAGTGACAGCTGCTCTACTGCTGCTCTCTGTGAGTCGTCAAGTTACAGTAAACACAGATGGAAGTGATGGTGACCAGTAGTCATGTCCATCGATGAAAAGGGAAAAACCACACAGTGGTCTGCAACAAGAAGCAACAGTTGGATGAAGCGAAAACTTACTCTGACTGCCCTTCACCATGAAGTTACCTGCTACTTATATTTAACAGTATTTTTGAATTATCCGTCGGTATCATGTTTCTTTTCATTTTTTAATCGTGAAATTCTTGTTAATTAAGATAAATTCAAAAAGATACCTGAACGGAACACTAATTTATTGTGAAAGGATTAACCGGAAGTTACATATCATAGTGCAGCTATTTTGACGCTGTTGCAATCAGAGTAGTGTGTTCCGGGAAAGTGTCTAGATCTTTATTTAATGTTGGGGCTGTGTGTCTCTCTCTGTCCTAGTATTAGTGCCCATTAGAGAAGAGGGGCTGCTGGAGAAGATGCCGGCCGGAATAAAGTCATCACTGGACGGTTAAACACGCTGTGGTCTCTTGCTGTCCGGGTAAGTTTTAGGGTATTACCTCCGCTCCGTCTTTGTTTCATCCAGCCGGGCCTTGCCCTGATGCCTGCTGTTGATGTAAATGGAGAGAACGTGTTGCCGAAGTCCATCAAAAGTAATTCGTATTTTAATAACGCCTTAATTTTCGTCGGTTTTTGGAATCTAAGTTAAACAAAAGAGGCTACTTAAAACCGATACTGTTCACTATTTAATTCGGAATCCATTTTAAGTTTTTGAAAGAAACCATCCAAGAAAGATGTGACATTTTCAGACTGATGTGACCGTTTTAATTGCAACAAAGTTAGGTTGCTATAACGAGCATTGTGGACCAATGAGCCACTGAAGTTGGTATTTTGTAAAAATTAAGACCCTCATTGGTTTGGAAATATGGCCGAAATGATGAATAATGAATGCCAAGTACCAAAAGTGGAAAAGTGGCGTCGTAGGGCGTCTAACTTCGTGTTTTTAACGAGAATCATAAAAATGTGTTAAATTGTCAATGGCGTCCGGCGTACAGGATGGTTACCGGAGCTAAGCCGGGCCTAGCCAGCTGGCGTTAGCGGCGGCTAAGCTAAGCTAACTCACTCCACTACGGCAACCCTGACCTGTCAGCGACGGGGTGAAAAGTTAGCTGGGTGTCAGTAGGATAAATATCCCCTGACCCACACAACCTGATACGATTATCATCAATAAACTTGAATATGTATTTGTAAAAGGTAAAACCTTAATTGTCATTAACCGCTGCCATGTCCTCCATCGTTAATTAAATTCACTCCACCGCCAGTTTCTCAGCTGGTATCAGCGCTGTGACTGGAGCTATAGATTCATGGGTTTTCTTTAACTTTCTGCCTGATATCTGAAAATAAAGGTGATAAAAATGGTTGGACAAACTTGTCAAACTTTTACCTTGTTGGTTCTGTGTAACAATCCAATTCATCTCCTCCAGTATAGGGTGACTGTATTTTTTAACAAGCAAATAGGGAACCTAAACCTATTTTCCTGCTGAAATGACCCCAACACACACTTTGATATAATGTAATGTGTCTTATATATGCAATAATGATACTGAGCCCACAGATTAAAGTATTCTAAACCACTTGAAATGTATAAATGGTGAGAACTCACACCAGTTAAATGGATATATAAGCCACTGTTCAGAAATAATTCAACACTGCAGAATCTTTATGACCGCAGGCAAGTCCTCTATGTATAATGTATAACGTGACTGAAATTTCATTTTGTGCACTTGATTAGATAAAACCGAGAGAGTGGTCCATTTTTATGACACTTCAACATGATTGGAAATGTGATTCATTTCCGTCAAGCATCACAGTCCATGAAATGGTGACAAGAGAGCGGAATCGAGATTTTGATCAACTTCACGGGGATTTGAAGGAGAGAGGAAGACTGCAGCTGATCGCTCTGAGCAGGAGAAAAGTGTCTATAATTAGCACGTATTTTCTAAATTCAGATCTATCTCCTGAGTCGTGGATTTTGGAGGACACAAACATGGTTACAGTTTCTGCTTTGCTGTGATTTTCTAAAATTTTGTTACACGTCACATCTCTGTCACATGTATGAACTCATGGTACTTTTTGATTTTTTATCAGTGCACCTTTTCAACACCATTGAAAGAGCCCCAGAAATCAGTGTGAGCTGGTCTATCTGAAGCTACACAGCAGGGCCTATCAGTACAACAAGCTGGACTCTGCAACCTCAGAACTCCAAGACTGATCAACACTAAAGGTCAACTGATATTAGTTAGACAAGGCCAATACCAGTACTGAGGGAGCAGGTCAGCCAAAGCCGATAACCAATAAATAAGGCTGATGTCACATTGTGGTTTAAAATGATATTGCTGAACTTGAGTGAATTTTTTTGTTATTGTTTAAATGTGAGCAGAAAATATTTGTATTAAACACTAATCAATCTTAGATTTATGTTGTCAAATACATTTTTGATTTGGAAAGATGGAGGTGATATTGGCCTTGTGAAGGCAGATGTCGATATGATGCAAATAAGCAGATTACATCAAAATGCAACTGATTGGCTCAATTAATCAGCTAACCAATTAATCTGTCTCTGCATCTGATTGTTTTCACGTCGTGCTGCATATTCGTTTGAAGTTCATTATTTGAAAATCCGACAACCCTAATCTTGAATTAAAATGCGCATGAACTTTGACTCACAATGTACCAATTTTTACTTGTTGAAGCAGCAACATCCCAAAACAGGCATTGGCTTATAGATGGAAAAATGAGTGTAAAGGTCCTTACACATCGGGGCCGACACAAATATAGAACGTGAAAGGCGAATTTTGACGCGCCTGACTATACACATCAAGCCCGATGTGATTTTGCAAATTTCCGGGGGGAAAAAGACGCATCCAGGGGAAGACTGGCTCACCTCTGATTGGCTAGAAAAGCTAGAGACGTCATCACACACTCAAGCCAAACGGTCAGCACTTATAGCCAATCAGAGGCGATAAGATAAGCACATGGAACTATGGTAACAACCGTTAGCTTACATTAGCACAGATGAAAGTTAAAACAAAGACGTTTAGCAAACTGTTAAACCACACAAAACATTGTCATATCAGAGAACCGACGCTATGACTCTCCACAAGTTGTCTTTCAGGTCGTTATCTTTGTAATGTTTGTGTCTTTTATCATAAAGCACACTGTTCTCCGACACATAAGCAATCAGCCGGTCGGCCATGTTGGATATACCGGTAAATCCGACGTTGTAACAACACGCAATCTGATTGGTCAGAAGTGGACACACAGTATGCGAAACTTTAAAAAATCGACCATGATCCGAAAAAATAAACGCCGCTATATCACAGGACGGGAAAACGTTGCTGATGTGAACGCTTGTATTGACAGGATACGGGTTCGAAAAAAATATTGATGTACGAAATAATCGCACGACAAAAACGGTCCCGGTGTGTAAGGACCTTAGGCATGGTGTGTTGTTCCAGATGAAGCTCATAATTAATAACATCTCCAGAACAAAGACTGGACTTACTTGGCTGTGTTGTGCACTATGAACGCTCTTCTCCACGTGTAGACTGTTAAGTAAAGACTTCCTCCCCAACAGAAGTTTTGTTAGCCATAAACTCTGATGTTGTTTTTGAATCTGTTCTGTTTATCTCTCAGCTGTTATGGAGGAGCCACCAGGGAGCGTGGACGATCTACAGCCTCAGGACCTTTCCACCTCCGGCCTCCCAGCAGTGATCGACCTGACCAAGAGAGGAGAGGAATGTGTCCTCAGCCCCGCCTCCCTCGATGCCCTGCGGAGGGTCACAAGCTCTGGCTGGTACCAGACCTCAGGAACCAGCACCCCTGGATTCTCAGAGGCTCGCCCCCCTGATATCTCGCTCCAACCCGGAGATCAGATCCAACCGGACAACGCCTTCTCCCACACTACAGTCACCCTGTCCTACGTGAGCAGGTCTCACGTCTTCTCCACCCACGATCCCCTGTCCTTTAGCGTGCCGCCTATCAGCAGGCTGTCCCTGCACCCCACTTGTGACTCAGATAAAGGACTCAGGGAGACCAGCTTTGCACTGAACCAGCATTATGCGGAGCAGGCGGAGGGGCCGGTGGACCTTGCTGCTCAGACTCTTCTTCACTCTTTGTCCCAGGCTCAGAGCGTACCAGAGAGCGATGGAGGGGTTTGTCTCACACAGGAGGGACATGAGTTCAACTGTGGAGATGTTCCCGGTGACGGAGACACGGAGAAACATGTTGAAGAGGAGCAGGGAGGGTGGGGTTTGGAGAATGGCCAGGGTGATACTTGGTCAGGTTCAGGGGTCTGTACTGAATCCTCCCCTGAGACACCCCCTCCTGCTGCAGTGGAGGGAGAGACGAGTGGAGATTCCGAGGTGATCTTCCTCTTCTCTAAGGAACAGGTCCCGGATGTGGCCCAGGGCAGCGAAGGTGTTAGAGACCTGTGCTCACTAAGCAGGGAGTTTATCAGTCCTCTGGAGGACCCGGTCTCTCCTTCTGAAGCCTCTCAGGATGATGTGGAGGATGTGTTCGTCCTGCCTCAGGCTTCCAGCTCCCCGAGTGGAGACACCTCGTGTATGGAGGTGACTGAGGAGGCGGCATGGGACAGCCCGAGTACAGAGGGGGGCGTTCAGCCGGGGTCTGACTTGAACGATAGTTCAAGGTTAGATTCAAGTGCTGAAAATAATCATGAACAGAACGCAGTGGTGGAGCCTCTGATGGACCTTACAGAAGATGATTCAGAAAATCAGCCACAGACTGTCGTTCCTCACATCAACGGGAACACAAAAGCACTACGGAGGACTTCGAAAGAAAAGAAACTGCCGACACGCTCCGGCAGAGGGACGAGGTTAGAGTCCATAGTGATGAACATTAATTCAGGCAAGAATAAAGTGTCAGGACGCATTCGCTCAAATAAGAAAACGGCCCAATCAGAAGTGAGCGATTTAAAGTTATCAGGTCCTCAGAGGACAGACCACCTATCAGCAGGACAGAGGAGGAGGAGGGCGAGTGTTTCATCCACAGTTCAAACAAAAGAAAAAGCAGTCAGTCCAAGGAAGAGGGGTAAAACAAATCCTCTCAACAGCTGCAAAGACTCTACCTCTGATTCTGAAATCCTCAATAACTCTAAAAGGTCAGCTGTGCACAAAAACTCAAAGAAGGAGGCGGAGCTTCGTCCTCACTCGGAATCTCCGCAAGAAAACCATGTGGCGAGATGTTCCCCTCAAAAACCTCCTCTGTCTCCAAAACCAGCGCCACCTCCGCCATCATCAACGCCATCTCCAAAGAAACCCACAGGAAAAGCTACAGGTAAGAAAAAATCCCCCACTACCAAGACCCCCCCTCAGAGAAAAAGGAGGAGGAAGAAGGTCAAACAGAGCCGCTCGTCCTCCATGTTTGCCCCCAAAGAGCCTGAGATCAAACTGAAGTATGTCAACTACAAGGAGGAGAAGAGGGACCTGAGGTCAGACACTTTCTCGCCGTTTGTCCGTGTGAAGCGTCAGGAGTCTTCGTTGGCGCTCTGCTCAGTGATAAATTACCCTGAGGAGGTCAAACCGCAACACAGGAAGCAGCAGGCTCACACAACCGCCTTCATCTCTGCAGCCGTGCCCAGCACTTCCTGTCTGCTGCTGGGCCGGGTGTCCATGCATGGTCAGCACCGGCGCTCCCTCGTCTGCTGCCTTTGTGGACACCCTGCCAACGCCATGGACCTGGGCGACCTCCACGGACCCTACTACCCTGAGGGGTACCAGCTCAGTACCAAAACCACCGCCAGCATCTCAGGCCTCAAAGAGGGAGAGGATGACTTCAGCGACTCAGACTCTTCATCCTGTAGCATCAGGGGCAGAAGGAGAAAGTGTCCCTCCGCGCAGCAGCTCCTGAGGCCCGGGGCCCGCCTGAAGAGCCCTCGCTGGACTGGGAACAGTACCAGCAGCCCTGCAGCTAAACGGGCACGGACTGGTGCCGGCTCTGCAGACGTGGAGGACTGGTACAGCCCCCCTGTGCTGCCTGTAGAGCCCTGTGAGTACTGGCTCCATGAGGACTGTGGGATCTGGTCTGCAGGCGTGTTCCTGGTGCGGGGCAGAGTGTACGGGCTGGAGGAGGTGGTGAAGGCGGCTCAGGAGATGGTGAGGCTCCACTCTGAGTTTGTCGTGATGTGATGACCGTGTGACAGGAATGAACAGATAAATTATAAATGATGTGTTTACTCACCTCAGGCCTCTAGGAGACAACAGATAAACGTAGCTGTCATCAAATCAAAGCATGAGTCAGCAGCAGGAGTGATTAATTCAAGTCTGTTACAATAAGACAGTAAATTACTGTTGCTGGTGGCAGCTCTGAGACACTCATCAGTACAGTATGACAGATTTACACGGCAGCAGGTTTCTGTGAACGCTGCTCTTCTGCCTGTTACTACAATGGTTAGACCATTCAGAGCTCCATCAATAGAACGTCTTTGACCAGCTCACAGCATGTCTCAAACTCCCAACTAATATAGACCAACTGTCATCATGTGAGCTATATATAGGACTCAGGGTAACATACCTACAAGCATCAAACCTGCGTTTCTGGTACAAGGAAGCAACATAAATGCCATTCGCAGTAGGGGTGGGAATCACTTGCGGCCCAACGATATAATATTACCGTGATAAGATTTTATCACAATACCAGGGCCATGATACAATATTATCACAATACCAGGGCCACGACACGATATTATCGCGATACCAAGGCTACGATATGATGTTATCACGATACTTGGGCCACAATACGATATTATCACAATGCAATATTATCACGATACCAGGGCCACGATACGATATTATCGCGATACCAGGGCTACGATACGATGTTATCATGATACTTAGGCCACAATACGATATTATCACGATACTTGGGCCACAATAAGATATTATTGCAATTTTGCAATACTTTGAGTATTGTGATACAATATATTGCAACCTATTTCTTTTTTTTAACTGTTTAGCTAATTTAGCATTTGTCTTTCCTTTATATTTGTCTTATTTACACTGTATTTTATTTTCATGTAGCACATGTTGCAAACCTTATATTTTTTGCACTCACTTTCTTCTGCTCTATGGTGTCACCTCTGCCAACCTCACTGAACTAACAGTTGATTTTGTTTTTCCATTATCATAGATTTTACTTCATATGAACATTTAATTGAAAAAATCAATACTTGGTAAATGAGACGATGCGATATCACTAGACAAATTTTTTTTTTTCTCCTACCCCTAATTCTCAGGCAAGACTAGCTTTATTTTTAAAAAAAGTTCTTTCTGTTTAACAAAAGAGCAGGCAGTTGAGGCAAGACCGTGGAGGGAAGTGCTGTAAGTAAACAAGTAAAACGGAACAGTTTCTGTCCTCACTCTAAAAGATAAACTTTTAGAAACTAGTGAGAGGGCAGATCGCTTTATCCAAAACCCCAACCAAACATACAGTTTCTCAAATTTACCAGGAAACAAAACCTCAAGAACCATAACAGCTTTCCATGAAGTGATTCCCTGAGAGTAGATTATCCAGGAAGATGAAATCTGAAACTCAGTCTAGACCACAGACCATAAAAAAAACAGATGTATCCATGGTGAAGTAACCCACCAGTTTGTGGATTGTTGACCTGTAGTTTGAGTGTGGTGTTTTGGCTGATGTCATGTTTGTTCCATGGCGCCAGAAATGACCACAAATGAACAAGGGGAAGTAACTGGAGGTTAGGAGACATGACATGAGCTTGGATAATTAGCCTGTACCTGAAACCAATCAGTTAATGAGCTCAATAACCACCATCCACCCCAAATAATAAGGGACTGTTCATGTTGGTAGCCGACCAAATTTCCTCATTGGTCATACTAAAGAAGCTCAGAGAGGTTGCAGAGAGCAGAAGGTGATGTGTAAACTAAAGGAAGCCGTCTTTTATCCATAGAGTTCAGAAACATGATTCCAACGCACATGCTAACAAGTGAGTCATAAACACTGAACATGCTAACAAGTCAGGTGTGGGCAAAACTGTACCATACAGATAAATGAATCTTCAAATTTAAGTGGAATAGCTGGCTGACATGTTTATTTCTGCTGCAAAGTTGGAGACTTCGACATAGGGCTTTATGGGGTATGCCTTATTTTGGGAGACAGCCTCTAGTGGACACTTCAGGAACTGCAGTTTCTGATACCAAAGGGTCAGATTCTCCCTTTATGTATTTACAGGAAGATTTGTATTCGCGTTTTGTCGACATTAGATAAAACAATTAAAAAAAAGAAAAAAAAGAACTAAACTAAAAATATAGGCTTTCTTTGTTTGATCTTTGACCTGCTGTGTTTCAGACGTGCTCAGCGTGTCAGGACTCCGGAGCCACACTGGGCTGCTTCTTCAAAGGGTGTCCCAACAAATACCATTACAGGTGCGCTCTGCAGTCAGGTACGTACAGCTCTCTGAACTCTCACTCACACCAATACACACAATAAAAGCATGCACACTCCTTAAACTCTGAGCGTGCTCATAGGTTGAGCTGTTTTTAGCTCTTCTTCTTGAGCTTGTTTCCTGCCCGGTGTGTTGTTCTGTAAAGAAGCCTTTTGTAACGTATGGTTTGCAGTTCTCATTTCCGCTGAGCCTAAAGCGGCTGGTGTGGGAGGTTGAACTCTCTGGATGAATCAGAGCCTCCTCACCTCCTGTTCTCCTCTTGTTTCTGCAGACTGTGTCCTCATCGAAGAAAACTTCTCCATGAAGTGTAAAAAGCACAAGGTGAGCGCTGCAAAAGCACCAGAGACTTGTATGAGGTGGTTTAAATGTTTTTAATGTGGATTTAACATCGGCTGAAATGGTTTCTCTGACTCCTCATCCTGCCTCAGAACAAGACATTCAAAGCTCCTGCAGGGACCCGCTGTGAGGACAGGTGACAGCAATAACTGACACATCAGGAGGTCAGTACTTTTATCTGCTGAACTGAATTTCAAACCAGGTTTATTATGTTTGATAAACCATATTCAGGTACATGCAACCAAGATCTCAAATGTTTGACCTCTATTTATTGGACAGCACAGTGAAATATAGGCTAATCCAACATACAAACGGGTGTTGAACAAAAGGCCTGTGGGACAAAATCAGCAAAGACTTTTTCAGAAAACAAAGTGATGATAGAACTTTTGAAAAATTTAACATTAAAAGGTAGCCCTGTGCACTTACTCCAGTGCACCAAAAGTGACACTTAAATGCCACTCTTAGGCTGAGATAGCACCCTTAAGATGGAAAGTGAGCGCAGCCATCTGCTTACTAAAGATAACAAAACAGCACCAAGAGTCCTGAACACTCCTCAACAGTGTTGCCAACTCCTCAGCAAGGAAAAGTCTCTAAACTCCAGAAAAAGTCCCTAGATTTTTCGCTGTGATGGTCTGCCCTGATTTTCAGCATAAACAAATGTGTGTCTTTGTTTCTCGTCATGCAGACATCCATCACAATCCTGCAGGCACCCATAAACCTTAACTCCAGGCTCTGCTCTGTTAGCGCCCGACACAGCATGAGGAGATCAACGACTGACTGCAGAGACACTCTGATCCGGACAGGAGTGTACTGAGTTTGTGTTATTACTTTATTTATACCAATTTCCTTTTTCTTCAGGATTAAATGAACAACAATCAAAGATATTTAATTTTTTAAAGACTTTGTAAGTATTTGATTATATTTGCTTTATTTATTCCTGAATTTTTTGGCTCTTAAGCAAATGTCAAAGAGGTTTGATTGTGTGTTTTTTAAGTTATTGGTTAAAATGTTCAATGTTGAAATATGAAGCCAGTCAGCGAGATTCTGGTTTTTATTTAAAGACGGGGCGGAGAACGTGCTGGAAGGTTCAGAAATGGCACTAGAATAGAAGAAGGTACCAACAGACCAGGACTAGAGATGAAACACAAGACGTGATTTAGATCAGAACTCAAGGGTGGAACAAAACGATCAGATTCACACCCACAGAAAGTGCACTCAGCTTATGTTCATCAAAATATCTTCATGCTGACTGTTTTCCTCTGCTGCTACAGTCGGGGAAGAAAAGGTTTCTGTTGTGCTGAAGCTTTAGAAAGTGGATCCTGAATATTTTGGGTAACAAACTATTTCAAGTCAATTCAACATATTTGATTGCTCATTTTCAGCCTTTGACATAAGCTAATGTCTGCTCTGAGCTACCTCCTCACCAAAACTACAGTTCTACACTACCCAGCTAACATAACCGCACGACTGTATTAACCAATATGTATTTAAAGGTGCAAGCTGATGCTAAAATCAGATCTAAATTGTCACTATCCAAGCATTACGTAGCTAACGATACAGTATATTAACTAGATTTGATATTGGAGATGACACAAAGTAACCTGAGAGAAAAAAAACTAGAGATTTGGTGATTAAAGTGGTCAAATTCAGAGGATGAAGTTGTAAAATTAGAAGAATTGAGTCGTTATGTTCGGAGAAAAGCTGCCTGTACCCCTCCCCTCTCCAAAACTTGAACATCTAAAATAGATTTAAAAAATGCTCTTTATTTTCCATTAGTTATTTAAGAAAGTAAAATTTACTCAGAGACTTGAATGTTGTAAAGATTTCAACACAATTATCCCCAAAATCAACGATTCAAACTTATGGAACAACAATAATTTGCCTGATGTGACTCGGTCATTATTGTCTTTTCAGCATCATTAAACTCACAGCAGTACTTCTTTATCTCCACCTGATCACGGCGTCAGAGGAAACGCTCAGTCTTGACAATAGGGCGATGGGGATCCTGAACAGTGTTTGAATGTATCCTCCCTGAGTGAAGGGGTTTTTCCAGGAAGCACTTTGGAGAGGTTTGGATCAGGTGTGGTCCTCTGCAGTATTACCTTCTTATCCTCCTCCTCCTCCTCCTCCTCCTGTTTTCCTTTGAGGCTCTGAGGCTGAAAGGTCAGAGACTCATTAAATCATTGAAACATGCCCATGTTGTGTTTGCGTGAGCAGCCCTTAAATCAGCCATTTTCTCAATGGGATTCAGTTTTGGTTTTTTTGAAGCCCTCCCAGAGGAGTTTAGTTTCCTCTCAGCTGCTGTTTACATTCTCTTCTGTCAGAGCTGAAGTCATGACTCGGTTAGAAATGTTCACTTTGTGTTTACATCAGTAATGGCTCTGTAAGTGTCACTAACTCTTCAGCAGGATGTTTACAGGTATCTCTGCTCACATCTTTGGTTTACAACAAAATAACTTGGAATATATTTGCCATGGTAGTGTTGAGGCATCTATTATTTCTTCACTGTTGGCCTAAAAAATGAATTGTCATCAGCAAAACTCTCAGCAAAGCCTTATCTTAACACTCAAGAGGTACACACAGCTCCTTTTTCCCTCTGTCTGTAATGCAAAGACATCCGTGGATGAACATCAGGCAGCTTCATGCACTTTTCTGCTGCAGGCTTTTGAAGATCCCTCAGCCCCGCAGGATCACTCTGACTCTATGGGACTCCTAATCAGATCAGTCTCAGGTGGATCTGTTCAATCAGGTGATCAGGTCAGGGCTCTTCCTGTTTGTTTCATATGATCAGTGTTGGTGTAGTGTCATCGTTGCACCAGTAGGGGCAGCGGTGTGCTTATAGAGATCAGCCTGTGAGCTGTATAGAGAAAAGCTTCATGGTCACAGACATCCACACAGAGGCAGCAGCATTACAGACACACACACACTCTCTCTCTCTGATGTGTTTATTCTGGAAGACATGATCTGTTTAATTTGTGCCATCTCTCTCTCTCTCCTTTATTGAGTTAATGTTTCTTGCAGTGAGTTTAATAAGCAGGTGTGTGAGTGCCTGAAACTTTGACTGCAATGACTTGTCAGTTTTCATCATACCAAATACAGCTTCAGTTTGTTTTTAAGATGCTTTGGATTTTGTAATATGTTGTCTGTGTGTGTATCTCAGGGCTGAATCTCAGATTTTCTAATGATTTGAACTTTTTTGTGATTTTTTTTTTTTTCCCCTCCTTTTTCTCATTTGTTGTACTCGATGATTTGTGTATCAGGATGTTGTCGGGATGTTCTGGTTCTCTCTGATCATCACATTCCTCCTCCTCCTCCTCTTCTGTGTGACCGTCAGTGCTCTGCTGGTTTTTTCCTTTGAACTCTGACTGCCAACTCGTGTCACTTTTTCATGCTCTTTTGATTTTATGGAAACTTTTTGTACCTTTGTCTCGGTCGCCTCTCTGAGCTTCAGAGGTCATGTAACTGTCAAAAATGAATATTTTGTTCAATGTTGTGGTGTCATGTTGGAATTATTTTTTATCTTATTTATTTTGGGGTGGAGGTATAAAAATACTTACATGATGTTATAATCATAAAATTTATATTTGAGGCACAGTATCCATAGATTGTTTCATGGTTGAGCTAAAATAAGACATTCCCAGTAGTATTTACTGGAATGGTTTCTAATGAGCTGAAATCCTGTTTGGTTTCAAAGAGGAGAATGGAGAATAATTCACTTTGTGTTTATTTTAACTGTGCCTCTTAACCTTTAAAACTTTTTACTTTAGAGCAGCAGTTCTCAAGTCCAGTCCTCGAGGCCCACTGTTTTGCATGTTTTGTATGTTTCCCTGCTCCAACACACCTGATTCAAATGATCAGCTCGTTATCAAGCTCTGTAATGGCTTGATAACGAGCTGATCATTTGAATCAGGTGTGTTGGAGCAGGGAAACATCCAAAACAGGCAGGACAATGGGCCTCGAGGACTGGATTTGAGAACCACTGCTTTAGAGGATGTGAAAGCCATCTCATCCACATCCTCAACTGCAGCAGCTTCTCTCTGTGTATCTGAGTTAAAGTCAGAATCTTTATCCAACAAATGATTGTTAAAATCCCAATGTGTTACTAAATTTTTAAACTGTAATCCTACAGTAGAATTTGATAATCTATTTAGGGATTAGCAGTGATGTCTGATGGTGCTGTCTTCACTCACTGTGTTCAATTACAGCTAAATCCCAAACTTAGCCAAATCATGTTCTTGAACCTAATTCTTTGATATGTTCATCTACACATCTTGTGGCTTTCGTAGTGAGATGAGTCCTTACTGACAGGAAAAAGAGTCAAAGAAACAAAAGTGCCCACACTCATTTCAACAAGAGTTCTCGATTTATTGACTTATCTGAGTTTACAGGAAGACAGTTGTATTGCAAAGACAGAACCGGGTACGAGTTCTAGTGCTGTGATCATCTACTCACCAAAACTCCACAGAGGTCATGAACAAGGCTGTGAGACGTGAGAGGGACAGAGAGACACGGAGCTGCAGGACAACACCACACGACAGAGCTCATTCGCAACAAGTGAGTGTGTGTGTTTGTGTGTGATGGGTGGGGGGATGGGCTTGTGTTTGGGGTCTGGTTTTATTTGAGTCATCTTCTCGTAAATTTATGTAAACTAAGAGCTGACTTCCACTTTGAATTCAAACAAGATCTGGTGTGAGAGCAGTGCATAAAATAGTGAATTTGAACACAACTTTTTCATGCAAGTTTTGCACCTTTGGGTAAAATTTGGCATCAAACTGCATTATAAGTTTAAAGCCATGGTTGACAATTGGAGAGATTGGTAATTATTATGAACCTCGTTTATATGGTGATCATGGTCCTATAGTGCGATCTCCACAAAGTGAAGAGAAAGAAGAATGGAAAAAATCTGTTCACCCTAGCAGGTGCAGGACAGCAAAAACATTGACCAATGGGAGCCATCTGTCCTAGACAGTTCCTATTGGTCAATCTCCTGCCCCGCCTCTCCATCCAATCACCTCGCTGTATTCGACACATCCCTCTCCTGTAGTGTCGACTCGTCCCCTCCCACTCTCCAGACCCTCCTCGGAGCTCTGAGCAGCTAAAAGTAGCATAGCAGCGTAGCTACAGGAGCTGTGATGGAGAAGAATGCAAAAAAGAAAAAAAAACACATCTACTTGCCCCACCACCAAAAGTGCTAAGAAAACGAAAACCGACAGAAGAAAGGCCAGAGATGGAGAGGAAATGTGACCAAGCGAGGAATCTAACTCGAATAAACATCGGGTCATCCTTCGAGTGGTGGAGAAAGCTTTGCCAGGATTGGTCCTGAAAACAGACGTTGAGACAGCAGTTTTTGTTGAAAAGGTAATTTGCCTTTTATGATGACACATGTTAAATAACTCTTATTAGTCTCTGCAATGTCAACACGGTAGCTGTCCAGCTAGCTGCAGACGGTGCTCGCTAGCAGAACTGGCGTTTACTGCCACTAGTCGCTAGCAATCCGACATGGTGAATCCTATTTGAAGCTAGCGTAGGATCTTCTGCCGGCCGGCTTCTGGTTCTGCCAGAAGGGTTGTGTTGTGGGAAGGGCGATACAGGTTCAGAGGGGAGGTTTGTTTGTGTGGAGGGTGGGATGCTTTTTTCAAACTGCCTCAACAGCTCAGTTTTTTCAACCGACAACATCGCATCAACCATGCCTTTAATCTGACTGTAGGGCACCAATTCGCCAACCATGTGCCCTCCTATCTTCGCTGGTCACTGATTACATGAAGGGGTGAATTTTTTAATCCAACTATCTCCGTCATCGGCTGTTCTTTAACCTCAGCACCCTTACATCCACAGATTTCACACTGCAAACAATATAAGGGATTAGATTCATATATAGACAGGTGGTTTGCCTGATGAGGTCATGAACGGGCTGTGTTTTCTCCTCGTCACACATCATGTGAAAGCACCCCCCCAGTACACACACACACACACACACACAGTAAATACTGGCTTGCAGCTGGTGGACAGGGAACAGCACATTGGCAGAGTGTGTATGAGTCCTTTGTTGTGAGTCAGGAGCTGATGATGAGGTCAGGGATGGTCACAAGATGTGGTCATTATCATCCTCACTGGCTGATCCAGAAGCAGCTGTTGGAGCATGATCCACACGGTGTCTGCAGTAGCTGAGCAGGGTTTAGCTGATCCTCAGTCAGGCGTGTGTGTGACTCTCACAGGATAAAGAAACATGTTGTGCGCAGCTACACGACATCTACAGAGAACTACAGCTTGTGACAGGAGAAACAGGTTTTTACACAACAGAGCTTCAGCACACACGAGTTCATGCAGATTTATGTCACTAAACGCTCATTCCTGTGCATGATCTGATGCTTTTTTTTCTTCAAATTATTCAGGAAATATTCAGAATGAGTCAAAAAAGGAACAGATTACTTCTGCGGTTAATTTTAAAAAAACATTTAAGCCACGATACTTCACTAAAAGTGGCAGTTTAGAAGCAAAAAACCTCTCCTAAAATATAATTGAATTCCCTACTTCTCATTCACTGTCCTCATGCTTTGCTTTTTTCTGTTCCTGAATGTGGCAAAATGTACATAACGCTAATAGCAATACAAATACAATACACTGAGTAGAAACTAATTATTCACCGAGTTCACACAGCAGCTATTTTCCTCTGGTCTCAGGCTGAGAGTAAAATATCTGACAGGTTTTTATGATTGCACTGCTTCTGAATTGATCAGCAGCTAACACAGTGTTTTATAAAATATTTCAAGGTGAGACATTTTTAGAACTTATAAGTTAAAAACAGCAGGTCAAAACAAAGCGGAACAACCCAATAAACTAAGAGAAGCCAATTATTTATGTCATATTTATTCAACTTTGGGAATCACCAAGTGTCCTTTAATATATCATGAGTCACTGTCTTTCTATTGTTTATTAGTTAAGAGGCAGTGATTTTATAACTATAGTTTTATATCTTATCATAGAGCATTAATAAAAGCTAACTACATTGAGACAACAGCGAACATTTAGCCACTTTCCAGCTAACGTTTCTTTACCAAGGAATCATCAGCGTTTAAAAATATTAAAGATGGTGTCCTGCCATATTTTTTTCCTTAGTCATTTATTCGAAAAAAAAAATTTGACTTGCAAACTTTGAACAGCTAGCTTTAGCATCCTATTAATCTCTTCAGCTACCAGTAAGTGAGTGCTTATCGCAGCTTTTGTCCAAATTTTTCGCTATTTTTTTACAAGCTAATGAGATCAATTGCTATTTCAACTGAAGGTCCGACACAGTCTGGGATTTTAACTAGAGATATACGCTACGTCTCTCCAGATTTCTATTGGTCAGCTGAGAAGAGGCAAAATGCTACGCAATATTAAGTCAGAGGAAAATGGCTGACATGTGAACACGGTGAACTGTTCAGATTTTTAGCCCTAGGATGTCTCAGGAGATCATGACGGCGATATTCACTCTGGGACATAATGCGAGAAATTGTGCTACTGCAAAAAAATCCACATCACAACATTTTACATTTCTTTTTTAACCTTTTTCGTGATTTTTTTCGTGAAGCCGGTTCAGTTATTTTGTACGTTTCAGCTACTTGTCATGCAGTTTTAAAAAAGTGACATTTTAAGATACTCTTTTTTTTTTCTTGAGATTGAATTGAAAATGCCAAGATCATTTTTTTGTTTGTTTTTGCTCAAATTTTTGAAGTTAACAGAAGTGATTCAAACACAAGTTCAACTAAAATCGGAAAAGAACAAAATCTCGAAGTTTGTAGAAAAAGTCTTTCACCAGTGAAGCAGATATGTTTGACATGTAGAACAGAGACATTGTTAGCTTACTTTCGGTCGAGTCTGACATCAGGAACATAAAAATGTAAAATATTCAGTCTAAAACCACGAACAAACCTTCGACACAGTATTCCTTTGATATGTACAACAGTCAACCAAAGAATTGAAACAGAGACTATACAAAGTGGAACCAAAGACGAATAAAACCCCTTTACAAAACAAACAAACAAAAACAATAGAAAAAATAGTGTTTCTAGATTCAAATAAATAAGAAAATTCTCAAATCAAAATAATCTTCTTGTTGTGGATCTTTAGAAACAGAAACCCACAGCAAACACGCTTTTACTGTCACATCTTTGTTACACATGAAACACTGAAAACCACCACTCAGCTGTTTTTATCTTACATGGTTAGTCCTCAAACATTTTTAGTCTTTTAGTCAAAAATACAAATCCTCTGTCTCTCAGCTTCTCTCAGAAACGACGGTCCACTCTGTCGAGCTCATAGATGTTCGCTATCGTGCCAACACTTCGGTGTCTCTGTTTGATTTTTTTGCTGGAAGTATTGCTTTAAGAAAAACATTTTGGTCTTCTTTCAGGATGATTTTAGTGACACAATCTCGAATGGAAGAAATTTTTTTTATCTCTGGGTTTCACAAACATTGAACATCGTAATCAAAGAGTCAGTGGGGCTCCTCTTGGACCAGAATCCGACCTCAGGAATGTGTTCTACCTAATCCGTCAGAAGTCTTCCATGTGTGCTCTTCCTTTTTCCAACACTACTCACGGTCTGTTTCTTCTCGTGCATGCACATCTTTGTGGTTCAAGAGAGGTATAAAAGTGTGTACAGGTGAGTCTGTGATAACTTTAATGTTCTGATGCACTCAGACACAGATTTCAATGGGTGTGGCCACCAGCATGCGACCACCTGGTGAACCGTTCTCCCTTGGCATTCGATCATAGCTGTTGGTGGATGACACAGAGCTGTTGGTGGAAACGGACACAAAATGGTGGCCACTGCCACCAGGTTCCATCATCCCACCTTTAGCCCCACCTCCGCTCCCTCGCTCCACCCCTACTGGTGACATGGGGGAGAGGGGAGAGAGTGGAGAGAGAGGGGACAAAGTCTGCTGCTTCATCCTCTCCACAAGGAGCTCCTCGTCTTCCTCCCCAGATGAGGATGAAGAGATAGTTCCGTCCACCTCGCCTCGAACTCCTCCACCTCCACCACCCCCTCCACCAGTAACTCTCTCCCCAACTCCACCGTTGCTGTTGCTGTTGGTGTTGGTGTGGTTGTTGCTGTTGCCATGGTTGTTGTTGTTCTCAGCGTCCAGCATCCAGGAGTGGCTGAAGTATCCAAACACCTCTTTCACGGAGCAGCGGCGGTCCTGCTCCACAGAGAGCAGCCGGCGGAACATGCGGAGCGCCTGCTCGGTGAAGCGCCTCCACTGGGATGGCACCGTGTTGGTTCTCCTCCTCTGCCAGCGGATGAACTCCTGGTAGAAGGAGTCGGATGGCAGAGCTTTCTCCCAGGGGAAGTTTCCGGTCAGCATGCAGAAAAGGAGCACACCAAAGGCCCAAACATCAGTGCTGTAGTCCACACAGAAACCCTCGTGGCGGGACACGTCACAGAGTTCAGGGGCCGTGTAGGGGATGGTGCCGCTCACCTGAGGAGAGAGCCAAACAAGTCAGCACGGGGTCGACACATCACAGAATAAAAGGCAAACACTTAGAGTCTTTACTCACTCTTTTGACAGGTGAGCCAGCTCGGCGGGTCATGCCAAAGTCTGACAGCTTGACCTTTCGGCACTCTCGGTCAAAGATGAGAATATTTTCAGGCTTGATGTCTCTGTGGACGAGTTTCTTACAATGCAGGTAGTCCAGAGCGATGGCTACTTGGTGCACGCAGCGCTTTGCTACAGCCTCAGGAAGACCCACCTGAAGGAAGAGATGGAGAAACACCAGAAACACCAGTTGATAAGAAGCAATTTATACAAATGAATCCCAAAGAATACCAAATCAAGCTTTAAGAGAAGCTCATTAAAAGACCCATTTATGTCCTTGTCCAGTTGAAGTGAAGATCTGAAGTAGTAATTGCAGAGTATAAAATCAGAAGGATCACCTGTGGAGGAATGATGTCGAAGAGGTCTCCTGCTAGAGCGTATTCCTGTGCAAACACATAGTACTCGTCTGTTTCAAAGGCGATGCCGAACATGTTGATGATGAACGGGCAGGGTGACAGGTAGAGAGAGATGCTATACTCCCGCAGGAACGACTTCAGCTTGGTTGTTTTCTTCTTCAGAAACTTCAGTGCCATTTTTGTACCTTAAGCGTCACAGAAAAAGTAAAACAACGTCATTAACTTTTTTAAACTTTCTTTAATTTCACCAGATGTGCTTCTGTGTGTGCTTCACCTCACCTCGGATCTTGTGTATAACGAGGTCCACCTTCCCGTAGGTGCCTTTGCCTAACTCTCGGATCACCTCGTAGTACTTGTTAACCTCCAGCCTCTCTAGATTTTGGGCTGCAATCAGCTGCAGCTCGTCCAGGATGTCCATGTTGGCTCGAGAAACCAGCGGAGAGGAACTCATTGTGAGTACTATTTCAGGGTACGGACCAGAGGAAGAAACTGGGGAGCAAGCGCTGAGGTAGGGCGAGAGCAGCAGCTAACACCTAGTGAGACTGGACAAAAAAAGGGGACACACTCGTAAGCTTGAAAGGTTTGAATTGTTTGCAAATCATAAAAAAGAAATGAAAGAAATGTTGGGACAAGGACAACAAAATACTCAAAGTTGAGAAACGCTGATTTAAATCCAACTAACCCCCAATTCCCACCGCATCCGGAACGGCTATGAAAAGGCAGTATCCGCTGATGGTAACCATTCAAGTTAATGTATCAATTTCCACCGGCTTCTTTCCATTCCGCTGTGGGTCACTGGACTCCGCAGCTGATTGCAAGAGTTCCATTTTTTCCGGACGCTGGAGCATGCGGACGCCACAAGATCCGCCTCACAAACGGCTCCGGTAGAAATTGGCGGAGGGCGAGAATCGCTGCCGTTCTGGATCAGAGCTGTTCCGCATGTGGTGGAAATTTGGGGTAATAGGGTTGTTTTGTTATTGGGATGCATTTGTGCCAATGCCATGATTAGATCACCCATCTGGTAAGCACCATTAATGTTGAACAATATACAGATTTAGAAGCAACATCTGCTACCATCCAGACAAAGACTTTTTCAGTGAAGACCTTCATATTTCAGCAAGACAATGACAAACCCCATTCTAACAACAGGGATTACAACAGCATGGATCTGTAGTGGAAGAGTCCTGCTGAGAAACTAGCCTGATGCAGTCTTGACTTGTCTCCCATAAACAACATTTGGAGGATCATGACATAAAAACTACCACAAAGACCTGTTGAGCAGCTAAAATCCTATGTCAGGCAAGAATGGGACAGTATCTGACTTTTAAGACCAAGAAACTGGTCTCCTTTTGGGTTCCCAAATGTGTACAAAGTTGTTAAAGACATAATTAATCTAAAACAAATTTTCTTTGCTTATTTGCACAACAATGATAACACCTTGAAAGTAGAAGACCCTTTTGGACGACAGGATTGCCACTCTGGGTTCTCGTACAAGCGACTCTGCACGTCGTCACAGCAGGTAGAGCAGGTCTAAATTAAGTTTCAAGTTCATACCGTTATCTCCTACAGACAGAGCTGTTGTGAAACTGCATTTGAAACTTATTACTCCTCCTAACCTGATCACTGAACTTTAAAATGAGCCAAGTAGCTTAGCCCAACAAACAGCTCTAAATTCTTGGTTCTTTATGGATGCAGAGTTCAACATTATTTTTGCACAGTCGTATGTGAAAGTGGGAAAATTCCTACAGAGATTAAAAGCTGAAAAATATCATTAACAGGCCTACACTTGGAGATAATGAGTTCCTTCAATAACACTGAAGGAACGAGAGCAACAACCGGAGCAGGTCTCTGGTTGCTGCAGTGGAAACACAGAGGGCAAAAGCGCCGTCGTTACACATGAGCTACTGATAAAACATGCAATCTGTGAACGCACTGACACACGGAAGACATTTATATACGCAGAAAAGTGTGCGTGTGTGTATGTGTATGTGTGTGTGTGGTCTTTCAGGCGTTAATGTTGCAGATCACAGTCTGCTCTGATCTGCAGCGCGATCGTCTCTGTAAATGCTAATTATCTGCAGTGAAGGCGCAAGTAATTCTAAATGCTACTCACTGAGGGGGATGCCAGGGCTGTGAGCTGAGTCACACACACACACACACAAACAGCCAATAACAGTCCTTCCGAGCAAATCCTTTCCCTGCTGCAGTGTGATTATTCTTAGTGATTTTTTTCTTCCTGAGCAGCGAGACCTGCCAAGTCCTGACCAGCGCTATAGATCTAGGAACACGTGGAAGAAATATAGGCAGTAAACACACATGCACACCAACACACACTCACACTTATTACATAACCCGAGGAGCTGGAAAGCAGCCTCTCTCCATCCCTGAGCACTCACACTTGAGAATCTGCTTCCTGACGATGCTCACAGGAAGAGCAGCAACATTTGGACGACGGCCATAAACAGAAACTTCTTCATCAGCACCACAAATAAATACATATTTTACAGTATAAATCAAATTTCCTACAAGAATCCTCAAAAGAGCTAAATCTGCTTTACTATATTTAAAGTTACCAGCTGTAAGACAAACAACAGATGCAAACACTCCCTTGGTACCTTGTCATCCCCGCCACAGGCCTCTCTGCTCTCTGTGGGAGTGTTTTATGAGTGTGTGTGTGAAGTGGACAGGAAGATGACACCAGCAGGTGAGGAGGGTGAGTCAGTTTAGGTGACAAATGGTGGAGAGGATGTACTCTATCTCTCCCTGCCTTAAATAAAAGCTTTCAACACATGCGACACTAACACACACACACATACACGTCTTTAATACTATGTGAGGACAGTTTTCTGTAAGCTCTTTGTGAGGACATTTCTGGTGTACCTTAAATGATGCAACAAATGAAGGCGTCATCAGAGGGGGCAAGAGTTGAATGTCACTCTGAAGCTCAATTATTTTAATTTTTGAGACAGAATATACACATAAGCAAGAATGTCCCCAAAGAAGGTTGGCCACCAAGAATTGGTCCCCAAAAGGATATACACACACACACACACACACACACACACACACACACACACACACACACACACACACACACACACACACACACACACACACACTCACACACAGGAGGAGGCAGAAATCTGTAGAAAACAAAGTCACCCATTTATTTGTGTCTGTGGTGAGAGATGATCTCCGTTCTCTGAGAAGCGTCTTCAAATATTCCTGGAAACCTGACTCAACATTTTTACTAAAAGGTGTATAAATTTTTTATTTTAAAATCCCTTCACTCTGAAGTGAGCTGGCTCTCCTGGATTTCACAGATTTTGCAGCAGATTTTTAAAAATCTGCAACACAAGCCATTACTTTTTTTGGCTTTTGATTTATACTGTATATTTACTTATCTATTTAGCTTTTTAGCTTGAAAGTTAGGTAGTACAATATCACACATCCACTCTAAGGGACCATAACAAATGCTTGTCTACTGTCTGATTTCTCTGCCAAATTGTCAAATAAAATGTTTAAAAATTGAATGAAACTGTACATGGTCATTAAAAGCTGATTTAAGGTGCTTGTTTTGTATAAAATCTTTAATAGGATGGAAGAACACATGTGTGTTACATCTGGTAATAGTGGTTTTCTGACAGGAAAGCACTGAAAAAAGTCCAAATCAAGGGAACACCAAGAATAGTGCTTTGGTTGGAGTTTGCTGACATTTAAATTTGTTGATACTTTCTGTTCTGGTTTTCCACAGAAGGAGCTGAGCGGACCAGGATCCCTACCTGTCAACAAAACACACTTTCCTTTTAACCCTTAACTATTTTTGTTAAAGAATGGACATTTTAGTTTGAATGGATTTGAAAACTGATTAGTTGGTGTGAGATCTGGTGTTTCAGTCACAAAGAAGGAAAGCAAGACCTGCTCCAATAATAAAATAACTCGTGTAGCATTTTCAAATCCAGTTTCAGTATGATAAAAGAAACAGTGGTTATATTTTTATATATAGTTATTTTATTCATCTCAGGGTAGACTTAATTGGAAATGTTCAAGTTATTTAATATAAAATAATACTTGTAAATGTAGTACACTTAGATGTGAGAATTCATTGACGTAAATTTGTTTCTTGCACACTATCCCTAATACTAATGCCTGTTTCTCTTTTGTGCTTTATTTGATCAGCTTTTAGGGTTACATAATGAGTCCTTTTTTGTCCCTCCAGCAGTGTGATATCACATGAGTTTAGCTGCTTAGTTCAACCTGATATCATTTTGTTCAGACAGCGAATAAAAACCTTATTAAAGCCTCTCTAAAAAGCTGAGCTGAGCTGCCGCCACCATGAGCTGACTAGCTGATTGAAAACATTTATTCTTTGCTGCAAAATTCTCCACCATGATGAACATTCAAGCTGTAATACAGATACAAATTATTTCATCTTCGGAGAATAATCTGCAATCCTCAAAACTGGTGATAGACGTTTTTCTTTCTTGGTAAAACTCATACAGTGGTGTTGAACTTTAACCAGAGTCTATTTCAGCCCGGATGAACAGACCACGTATAGAACTGCATCAGTTTTATTATAGAAACAGCTTCAGACTCTGAGTGAGTCACAGGTCAGAGTAAATGTCGGCTCTTTGTGCGTCTGCTGCGTCACGTAACACTCATTGTTAACAATAGATGTAACACAACCAGCTGCATTTCACACACATCTCACATCTCTCACAGAAACAGCTGCTGATCCGGCGAGTGGACAGAATCCTCTATAGGGGTTAAAACCTTGATTACATGTACATGTGGTCCTAGAAAAACATTTGCCCTGCAAGTCATCCAAACTGCAGGTGAGACATGTGTTTTTACATGTCACTGAGGACAGCTCTGTAAAATCACTGAACAGACCTTATAAATCTTTAGACAGGTAATACAATTTAAACCACCCCTTTAACCTTTCCAGGAGTCAATGTTTTCTGAAGGACAAAACTAACAAGATGACCTTAGATCAATATAGGAAAGCAGTTTAGTAGGGCTGGGATGATATGCTTTCCTTCCCTGTCGATATTTCTATGATTTTTTTAAAATTGCGATTCTACGATATTGTCGATTTTCTTGATTTTTAGTCTGCATTTGTAACACCGATGAAACAGTTGAATGATTATGATTGTCTACTGACTATGACAGGAAATGCATTCCCCCAAAATTAAGCATCACTTGCAAGTCAGTTTTTAAGATTTATTCTTACGTTTAAAAATAATTTTTTTGAACAAAAAAAAAGATTTAAAAATTGTAAAACAAAAAATTGTGATAGTTATGTGAATCGTTTTTTTCTCCCACCCCTTCAGTTTAGTAGTATAACAGTTTTATAATAAATCTACAAATAAAGTTGTCGTATTAAAGCTGAGAAAAAAAAACAAACTTCAACAGATAAAGATGTATACAAGACAAAGCTATTGTAGCAGACAGGAAAAATAAAGAGCCGCAAAGTTGGCTGAATGAATCCAGTTGGCTTGAATTGTTTTGGTATGTGATGTCATAGATCACCAAGGGGAAGGTCTGTCATGGATTTATTGAAAGGGGGCACATTGCCATTAACCATAGTGGGACAGTGGACTGGTTTCACTACCTTACTCACTCTAGTACTCTCCTAACTGGTTTAAATAAGCACCCGTTTTTTGAACATGTCCATAAGTGTTACCTTTTCCTCCTCCTCATGTTCAAACAGGAGTCAGTGTTTACTATGAAAGGTGCATTAGGGTACAGCATCTACGTTTGGATTGACATCTGTTAAAACAGGTCTACGTGCTCGAAAGTGGGTTTGAACTGATGACTCAGCTGTCTGAAGTCCAAAACAAGAGGCAGCAGGCTGTGGCAAAGTAGCTCCTGACAATCCCTACTAAATCCTAGCTTTGCTAAAGCTCAGAAAATTTGATGATGAACACCCTTCAATTTCTATAAAAGTCCTTTATTGCTCTGTTGTTGAAAAACCTTTGTTGTGGGTCGTAGTAGGTGAACTTTTGTTAACATGCATGGTCCCCTCATATTTTCGGACACCCTGATGTAATTCCACCACAGGAAAATGCTGAAAAATACCGTTATCACTTGCTCCAAGGAGGCAGACACACTTTTGAGAGTAAAATGATTCCTGGTGCTTGGATACTGGGACAAGAATCGAAGTCTAGTTACATCACTGAACAAGGGTATTACTGAAGCTGCATGAAAACACACAGACTGAGAGGGACACCACAGTTTACTTTAAGCGCAGAAAAGTAGGAATCACTGATCTATAAGCACCCTGTCACTGGGAAACATTTCCTTCCCTCCATACAGACATGCTGACATACCTGCCACCATTACATTGAATAGCCTCTGCAAAAATATAAGTAAAGAGAAGAGAGGTTTGCATTGTGACATAACATCCCTGCTCTCCTCCTCAGGCACCTGTACAGCCTTTTGAACGCAGCGTCCTGGAAACACACTTCAAGCACGTCATCTCCTATTCAACTGACCGCGATCCAGCCTCTTCTCCCTCCTCTTCCTCCTTTCTCTCTTGACACTCTGTGCCACCAGCTCCAGCCCTCTGTGGAATCAGAGCAGGGACCGGGGGCTGCAGCCGAAATAATCCCAGACTGCTTATGCAACCAGCAGCTATTCATCGAGCCAAGGAGCTGATCGCAGCCACGTACACCCCCCTGATACACACACACACATACACATTCTGCTTCAGCACTACTGACCTCTAACCAGCAGAGTCACGCCATCTTCATCCTCTTTCTGTCTCAACTCTGAGCTTCTTCTGATAAAGCAGCCAAAAACACACACTCCTGTTTCCTGCACATTCAAATGTTTGCCCACACAGGCTCTGTGATTTTCTAACAGAACACGGCGAGATCTGAAGAGACGAACTGCTGCACACACACTCTCGCTCTCTCTCACACACACACACACAGGATCAAAGTGTTGTTGTGTGTTTGATCATCAGAGAGAAAAATAATGAGAGAGAAACAGAGGGAGAGAAACACAATGACGACTGTTCGCAAGCAAAGTGCCAGAAAGAGTGTGTTTGATGTGTGTGCGTGCGTGTGTGTGTGTTAGGAAAGACAAAGAGTGTGTCGCTCGTCTCTGCAGAAGCAGCAGCACCTACTGACATAAATCCACAGTGTGTCACGTCTCTGGCACGTTTACAGCTCAGACTAAAGGTCGGAACAAACCTCCTCCCTCTGTGTCTGACCTTTGACCTGGCACTAATTAGAAATCCTACCGCCTTAAACGCCTCACTCTCATTAACAGTCCAATCAGGGTTGAAACCTGCACTGCACCAGTTTCTACACCAATAAAAGTGTTTCCCAAAATGTCAGGGGGGTGAAAACTTTGACCCACAGAAGAGCTCCTCATACAAGTCCTCAAACCAGCAAGTGGTTTTCTATCAAACTGACATGTTTAGTTAACATGACATTTTTAAAGCAACAGATTCGGCCTGACTTTGTCCGCTTTAAGGACAGTCACAGTAAAAACTAGTCATACCAAGGTGCAGAAATACAACATTTAAAGGTATCTAACTATCCTTAAAGGGACATTCCAATATAAAATTAAGTTAGGGTCAAACACACCGTAAAACCGAGTTAGACACCCCGTAGAGAGATGAATGTTTTCCACCGCTTGCTTCTCTAGTTGTACCAACTTTAGTAACGACCACACGATAGCAATACACAGAGCCACGCGCTCAACCAAAAAGCCACTCTATAGCCACAATTAATGCTCAGAGCAACACCTAACTTCATCAACAGTACATGTAGGGTCCTAGCCATAGGACTAGCCACCAAACATCTTTTTAGCTTTGCCTAACTTCGTGAGCAAAGAGACTAAACACAACTCACCCACTCTCCTCCAGCAGCCGCTTGTTTGTACAGAGACCTCCAGGCAAGTCCATCGACTGCAGCAGGGGGGACGCAGCTCGAGGAAGTGTTGTTCTGAGCATTTTTTGTGAACATTCATCTCTCGACGGGGTGTCTAACTTGGTGTTACGGTGTGTTTGACCCTAACTGAATTTTACGCCGGAATATCCCTTTAAAGAACAGTTCAAAAGTTTGTTTTTATGCAGAATTAGATATTTTATATATTATTTCATTGCATTTCTTATTTTTTACTGTTTCTTTTTGCTACAGCTGATACAGCCAGAGCTCATTTTAGAAATTTGATCACTTTGAGAGTTCCCTTAGCAACCACTGAAGATATACTGACACTATGTCATATTAACGTTGGGTTGTTCTGTAAGGCCCTTCTGTTATGATGTAATGTATTTATTTGCGGTGTTTCTCAGCCATCTGTGGTCATCTGCAGGTGATCAAACCTGACTCATAGGTGACCCTGGGATGTTACAGATGATGGTTCGGTAATCCACACACAACCTGTCTGGGCACAACGGGGTAACAGATGTTGATGTTTTCGTGTTGGACTGACACTGTTCACAAAAACCACTATATCAGGAATTACAATACCCATGGAATATCCCTCTATTAACACCTGAGCTGGTCTACACTTCAGTTAACATCAGTGTTTATTCAGAGATTTCATAGAAGATCACCTTTTGCAGCCAACAAGCTAGACCATCTCTTGTCACTCTTTGCTCCATTCAGTCCATCTATTATCTTCTGGCTGTCTGGGTCCAGGTCCTGGAAGCAGCAGTTTCAGCCCGTCCTGTCCTCTTTTTGTTTCTAAAACAGAGTCTTGAAGCTGAGTGGTGTCGCGAACCATATTGGTTATGTGGACTCAACCTAACTTTCAATCTACCTCCCAGAGACGAGCCTTTACCCTCTGATGCCTGAGCCTTCACTCCCTGTTCAGTGTCTGCTGTGGGAGCCCTGAGCTTTTCAGACCAGACTGTAAACATGATTATTTTTGCTGCCAGAACAGGCTTTTTCTGCTCAGTGTGTATGTGGTTTCTGGTGCTTTTGCAGTCTTTAACACCTCTGCATTGTCACTATTTCTTCTACGTCTGCTTCAGATACATTCAAGACCCTGTTCTCCTGTGGACTAAACCCACCTGACTGAGCTTTGACACTTCATCGACAACTTCTATATGGATTTGGTTTAGAGGAAGATGCAGGATGTCGCTACCATGATTTTACAGCTGATCTCTTCTGCGTAGGCTGACTGTTACCCCCAATTTCCACCACATCCTGAACGGCTACGAAAACGCTGTATCTGCTGATCGTAATCATTTAAGTCAATGTGTCAATTTCAACCGGCTTCTTTCTGTTCCGCTGCCGATCGCTGGACTCCGCAGCTGATCGCCAGGGTTCTATTTTTTTCGGACGGATAAATTCAGCACAGATTAACCTGTGCTGGAAAGGAAGTCGGGCAAATACACAAGATAAAACATCCAGCTTCTTTTCAAAATAAAACACTGTGTTTCAGGCGGATCGTATTTCACACCATGCAAACAGGCGGGGACGAACAAGTGAAAGGTTTATAGACAGCATTTCACCCCGATGACACCATGGATGAGGGGATGCTGATTTTATAAGTCTAGAAGTAGATTTCCTCCTCTAGAAGGACACGATCTACTGCTTTCAAGGTTATCCTCTATGGCTAAAGTCAACTTGTTATCGCGAGATTGCATGTGAATCCGCGGGTTCTCCTGAGTTATCACGATTTCTGCTGTCTGTAATCCGCCACGAAATTCACCTCACAAACGGATCCGGTAGAGCTGTTCCGGGTACCGTGGAAATCCCGGGTTAATATCAGCATGTCAGGGCCTGTAGCCAAATCGGTTTTGACTTCTTTTTTGTACAACAGGGAGAGGAGTAGACACATCATCCATCTTTGTATGCAGTCGATTAGAACTTTACTCTCTGAATGGGATGTCAGAGGAAAATGGCTGCTAAAACAGAGGACTTAAAACAATGAGGCAGCGTTTAATTCAAACACCTTTGTTTCTACGAATGCGTATTTATCATAACATGTTTACATCATATTTACATAAGTGTTGATCTCCAATCACATATATTTTCCCAGTTAATCTGCACTCTGAAGCAGTGAGCTGGGCTGAAGTTACCACCACTGCAAGCAGAGACCCACCAGAGCGTCTCTGTGACCCACATTGTGACTCATCATGCTGAAGTGTGGACTTGCCTGTGAGTGTGTTTGCGTGTGTGTGATGTGATGTGTCTGCCTTAACATGCCATCAAGGAGCTTAAACTCACTTTGATCAGAAACCTCCCACAGCAGCTCAGAACATAAACAGCAGCAGATTAATAAGTGTCACATGACCTCTGCAAAATTAGATTCGAGAGTCATCTCTGTCCTTATATGCAGAGAAGAAATAATGCAGCACTCAAACTCACTGGGACCTGAACACATCAGGAGGACCTACACATGCATGTGTCCATACCCCCCTGTCCTCCTGTGAGGCTACGTCATGTTGTATCCACCTGCAGTGTGTCCTCAGACTGCACCCACACTCAGGAGGATCACTGTCACAGAGTGCAACACACACACACACACACACACACACACACACACACACACACACACACACACACACACACACACATAGAGCCGCTGCAGATGCATGGTACAAGAGGGTGTTGATCAATAACACAAAACACAATGATATTGAAATACTATTAACAGTTTACAATGTTAATGAAGTGTATTGGGAGATTTTTTAAATGAATGAAATAACACAATTACACACACACACAATTACACACACACACACACACACACACAGTGTTTTCAGTGTGCACAGAGCGGCCCTTGTGAATAAACCTGAACACTATGATCAGACTCATTTCTTCTGTTATTCATGCTCCTGCTGTTGTGTGAATGGGTGAGTCCGGTGAGGGTGAGTCAGGGTGCAGGTGAGGATACATGAAGCCGGGTTTTTTTTTTCCGCTACTCACCCGTCAGTGGGTTCCCATAGGGGGGCCGTGGATTCCGCCCTGTGAGCCCGGGCTGCAGCTGAACACACAGCGGGGTCTGAGCGCATACTAAGGCCAGGAGAGCCGCGAGGAGCACCGGGAGTCCATGAGCCGAGAGCAGTCTCCGAGCAGCCGAGAGACGGTGGATGTGAAGCCGAGCATCCTGCAGCCTCCTCCGGCTCTGCGTCCTATTGTCTCCGCATCGCTCCGTCCTCTAGGATGGGAGGAAGAGGAGGAGGGGAGAAGGAGGGGAGGGGAGGAGGGGGGGAGTCAGCAGAGGAGAGGAGCACCAGTAGTGAGGCAAGGAAGAGGAGGGGGGGCGAAAAACCCTCCCTCTCCTTTCTGCTTTGGCCAATTGCAGCGCAGCTCCGCCGGGAGCCGCCGCTGCTCCTGTCTCCGTACAGACTATGATGCGTTCAGGGCCAGTGGGATAAATTAAAGGATTGACGCTTAACTATAATCTAAGTCTCAGTAATGTTGGACTGTTATTGTTTGTAACATCTTCAACAGTTACCTTTAACACGCCTGCTTTATTCTCACCCTCTCAAAGGCCAGAAGGCAAAACTCCTTTTGACATCTTCCTTTCTGTCTCTCTGTCATTTGGTTTCCTTTTATGATCTTTGTCACACGTAAACATTTGTTTACGGTGGCCAAGGACTGCCACTGTTGCAAATAAAAAAAAATTAGTAAAAAAAGATGAGCAATAATGATGATGCACTGGTGTTTTACAATTGTCTTTTTTCTTTTTTTATTTATAGCAGAGGCGGTTCTCGAACACTGTATCTATTGACTATGGAAGATTATAAAAATAAGGGTTTTTTTTAGGTTATATAAGGATGTGAGGAAAAAGTAAAAATAAAAAGACGTTGACAAAGCTCTACTGCTCTCTCTAACGAGACAAATGAAACCAGTATCCTGGGAAAAACAGCTTCATTAATCAGAGTAACAAGATGAATGGGTAGTGGTTTAAAAAAGTCTTACTAATATGTAACACATGGAAATATAAAGTATGTACAATGATGTTTGTTTCCCTTTAAACCTGTGTTTTTGTTTTGTTTTTTAATCTTAAACCTGCATTGTTTCCAAGGTCCAGTAGGGGGCATTTAGGGATGATGTTTTCAACATTTGTCATACAACAGTAAACCTCTTACTGACATGTTTGTTGATTGTTAAGTTGATTGTTCTAGTTCAGTTCCTGACCAATGCTTGTGTCCTGGAACTTATGAGAATTTATGACCTACTGCAGCCCGTCACCAGAGGGTGCATTTCTCGTGGTGGCTTCACCCAGCGAGGAGGCAGACGGCGACTATTCTATATAGCTACAGTCTTTTAGTAGACTTCATCTTCTGACGTCTTCTACTTTTATTTATTGAACTGAATGAAAACAGTTGAAAAATGTACAATAAATGTCAATCTTTAAAGGTCAGTTTTGGTCATCTCTCAGAGGGATGCTACAGTTGGCTCACTGGTAGCTTCCGCTGCTTCCACGTGTCTCCTTCATTTCATTTCACATGGCAACCAGCGTTAAGGACCACCACTATCAACATTTCTTTGTTTCATTTTTCAGTTATTGCCAATATGGGGCTGTTGTGACAGTCTCACTTCATGTTTTTGAATCAAGGGCTCTGACAATGGAGTTTACGAGCTGCTCCTGAATGCCTCATCAGCGCATTAGATGAGGCATCCTCAGTCTGCAGTGCTGAGGAGTCCCTCTTCTAATATAAATGTGTTTTTATGGAAAACAAAAATCACACGTTGGTCATCTCTGCTCCGTCTCATGACTGGGATTCAGAGAGTCTTTGTGACTCTGTGTTATCTCTCTGCACAGCACCACAAGGAGACAACCTGGACTTGATCCTGTTCAATCCTGCTGGGATGGTACAGTTCAATGTGTATAACAATGTTAGATTCTCTACAGATTTTTTTTCTTTTTTTGAAACAATATTTATTAAAGCAGGATTAGTCAGTAGTTTGGGTATATTCGATCATTCTTTGAGAAACTTGCAGTGATGGTGTTTCTGGAACATTTAGTCTCTCAGAGATTGGTAACCAGGTCTGATGTTTGCAGGAATCGTCCTGTGGTTACCAGAAGGTTGCATCACAGGATGAAAACAGGGAGGTGTCGTCTCAGGGGACAGTTTCTCATCACACAGAGGGAATAAGAGTCCTGTTGGCGAGGAATATCATCATACAGCTCATACAAAGGCTGTCATTCACACAATGAGGCTCATAGAGCAGCAGGAGGCCTTTGGTTTGTTTCTATCAGAGTGAAATAAGAAGACAGTCTTATAATGTAGCTACCTCCCACTGAATCTGCCTCTTTTTCCCGTCATAGAGGAAATTTTAGCTGCGTTTGGAGCAGAACAGTCTGGACTAAAAGTAGCATCAAACCTGTGAGTTATTAAAAAACACAGAACAGCCAGAGTATGCTGAGGACTCAGTATTAACTCTGCGTCATACTCTGTTTGCCACCAACAGCACTTTATGAACACGCTGAAGTGGAGGACAAAATGAATAATCACAGGTGGAACATGAAGAAGCACCTGCAGGCTGATTCAGGTACAAACACGATACTTGTAACTGCGCCTTCCCTCTCATACAACTACGACTTCATTCCCCCAAATATGATTTCTCTTTCCTTAATGTGGCCTCATCCTCTGACACCACGAACACACAGTAAAGATCTGTTTTCTTCATAAAGGTCTCCTGGTTGCTTTTTAGAGACATCAGGATTATTCTCAACTTGTTATGAGGAGTTAAAAACCCTGAACAGGATTCAACTTAGTGATGGGCACGGCAGTTCTTTTAGATGTACTGAATCACCAGAATGTGTTCACTAAAAAGATTCGTTCAAAAGATTCGTTCATTAAATCACCGAATCATTCAGTGGTTGGCTGGAGAAGCCTGCGACTCTGACCTCTTGAACTGATACACATATTAACGTTTTAGGATTCAGTTCGATTCAAAGCTTTTGGGACTGGGAGACGAGAGTGTTTGGCTGTGTTGCTTTGGCAAACAGGTTTGTAAAAAGGAACTTGTTTATAAGTCATGATGTTGTAAGTGTACCGTCCTATGGTATGATATTTATCAGGTCTGCTTGGTAAATTGGTGAGTGAGTGAGTGATTCGTTCACACTGAACATGCATCTTTCCCTTGCAAACCGCTGCAATGATAGGATGCTGCAGGTTTTATGCACTACTTGTTACATGCTGTGTCCTATTGTATGTAAGTCGTTGTGGTGGCAATTTAGCAGTTTAAAAAAAGGTAGTTTTGTCCAACAAACATGATTCCAGAGAGTGTAGTTCAAAGCATGATTCGTTTACCAAGTGATTCAGGTGTCGGTGTATGTGGTCCCTCATTCACCTGCTGCTCACCTGGCAATGCTGTGTGCTGAATCATCCGCCCTGCTGATAGCTCAACTAAAGTGAGAATCATTTGAGGAAGTGATTCTGTTCAGTATGTTCACTTAAATGATTCGGTTCTTTTGAACGAATCGTTCGCGAACGACACAACACTAGTTCAACTTTTACAGTTGTAGTTCCTACATGTGATCATAATCGATGAAATGCCAAACACGTGTGGAAAGTTGGTATTAACTGGGACTTCACACATCCTATCCTGAGAGTCTTCCCTGTCCACGTGTTGCATGTTCCTCGTTTTTCTCACCTGATCATGTTGTTTTTTCCGTCATGGTAAAAGCTGATTTATCATGTTTCAAAGTTTTAAACCTGAGACAGTTGCTGTGGTGCCACCATCTGGAATTTGAGTCAACTGTTCCAGCTAAGGGCTTTTGATACAGGACTGTGACTGTGCACAAAGTTATGCATAACATGCATGAGAAGGAAGACTCGTAAATGAAGTTAGTGGTGGTGATAATGAAATCAGTAACAGCTGTCAGCGCCGGAGGTTTGATCATTTTCTTTTCCGAGCAGAGATAAGAGTCCGGAGATGAGCTGTGTCAGAGGTTAAAGAGAAGCAGCAGAGCTTCATTCAGGTGTTCAGTTTCAGAGAACAGGCTGTTCACTGTGACAGAGCGTTCATGAGATAATCAGAGAGAGGACCTGACCTCAGCGCTCTGTTTCTGCTTGATCTCACTAAAACCTCAGACCACCTGTCAGAGGACACAGAATCCAACTCTGCTAGTAATAAGCGGGACATCTTTCAGATTTTTAAAAGGGTGATAAAAGACTCTGTGTGTGTGTGTGTGTGCCCGCACAGCCTCAGTCACATTTCTCCAGACTCCTCATAGACTGTCAGGCTCTTAACTGAGAAGTTATCATGTAAATAAATATGATAATTTACACTGTAACATGTTTTTAGTGTAACTGTATGTACTGTTATGTTTCCAGGATTTGTGTTTATAAATCTGAACTTGAATATTCTCTAACTCTCAGGTCTCACTGTCAAACATCACACTACCCAGGAAAGAAAACATTGTGCACTTAATGTTTGATATTTTACTTTAACACAGTCGATTGAATAAATAATTACAATGTGGGACTCCATATGTAAGTTTGTTTTTAAGCAAATAAAGTTTTAGAGACCCACTCCGATAAAAATCATGTCCATTTTGTTGTCTACATGTTCATATGGCATTTTTTTGATGCTACAGGACATATCATAAAAAAATTCAGACACAGTGAGATTTGCTACATCACAAATCCAAGCTCCGCCCCCAGAGCCCTGCTTTGCAGACCAGATTTAGCGAAGTAGAGAGGACGATCGTGGAACAAGTGTGTGTGTTTGCGGATTGCAATGCTCATAAGACAGCTGATTATGATATTAGCTTTCACTATGTCCCTAAAGACATTAGTGTCTGAGAAGAGGAGTGTACAGAGAAGCACTGTCTCTGTCCACGACTCAGAGGTGAATTGCTAATGAGCTACTGGAGCTCTGCAGAAGAAAAGCCCTAGAAAACGATACGGATAAAGTGATTTTGGGGAAAAACTTTATAATCACAATTTAAAGACCACTGAGAGACAACTTTGAGTAGTAAATAAAAAGGATCAGAGTGGGACTTTAGGCTCCTGTGAGGGTTGTAAAGTTTGAGTCCGTTTTGGCGCCCCCTGTGGACAAACTGAACCTCCTCTCTTCCCTGATTTCCTCCTTTCTATGTGCACGTTTGTGTTTTATTAAAATATCTAATCTTTTCACAGATTTATCAAACACTATCAGAATAAAAAGTCTGTCCCCACAGTGTACAGTCAATCACTTTGACACCAACCTCACAGCAGCAGGTTCAGGCCTTGAAAGTAACTCTACCCATAAATCCATTGTTAGCGTCATGGTTTTGTTTATTTTAGTGCTATAATTACATATTAAGATTATGCCTGGTATGGTAATGAAAAGACCTCTGTTTTCATCGTAGATTCAATGTTCATTTCAAACACCATCAGCGATCCTTACGTTCCTCCTGCTGCTCAGTGTAAATTTCTCTTTCTCTGAAATAATCGAGGGAATACCCGATCACTAAAATAATCAATCACTGCAACCCCTACAGCTCTCTCTGATAGAACATCCAGAGGAAGAAAGGGTGAAGACTTCCTCTTTCTGTCTAACAGGGAAACTTCACACTATGAGACGTGTGAAAAACTACTTTGGGGAATTCTGGGGCGGGCTGTCCTGGAACTGTCGACCATGCAGGTGTGAAAAAGGACTCTACTGTCTCCATTTTGAAGACAGCCTTTAGCTCAGGCAGGCTCGATTGTTCAGACCCTGAAATGAATAAAATCCAATTTTGACTTTTCCACAAACTCATCCACAGCCACTGTTGCTGACAAAAATTATTTAATTCAACAGGAAATACTGGAGTCAGGGTGGATAAGGGCGTAAAAAAGGTTTTAAAAAATCCAGTTTGTCTGCTGGAAGTTTGAAAACACTTTAAAACATTGTAGAAAATACAGCTGAGTCAGTAGTAAAAACACATAGAACATGAAAAAAAAAGTGCAAATACTTCTTCAAAGGCTGGAAACAGAAAAAACACTGAGTTTTATACTAAGTGTCACACCTAAAAGAATTAAAATCAGTGCAATTGTTTTCAAATTAAAAGGCCTCACATGTTCTGGTGCTGAGAGCCTACAGAGCACTGACCCAGACAGAGAGAGGTCTGCGTTCACACAAACAGGTAGAGAGCGAGCTCCTTGGTGTGCAGGTGCTGGGCCAGGTTCTGGATGCGACACAGGCGTACGTTGTTGGAGTCCCCGGCGTTGTAAACTCTGAAGATTTGATACTTCTCTTTCTCTTTCAGGGCAAAGTCCAGCTCGTTGGCCGACAGGTGGATGAAGGCCTTCTCCTTCTTTATGGTCGACTTCACCTCCACGTACACCAACTCCAGCCCCCCTGCAGCACCGAAGGTCACCTTGAAGTCGTACGGCTGGCCGCTCTCTCCGCTCTGGTTACACCACTGGACACTGGCAGGGCCTCCGGGAACGCCGCTGTCTCTCCAGTGACACAGGAAGGAGTTCACCAGCTGCTCCCCCCACTCCCCGATGGCTGAGAGGTTCGCCTGGTCGTCTGACAGCACCACCTGCAGGAAGAGACGGGGTTGGATCAGATGGTGCAGAGGTGAGGCGTTCATATTTCTCTCTGCCTGGGGTTTCTGAATTACTAAAACACTTCTGGGTGTACTGACCGTGCTCGGCCTCGGGCAGTGAAGCGTCATCTCCTCCAGTCCGGTCTGAGCGTTCCACACAGGGAAGTCCAGGTTGAGGGGGGCGCGCTGAGTCTCTGCGGGGGCTGCACCCTGAAACACAGAGGAGAGGACCACAGCCTCTGGGACGGAGCTGAGAGGGAGAGAGAAGAAGGAGAGGAAGAGGAAGAGGAGGTACAGGGAGAGTGTGATACGTGTTAGTGACAGTGAAAACCAACATTTGTTTTTCAGACATGAGTAAATGATGAGGAGAAGAGAGAGAGAGAGAGAAAGAGCCTACAGGCTGTCTGGAGCAGGCGGCTCGCTGGCTGTTGTCGCAACAGGCGGTACAGATGGAGGACTCTGAGCTGGTCTGGGCTCCATGAGGGTTTCCTCTCCTCCTTTAGCTCCTTCAGACTCGCCCTGCTGAGTGCTCCCTGTCAGACACAAACAAATGTAAGACTAACAGAGCAGGTCTCTGTGATAGATGAATACAACGTGCAGAATTCACCGCATCTCTGACAGTTTTTGCTTTTTTTTGAACACCCACACAGTCAGGATTTCACTGTTTTGAAATAAAACGCCTTTGTAGGAGCAAATCATAGAACTGTCAACTAGATGTGTAACACCGACGCCACAAGAGCTAGACTCAGTTAAGCGAGGGAGACATTGTCCTGGTCTTTCCTGACAGAAGATTTTAGCTGCTTCTCAGTTTGAGGTTCTGTTCATCTTATTTTTTGCTGCCATGTCCCCCACTTTGGACTAGTCAGGACTACAGACAGGCTAGTTTAGCAGCAGGACTCTTCTACTACTGAGCTGTACTGGTGTAACACACGAAGAAATCGGTTCAACTTGTTTCTGTGGGCTTAGTACCCAGAGGAGTCGCCATTATTTCTGGATCATGTTCAGGTTTTCTTTTTGATCAGCAGACTGTGTTTACAAACATTCGTTTTTGGGTGTGATGTTGAGCCAATGCGGTGCCTCCAACTACAGAGTCGTGTCTGTTTTCAATGTAATGTTGCCTGAGAGAGTTTAAGACCATCTGTCATCTGGTGGGTGTTGTCCCTTGAAAGGAATATTCCAGTGTAAAATTAAAGTAAGGTCAAACACACCATGACGCTGAGTTAGACACCCCCTCGAGAGATGAATGTTGCAGACCGCTTGCTTCTCTAGTTATACCAACTTTAGTAACAACTGTACGATAACACACAGCGGTCTACACTCACCGGCCACTTTATTAGGTACACCTGTCCAACTGCTCGTTAACACTTAATTTCTAATCAGCCAATCACATGGCGGCAACTTAGTGCATTTAGGCATGTAGACATGGTCAAGACAATCTCCTGCAGTTCAAACCGAGCATCAGTATGGGGAAGAATGGTGATTTGAGTGACTTTGAACGTGGCATGGTTGTTGGTGCCAGAAGGGCTGGTCTGAGTATTTCAGAAACTGCTGATCTACTGGGATTTTCACGCACAACCATCTCTAGGGTTTACAGAGAATGGTCCGAAAAAGAAAAAATATCCAGTGAGCGGCAGTTCTGTGGGCGGAAATGCCTTGTTGATGCCAGAGGTCAGAGGAGAATGGCCAGACTGGTTCGAGCTGATAGAAAGGCAACAGTGACTCAAATAAACACCCGTTACAACCAAGGTAGGCAGAAGAGCATCTCTGAACGCACAGTACGTCGAACTTTGAGGCAGATGGGCTACAGCAGCAGAAGACCACACCGGGTGCCACTCCTTTCAGCTAAGAACAGGAAACTGAGGCTACAATTTGCACAAGCTCATCGAAATTGGACAATAGAAGATTGGAAAAACGTTGCCTGGTCTGATGAGTCTCGATTTCTGCTGCGACATTCGGATGGTAGGGTCAGAATTTGGCGTCAACAACATGAAAGCATGGATCCATCCTGCCTTGTATCAACGGTTCAGGCTGGTGGTGGTGGTGTCATGGTGTGGGGAATATTTTCTTGGCACTCTTTGGGCCCCTTGGTACCAATTGAGCATCGTTGCAACGCCACAGCCTACCTGAGTATTGTTGCTGACCATGTCCATCCCTTTATGACCACAATGTACCCAACTTCTGATGGCTACTTTCAGCAGGATAATGCGCCATGTCATAAAGCTGGAATCATCTCAGACTGGTTTCTTGAACATGACAATGAGTTCACTGTACTCAAATGGCCTCCACAGTCACCAGATCTCAATCCAATAGAACATCTTTGGGATGTGGTGGAACGGGAGATTCGCATCATGGATGTGCAGCCGACAAATCTGCGGCAACTGTGTGATGCCATCATGTCAATATGGACCAAGCTCTCTGAGGAATGCTTCCAGCACCTTGTTGAATCTATGCCACGAAGAATTGAGACAGTTCTGAAGGCAAAAGGGGGTCCAACCCGTTACTAGCATGGTGTACCTAATAAAGTGGCCGGTGAGTGTATGTCTGCACATGCAAACCTCAACCAAAAAGCTACTCTATAGCCACAAAAAGCGGAGTTTCGCAGCTTAAGGAAGAACATTTATGATCATTACTTCATGGAAATTTAATCAGACTGAGACGCTAAGGCAGAAGAACTACTCATCTGCAGTGCTAAATGATTATTTTGATGATTATTACTTCATGGAAATGATCTGCTGCACTTGGTGATCGGCTTGTCAGGGCTCCCCCACAAACAAGTAGCTGCTGGAAGAGAGTAGGTGAGTTGTGTTTGTTTTTTTACTAAAGAAATCAGGCAAAGATAAAAAGATGTTTGATGGCTAGTATTATGGCTGGGACCCTATATGTACTGTTGATGAAGTGAGGTGCTGTTCTGAGCATTAATTCTTGAGGGGGGTGTCTTACTCGGTGTTACAGTGTGTTTGACCATAACTTAATTTTACGCCGGAATATTCCTTTAAAGCAGAGATTCCTCCAGGTTCTCAGACTCTTTTGCAATTTTGCTTTGAGGAAGTTTTATTCTGAGATTGCTCATTTTAATCTTCAACCTTCATATAATTTTCAGCTTTCATTTTTAAACACATGTTGTTGACGCATCGTTTACACAGAGCTTTGACTGAGAGTGAATTTAAAGGTAAGTTTGTGGTTGCACTCCTGAATTTCAGACCTGGTGTGTGAGCAGGAATTTTGTTCACAGCTGGACTCAGTTGTCCTGGATGGAGCGGGACTTTTTGGGGGCCGAGTTGATCTGCAGGTCTGCTGCTTCTGATTGGCAGGTTCCCGTCTGAGCTGCTGGGACTCTGAGGGACAATGTGGGTGCTTCCTCGGGGTGGGAGGTCTCTCTCTGGGTCTTTGTCTTTAGGTGCTGCAGGAGGAGGCCACATCTTCATGACCGCGTCCACCACAGCGCTGTCTGAGTGAGCTGCCGGCACAGAGAAATACAAGAAATAATGATGCATATGAAGATCTGAGGATGCTGAAACCTCCTCCTCCTCCTCCTCCTCCTCTTCCTCCTCTGTGTACCTGTGCGGCTGTGTGTGTGTGTGTGTGTGTGTGTGTGTGTGCTGCAGTCAGGATCTGCTCCCCGTCCTCCTGTGCAGGGCGAGCTGGCTCTACCTGAGAGCTGATGGAAGGTTTGGTCCTCGATGGCACTGAAATAAAACAAAACCATGAGAAATAAACCAGTGATGTGTTTGAGTGTGTATATCTACTGAAGACAGTGAATTTAATAAGAATAATAGGAATAATACAAACAGATGCCACAGACTGATGTTATAATCCACCTCCTGCTGCGGTGAAAGCTCTTTGATCATTTTAATCTGTGTGTGTGTGTGTGTGTGTGTGTGTGTGTGTGTGTGTGTGTGTGTGTGTGTGTGTGTGTGTGTGTGTGTGTGTGTGTGTGTGTGCTGCAGTGAGGATCTGCTTCCCCTGTCTCTCTTGGAGCCCTGGTAACAGCTGCTCTTTTATGTCTCCACACACGAATTGATCAAACTGAATTAGCATATCTGAGAAATAAACCAGTGATGTGTTTGAGTGTGTATATCTACTGAAGACAGTGAATTTAATAAGAATAATAGGAATAATACAAACAGATGTCACAGACTGATGTTATAATCCACCTCCTGCTGCGGTGAAAGCTCAGAGTTTAATGTTTGATGTCAGTGTGACTGTTCTACTGAGGAACGTACAGCTCCACCGTCACCTGACACGTGAGCAGCTGTGTTTCACTTTGGGCTGAAACCAGAACTTTGAATAAATGAAGAGGTTAAAATTGTCAAAACCAAGACCCCCTTAGTGTGTTCCCATTCACTCTTCTTATTAGCGTGTCTTGTGGATCACTAACATATGATTAATTGATCAAAGGACTTTCTTAAAATGCCCATTCCTAGTTTGGACAACCTCTGTCTCTGGTGATACGACATATCAATCCTTTCGCAAAGCAAGCTGACTGAGGCATCAATACTGGAACCTTGAAGCATAAAGACCAATGATACTGATGGTTTGACTAGTCAAAACCATAGACTGTATATAGAATGGACAGCGTCTGCCTCCTCTCTGGGTGAAGCCACTCTGAGAACAGCACCCTCTGGTGTCAGGCTGCAGTATAGGTCATAATTCCTGCCTACGCCACCAAAGCTTATGGAGCTGTGGACAAATTTTAGAAATTTAGTACACAGAATATAATTTTTTCTATCCCCTGGTTGTGATGTTGACATGTAGTTACAGTAAGATTGGTTTGTGCTCAACTCCTCTTTTTTCTGTACAGCTCCATTTTTAAAAGTTATTAGGGGGTTCATGTTTTCTATGATTGACACCTGATACAGCCTATGGGCGCAGTTTGAGCCGAGTGTCATCACAGTGACTCTCCTGCTGAATGTGTACAACACTACTGTGCAATGTTGGTTTCAGGAAGTGGAGAAAAAACGTGCAATTACCAAGAGCTTTTTGGCATCAAATCTGTATACTGGCGGGAGGCGAAACCAATTTGTCCATAGTATATACAGTCTATGGTCAAAACCAGTTTTCACCTGGAGATAGTTCTTGATTCCCAACCCTGGTCCTGAGGATGTTATTAAGCTTGTATCACTCCTGTTGACATTTACAGTGTAACAACAGTAATCTACCATCACTCTATCCTTTACGCCGGTCAGTCACATGAGAACAGCTCTCCCTCTGTGAGCTTTTAGTTTGCATCAGAGTTTGATATCCTCATTTAATCATCAGTTTTTCAAGGTCTAATAAAGCTGAATGGGACTCTGTGTTATTTTTAAATCTGGAGTGAGGGAAGGGGAGATTTGGAGATTCAAGTTTATGTACGAGTGTGAAGCTTTTACTCTGAGCTAACACTGGGTTTCACTGACCCCTCTGTCTCCGAAAACACGAGACCGTCAGTAATCCTCAGCACGCAGAAAAACAGTTTCAGACTGTAGATTATGATTGTGAAAAAGTTAAGAAACAACATTTTTCAAAAACTTTGAACAGGAACAGTCCACCGGTGGGAAAGCTGGTGTTCAAAAAGTTACCTAAACTCAGTTTTGTTCATGAGTGCAGTCCAAAGGTGTTTTGATAAATTGACCGGATTGTAGGTTCTGGTTAACTTGGTTAAATTGGTTAAACTCAATTCCTGAGCCTTTAAAAAGAAATGAGTGGAAAGACCAACACATGAGTGTAACACAACATTATTTGAGTCTGCATGTGCGCACTGTTTACCTCTCTCTAGGTAAATCTCAGGTCTCGGAGGCTCTGGGACCTCCCACAGCTCCTCCTCACTGGGCAGCTCTCTGATGTCCTCCTTCTGCAGGAATCTCTGCAGAGATGTGAAGTCCTGCATACACACAAAAAGCAGAAGAAGAGAGATATAAATACATCCATCAATCAATCAATCAATCAATCAATCAATCAATCAATCAATCAATCAGATCTCACATATACAGCACTGTTCGAACGACAAAATAAGGCACAACGAAATTCAGATAAATATTTTGAAACTTGTAGAAGAGGCATTTATTTTAGATTTTAAGAGAGGTAAATGTCAGAGCAGCATTTTCCTCTACTGAATAACACTCTCAGTACAGAACCACAACACCACTCTCTCCAGTTGTATTATTTGTGCAGAGACACCTGATGGAAAACACGAATCCATTTTAAACTCTGAAGAGGTTAAACATAACGTAAAGGTAGTGAGATGGTCTTTAACGCTCTTATCCTATCCAGTATGTTCATTTCACTTATCTGTCAATACTCGTCACATTGACACAAACACAGCGGTGAATTTACAAACAGAAACATCCTCTAGGGGCTGAGAAGGAAAGAAAAACTAAGAGTAAGAATCAGACTGAAGGATGAAGTGGTTTTAATCTTAGACAAGACTGTAAAACATTACACAGTGACTACCACAGCATCTATGATCAGCCTCCTGAACCATTCCCACACCCCCATTTGACAGGTTAATTTCAAGGTGAGAGCTCCTGAAATTTTCCTGGAATTGCCTGGAGTGCATGTCTAAAAGTCCCAGAGAAAGACCGTTTTGATAAAGAAGAAGATGGCTGCTGATTCACGCTTTACAAACACACCAGACTACACTGATCAAAACAACATTTCTATCCTGCAGAGCACAGCAGCTGCCGGTCTACTGCTGACTTTATGCTGTATTCTGTGATTTCAGTTTTACCAACGGAGCACTCAGACTCTGAATAATGTCATTTTAATACATGGCAACCAAAAAATACAACCCTCCGAAGACGGAGGCAGACCAGCAGCTGCTGCTCCCTGTGAAATAAAATCCCAGTTTTTGTCAGTCTGGTGTCTGTCAGATAAAATGGTCTCTCTCTATAGTGATCCTCTCTGTTATGTCTTCAGACACTCTGAGCCTGTCGGTTAAGCGGACTCTGGGTTTACTTCTCTGTTAGATCCTTTTTCCATCAGTGGACGTGGTGGATAATTGCTGCTTCTGAGTCATCTCGCCTCATTCAAAAGTTGATGACCTAATTAAAAGGCGCTTCAAGTGGCTGCTCGATCGACTGTCTGGAATAATATCAAAGTTAAAGTAATAATTGGATTTGATAGGTTGAGAGGCATCGGTGAATTTGGGGAAAGAGCTGGGAGTTTCATTACAGAGTGACTTCATTTCAACATTTTATCAAACACAAACGAAGATGTATGCATTTTTTCTTGGTTGAATCTAGAGACAGAGCTGATCCTCCTCCAGATTTCAAAGCCGTTCAGTTTTCACGGCAAGTTCCGCTGCTCAAAGCCAAATATGTAACATGATTTTTGTACAGAGGGATCATTAACCTTAGCCTTATTAACCTTTGACCCCTGTGACTGTGCAGAGTGTGCCGCTCAGCTTCACAGAGATCAGGGGGAGGGATCATTAGATTCAAACCTCACATCGGAGATCCACTCAGCTGTGTGAGGCTGTGCTCGAGTGTGTGGTCTGACTTACGCTGATGGAGGTAATCAGGCCGCTCAGGAAACGCATCAGCTCCTTCCTGTGGCTGATCTCAGTGCAGAACAGCTTCACCAGCTCCCTACGATACACACACAAATACAGCAGTGAGAAGCCTGTGAATGTGTTTGTGTTGTTTTGTTTAATGTAAAACATTTTAAAGAGAAAGTGTTGAAGTGAAGAAGCTGGTATACGGGGAAGAAATTGGAGTATAAGCCTCTTTGAATGTCTTTTCAAATCAAATGTGAGCTGTACAAGTATAAAATGAGGAGGTACTCTATTGTTTTACACTGTTTTACCCAGAAGATGGCGCTCAAAGAAGCAAGTAGCTGCATAAAGCATGCTGTATGCACAGCAACCCCCAATTTCCACAGCATCAGGAACAGCTACGAAAAGGCCATATCCGCCGATCGTAGCTGATCGTAAACATTTAAGTTAATGCGTCAATTCCCACCATGCAAACAGGCGGGGACGAACAAGTGAAATGTTTATAGACAGCATTTCACCCCGATGACACCATGGATGAGGGGATGCTGATCTCATAAGTCTAGAAGTGGATTTCCTCCTCTGGAACGACCAGTCTACTGCTTGTATGGTTAGCCTATTTAGCTAAAGACAACTTGTTATCGCACAATTGCATGTGAATCTGTGGGTTCTTGTGAGTTCTTGTGATTCCTGTTGTCCGTAATCCACCACCAAATTTGCCTCACATATGGATTTGATAGGAATTGGTGGATGGCGAAAATCACTGTGGTTCCAGATGCGGTGAAAACTGGGGGTAAGACAGAGCAGGCTGACAGTCCTGCATGTTAGCCTCTCATCCCCCTGAGTGGCTCAAATGCATGTATTACGCTTCATTTCCACTCAAGTATGTCCATGGTGTCCGTAGCTCTGTAAATAAACGGACATGGGGTCTCATTTATGAAATGTGACAGCGTTGACCCACCACACACCACGGGAGCTGATTATAATGGAGCCCACACACACTGACTCGGAGTGTTAGAGCCCACTAACAGTGCTAAGCAGGCAGGAGGGAAAAGAAAATGGATTTTTCTTTATTTCACCCTGGCTAAAAAGAAACTTCAAATCTCTGCATCCAAATGATTTTTCTGTTTTCTCTTTCTTTCTTTCTTTGCGCCATGCTTGCTGGTCCACATGAAGCACGGCGAAATTGGGGGTTAAGGGACAGAGGAAAAGACGGGTCGTACCGCAGCTGATCACTGTAATGAGCACGAAGAAAGTGACTGTATTGTTACTTCACAGCTATTAAAAGCTGATTTCCTGAATGTGGGTCCATCTACTGGGTTCTGACTCTTCCTCACACTCGTACCTGCAGATCTCCAGGTTGGCTGACAGGTGATCTTTCTGGATGCAGAGCTCTTTCTGGTCTTTCAGCAAACAGATCACATCCCGCATCTCTATCAGCTCTTCACTCTCTCCTACATTCAGCTGATAGCGCATGTAGAGCTTCCCCACCTGAACACAGACAGACAGGAAGACAGACAGAAACATGTCAGGGTGTGAATGGACCAGCTGTGCAGTTTGGTCCTGACCCCACTCTGAGTCCAGCGATCTCCTGACCTGACTGAACTGAAGCTTCTTGATCCTCTCTGTGATGTTGTTGTCTGTCAGCTCTGTGTAGACCCCATTCATCTCCTCTTGGTGGATCAGGAACCTCTGGATGTAGGGGACCACAGAGCGCACCATGGCCTGCATGGTTGGACAGGGTCTCCAGTTCTCAGTCTGAGGCTCAGACTTCACACAGTCAGACAGCTGTCGGATCCCACAGATCTCCAGGAACAGAGAGCGGTCCCTCTCATTGAAGGCTGCCTCGCTGTTTGCTCGTTCTGCAGTTACACAAAAACAGTCAGGATTTCTGAACTCTCAAGGTTCCTGAGCTGCGCAAAACCCATGAATCTACCTCAGTATGATTCTTGTGTGTGTTTACACCCTCTCGTAACTAGACTGGGCTGAGTCTGTTGACATTTGAGTTGAATGCAGAAGGAGCAGCAACGTACCAGAGTTCCCCGTCTTCCTGAAAGCGTTCTTCTTCTCTGCTGGCGGCAGGTTGAGCAGACACACCTGGCTGTGATCTTTAAACACCTTCTCCAGCTCCTTGTTGTCAGAAATCATCGGTTTGCGTGCCAGACTCACCCAGGTGTTTTGTTTAGTGGGGAAGACCCTCTTATCAGACACCATACCTGCACACACGCACACACAGGGACAGAGGGAGTTCATTTAGACCTTGCATTTTTACTGGCTGGCGGTGAGGAAGGGTTTCTTCTTGACAGTTTCTGTGTTGCATTCATTCCTCTCCTGGATCAAAGATTATCTCATAAGTAGAAGGGGACTGTTCAGATCAAAGTGGTTGTATCAGTCACTATCTCTGAGGACAACAGAAGACAAGAGCCTGGCTAGTTACTTAGGGTCCTGTTGTGATGGACCATCTGCAGTGGTTTGACTGTACATGCAGGGAGGCCTGCCAGTAAGGAGTTGCAGTGGCCAGCGTGTAATACTACAAGAACCTGTACCAGGAGCTGTAGGGTAGGGTCTGATCCTCCTGATGCTAAAGAGGGCAAATCAACATCACCAAAAAAACCAAGGCTATGTGAACCTTGAAGATTAGCTGGTCATCAGTCACGACACTCAGGTTCAGACTTAGTAGGGACTAGTTTGTTTGATCCAAACTGGACACTGATCTGTGGTTGTAAGAAGGGACTGTCAGAAATGACAAGTAGCTCAATGACAAAGAAAAGAAACATTGATAAACATGAATTAAATAGAGCAATAAACAGCAGTGTAGAGCCTGAACATTATGTTTTCACGGATTGGTGTTTCACCCACACGGAAACAGCGTTTCCGGTGACTGTAAATGTACTTTTTAAAAATGGGTCAGAGAGTACGTAAACAACTACCATTTCATCTCCGTGTGGATGCCTATCTGCATCTCTCAAAATGATGATGTCACACACAGCATAATTCTTTTATGGTGGCTGCACATGTTTATGGTGGCTCCGTACTCTTCTTCTGTCTTTCGTGCATTTCCTGTGCTGCGTTACAGCGCTAGTTACTGGCTTGGCATACACATTACATTGTTTTCAGTGATTTCGTTTTGGGAGACGACAGAAAAACTAAATATTAAAGTGGAGTTTGGTGAAGTTGCCACTGAATAAAAAAAATTTAAATCTAAATCTAAAATGGAGTTTTCAGAGAAAAAAATTGAGATTTTATTTTTGGCCAAAATCGTGCAGCCCTACATGAAAGTAACATAGGTATTTTGGTTGCAGCAGGCCTTTGTGTAAACACATGGAGATCATATTGCATGATGAATTTATACAACAGGCTGTCCTCATTCTCAGAGCTCTGATGGACCCGAGGGATGTAAAGAGAATTCAAACTGCAGAAAATAATTCCTCTCAGCTGCATAAAAACCATGCACCACTTTCACAGCTGCAGGAGGATGCTGAGCACAGTGAACAGCTGAGCCAATCGGAGGTCCAGCAGACTCTCACAGAGTGAAAAGAGGACAAGTGTGTGTTTGAAACATGAATGTGAGAGGAATTCAAAAGGGCTTTCTTCAGAAAGCCAGAAAAATCAGAGATTACTGCAAAAAAGACAGAAATAACTGAGGAGGACAACGCTGTGAAAGATGTTTTAACTAGAGTGTATTAATAAGACAGCAAGAACATCATCTCCAGGCTATAACAGGGTTCCCAGAAGCAGAAAAGGAATAATACTGGTGGAATTAAATCGAAATGGGTAAAAGTAAATATGGAAATATCTAAGGAGTGTTAGTGTTTAATAAGGAGTACAGAGCATACATTTACCAGCATGAGGAAGTAGAAAGAATCTGGCTTTTAAAAATCGTCTTTTTTTTATAACCCCACACCGTTACAGCCAGCATCCTCAGTCAGATCAGCAGTGCAGTGAAGACACATAGACACTGAGGACTCCCATATTTACTGGACAAAGTTGAGATGGGTGAGTGGTCTACATGCTAAGCTCGGACAAAGATTTGAGACTCAGTTTTTTTAAAAACTGGTAATAAGAACAGGGAAACCTGAGCCGTGAACTCCAGGAAATGGACTAAGATGGTTAAAATAATCCCTGTAATGGACAGGACAACAAGCTTTTCACAAGAAACAGACTTGGTCACGGTACTGTCATTTATATCAGTGAATAACATGAAGACGGCCTAATAAAAAAGTGGAATAAGAGAGAAACATGAATGTGTGCAGGACTCACCTTTCAAGGTGGAGCAGTATGCAGAGTTAAGAGAAGGCTGGGCCATGCTCTCCTGCTCTCCTGGTACTGTTACTTTACATTTATGTGCTGTTAAAAATAAGAAACATGAGCAATTATAAAGGGGTGTAGTGTTTAAAAAAAATATTTGTACATATTTTGAAGGATTTTTGTCAGTAACAATAACTGAAGATATTCTGCGTTCTTAAGCGGGAGGTAAATTTGTTTTTAAAGAGGGAAATAGGCCTATGGATCAAAATAATAAACAATAATAATGATAATAACAATAATAATAAGGGTTTAATTCAAATGTTTAATTGTCTCCAACAAAAACATACTACGTTTTTCAAGAAAAAAATCCTAAAATTTCAGTATTAAACTTATAACAATGTTGATTCTGAGGCTGTTGGTGGGTTTGGGTTGGTTTCTATCCCATACCCAAATATATAATACATTACAATTAATGATGTAATATTTATCATATGTGGCACCTAAAACTGGAGAGTAGATGGAGGGAAAAGATGAAGAAAACTGAATACTCTTAATATTCTTACCCAGTCTGGCGTAAAGCACAGACACGTCCTGCAGCACCTCAGCGTTCGGAGCAGGACACGACAAACAGATGAGCTCTAACAGACCCACATACTGGTTCATTGTGGGACTCAGATCCACATTCAGCAGCTGAACATGAAAACAATAACCACAGATTCACATAGTTCATTATCTATCATATTGTGCAGTCTCAAATCAAATTGAATTGTTTCTGAACTTATCTCCATCAACATCCAGTTATAGTCTGAAACGGACAAGCGGCAGAAAAAGTCTCGTACCTGGGTAAAGAAAGCCTTCATGTCTTGCAGCGAGCTGTAAAAAGGAGCCAGGAATCTGGGTTGTTGGAATGAATTGTTGGCTCCTTTGGTGAGCTGTTTGTAGCGCTTAAACATGGAGGTGGAGTCACTCCAGCAGACCTCCTTCAGGTGGTAGAAACGTCCTGTACACCAACCGTTGTCTCTCCTGGTGATGGAGGAATAGAGTTACACTTTACCTGAAGCAAATAAAACCCACATGATTTGCTATTTTTATTGGTTTTTTTTCCTATTTACATTTTTATAATTTCTACTTAAACAAGTAACCTTTGTGTTGTGTGTTTATAATTTCTTGTATCTGTCATTATTTGCTATTTAACTAATGAGGTGGTGTTGCTCAAGGGCAAATTTGGTTAATTGTCCTTTTCTTTGTTGAAAGGGGGGTATCATGCTTTTCCACATTCACAACAAAAACTGCAAAGTTATAAAGTTTGGTTCCATACTACATGTATATTAAGTTTCAAATCACAAGGTAAACATATGTTGTCATAATCTTAAGAAATAGATGTCAACTGCCCAAATCTCGCACAAATGCGTAAAAATGTGAGACCCTAGTTTATGTGTGAGATTTACTAAAATTCTGAACTTGTTCATGTGCTTCAGCAAACTGGAACAGCCTGCCTCCAACAGCATGTAAAGAGACACCCACAGCAGAGAGGGGTAACCATAGACATAATATATACTTTATAACTACATATATGATGTCTATGGGGATAACGCTGCTCCACTGCTCAGCTGATCGACCACAATAGAAGGAGCAGGCTTTCTGAGAGCCTCCTGAAAGGTGGCCAATCAGAAGAAAATAGGCTTGTGGAGGGGGGGGCCTTAAGGAGACAGCAGCTAAAGCGTTTTACACAGCGGCTGAAATAATAATATTCTGATACTTAGAGTGAGAAATTTGAGGCTTTTTTGATCTGAAAATTACATAAAGCTATTAAAGAGGTATCAGAGAGGAATTATAGAGTCTGAATATAATGCATGATACCCCCCCTTTAAAGCTCTTTCAATTTCCTAGCAATGTCTGCACCCTAGGTGGACACAGCAGTCCTTGCGCGTGACTCTTAAATGCTTAAGATCTCATCCTGCTGACTCTGGCGGTCAAGTTTACAACTTATTGTGAAAATCTGATGTGATATATCGTAAAAATAGGTCTTTTTTTAGCTGCTGGGCTGACACCTACCCCCTCTCACCAGTTTGAGGCATTCAAAATTACAATATAAAAATGATTAATCTTGTCACTGATGGTCTCATTTACTGTCGTGCTTCAATATGAATTTTTTAATCTATTTCATTAATGTCACAGTCTCCTTAAAGGAGCCTTAAATAATTGTTTACATTTACATTTACTTCACTGACAGCTTTGTTGGTCTGTTGTTAATCTGTTGTGGTCAAAGGTCCTGCTCAGCCATCATAGCTTCAGGTTAAAGGGGTCAGATAAGGTTTGGTTTGGACTCTGCAGCTGTTTGACTTCTTTTACCTATAAAGTGTGACACTAGGCCTGCCTGTGGGGTCTGCAATGCTGCAGTTTGACCCTCCTCTGAGGGTGGGACTTTGCAGGTTCATTGAGCACAGACCAGTGTATAAGGAAGGTGTGCTCTGTCGTACCTGTCGTACTCTATGAAGACAGCAGGTGTGTGCTGAAACAGCTCCTTCAGGATGCCCTGAGGACAGTTGGTGTTCAGGTATGTATACACGTTGTGGATGTGCTGAACGGTGGATGTGAAGCTCCGCCCCTCACACTCTTCATCAGCTGATCTCTGATTCTCATCTTCCCCTTCTTGTCTGATACACCACTCCTTCAAGTACTTTATCAGGGATTCCAATGAGACACTGTGTCTCATTCCTACAGCAGGGGGAGGGGACAGACCATCTCTGTTAAACTGACTTTAAGTATTCACAGTATAACACAACATAACCAGCAGATCTGTGTTTCGCATTCTTACCCAAAGCTCTGCTGAACTCGCTGGGGTCTAGGTCCACATAGCAGACATGCGTCCCCAGCAGGTTGTTGATCTCAGGGGAGGTCAGGTACACGTCGTTTGGACGCAGGTACTTCCTTTCTCTCCGGTCTCCCTCCAGCTGCTGATAAGCTGGAACCCATTCAAGAGAGCAGAGGAGGTGGCGGAAGGAGGATTTGATGCTTCTGGTCGGCCGTCCATCACGATCAACCACCTGAGCTGTGAGGTACTGAGAGTAACGGTGTCTGAAAGAGAGGGAGATATGAAGATAAATCATGTTTTGTAATTATCATAAAGAAACAGAAAAGAGTCATGCAAACACTGAGGACTTCTTTAATAAGACACAAAGAGACGAAACGTCCTCAGAGATCTTCCTCTGGTGACGGCTCCTCGGAGCGACAGATCTGTGTGACCTACATTCATCTGCAGAAGAAACTGCGTGTGCAGTGCTGCACGTGATTCATAATCACACTTAGATGTGATGACAAACTCTCATCTAGACTGCAGAGAAACATCAACTTATAAAAGTGAAGAGTTGAATAGATGACAGCCAAACTCCACTTGTGACTACAGAGCTGCTGGTAAGATAGAAGTCATCAGCGCAGTGATGAACAGGCAGCCTGTAAGTGTGTCCTGCTTTAGTCTAATGTTTACCATGACCTGTCTACTCTGATGGTGTAGTGCATTCAGCTGAGAGCCTGTGGACCAGAGCAGAATATTATTTCTGCAAGTGCTGCCGCTCTGTAGCAGGATGATTTTATAAACTACTGTGATCTAAAATCAGAAAGCAGAGAGGAACGTTTCAACACTTGCGTGATAGATAAGCGTGCATGCTATGGGATATGACCTGCAGTCATGTAAAGTATAAATGATGCAGGAACAACAGAGTGAAATTTTAAATATTCATACAGCTGCGTATGTAAAAGAGCGACCGAATTCAAACTCTAACTCTATACTGGACAGTGACCTTCTCATGCAATACTCCGTTCAGTTTGTGTGAGCATGTGTGAGTGTGTACCCAGTGTCCCAGTTGTTGGCCAGCAGCTCCAGCAGTGCGTGTCTCTGCGGCAGGAGGAGGTAATCGGACAGCTGAGCAGAGGCCAGAGCCTGAAACTCCTCACAGGGGTAATCATCAATCACATACTCCTCTCCTGGAGTCAGGAACCACCCAGAACTTTCTGCTGACCACTGACTGCTCATCTGAGAAAAAAAACAAAAAAAAGAGGGATGTGACGTCTCACTACATCACATTATCCAAAGAAAAAACTTCTCTGCAGCTCTCTGTTGTGGTTGAAAGCTCAAGGGTTTATATTTGAACTTTGAACAAGTCACGCTCTGATTATTTTGACGTTTTCAAAATCAAAGCCAGAGGGGCGAGGAAAGCAGAGCTCAGAGTATGGAGAGCTGCATGTCAAGTATTTAAGAGAGAGCACAGTGAAGTGTTTTTATTTTAAGAAAAAGAATGACTCATTAACACCAGACCAATACACTGAGTACTTGAAGTGTGTTTATGAGATAATGTTCTATGAATAAATCTCTCTTCACACCTGAATATTCAGATTTTAACACCAGACAAGACTCTGGGATGTAAACCAGCACTGAGAGATCCAGCTGGAAGCTCAGTCCTGCTCCGTCATGAGATTTTAAGTCAAAAAATAACAGGGTTAAAGATATTTATGAAAATTATTATCCTGAAAATATCTCTACCATGAACACACGCTTTAAGTGTCTGAACCAGTGTTTTTACATAGTGTTCTGTTATTTTAAGTAGTATTTTTAAATTCTTTAAACCTCTAAATTCTGTGCAAAGTTAATGCAGAGTTAGTTCAGGCAGGCCAGGAAGTTAAGCTCAGCCAACAGCAAATCAGCCCATAACAGCTGACAGCCCAGGCGATAACCTTTTACACATTCAATAAATGAAAACCCCAAAGACTGTGGACAACTTGGCTCCGCCTTCTGTCATTATAAGGAATTTGAAGCCAAATTTTTCTCAGTATTTCTGGGATTTTCTCCACTTCCTGAAACCACCACTTGCTCAGTAGTTTTGTACGCATTCGGTGGAAGAGTCGCTGTGATGATGCTCGGTTCAAACAGCGTATCCCCCAGGTGAGCTACGCAATCTTCGTACGGCCATAGGCTGTATCAAGCGTCAATCATAGAAAACATGAACCCCCTAATAACTTTTAAAAAAGGAGCTGCACAGAAAAAAAGAGGACTTGAGCACAAACCAGTCTTACAGTAACTAAATGTCAACATCGCAAACCGGAGGGAGAAAAAGGAGGGTGCTGTTCTCGCGTTGACTTCACCCAGCGAGGAGGCAGACGACGTCCATTCTACATACAGTCTATGTACATTTGCTTAACAAGTACCTGTATGATGGATTGAATATGTCCTTTACTGGTGTGTCAGCATTTGTTAAACAAATATTGACCTTTAATTTTTAGTTAAGATACAGGGTGGTACATTTTTAACATTCATTTGCAAAACAAAGATTTTATATTCATTTCTTGGTCAATATGATGAGAGGTAATGATCGCACACCCCTGAGTCTGGCAATGGATGCTGAGGTAGCTTTAGATATGATGTCAGGGATCCCTGAGCCTTTACTATGGCAGCTGGGAATGTGGTTTTTAGTTCTGCATTTGTCGTTACTCTTACGCTACTTTAACAGGAGAGCAGGAAGACTTGTCCTGTGTTAACCTTCACTTCTGCCTTATTTGCAAACAGCATCAATGACACCTCCAGTCTGAGCTTACTAATAAAGATATGAAAGTTTGTTGTCAAAAATGTCATCTTTCTAAATAAACAAACTCCTCAGAAGTTATTTCAACTCTTAACCATTTCTGATGTTCTTGAGGTTTTCTCGTTATTAGGAGCGGAGGTGGAGGCGTTATACAGGTCATACATATTTTTGCTCTTTGTGATGTAATTTCTTGAAGTAATTTCAAATGCTTTATCTCAGTTATTTCTGTACAGTCTGAAGGTTGTGTAATTTATGTTCTGGTTGTTATGGTTTTTATTTTGGATCAGTTCAAACAGGATTATGCAAACAGATAGATTCTCCTGGCACTGTGACTGCTTCCACCCCCTGCTGCCTGTCGTTTGTACCCACGTTTCAGACCACGTAAAAACAAAATGCAATGACAGACACACTCGTCAACCTCCACTAAATGCTCTTGCTATAGGGGGTTATTATGGTAGATATATTTACACCTGATTACGCAAACAAGGATCAGCTTTCACAGAGTTAAACCCCATGCTTTTGTCTCTTTTTTTGTACTGGGAGACGATCATTCCTGTCTCACTGATGGTGTGAAGATAGAGCCACATACTTCTCCTGCTCTCTGCAGCTCAGGCTCACCTGTCTGCCCCCTCCCTCGCCTGTTTAGTCTGCTCGTCTCTAAATCTCAGACTGATCTGTGTGGTCCTGCTGTGACTCACCATTCTTCATCTCTTCATCCTTTTAATCTCTCCCTCTGTCATCGTCATTATGACTCACTGTTAGTTTGTTATGCAGGAGGATTCTCGTGTCCATGCAACCCGTAAATATTGTGTCCCGACTCAACTCATCCTCAGCTTTCACGGTCACGACACACAGGGAGACTGTCGTCACATCAGCCTGCGCTCTCTTTTTAACTCAAGACTCTGATCTGGTCTTACAGTACCTGTCACAACCTCATGACAGACTTTTCATGATTCAGGACTTGGCTTGAGTTGTTCTATGAGGGCCTCGCTCTTGGGGGAATCCCATGAAGTAAGCTCAACATCGCCAGGCTTTCTTTGCGTAAGCGGTAGAGATATCAGGTACCATAATGCTGGTCGTGAACTTTCTCTGTTGACTCAGACTTTCTGGTTTGGGCTCTGTGTGTGTGTGTGTACTCACATTATGGGGGGCTCTGAGCGCATCATTTCAAACCTATCTAATAAAACTGTCTGCTTCAGTCAGGCTGATCTCTAAAGAGACTATGAATGTATAACGGCCACAAAACTAGATTATTTTGCCATAAATGTTCTATCAATATTCTGGCCATTAACTCAGTGATCAAATAAGGATTGCTGCAGACTCAGTAGGTTTTATATCTAATATATTTCTGCCTTCAGGGCTGTAACAATTCAAATTTCCCTGTCAAGGGAATAATAAAGGTTTACCTTGTCTTATTACAATGACTAAATAAAAATACAGTAACATTAGACTTGGTAATGCACAGTTGGCTTACTTAACCGGATGTTGAAGATATACAAGAACATTGTATCTGTACACATGATAGTAAATAGTAAAGCCAGAGGAGGTATAAATACCAATAATCTGGGGTGCTGATGGCCTTACAGTCTAAGTGCCCCATGTACAGAGGTTTCAGTTCACAGTGACTCTTTGCAGGATTTCTTTCCCCACTCTCTACTCCCATTATTTCCTGTCTCTCTTCAGCTGTCCTATCAAATAAAGGGGAAAATACCCAAAGACATTTTCTCTGGCTACCCCTCTGTCAGTACCACCCTGGTCAATAATGTCAGAAACACTAGAACATGACTCTTCTTACGCTGTCAAGTTTGCTTGACAGGAGCAGTGATAAAACACTTATGTTCATTTTGATAGAATGAGAGGGAACGTAACCAAACTTGAACTTCTGTCACATAAAGACAGTAAAAAAGCGACTCACATACTGGTGGAAAGAGGCATAATGATGGGTTGGAGCACAAGACTGATATTCAGGAATGAAACTGCTGGCTGTGTGGAATAATCATGTCAATAATTAAATCAACTTCAATAATTAGAATTTGTTTATGATTAATTTGTTGGGTCAGTGATCTGGTTATGGCCTGTTAGGTGTAAGAGCCAACATGCACTTTCTCTCCTTTTGTAAATGAGCCTATGAATGAAATGGCTACATGACTCTGCAGGGAGTGCGATGTTGGCTTTTGCATACGCTCAACTCTTTAATTAAGTGAAATCAGAACTGAAAGCTCTGAGGCTGTGTGTGAAATTACTCACCAAATGATTTGAACTGGAATGAGCGGAAACAGACAAAATTCAGTGACATAGTTACCGAAATGAAGGCGTTTCATAACCAGGAAGGAATTTCTCATGATGATAATGACAGACTGGAGACTACTGTTTGCCTGTGTTTGTCTAATAAATATGATTAAAGATATTATTATTGTATTATAAAAACATTAATTTGTAAAAATGTGCTTAGTATAATCCATTTACTCACTCAAATTCACGCCATTGTTTATTATTTCTCTTTGGCTGGCATTGAGCTGCACGTTTCAAATGATCTTATTATTCAGAGCAGATGATGAATTGTTGTCTAAAATGTTTAATTATGCTCCAAATGAAGTTCCCTTTACAGCTCATTACTTCCAACTCACCCTGTAAGGAGCAGCCAGCAGATCTGGACACAACTTGAGTTTCATAAATGAAGGTAAATCACCTTAGAGTTCAGGTTTAGACTCAGTGTACTTAGGTCTTGAGGACCTGTCTGGACCTGGCTCTATCTTGATTGGGCACTTTATAGACCTTATTTGGTCTTTTTTCCCTGTTATCCTCTTTATAAACTTGTAGGGGCCTTGTCCGATATGGCTTGTTTGGCTTTTGTATCTGAATCAGTCTGTTTTAGTTTCTGTAAGGACCTCAGACTGCATTCTTATTTACTTCTCATGACCTCACTTGTGTCTTATGTACCTGTAAGGACCTTTTTACTTTAGATGACCTTCCTTTTTTTTTAACCCTGGTCTTTCTGCGCTGATTTAGACCTCACTCCGGACTTCTGTAGGACCTCATCTGGTCTCTTTGTTTCTCTGAGTGTACCCATTCTTCCCTAAAAAACAATTCCTGAATATGTGAGGTGACAGATCAGGATTATGTTCTTTACCAGCTCTGTGGTGGTGAGTGTCTGTCTCTGCTTGCGGATGATGAGACCGTCTCTGACTCCCAGCCTTTCGAACAGCTCCCTCCATCCTGCCACGTCTCCATCAGTCTGCACGTAGCGTGGACTCAACAGCAGCCAATCACAGCCTGAGGAGAGAGAAGAGACAGAGAAGAGTTTGGTGATGATGAGGAAATACAGTGTTAGCCCCGTGTGCAGACAGAGGGACGGTGGACAGGAGGAGGAGAGGAGAGAAAGGAGGCTGGAGAGTGCTGACGTTAATTATTCAGAGCAGAAACATTTGTGTAATGAGTTTAATCTCTGAGGGGGTTCTGCTGCACAGAGTATTTAACGCCAACACGGCTGATTAAAATTGAAAGGGTGAAAGCTCCCTGTCTGTCTTTAATGCTTTGACACTGTATTGACAACTGTACTGTACCCAAAACTATAGAAACAACAGTGATATAGGTACAACATTGATCAACAGAAACTCTACCAAACAAAAACGAAATTTGAGAAGCTCTGGAGGACGACCTGTTTCTTTGTCTCTGATTTTCATATATGCTCATTAGGGTATTTCGATTTTTCAGCTTTTTGTTTGAATGTTCAATAAATCATTTTAAAGGGTCCAATATAATTGTACATTCACAACATCTCTTTTAACACAAGGCTTTAATTCAGTTGCCAAAACATGAGATAATCAGCCTCTGCAGAGGATCCGCATCCTCCCTTCTCTAACCTCATTATCCACTCACTGATCTGAGAGGGTGGGATGCTATGAGACTGAGGTGCTGTGCTGATTGGCTGTCTGTCTATTGCCTGACGAGAGGAGGGTGCGGACTTGTGCAATAGGTGCAGAGGCGGAAAAACACCAAAGTGAACATGGCGAGCGCTCCAGGAGAACCTGTGCCAATATGATGTAGTAGCTAAGTATGGAGAGGAGAAAGCAGCAGTTTTAGTGTTAAGAGCTAACTTTCTCCTGATTATTCATGTAGCTCTCAGAAGACCTCCTCCACTGTTGCCTCGTCACTGATGTAGCTAGTGTTTCTCTATCAAAAACGACAAACACTGAAAAACTTGACTATAGCACCAACAAAGTGTGATATTTAACTTTGCTCTTTTTATCACCAGTAGATGACATGTTAACCTCCTAATCTGAAACTTTTCTGATGTTCACAACAGACACCCAAAAATTTACCTTTGTATCTCTTTATACAATAAGCACAATGCTACCTTCTTGAACATTTCCTTTTCCAAAAAGGGTTAAAGAGAAATGATATTCAGAGATTATCAGTGATCCTGCTTTTGATTTCAGTGATCAAGAATTGAAGCTCATTGGCAAATAACAATGGAAATCATCACAAGCCTGGGGCGTGTTGCACCAGGCCTGTTGTGACTTATGTTGGGGTGTCTAGTCCACACTTAACCACATGTTTGCAGTAGGTAGGTAGGTAGGTAGATAGTTAGGAGGGGAGGTGGATAGATTGGTAGGTAGGTAAGTGGGTGGGATACTTTATTGATCCTAGGGACATCTCAGAATTTCAGTGAAGTCGTAACTTAAGGTGCATCTTTGTTAAATTACCTTGCAGACATAAGGTTTATCTAAACTAGCAGAGCATAACATCCAAACTAACCAAAATATTGTCACAGATATGATGTTTACCCTTCCAGCTGCCAATCAGAGAAAAGCTTTTCTCCTTATGAAGTGATTGCTTCATGTTTATTGATCCTGTGCTGCTACACCGGATTGAACTGCAGCTGAATCAAACAGAATCTTGTCTGTCTGTCTGTCCGTCTACACAGTGAAAGATTTCTGAAAACGGTTAATTGGTGTAAAACCGCTCCATTTGTTCTTCTGGATGAGCAGAAAAACAGAAACAGAGCGAGAGAGAGGACAGTCTGTGACTACAGCCCCTGTCTCTTTTCAAGGTTCTGATCCATTATCCACCCTGTCCTCTCCTCTAAAGTTACATAACACACACAAACACGCACACACACCTACACACACAGACACAACACAACTCTGTTCAATACTCAGACATTTCATGCCTTTTTTAACACCAACAAAGAAGAAAAACCTTCACGTAACACAAACTACTCTCCTCAAAAGTCTGCACACAAACACATGCAGATGAATACACAAGCAAATACACACAGACACACACACTTAAACATGGCCTGTGTGCCAATGAAAATGGGTTTTTTTTGTACCAGGTAGTTTCTCTGGCAGGTTGATGTTTCCGTACTCCTCAGAGAAGTGCACTCTTTCCTCAGCAGGGCACAGCAGCCCCCTGTTGGTGAGGACTGGTACTGCGGTGTCAGCATAATCCTGACTAGATGAGTGCTGCTTGATGAAGACCAGGTAACTCACCACCACTTCAGAGGGCTTAGACTGAGGGTCAGAAAAGAACAACAAAAGAAGCCAGATTGTGAGAAGGTCTATTTTGTAATGATCCATGAAAAATGATCATGAACCTGTCTAAGGGTGATGACAGTCTCCTCAGCCCCTGTACCTTCCACTTGTTGCTCTGTATAGTGGGGTAGATGTGTTGCTCCAGCAGCTGTTGAGGCTCCAGGTCGTGGACTCCCAGCCTCCTGAGCAGCTCTCTGACCTGCTGACTCTGCAGAGGATCCATACAGCTCAGCAGAGACGGGTGAACCACACTCACATCTTTATACAGAGCAGACAGAGGACCTGTGGAAAGAGGGGGAAGGAGAGGAGTCAACAACAACAAAAATCTGCCTCAAATAATATCACTGACATAAAGCAGCTTATCATCAAATATTCAACAGATACAGTATGGCGTCTACTAATGATACTGAATGCTAAATCAGTAATTGTCAAATAATTCATGGCTCAGGATGTAAAGTTTTATTTTTTAACCTAAAATCCATGATCATAAATGTAATCATGTAATTTATTTATTTATTTATTTTTTCGCTTTTGAGGTGACTTGTAATATAACTTCACTGATCTTGATTTCCATTAAATAAAAAAAAAAAAAAAAAAAAAAAAAAAACATTAAAGGGGGTATCATGTTTTTCCACATTTACAACAAAAACTGCAAAGTTACAAAGTTTGGTGTCCAAACTACATGAATGCAAAGTTTCAAATAACGAGGTAAACGTATTTTGTCATAATGTAAACGGCTCAAATCTCAGACAAATGCGTAAAAATGTGAGACCGCATGATTCCCCCCTTTAAAGATAAAGGCTTCATCAGAAGTGTCTGTTTAAAATGTGGTGAAAACATAGTAAATACTGAAGGAAATTACATTAAATGAGCAAAAATACCAACAAAGTCAATGTTTTATTTCAGCCTATATCAAATCATCAAATCATTGTAGCACTTTGGAGCTTTTCAAGACCAGAATATCTAAATCTTTAATGATGATTTTCTTGGCCCCTGTAAAATTTATCTAAGAGTCGATGTATAAATAAACTTAGGATTAAACTTTTGCGACATAAAACCTCCTCTGACCTACTTTCTCTCAGAGTGGGGTGTCTGTGGGAGTCTGTCCTCGCTGATCTCTGCGCTGCTCAATATTTCATCAGAATGAGAGAGTTTGACTTCACTGTGACTTAAAAGGATCACACACACGACTTCATCTTCAAGATCCTACTACACCCAGTGACCTGAAAACATGCCTGGCTGAACACCTTTCTCACTCTGAACGTAGTCCTCATCAGCTCTCTTTTAGTTTGTGTGTCATGAAGGAAGGAGAAGTTTAAGTTATTTGGTGGTTTTTGTCTTTAAGTTAGAGCGTTCACTACAGACAGAAAACAAAAACCGTTAAAATCAGTTCACCTCAGTGAGTTAGTAGGGGTGGAAATCACAAGTGGCCCCACGATATGATATTATCACGATACTTGGGCCATGATACAATATTATTGCGATTTTTAACATTTGGCAATACAGTCAGTATCGTGATACAATATATTGCCATTTATACAATTTTTCAACTGTTAAATTTAGCATTTGTCTTTACTTTATGTTTGTCTTATTTACGCTGTATTTTATTTTCATGAAGCACATCTTGCAAACCTTAATATATATTTATTGCACTAACTTTCCCCTGCTCTATGATGTCACTTCTGCCAACCTCACTGGACAAACAGTTGATTTTATTTTTCCATCATCAAAGATTTGACTTCATATTAGCAATTCATTTGAAAAAATCAATACCTGGTAAATGAGACGATAGGATATATCAGCAGACAAAATATCGTGATACCAAGCTGTATCAATTTTTTCCTCCCACCGCTATGAGTTATAAAGAAATTGGGAGGCTAGCTGTTAACTTCTCCACATCACCTCCATATTTTACATTAGCCTTCTGTTTTGAGTTTTTATGGGCGCCCCCTATGGATGAAACAGCCCCGGGTTTCAATAACAGTTGCAAATTAAATCCTAAGAGATGCTGGAAACATGACTGTGCCAACATCTATGTATCTCATGCTTTGAAACTTTGCTGAAGTTTCCTATTCACATACAACATTGTAATATGTATGTATCAAAAAAAAGGCACCTCACACTTAAAAAGTAACCACCGAAGACCCTAGAAGATAAACCCCAACCACAAAGATTTCATGGGATTTTCTTTTTTTAGTGGTTACATCAGTTATACTGGTCAGAGTATGATCCACAGGGGATCCTGTCAGCTCAGCTCCTTTGTTGAGAAGCTGACTGGAGAACATACATGTTCCTCTGCCAGTATGCTGTAGGCGGATGAAAATCTATGTGCTGTACAATGGTGCAAGAACAAATGGGCTTTATGACAGCAAAGTGAAGTGCTGAGGAAAAACCCCCATCCCTTTAAAGATGACTGAGAGGAACACATAACCTCAGAGTTTGGCGACCTAAGAAAGGTGAGTTTTGTTTTATAAATCAGACACAGCAAATTCACAGGAGACTGAAGTTATAGAAGACTACTATGCATGTGGTGCTTTTTAGGCACACACATTATACAAGAAAAACAGTGTTTTCATGAGTGCAGTTTGATTTACCATGTTGTCCAAATGTTATCATAAAGGAGAGGAGAGCCCTCAGGATAAAACAGCACAAGTGTTTAGGTAGTTTTTGCATTACATCATATCTTAAAAGTGTACTCGCCTGTGTCGGCCTGAGCTTTCTTCTTCTTGTTCTTTACTTCCTCCATAGGGAAGAACACCCCTTCTCCATTCAGTGCCACCACACGCCCATCAGCCAGAGGGATCATGGGTAAATCTCTGAGGGTCTGCAGGATGGAGTCAGCCTCTCCGTAGCCATGCTCCAGAGCGCGGAAGTTACAGACCAGCAGACGAGCCAGCTGACGCAGACCGCCCTCTGCGGGAAGAAATGGGACATACAGAATTCCTTATGATGGATACATATTAATATTAAAAGGAACGACAAATGCACAAACATGAGCCCATACAGATTTAGTTGAAAATTCAAATAGATTTAAATGATTTGTGCAACTGTCAGTATTTTCCATCGACTGGCTCACTTAATTTATGATGTTCTAAAAGCATCACATATCACAACCTCCCTCCCTCACCTGAATGGATGCCCTCCACCTTCATCAGCTCCTTGGCCATGGCTGTGGTTACCGTGGTAACATCAGAGCCCCGCAGGTGCTTGACTCCAAGGTGAGTCAGCAAGGAGGTTGGCGTGGTTCGGCTCAGATCGGGATGGAGGTACGATAGAGACAGGTGACGCTCCAGCTCCTCTCCTCCAATCACGTCACGGATCACAGCGTCCTGACAGACGGCCACCTGAGACGGCAGCTTGCACACCACCTGACCATCTGACAGAGGAAGAGGAGAATAAAATGGAAATCATACTCATGGAAAAAGTCTTTTCTGTTAACATGTACTCCATAAATCAAGAAAGTTCAGAGCCACTGTGCTTTTACTTGGTGGACAATCAGCATAACACACCCCAACACTCTGAGCCGAACCACATGTCAAGTTAGTTAACATTGCATGGTTATATGCTGGCGTGTGTGGAGATGTGAATAATTGACTACGATCCAGTGCAGAATGTACTCCAAAATGCACACTACACACACTATCGCTCTTCATTTGGAAAGACAGAGGGTAAGTCTGATGTTGTGGGGGTGGCTCCGTAGAATCAGCCTCCGCAGATGTAATTTAAACTAGAGCATCGACCTACTTCAGAGGCCTGTCTATGTTCTTTCTAGGCACAGGATGTCAAATGAGCCAACAAGAGCCCGGTTTGTCCAAAAGAGGAAACTAAAATCTGCCAAATAACTGGTAACACACCTGTCTGCAAGATCACCTGCTTCTCAAAGGAAGTGAAACTGTGGTTTGTGAGACTTCAGCCCAAAACACACCTATGAATAATCAAAAGACTTGAGCCAGCTTCTCTGTGCCACGCACCACTTAGAGCCCTGATTGTGGGCTGGTTTTCACCTAAATGTGGCGAAGTATGCTCTTATTCACTTTGTACCTTATGCTTTAGATCAGCGTAAGGTACAAAGTAAGGGGTTCATATCAGGTTATAACACCCCCAGCAAAGTGTCTGACTGGGGAAAAGAATGTCAGATTGGCAGTAGTGGAGTTAAACCTGCTCTAAATGTGCCAGTGTTGTGTGTTGTGGAACTTGGTGTGATTGCTAGACTGGGTTCAACTGTTTTCCTACTATTGCATTTTTTATGATTTTTTTTTTATGTAGACAACCTGCATGTGCGTGAAGTATAAGAACAAAGTTTAACACATACCTGAGCTTAGAGTAGGCAAGAAGGCTTTGCCCTTCAGCAGCTGAATAATCTGCCCAGCGACAGGCTTGAAGAAGTCCAGCACCTCATCAGGAAGGGGGATGAACTGCAGGAACTGACAGATACCCTTCAGATCTTTGAACTCTGGATGATCCTGAAACCAGAACAGAAACAATCATTATTCATGTCTTCTAAAAATCATCTCACACATAGATGAGGGCGTAGGGGGTCATCAGAGACACACCACAGAAATGATGTACACTGATGGTACTGAAAGCAGTTTAATGATGCGTCTTCTTCATAGCATATTGAGGTATTTTATTGTGAAAGGACTATAATTATCTCACAGTGAAGACATCCATGGCCTGCAGGAACAGCTGTGGGATCTCAGACCGAAGCCACTGGTTCCAGGAGCTGTCTCTGTCCACGTCTTCCCGGGAGGATGGAATGTCAAAGTCCCCTGGAACAAACACTTTCTGTTATTACACTTTCACTGCTTATGTCTGACTGACAGCTCTGTCATCCTCATCCTCATCCCTACCCTGTATGATGAAGCGAAAGCCGAAGCTGCGAAGCGGCAGGTAAGCAAACACAGGCTGTTTCTGAGGCTGGAGTATGATGTTACTTCCTGTAGAGTTGCTGTCGAGCTGGAAGGCGAGGGCGAGCTCGGTGGATTCAACGTTTTCTTTGATCTGAGGGAGAAATGGATCAGTGTCATAACAGGAAAAAAAGGGCCACAAAGGGAAAGATCAGAGAGTCTGGAAGGCAGAGTGTCAACACGATTCAGTTTTTCTCCACCTGTCAACAGGTCATATGAAGAAAAAAGACAAGCAGGGATTATGGGGTCTCTGAGACTGTCAAATGGATGTCCTGAGTTTTATTTTTGCCATAAATCCTGCTGAATGTAGAAGCTTTTCATCAAATCTGGGGAGACACTGGGACTTATCAAAATAGACAGAGGACCAGACTCATGATGCAAATATGCCGTATCTCTAAGAAAACGGTCATTGACAAAGATTTAATATTCATCCTCCAAATGGGTTGCAATAAAACACACAGAGTTTGACATTTGTTATTTCATTTGATCTGTTTAATCTGTAACTTCCTGCTTAGTGATGATGCTTTTATTCTGAGTGTGTATCCTGAGCGGTTATCAAACAGTTCCCTTTTTCCTGTGGCCTCTGACGTACCCACAGGTTGAAACAAAAGTTGTTGTTGGATTAAAAAGTATTTTAACTCCAAAACACAGAATGAAGGAGATGAAGAAAAGTGGTGCTGCCATGAAGATTACTGTGCAGATACATGTTAAAAAATATTTAATAAAAATCTGAATATAATGTGAAAATATATAAAAGAGAGCGACATTTAAACAGGATTTGAGATGAAGACTGACAGCCCTAATGTGTGTTAGTGTGTGTATGCGTGCGTGTGTGATTTACCTTCTTGGGCTGCACTGTAGTTTTGACCACCAGCCAGCGCTCGATGCCATCCGTGTGCTCCACCTCCAACACGCTGTGACTCAAGTCTTTTCGAGTCATTGTCACCAGACGCCTCTCACTCTGAATGAGTGCAGAAAAAAAACAGAAGTCACTTCATTTTCCTGTTTGACAGATTTGATTAAATTTAACTGGAAGTGATGAAGGGTATTACGAGTCCTACCTGGTTATAGATGGTGATTGAGCGCAGGCGGTGCAGGAAGAGTAGAAGGGAGGGATGCACGTCGTGGAAGAGGTTTCTGGTCTGATGGCTCTCAGAGCGCAGAGGGAGGAGGATCTTTGTGGTCCAACTGATCATAAAACACACGCAAAGACAGGTGATTAGAAAATATCTAACCAATAAAAATCAGATCACATTAACTACATGTGAGCTCAACATATCTTATGTGGTGCCTCAAACTTTCCTACCTGCTCGCCAAAGTGACCACACATCCATTCCCACAAACTTTTTGGGTTTGGTTCAGAATTATTCCCTGTTTTGAGGTTTCAGTTCAGTACAATTTTTGAGGGAAACTAATTCAACAAAAAGAACCTCCTCTCCTTTGCTAGGAGCTCAAACAAACTTTGACACATTGTCTAAGACGAAGCACGGACAGCTTAGGTTTGTAGGCCTGCTCGTGTTTCTTTCTTTCAACATCTCATATAAATCATAAGAAAAGAATGAAACATAAAAACTCAAATAGAATCAAAAAGAGAAGAAAACAGGGTCTGAAATTCACAACACTATCAAACAGAGGCAGTCTTTACAGTATAATGGGTAAATGTTTAAATAATAAAATATTAACAAAATTCAAATGGACTGGATTTGGGGTAGCAGCTCATTTCTTCTATCTCCTGAGGATTTGTGATGAACTTGCCGAGATTCACTGATCCTCTGTTCTCTCACCTGTGCAGACTCAGGTCGTTCAACTGTGCATCCAGCGGCCTCTCATCCTCAGCCCAGTGAGGAAGGATGTATCCCATGGGGCCGCAGGTCTTGTCAAAGCGAAGGTGGAAGCCGTTGGAGTGAATCTCAGGACAGTCTGTGACTTTAAACACTGACTTGAAGCCGATACCTTTCTGTCCTGTAATGAGACGAGATCACACTTGAAAACTTACCCTGACCTCCTGGTCTCTCACTCTTGGCTCACCTGTCAGTCATGGTACGCACACTCACCTATGTATCCATACTTGTGTTTGCCCTTGGTGCTGCGGCCCACGTCGCAGATGGCTCGGATGTTTTTCTCCTGAAAGCCGGTCTCGTTGTTGAGGATGGTGATGCAGTCTCTCTCCACCACAAAGGCCAGAGCTGGGACCACACCAGCCTCTGACAAGTAACTGTTGTCATCTGCATTCTGGGAAATAGATAACAGCAGTTTGAGCGAGAGTCAGACATCTTTTATTTAACCCTGCTCTAAAGCCTGCTCCTGAAACCATACAACAGTGATCACATTATAAATAAAAACATGAAAAAAAAAAACACTTGTCTAAACACGTGTCTATCTTCAGTAAAAAAAAGTTGTCCCTACTCGTGTGTTTTTGCTAATTGAGGTCCTTTCTTCAACTCTATTCAAGGTACCTGCTCTCAGCAAACAGCTGACTTGTCCCTTAATGACAGCTAGACACTGGTGTGGGTGATATGAGTTAGAATTTCTATCACTATGTATTTTTTTTATACCTGGATGAGCTCCAAGACAAAGTGTGTGTCTTTGCTGTAGAGTTCTGTAGACAGACGGTCCAAGCTGCGGCCCAGACGATCCTGATGAACCTGCATCAGCTTCTGTCCTTCAGCGTTCAGCTCCACACCGATACCAAACTCGCTCTTCCTGTCGGGGGACACAGAGAGAAGAATAGATGAGCTGTTTGTTTAGGAGACCAGTGATGACACTTTGATACTTACACAGTACAGGTGGAGAACATACCTGATGTCTTCAATGATCACTCTGTGGACGTCCAACACGCTCTCTGATTGGCTGTCAGCTGAATCCTTCTCATCAGGATCAGACACGTCTGACTCGTCCTTGTCCTGAGTGCCCTCAGCTTCACTGCTGATGTCTGATAACTGTCCATTTGGCAGGGAGGTCAGCTGGTACAGCTCCTCTTCATCTTCTTCATCCTCTTCCTCCTCGTCATGCTCACCGTTGACTAGAAGAAAATATCATGTAGTTAAAAAAATTAGACACTGGAACAGACCTTCTTTCATTCCAGTGGAGCAGAATCCTTTGTGATCACCTAGTTGAAGACTCTGTTCCGGGCTGGCAGACACAAAGCTGTCATCCACGGTGTTTTCCTCCAGAAACTCATCTTCACTTGTGTTCAGAGCCGACAGACTGCTGCTCTGAGAGTCCAGCAAGTTAGACTGCAATCAAGACAATCAGATGAGGATCATGAGGAAGATAAAATCCAAGTAAAAAATGATCATAAGATGTCCCAGATATCAGTCAGTGTGAGTATGTTCTAACCTTGAAGTGTTGGTCAGCGGCAGTCTGTATGTCCATGTGGTTTAGACTCTGCGGTGTGTTCAGTTTGTTCTGGAAGTCTCTGATCCACTCTGTGATTCCCAGCACAATCCCCAGCCGGTGCAGACAGTTCAGGTATCTCGGGTCAGACTGGGCCACAGTGATCAGGACCTGCTTGGACTTGGTCTGACCAAGGACTCCAGAGAATGGCTCAAGAAACACCTGCAGGTCACATCATTGAAAGATTATTCAAGGAACAGCTTGGTAAAGTCAAACCTGAGTGAAGTTTAAAAAAATCAAAATCAAAAATCAAAACACTCCTCTCTGGAGTTAAAGGGATATTCTGGCGTAAAATTAAGTTATGGTCAAACACACCGTAACACCTAGTTGGACACCCCCGGGAGAAATGTTAGTTGCTGTTCTGAGCATTATTTGTGGCTATAGAGTGGCTTTTTAGTTGAGGTTTGTGTGTGGAGACGTAGACCGCTGTGTATTGCTATCCTGCGGTCATTACTAAAGTTGGTATAACTAGAGAAGCAAGCAGTCAGCAACATTCATCTCTCCAGGAGGTGTCTAACTCGGTGTTACGGTGTGTTTGATTATAACTTAAATTTACATCGGAATATCCCTTTAAGTCAGTTCTTTGTCTGTAATCACACTGAAGTCATGTTTAGATAATGACATGCTAGTCTAAAATTGTTAGTCATTGCGGTTTATTTCATTTTTTGGCCATGTGGTGAGACTGACCTTCTGCAGGAGAGCACGGCAGATCCTGAAGGGGACTCTTATGAAACACTCCAGGAGGAATTTGGCTACTCTGCTGTAACAGGACATGTCGTCTTCATCCTGGGACATCTCTGAGGAACACAAGCATCATGTCAGCATACATCCACATATACAGATTAAAACGATAAAACCCTGCCTTTTACTGTTTTACTATCAAAGTGACCACTCTGGTGTTTAGACGGCTCAAAATCAGAGACTTCAGAACTCTGCTGTTTACTTGTTATGTTACTGATTATTGAACTGAAGCAGCCCTAAGGCGTCTCTACCTTCCTGAGCCATAGCTTCTGCCAGAGAGCTCTGCACGTGATTGGCCAGGAGGGCTGTGGGAGTATTGGTGATCCCGTCGGAGACTGTCATCGACACCAGGTGTCCGGCTGTGCCCACAGGGTCAAGGGTCCTAACAGCAGCTGAGAACTGTTTGTCTCCTGTATGTGTGGTGGTCCTGAGCAGCAGACCAGGTGAGACCTCCAGCGCTGACAGACCTGTGTTAGCTGGAAGAACACAGAAAGGGTTTTTTCATCTCTTTTTTTTTTAATCAACAGTTTTTAAAAAGTCCTAAACAGACATCAGAGTTCCCCTGTGGCAGCAAAGAAACTGTATGTCACGTGATCCAAACCTCACACACTCAGTGAGTTTGACTCTTACCAGCGTTTCTCTCGATGAAGTCCTTAAGGGGCCCGTGACGTGGTTTGAAGACTAGCTCCCACTGGCTCCACTCACTCAAATCCTCCAGCAGGGGGCAGCTCAGCAGACTGGACAGAGCCTGGTCCTTGGACATGTCACCCAGACAACCAACCGCCTCACCCCCAACTTCAGCACTGGTGATAAAAGAGTGAGGGAGAGCAGAGATGAGGAAATCACTGAGCATGTTCACAGTGACGTCATCTCTCTGTGCCTTCACTAACTGCTTACCTTGATTTGCCTTGTCTGGCAAACAGGGCGGACTCATACTGGACTGGGTTTAGTCCTCCTCCACCCAGAGTTCTCTGCTTTTGGACCAAGTTAGTCAACATGGCCAGAGTCCCGAAGCCAAGGTCCCGACTGTCCCGAACCCTGAAGTGTTCCCTCAGTGCCACCTCAATGTGGGAGAGCTAACAGGACAGAGTGAGCGTTATTGTCACAGTCCAGTTCAGACCAAAGAGCCTCAAACTTTGGTCGGACTCTGACACAACTCAAAATCCTGACACTTTACATCAGATGAAACACAACTCTGTGTGTGATGCCTCACCTCCTCTGGATCAGTGGACTTAATCTCTCCACACTGGTTGATGAACTCAAACACATCCTGTCTTGAAGGTCTGAAGCCGCAGCCTGAGAGGTCCATGCTCCTGCTGTCCAGAATCAGAGAGGAACCCAGACAGTCCTGCAGCAGCTTTACAAACACAGGCACACAGCATGAATCAGGTTATTCGTTTAATCACAGAGGATCTCTTCTTGAGCAGTTATTGATCTTTGTGAAGGAAAATACACCTTTACCTGAAGGTGTTTCACCAGAAACTCCAGAAAGTTTCCCTGCTTTATAGAGAGGAAATCTTTGACCTGGAAGTGTTTGGTCAGCTTCTTCTCTAGAGCGGCGATATGTGCCAGTGTGACGGCCGAGTTCTGAGAGGACAGGCTGTCTTTAAGGAACTGCTTCACTTTCGCTGGGAAAAAAAAAGGAGCAGATATATATATATTTTTTTATTTCTTTATTTAACTGGATAACAAACAGCTGACACCTATAACAGGTATCTTGCAGTCATACCTTCACTGGGGAGGGACACGTTGGGGTTGTCCTCTGCTTTGGAGGGTTCAGATGTTTTAGATGTCTTCTCTTTGAGGACCAGGTCCTGAGGGATGGCCAGAGAGCCTCCACAGATGGAGAGCTGAAGCAGAGCCCTAGCCAGCGGGTTACCTGACACCTGCAGCAGAAAGCCCTGCACGTGCTGGAGGGAAAATATCACAGAAACGAGAATGACAAACAAATTTACAACCTCAATTCCAAAAAAAGCTGAAACATTGTGTTAAATGTCAATAAAAATCAGAATCAGAAAATTTTGATGGTTTTATGAAAAAAAATGTATGCTCTTTAAAAACTGGATTGCCAGAAAACATTTTTCGAAAGTTGGGAAAGGGACAACACAAAAAACATGTATAATCCCCCCCAGCAAGCTAAAGCATGTATTTATCAACTGCAGACCATCACAAACCTTGGTCATCTTTGAACTGAACACCCCTTCAGAGTTTGTGAAAACAGCCAGAGCCACCTCAGCAGCCGTCATGGAGGCGTATTTCTTCCTGAGGTCGAAATTCCCTGTGGAGGAGAAGGAAGCTGCTCCCTGTACAGGTTCCAACACACTTTTCTTGATCTTCCTCAGACGCTCCATGGTCTCCTCCTCCAGCTCCTTCTGGATCACCTCCCGGGCCCGCTCTAAAGTCAGGTGTTCATTCTTGCTCACCTTGCCTAATGTCTGAAGAGAAACAAAACACACAGAGGACTTACACCTCTTCCTGGGAGCTCCTTATGTGGATATTAAACAAAGGCCGACAGATTTAATTCACAAAAAACATAAATTGATACTGGCATACATCTCGCAGATGAAACAGAACTGACTTTTTCTTATTCCCCGTAAAAGACTAAGAAAAACATTCACCTCTGATCATATTACAACATGACCATGTCTCTTACTGATATGGGCAGCCCCACGCTGTGTATCCTGATGCCCAGCTCATATGGAGAATCACAGTTGTAGTGATCAGCCAGGTGCTTCATGAACTCAGCCAGGTCCACTTTGCTGCCAGGTCCCTGCTTCCTCCTATACGCACGAAGTTGCTGGAAAATGAACAAAGGAAACGCATTAATGGTTAATATACATCAAATATAAATCTCTGCTATTCCTGGACATGCTTCATCTGTGTGTTAGATTGACCCTCCAAAACTGAACTCTCCAACAGAAAATGGTCCTTAATAAATGAGATAATAATAAATATATAATATAATAAATATAAATGTGTATATATATATATATATATATATATATATATATATATATATATAATATGTATATAATAAATGAGATCTGTTCATCTGATTTTGCTGAACGAACACTGAGAATTTATGCAAAAGTATTCTTGATGTAGAAACAACACATTTCTTGAACCCCTACAAACTGCAGCCACAGCTTAAAGGGACGTTCCGGCTAAAAATTAGGTTATGGTCAAACACAGCGTAACAACAAGTTAAACACCCTTTCAAGAGATCAATGTCGCCTACTGCTTGCTTCTCTGGTTATAACAACTTTAGTAACGATGCATGATAGCAATGCACAGCGGTCTATGTCTCCATGCGCAAACCTCAACCAAAAAGCCAAAGGTCCAAAAGGTCAAAAGTGTTCTGTTTTTTGTCAGCAGTCTGTGTAGTTTATGCTATCATTGGATTTATGCAGAGAGAGAGAGAGAGAGAGAGAGAGAGAGAGAGAGAGAGAGAGAGAGAGAGAGCACAGTCCGCTATGATAAAATCCTATAACCTATCAGCAGTCATTTAATGTCAGTGAAGCTTTAGTCAATACCCTGAGACAGACATCCAGACATCTGCATGCATCAGTCAACATCAACTTCACTCTCACAGACTGTAAACAAAGACGCAGCACAGAAAAAATCTGGCCCTGAAATTCTGCTCTTTCCTCCTAAAGGCAAAGTTGAAAGATTGTCATTCCCCGCAGGAATCTTACCTTCAAGATGTCAACTGTGTGGATCTGGCGAATATCATCGTCCTTGGTATTGCTGTTGATCTTGAACATGCGGTGGACGACGGGTAGTTTGCAGAGCGGGCCCAGGTTCAGCTCTTCATAGTTCCTCTTGCTCTTCAGTCCAGCCAAAGATTGTCCCAGCTCGTACAAGGTGCAGATGCTTGTCACCGCTTCTGTACACTAAGGGGGGAGAGAAGAAAGGTTTTACAGAGACCGTGACATCTTGATTGGAACAAATATCATCAGAGGTATTGTGTCCAACCTCAATGAACATGTTGATCTCTCTCATGATATACTGAAGATCTTTGAGAGCAGGGATCGTCCAGGGTCTAATCCTTCCGGCTTCCAAAGAGGGAATCTGCAGCAGCTGACACACTTTGAATATCACCTGGACAGATTAGGACATTAAACGGTACATAAATAAGTTTACCGTAAGAATGAGACAGCATGTTTTGATACTGTAAGACTCCTGATGCTGGAGAGCTGGGCCTGGTTTCAACTTTTGTATTTTGTGGACGCTTTTATATTTTCATTACTTGCATCTTTAATAACCAAGGATTGAACTTCCTGCATATTTTTAAATTAAAGTTACCTGACTGTTGATCAGTTCTCACATAGACTTTACACCAGAGCTAGGAATTTACTCAGATTTAGATAGATTAAAGATTGTAGGACTAAAATCTGCTCAGATTCGGGAGTAATCAATCAGAAGTTGGTGTCCTCTCTCCTCTCACCTTCTCTCTGGTGACCAACTCCCCCTCTGCAGCAATGTCTCGAATCACGTCTTCCATTAGATCATTGACTTCATCTTGATTCAGGGCTGTTGGCCTCCTCCTCCATCCTGTGATCTCTTCCTCATCCTTCTCCACAGCCTCGGCCGCCCGCATGTTAGCTCCATGCACCTCCCTCAGCTGAGCGTGATAAGCGTCTTTAAAGACAGGGGCACCGCTCTCTTTCAGTGCTGTGTCTCTAACTTGACTCTTCTTCTCTTTGGTCACGGCAGCCCCAAGCGCCGGGAAATCAGAGTCAGTCAGGAAGCTGGAAACACTGGGCTGCTGTTGCTGCTGCTGCTGCAGTTGCTGCTGCTGTTGCTCCTGTTGTTGCTGCTGCTGTTGCTCCTGTTGTTGCTGCTGCTGCAGTTGCTGCTGCTGCTGTAGCTGCTGTTGTTGCTGTTGCTGTAGCTGCTGCTGTTGCTGCAGTTGTTGCTGTTGTTGTTGTTGTTGCTGCTGCTGCAGCTGCTGATTTTGCAGCTCTTTATTGGGCACCTTCAGAGGAGTCTGGGCTGCTGTGGAAGGAACTGGAAACACATGCTTGTTAAGATAAGAATAAACCAATGAGAGTGTTTGGTTTCTTTGGATGAAGTAGCATTCGTTTATGGCGTGTTTGTCTACCTGCAGGTGGGTCAGGTCCCCTTGTCTGTGGATCAGGTGCTGAGTCCGGGGGAGGGGTCTTATTGTAGGAAGCCTCCCAGCTGTCATACAGAGACATGTACTGATTGCGGGGGAGAGGTTCATTAAACAGCTGCAGGTAGCAGGTCTGCAGCTGCTCCATGGACGGAGCAACCAGCTGGAATTTTTTCATCACCTGCAATATAAAAGCGCGTCGTCATCATCATCATCATCATCATCATCAACAAACAACAACAAACTTTCCAAGACAGCACAAATGAGTCTGTTTATGATATGTAGGTCAAAGGTCAGCTTTGCAGCTTTGTCAAAACTGTTTAGTCAATTTCAGCGCTCTGATTTTTCCACCACTCTGCACTTTGTTGACTAATTCTGTCCTGTAAAGTTACTTGCAGGTTTTTTTTTCTTTTTTTTTGCAACAAATACCTTCAACAAAGGCTCAAGACAACAGGCTATAAGTGACATTATTGTAACAGCAACTAATGTAACAACAGCTGCCTGGTCCAATGTAAATTGGAGCAGTGAGCGTTTACTGCGAGTGTCAAATGTGCTCTGTAATAGCATAACTTTCAGGCAGTATCCTAACTAAAAAGCTGTGTCAAACGTAACACCCACAAAAAGTGTCGACCTTTATATCTGTGGAAAAGCTGCTAAACTTGAGTGCGTCAGGCAGAGGCTGAAAAGTGCTGAAAACAGGGTTTGATAGATGCCAATATATGATAAATAAGGAGCTTTATGAGCAGCAAGATACGCAAAACTACTCAACAGCAAGGAAGTTAATCTTCAACAACTATGCCCCACTCAAAGTCAATAAACCTTCTGCTTTGGATGAGAGATACAGGTGGCTCACAGTAAAGCCTTTTGTCCTGTAGAGTCTCCCACTTGTTAACATGTTTGCTGAAACTAGAATCAAGCCTTTGCTGTGTGCTTGAGGATGATTTCTTCACCTTGATGCTTTGTGAGTGTTTCCATGACTCACCTCTAAGACCCTGTCATAGAGCGACTGCTGGCTCAGTTTCTCTGCAGGTCTGGTTGCAGTCAGCGGTGGATTCAAAGGAGGACTCTGTGTGGAATGTAAAAAGGGTGTGGAAATTAAAGACGGACCCAAGAAGCTGATTCCTGTCAGAGGTGGAGCCGCGACGCATGGGCTGGTATCCACCTGCGGCCTGCTGACACTGTTGAGGTGAGCAGGTTCGGAGCTCTGTGGAGTCTCAGGCCTGCTGTCAGTTGAAGCTTTAGATTTTTTCACAGATACAGGCTGGCTCTGAGGCAGGTGGATCTTATGGAAGACTGTGTCCCCCCTTACCACCAGATCTCCATCCAGAGACTCAATCAGATTGGACATGGTTGTGAAGCCCAGAGAGGCTAAAGTCAAGTTGTGTCTGTATTTCTGGCTGTAGATGATGGCCACCTTCTTGAGGGGAATCCCTGATGGATATTCTTCCATCATGGTAACAATATCCTCCAGAACCTCTCCAATACTTTCACTCTCCTCTGTTCCACCTCCAGCCGCTTCAGCTCCATCTTCAGCTCCGCTTTTAGCTTTGGCCCGTCTTTTGCGCCAGTGCTTCTTGTAAAATACCAGTTCCCCATCCAGGACCAGGTCCTTGCTCAGAGAGGCGACCAGGCTTTCCATGGAGTTGAAGCCCAGTGAGGACAGTGTCAGGTTCTTGTGGTAGGTCTGGCTGTAAACTATGGCCAGCTTCTTCAGAGGGATCCCATCACGGTGCTGCTTCACCATAGACACCACTTTCTCCAGGATCTTCTCCATCTTCGGTTTTCTATCACGGGGAAAAGATGGGCTGATGTTAGTACACTGAAACCACAAAGATGTTTTCTACCAGAGTTTGCTGGAACAGTTTGGTTACAGGCATTAGATGAGCTTCAAAATACACAAATATCCTGTAGGGAAAAATCTAAGCTGTTAGAGAGAGTAGAAAAGGAGACGTATAAACAGACTCATTACTCCAGCTGAAACTGAATATTTAATTCAGCTGTATGCCCAATCTGATTTGTGCTACAGCATCAGTCATTCTTTTCTTCTGTTTTGATGATTTCTTGCACTTTTCTGTGCATTTCATTTTGATGATCTGGTCCCACCCCTCCTATATTTTTACAGCAATGTCTTTATTTATGTACATGTCACTTTTTCCTTTAAATTCGAAGTTCATTTACTTTCATATTTACTGCTTTTTTACAAACTTGAAATGGTTGTAAGGCAGCACAGTCCTCGTGAAGTGGAGTAGGTACTACATTGATACTTGAAAGATATTTCACTGTCCAGGCTGTGATGATGTTTAAGACACCTCATCAGAGCCTTAAAAATATTCACACATAATCAATAGAAGCACATGATAGTCCAGTCTAATAAGTGATCAGCTCATAAAGGACAAATATCATGGCATCAAACCTCCGACTTATGACTGAGAACTGACCAACTCTCCCACTGAGCCACAGCCGCCCTTCCATACAAATATACACAGCAAACAAAGATCCACCTCCAGCTTGTTAAAATGCAGCAGCTGCAGTAGCGTCCCTACAGTGAGCCCCTGTAACTTTAACAATAGTTTATAACATTTTTGAAATGCAGTTGTTTCAGTGCTTTCTAGTTATGGTTTAGAGGCCTTTGGTTTTTTTTTATGTTTTGGTTAATCTCTGGCTAGATTAGACTCTGTGTTGGGTTCCCAAAGATGTTATATTAAGTCTTCAGCATAATAAAATTGAAATATTTTACATATAGTCATTATTATTATTTTTTTTTTTTTTTTTTTTTCCATTTCCTTAAGGGCAGTGGTTCTCAAGTCCAGTCCTCGAGTCCTTATGGCTGTTTCCCTGCTCCTGCACACCTGATTCAAATGATCAGCTCGTTATCAAGCTCTGTAATGGCTTAATAACGAGCTGATCATTTGAATCAGGTGTGTTGGAGCAGGGAAACATCCAAAACATGCAGGACGGGGGGGGGGGGCTCGAGGACTGGACTTGAGAACCACTGCTTACGGGGAACCTTCCCAAAAGGATAAATAAAGTTGTATCGAATCTAATATATTGTTATATATAGAATAAATGTGTATATATTTTTACTAGTACAACTGTCTCCTTTTCATGATACAACTTTTTTCATAACAGAGATCTATTCTTTATTAGTTCTCTGTGTGGTTGATGTTCAAAAAGACAACAAACATATCTAAAAATAGACAGGCAGACATACTGTTACACAACCCTCACCGACAGGTCATTGGATCGTACAGCCCTGCTGCTGTACGATCTAAAGATTTTTAAGGGAGTCAAAGTAGGAAATCCTTCACTAAGAAAATATTTACCTACCACTCCTCCAAATACCTCACCTGTGCAGTGCAGTAATAAAATGAGCACAGAAATAGCTCAGGTGGATTTATATTATCCCGACACACCCAGTGTCTCATGTTTGTTCATGATCACAGTCACACAACTGACAGCGCCACAGATGTTGTCTCTGATACCACAAACAACCACTTTAAACTTATGAACCCTGCCCTGACCCCGCACAATGTCAGTCAAACATTTCAGTTCCATGTCTGAAATGATCAGTTTTCTCTGGAGCTGCAAACTGAGTTTCCGATTATCCACAGAAATAATTCATCCTGCTTCTATGACGCATGCAGACACAAAGGAAGTTAGTAAATTTGAACAAAAGTAGATTAATGAAGCAACATTCCTTACATTTATCCAAATTAAATATAAACAACAGTGTCTAGTTAACCTATCCTTGACTAGGCATGTTTGTAAATAACTTAAATTAAGCCAATCAATCCTCACTGTTGAAGCCTGTTAAGAATTTGATTAATAAACGTTTGAGTAAAACATCAAAATTACAAGTTTACTAGAGTTGTTATAGAATTTAAAATATATACAAATAACATTATCATAACTCTGAGGTATGACCTAGAGTATTTTTTGTACTAAGAATAAGCAGAGAGAAAAAAATGAGTCTAACTTACCAACTCTTTGAATTGACAGTGTTTTTATCTCAAGCAGCAGTTTAACTACTGAAGCAAAACCTTCCTGCTCAGCTTATAAACCTCCCCCTCCCTCCCCTCCCTCTCCTCCTCCAGCCTCTGTGTTTCTTTCTCAGCTGAGCGAGGCAGAAACGAAACTGAAAGCTAGAGAGGAGCTCTGGAAAGTCATTTCTTATCTTCAGCTAGTCTGTTCAGTCTGATGCAGTTATTTCAATTCGGCTCTGAGCTTGTGCTGATAGAATAGCTGCTGTTACATCATCAGTGTGTGTAAGCTGACATTACTGATTCAACAGGACAGAAACAAAACTGAAAGAAGCCTGAGCAGGAGAGCAACAGAGGCCTTAAGTTTCACATTCCTGGGCAGTCCGGCTGCGTCACATCATGTGAGAGGATGATTTCAATACTCAGACAGGAAGTTACAGGACACCAGGCGCACCCATCCCTTTTTTTGTGTTCAGTCCTGTTCTTAGAATAAACCTGCAGCTTTGGCTGCTTCTTTGGCTTTGCCATGAAATGAGCTGAAAACCTGTCTGTATTTTGATGAGAAAGACTTGCTTAACTTGTTAAGTAAAGCAAACCTGTACCTACAAAAATGAAACTCAACATAAGAGAGGTGATGTGTCTGCGTTGAATAACAAACTCTCAATCCTGTCTCCAACTAGCAATATACTTGACACCACTGAGGACAATGATGACAACAGAATTAGGTTTTGAGGTGTGAGAGGCTGCTGAGCTGTTACCCAATTTTTCAATTCCTGGGCTGGTTTATTACATCATAATATAACAATATGATTGTCCTGCAACTCATAGGTTATCAGAGTATCACTGTCTCATACTATAATTATCATGGGCAATGTATTGTTTCATGTATCATGAATCACCTGGTAGTACAAACCCATAATCTAAAGTATCCAAACAAAGCAGTAACAGACCTGAAACTCTCTGGGGTACTATAACTGTTTCTGTTAAAGGGGCTGCTGGCTTTGTAGGTGGAAAACCCTGTGGAAGTTCTTTCTGTTATGTTTTCATCAAGTTGTAGGGCTGGGATAATATGCTTTTCTCCCTATTCGATTCTCCTACAATTTTTTGGATGCCGATTTGATTTAAGTTGCGATTCTACAATACTGCAGATTTTCTCAATTTTTAGTCTGCATTTATAACACCATATTTATTTCTATCATGTCTTGTTGCAATGACTTTGGAGTAGTTCATAAAATGATGTTCTCGGACATACATGGCTGTGACGGTAGTTATTATGGTTACAACATCAAAACACATTCATTTTTATCTCTCTCTGCTTCTTGCTGTTTCTTGCTGAACTTCAATATCGCCGGTTTCTTGCATCAGGCTTGTATAGTAAGGCGCGTCAAAATTCACCTCCGAATATTTCATACTTTCACGTTCTATATTCGTGTCAGCCCTGGTAAGGACCTTTACATTGGCAGAATGAATTGACTACAGATTTTCTGAACATAAAAATCGATTTAAAAATTGTAAAACAAAAAATCGCGATACTTATGTGAATCGTTTTTTTCTCCCACCCCTATCAAGTTACTGGCCTGTTGAGACAAGAAGAGAAACTTTGAGTGGATCTTTTAGTTCCTGTTATTTGCTTAAACCCTTATATTTGTAAGACAAAAACATACCTGACAGTTTGTGATAATGTCAGAGCATCTTGTCTTTTGCCTGGTTTAGATGTAGTTCTCACACCATGGAGCTATACAAAGACAGAGAGGAAGAGTGATTCAACAGAAGGCTGTAAATTACAAACACCTGGCCTTTCATTTCTGAATGAAAGAGTTTCGTAGCTGTAAGACATTTTAAAAGTAAAGATTTTATATGTAAAACTAGCTGTAAACTAATGTAACAGCAGTCAATCAGGCAGAGAAGCACCCAACGGCTGTCAAGGCAACGTTGTGGGCGTGCTTTACACACACACACACATATGGTTATACATAAAGGAATAACGAACTTCCACAGGTAGTACAGTACGTTTATGACCCTCTGGATGACCCAAAGCTGGACAGACAGACGCTTTGGCCGCAGAAGTCTGTTATGCATCTCAGTCCAAAGTCCTCCCTGTCTCCCTGGGCTGCAGGTGATAACCTCTGAATTACAGACCCAAGCTCGCCTGGCTACCGTTAGCAACAACACCGCGCACCGCCATTTAACTGTGAAATATTTATATTATCTGTAAACAAAACGCCTTATAATTACCTGTGTCATAGCACTCATGTTCCGTTATATCTTTGTTCATGCAAATATACCCACAAAGGCGCCAAAGTCAGAAACGAAACTCATGGAGTTACAGTTGACTAAAGCTAACAGGGGTTGCTAGCCAGTACCGTGATGCGTTCAGGACATGCTGAAAAGATAGGTAATTATAACTTCACCGAGGTAAAACGTTCACGCACATGGTTTGCTTACAAACTGTATATATCGAATAATTCTAAGTCTTGGTTAACTATAGCGTTCTCTTTGAATGGATGTTTGTGAAATTTGCAGCGTTTGTGAATGTGCATCATTAATAGTAGTTTGAGTCGTTCAATTGTTGTTTTTTACTGTTTAACCGTAAAAAACTGGCATTTTAGTGACCTTGCTACTATTATTTGAGAACTTTTATTTTACGTCCAAGCAGAAGTTTGGTCAACCACAAAGTAGCGTCAGTTATCGCACGTTTCATGTTTCCTAACCCTAACCGTGCATAATAACACTAATCTGACGTTTTTGTACCAGCACTTTGAATGCAGCATTGTTATTAGATGCCACTTGAAGA